CATATCGTACACCTAGAGCTATACTCGAATCTTGGGCAGGATGGCGTTGCGAAGTACGTCTACATGCTCGCAGATTGGGTTAATCAGGGTGCAGCATTAAATTCCCTGGTCATGAAGATTGCACATGAGGGCGTCTTTGGGACTCGCGCATATGGATCTGCCTCTGAAGCATTTTCCAAGCTCGCTTTGTTAGGGGAGACTGTAGAAGCAGTCCAAACTATCTTTCCGGATGATGTTACTGCGGGCTTGAGACAAGTGGATCGAAAGTTGGTTATCACCCAGACATTCGAGGATTACTTGCGTGAGCTTTACCGCGGTCTGGTGGGTTTTGAGGAGGTGATTTATGAGATGCAGAAAGCAATCGGCGGAGAGATGAGGCTTGGAGAAAAGCTGTGAAAACTTGGGACAGAGAGTGAGGTCATGGAGTTAGCGGGAAATCTTGTACTTAGGCAATGAGACAAGCATGGTTGACCCTTGGCTGGGGGAAACCCCTGAGGAATGACACTAGTCATATTTATTAGCTTTGTAGCTCAAAATGATACCAACTTATACAATTCAGCATCTCTTCTAAGGATAGGTTGCAATATTAGCTTCCTGTTTTTTGTTCTATCTGAAATGCCTTGCTGTCCGCCATGAACGACGGATTCGAGTAGTAGTATTGTACGAGAGCGTACTACGTGGACATCCATATCACTTCTCAAATATGTGCAGGCATTGTGATTTACTATATGTTTTCATTTCGATAGACTAAACATTGGGTCTCATGTGCGGATGACTCTCAAAAATTTGTCTCGAACCCAACCGAATTCTGAAAATTATCTTTGGCTACAAACCGAGGCATAAGCCACCCAAGTCTATACTCTTCCTCAACAACCTCTTCCACGAGTTGGTATCCCATGGTATCATTCCCTCAGTTTAACAATCCGCTTGCCTTCCTTCCAGCACAAATTATCCTGAACCCATAACTCCCCACCAAATGCATCATGAAAGTCATACATAGCATTGTCGTAGGCGTGAGTTTGATCCAAAAGAAGATGCAAGAACTCCACTGCCTCTGGTTTCAGGACCAGCTTCTTCTGGATCTTTCGGCTCTTAAGCTCACCTCCCACAGAGCGAAACGTCGAAGTTAACATATCGATGAGCTCCTTCTCCTTGTACATGATTGAGAAAAACATCTGAAAACTTGGGGTCAGATAGTTGTTGCACACAAGCGTGAAGGATTTCAACTCACAACGTCGAGTATACTTTCCCAAGCCTTGCCACCATTCATTGAAATCTGTGAGATTGACGTGCAGTTTAAGGTCTTGAACTTCAATGAAGTTGAATGGCGAGTCATATTCGAAGGAGTTTAGGGAAGGACATGCGTGGATGACGATCTGATTCTGCATAAGCAATACGTCTTTTGTTTCCTCGTAGATTTGCTTGCAAGTTTGAAGCAGACTAAGTCATAAGGGGGTCCTCATGGGTTTGCCGTCACTCTGCTCATCGTATTCTGAAATCTTCATGCGGAGTGGTTTTCTTTCCGTGAGCTCCAGTGAAACGCGACCAGTACGATGACCCAATGCATGATGGGAAATGAGATTCCGGATCTCGGCAGGAAATGTGAGAAGGGTCGTGGGGCTCTTGGTGGTGGCTTCCATGATTCGTATGATTCGAGAGTCTGGGCTGAAGTATTTGTATGATGCTGTTGTAGTGGAGGTCGAAGTTCAAAAACCATAGGTCATTCCCATATATATACAGATAGTCGTGCTGCTACTATTTATTCGCATAAGGTAGTCCATTATTGTTTACCAAGGTAAACATAGGAGTAACAATCCAGGGGCCTTTCCTACTCCAAGTCTATCAGTAGAGACAGCTTACGGCCAGGGCCATCCTTTCTGCCTAGAAGGCACGTAGCTCTTACTGAAACAGCTTTAAACAGCTTCCCAAACAGGATCCACCCTTCAGCAGCGTGCCCAAAGTACCACTCTAAAAGTACGTTAGTCGCTCCTCCTATAGAATAGCTGTTTTTAACGGCCGGTATACGTGTATACCTAGAGCGTCGGATGCGAAGACTATTCTACAAGTATCTCATCCAATTCAGATGATATATCCTCTCCCCCTATAAATTTCATGGATCCTGGAAAGACCAAAAACCTTTTATATATTTGCCGTAGAATACAGCCACTACTGTTTATATAGGACTAAAAGCAAATGAATAATTTCATCATGAATATCAATTCACATAATGGTTGTTGCCGAGGCATCACGTGACTATTATTCATTCCTGTCAAATTATCTTCGTGGTAGTTGGTGAGGTACGTAGTCACTGATATGAGCTTCCCAAACTACAGAACTCTTCGAAGTAGGCGCTATGTTAGCTTCCCTATTAGCTCCATTGATATATCACGTGCTTGATTGAATGTTAAGTTAGGGAAGGGTTTAGCGAAGACACCCTCCATAAGCGCTCTTTTTAGAGCCAAATCATCTTACATCTCAACCTCCACGTCCCATTGGTTTCTTTAGAGATTCAGCCCTACAGCTGCACGCTATCATTCCTCCGAAATTGCGTCTTTCGCGTCGAGCCTGGGTACCTAGGTATAGTAGGCGCTGACATGAGAAGCAAGCGTCGCAAGTCGCGACGACGACGGAAGGTGCAGTGCGATACTCTCGTACAACAATGCCAGAACGTCCAACCCATTCGTCTTTTCGGGCCTATGCAGTTATTTCATTCGCCACGCCAAGGGGGTTTACACCGAGATTGGGATGGTGTTTGTTTTATATTTCCTCATGCGGTCGTCGGGCTTCATTCGCACCTTCTCTTTCGAGCATGACATCAGCCGGTTTCATTTTATTTGATGACCCCTTGGCACGCGTACGATTCTTTTCCTTCTTTCGCTGACCTCGGGCGTTCAACAGTCTTTTCATTATCTTATTTCTTTTGAACTTTCATTTTTCTCTCTTACTCTTCCTTTTTGATTGTCCACCAAGATGCAAAAATGTCAAAGTCGACACCAGGCCTCTTCGCGGCAACAGCTTTCAACCCCAGATCAGATTCCTCGCCCTTCGAGACCGCAGACCCATCACTGGATCTGTCATCAAAAAACACGATCTCAACAGGAGCTAAGCTAGCAATAGGGATTTCCACCCCTCTGGCATCACTCTCCATCCTCATAATATTCTTCTTCTTTCGAAACCAACGCAACCGCATACGCCGTATGAGTATTCGCCATGATCTGACATCTCCGGCGTCCACGGAGTACACACCCACGACTTGGTCGAATAGTTCGCAGGGGCGCTTGGATCCGGTGTATAAACAGCCCATGCAGGTGAGATCGAAGCAGCATTTGGATATTCCGGCTTGGGAAGGGCAGGTGAGAAGACCGGTGGAGATGGGTTCGGGAAAAGGGGAGGGGCAGGAACTGATGGAGTTGGCGGATACGAGTCGGGCGAGTGTGAGGGAGTGGGCGAAGAGTGCAAAGACGACGAAGACGAGGGATAAGAGGAAGCTTTCGCTGGTGCACGAAAGAAGTTGGTTGGATGAGCCGACGAGTCCGGATGTGACTGTACCGGTGAGGGCTAGATTTGAGTGAGTGCTTGGGACTTGGACTTATTATAAATGGGGTTTCTTAGCTTTAGTTCGAGCAAGGGAAAAGAAAGTGGGAACATGGATGGGATGGATGGCTTGGGCATACAAGGGCGTTCTTGGTGTGAGCATTTGGTGGCGTACATCCTCCGTATGAGCATTTTGGATAACGATCACTGATCTAGGGACTGCGAATGAGTGCGTAGAAGCTATAATTAATTTATGTAATGCTGCAGGCAGGATAAAACTTTGTATTCCTTAGGGTGGAATTCTTGACGGCGTCTGGAAAGTTTGAATATGTAATAACTAATTTCTGTATCAACACCGAGTTGGGTATTGAAAGACTGATATGGTGGATACGAATTTGAAAGCTCTCAGAGAAGAAGGGGCAAACAATGAAGTCCAGTCACACAAGAGCAAGCCACTCAAGACAAGAAATAAAGCCTTTCATCTGGTCAATCACGTGATGAATTAGAAATGACAAGAAACAACTTTTCACAAGCAATGGCGTGAGGAGAAGAGAGGACGCTGAGTATTCAGATATATTCAAGATGAAAGATTGCTCGAGACCATGCAAGAAAAGAAAGTTGCAAGATGCCACGCAAAACTTGAGGAATGGTTCTGCACCTCAGCTAAGGGCGGCTGTATACGGAGATGGCCTGGTCTTGCACAACAGAATCGGGATCTGAGCGTCGGACAACGTCCGCGAGAAACTTTAGAGCAAACACCACAGTCAAAAAGTTACTAAAGAAGATGAAACAATCGGTTACGCGCATGCATTAGCTGGATAACTTGGAAAGGTAAACAATGCGATGAGAGGAGGGGAGGTCCGTGACGAACATCCAAGAATTAATAAAGAACTTTGCAGAAACAATAAGGTAAACGGATATCCCGATGTTCTGTATTTAATTTGTAGAGTAACTTATCACAAAGTGAAAAATATTATAAAACAAGACCGCAGTGAAAGAGAGCAAGTAAGGCAAGTGGTGAGATAAGTAAATGCCAGGGTCCCCAGTTCAAAAGCGTTGCCATAGTTACAACATCTGCTAGACTAACAACAACCGCTGCTACACCTGAATGGTCTTAATAACATCCACCAACTCTCAAGACCACCACCACTTCCCCCCCCCTCTCAATTGCGCATCGCTTTCTCACTTATTCTTCTGGTGCAGATAGTACTACATTTGGTTGGTTTGTGAAGGGTATAAGAAACATTATTGCAGTTCTTTCTCTCTACTCGCACTCTCTAAGGGCGCCATTCCTCGCGTCGCAAAAGCCTCCACAACATTGGCCATCCTTCCATGCCATCACCACATCGAGCCATAGCGATTCTAAGAATACACCACCACTGTCTCTGGGCTCTCTGGAACTCTATTGGCACGATCTTGTGAGCTGGAACCAATGGCGTCACCTTCGCAGTCGGTAAGCTTGTACAATGGCTTGTTTACTCGCGGTTTCGCAGATTCAGGACTCTATTGACACCAGACAGGTCCACCCTTTGCGCATACAGAAGGGCACTCCTTCACCGACCAAACTTCCTCGACCTCTGTCTGAATTGGCTCCTACTGAGCAAAGAAGGAACTCACCAAGCTTCACTCAACCAACCAAGGTAAGGAAGCCACACCATGAACTGCGCCTTTCGGAGAATTAAATACTGATCTAGAACACGCAGAAGATGGCGCTCAATGCGGACTCGTCTCCATTCCAGTCGTCCCCTTTCAATGCCTCCGAGGGCAACTCTTCCCCGCGACTCTTCTGGCAAGGTCGTGATCCAGCGACACCAAAACGGTTTAATTCGGAGAATAATGGTGTATTTGTTGGAAGAGAGACATCCCCTTCACCTACTCGACGCTCCTCGATCGAACGTCTGCAGCGCGCATCGCGTGTCAAGAATAGCAACATGTTCGCGCGCGAACAAAAACAAGAATACGATCCTACTTCGCTTCCATTCATTGAACGCCCTCTGGCAAAGCAATTACAAGGAAATTCATATGGAGGGTCGGGTTTGGAGGGACTGCGTTCAGCGGAGCGTCAACGGCCGTTTGGTCTTCAAAGAAATGATAGCATAACAGGGTCCCCATTGTACAGTCCTACCAAAACCCCGCTCAAAAGTGGCGGAAACCATAATCGATCTCCAAGCAAGGATCAAATCTCACCTACAAAATCATCGCTAGCTACTGGTCGTTTCAACGGCAAGTCCAGCTTTGACTCGGAGAATGGCCAGTTCTCAGAGGATAATTCCGGTGATGAGAGATCTCTTCCGCCAGGACGTGCTCTTCACAGGCATGCTAAGAGCGTGACGTTCGATGCTGCTCCACCGCAAGTCAATGAGTACGAGATGGCAACCCCAGATCTCTCATCGATTGGCACAGGGTCGCGCGAGAACAGTTACGACTCCGGTGAAGATGAAGATGAAGACAGCTACATTATTCACGGTGATTCTATGGAGCAGGATGATAGCTTTGATGCATCGCTTGAGGATACAGACAAAACCCCAGTCGTTGGGCCGGATGATTGGAGACATGCTAGCCCTGATGTTCATCGCAATAGCATGATGTCGGGGCAATTTGAGGATCCGTTTGAAGGTCCTGAAGGGAGCCCAATGCCTGAAGCCCGTCCAACTTCCTCTGGACGCCAAGCAGCCATTCGTAACGACTCGCTAAATTCAAATGGTGATCACAGACCTCTGCCACCACTTCCTGGCATGAGCCAACATGTACGAAGTGGTTCAGCTTCATCCATCGGACTATCCGCAGCAGCTGAACGTGCCACCCAGCGAAATCTACCATCTCCACCTGCAGCCTCTCCTGTCAGCAAGTCAGATATACAAGGGATGTCGGGTGGAAAATTGACCTTGGAAGAGCGGTTGCAATTGATGATGATCTCAGACGAGGATAAACCCAAAACGATGGCTGAACAGCAGCGAGAGCGTCGAATGCGACGTGCTGGTGCTGGCGCTCGTGAGCGACAACAGAGTCATACGCCAGACCGTGAACAGTCCATAACGGTACATGAAGATGAGGACACTCTCGATGATCTTCCTGATCTCGGAACCTACCAGCTACCCCCGCGCATCTCACGAGAATCCATCATGCGAAAAGTTAATGGACAAGAGACATCTTCGCGGGAGTCTGACTACAACTTCTCCTCCCCGATGCCTAGTTCAAGTCCTGAGCGTCCTCCTGCTCTTGATCCAGACACCCCGATTCCCTCAACGGAAGATGCATCAATAGCTGAGAATGACGACAGCGTTGTCATTAAACCTGAGCCAGAGGAAGATGAGGTTGATGTATATGCAATCCCTGATATGTACCAGCGTAACGAGTCGCGGATGGATGATTACGACAACGCCCATCTCAACCCCCCCGAAGAAGATGCTGGTAGCGACTACTCTGATCCCACACCCATCAACCCAGATCTTCAATCTAGCGGCAGTTCTGGTGAAGATGACCTTCCTACCCCACAGCCAGAGATTTCTATTCCTCAAAGTCCACTGCAACTGGATAGGAAGAACTCTCTCCCTGAATTCAAAGGATTCATGGATAACCATGACTTTGGCCTAGGCTTGAAATCTTATATGACTCCATCTCCACCACCGCCTCCACCAAAGGATGTTCCTCTCGCCCGAGCCCCAAGTATGACTGAAGCTCAACAGTACCTCCAACGATCAGAAACCCCCGATGAACGCCAAATGCCGACCTCGAAACCGGAATATGACGGCACTGGATGGGGATCTGATGAGGACGATGAGTTGGACAGGGGAAGTCCAGACTCTGTTATCAGACATCCTCTGGCCACGGAACCTTCTCCACCTCGCGACTCCCCCAGCATCCCCGAGCGAGTTGCAACAATCAAGTCATTCGGCTCCAATCTGAAGACGAGGCCGTCCGCGACGCCTTCGGATCTCATGGCCATGAGAGAAATGAGGCGTCAAGTCAGTGGCGAGACACCAAACATCCCAGCAATTCCTGAACGTCATCGCAACCGTCCATCGCTCAGCCTCGACCGTGAACTTGGAGAAGGGGAGAGTGAGAATGCCGTTGAGAGGTACCCAAGTTTCAAGAAGAAATCCTTGACTCTTGACATTGGCAGTGATCTTGGTTTGAGTCTTGATCAAGATTTCGACCGGGTGATCGAAGCCCAAAAGGTTGCGTTTGACCCACCTTCGCATTCTGCTTTTGCTTCTTCCGAAAATGACAATGGACAAGCGTCTAATTCTCGCGCAAATGCACATTATAACTTTTATGCTAATCTTTCTCCCCATAAACAGCGCGGTTACCTCATGAGACAAAACACAAAACTCATTGTCGCTAGCAGCGACGACAAGGGCGATGGAACTCGATCCGCTGGTAACTCACCCATCAAGCAAGACCGTCCACAATCGTGGACTGTCGAGCCATGGAACGGGCAAATGCGAAAAACCAGTAGTAGATCAAACCCTCGAAAGAAGCCGGCACCAGGGGCTGCACCTCCAATGCCTGGTCAGGATAGCAATGTGACAGGCTTAAGTATAGTGGCCGAAGACCGCCCCACTACTGGGCCGGTGATTGAAGAGACTGGAGAGAGAGGAAGATTGTTTGTCAAGGTTATTGGTGTTAAAGACTTGGATCTTCCATTACCCAAAAGTAAGAATCCCGACGCTCGCTTTTTGGCACTGCTAACCATCTTAGATGAGCAAACCTGGTTCAGTCTGACCCTTGACAATGGTGTTCACTGTGTGACTACCGCCTGGCTTGAATTAGGAAGGAATGCACCGATTGGACAAGAGTTTGAATTGGTGGTGCCAAATGAGCTTGAGTTTCAATTAACCCTGAACGCGAAATTGGTTAAGCCAGCCCCCAAGCGGGTCATGGAGTCCCCTACGAAAGGCCACAAAGCACAAAAACCTTCTACTTTCAGTCGAGTCTTTGCCTCACCAAAGAAGCGAAAAGAAATCGAGATGCGGCATAAAGAAGAAGAGGAGCGACTTGTGGAGCAAAGACGGAAAGAGCAAGCCAGGAATAATAACGTACAACCTACAGGCTGGGACCTTATCTCTCCTCTTGCTGCCGAAGATGGAAGTTTTGGACGATCGTACGTGTGCTTGAAAGATCACGAGTCCAAATGCTACGGAAGACCGTATGTTGTCGACGTTGCAGCTTTCAATGAATGGGCGACTGAAGAGGCAACTCATTCGTCCAGTGTGAAGGGTAAGCGCGGAAATACGGTTGTTCAACGACGGGCTCCATACAAGGTTGGCAAACTTGAACTTCAGCTCCTCTTCGTGCCAAAGCCTAAAGGCGCCACCGACGATGACATTCCCAAGAGTATGAACTCCTGCATTCGAGAAATGAAAGAGGCTGAACAAGCACTTGCTCGCAACTGGGAAGGTCATCTTAGTCAACAAGGTGGTGACTGTCCAGTAAGATAACTCTCACCATGTTTACAAGATTTCAACTAATGAGTCCCCAGTACTGGCGTCGTCGCTACTTCAAGCTCGTAGGCAACAAACTCACCGCCTATCACGAGTCAACCCGCCAACCCCGAGCAACCATCAATCTCGCGAACGCCAGCAAGCTGATCGATGACCGTAGTGCCCTCACACAAAAAGAAACCAGCGGCAAAGGTGGCAAGCGCCGCAAATCAGGCTTTGCGGAAGAAGAAGAGGGCTATATGTTCGTTGAAGAAGGCTTCCGAATTCGCTTTAACAACGGCGAAGTCATTGATTTCTACGCCAATACGGCTGCGGATAAAGACGGCTGGATGAAGGTTCTTGAGGCTTGTGTGGGAAAGGAGGGTGAGGCGGGTAGGAGCAAGTGGTGTGATCTCGTGCTGAAGCGCGAGGATAGTGCAAGGAGGAAGTCGGAGGTGGGACACGGCACCCCGAGGGGCGTGAGGCATCACCAGAGGACGAAGAGCCATGGTGTTTAGGCAATGTGCACCACTCACCATGAATGACGAATAACGCTGAAAGCTCTCGATGGATAATGTCGCTATGCCTATCCTCCCTATTACGACATTGTGTTTCACACATCTTCGATTCATCCATACAACGCATTCGACCTCACGGTCCTGTTCGGCCCCGGTGGCGGTTTCATTTTACATATTGGTTTTGTTCTGTTCGAGTATCATGGGTTTTTTTTCTTGGTTGAGTGAAAAGAGGATAGGGTGATGAGGCGATGAGACGGGTACTTTTGTTTTATAGGAGTGCAATGGGCTGCGTTCGGGCGTAATTATTGATCTTGAGTTGTTTGTGTGCGGCCTGGCCCTGATTTGTATCCATTATGAGATAGGGATGCGTAATGAAAAAAAGCTTACTACATTTCTTTTCCCTCTTGAGTTTCAACGCCAGTCGGTGAGAGCGAGTAGGTGAGTGGGATGGTTTATGTGCAAGTTGCGCATTCTAGGTGAAGAGATATTTCCAGTTATAGTGCGAAATTCGCATTCGCTACAGCCAAATGGTTCTTCTTCATTGCTCCCTGCACAATCGAGTACGATCGAGTTCCCGTTGAGATATATCACGTCGCCCTATTTGAGATCGGAGCGCGAGAAACTAGGCTGTTGGAAAACACGCGGTGGAAACTAGGCTATAAACTCTGAGTCGAGCAGAAGGTCGTGATTGCTACGGGTGGTAGCTTTATATTTATAAATTTAACACTTTAGCCAGTCCAGGTGGCTTTGAATATATTCAAAACGTTCAAATTGTGATAGATCACCGGTGGTCTTTTATTTAAGTTCACTTTCCCAAATTTATTCTTGTGAGATTCATTGGACATGAATAGGGATTTGGTGGCATCCGAGAGTGTGTAGCCAATGAATCGTTTACTGTGAATTGGTTTGCTTTCTGTGAGAAGGGCATATATGTGAAAGCAATTCACAATTCCTTCTTGGGACCCCACCTTGTGGCTTCTTTAAAACCAGCAAAATCTCGGTCTTCGAATTGAGAGATTAAAAGTGCCTCATTGTGGAGCACATATAATTTTATCGATCGTCAAGTCTGGCATTTATTAGGGCGACTATGATGGGTGATTGAGTTACCAAAAGATAATACACGTGGTAATTGTCTTGATATTAAGTGATATGACCAAGATCATAGGTCCCACTCCTACCTAATGAATGCGATCTTGAGCATTGATTGATGTGTTATTTTTCTTTAGACCTTCGGCACATCTGATAGAATCAAGTATCCTCCCTATTCAGTATATGTTCAATTAATATTTTATACAGAGTCACGTGCTTGACCCCCGTTTCTCATCTGAAACCCTTCGAATCGCGAGGAACACAGAACTCATGTTCCATCATAAGAACGATTTTAGATAGAAAAAAGGAGTTTATTAGAAGATGATGTCTGTTTCTCCCGTATTATAGCACACCTGCAGGTTTTAAACTCCTGCGGGGGGTTTTGAACTGTATCATAAGCTATATATCCTTATCTATATCTAGCCCATATGTGCTAATGCTTTGCGGCTTTATATCACACTCGAATTGCTCCTGATTTTGCTCGAATTCTGGCCCCGTAGTTCCACAAGACCCATGGCATAGGGACCCCAAGAAGAATAGCCACTCCCGCAATCAACGTATTTCCCCATCCATAATCCAATGCCTTGTACATTTGCGGAGCAAATAGGGGAAACCCAAAACCAGCAAAGTCCTTCATCACTGCGATTGCCGCCAACGCTGAAGCCGTGTGATCCGGATACGCGTCAATGACATAAGCAGTCTGGCAATGCGTCCCTACGGTCGTCCCAGCACTGAAGATTGCAATACCAATATTGGGTCCAATCCAGTGTGTATGGGACTGTGCACACCAACCGTATATTAGGAGGCCGACGGGTACTAGAAGTGCCCCGGGAACCATAAGTGGGACGCGATATTCTGGGATAATGACTGGTTCCAAACCGTTTAGAGTGGGGTTCGATATTGCTGCCTTCTTGCGCAGATGTTGCCAAATGCGATCTGTGATGGGGCCTGCGACTTGTGCTCCAATTGTAAATCCGATGGCGATTGAGATAAAGTTGAGTCCGGATTGTGACACAGACTCGTGGTAACGTTCGGTCCATAGTTTGGGAAAGGTGGTATGAACAATGTAAAGGAGACCAAAACTATAAGCACCATATATGGCGAGAATTTGGATTATGGGATGTGTGAAGAGGAGTTTGGTAGGCCGAGAGAGCGTAGTTTTTAATTTGGGTAAGAGTGCGGGGTTTTCCTTCTTGTGCTTAGTGTAGAGGTTAAAGTTTCCGGTGGCCTTTCGAAGGGCTTTGGCTTTTCGTTTTAAGACTGTAGGGCCATAGGTTTCCTTGAAAGTAGCAAAAGAAAGAATGATCAGAACTGTTTCGAATATGGCGAGAGTAAAAAAGGACCAGCGCCACGAAGCTCGCTGCGCAATGTAACCCCCCATTAGAGGACCGAAAGCAGGACCTAACAGAGGGATCAAATTGTACAATGCCAATGATCTTCCTCGCTGTTCGGGTTTCCATACATCACCTACAATTCCACCACCAATCTGAGATATGGGTCAGCATGAAATGGTGTGAAACTTCTCAAGTATTGACTTACCGTCAAAGCTGCACTCCCACCGATACCAGCCATCAAGCGAGCTGTAATCAGTTGAGTTTTCGTTGCTGCAAATCCGCTTACAATGCTCCAGATAACGAACCAGACATTTGACCACTGGACTACAATGACTCGTCCATACATTTCAGATAATGGTGCGAGGAACAACGGACCGAATGCATAGCCAAGCACGAACGCGGATATTGTGGTTTGGATTTCAACGTCACTGGTTATATCCAAACTCTTTGCAATGTCAGGTAATGCAGGAGAAATTATCGTTGAGGACATTAAGGTTGCGAGTAGGAACAGCGAGATGATAAGCGTGACAATCCACTTGTCTTTCATGGGCCAATTCTTGGGGTTCATGGGATCTGCAGCGTTATCCCAAGTGACCTGATACATGTCAGACATCCTTCACTCCAATTGAATGGTGAAATAGAAAGGGAAAAAAGATAGACATACTAGATTTGGGTCCTCGGGTTTGTTGTTGACCGTTGTAGTCTTCCATCCTTTTTCCACATCCACTTTTCCATACTCTGGCTTTTCGATACTTTCCTCGACCTTGATTTCTGACAAAAAGCCCAAGCCTTCTGAAAACTGTAGCTCCTTTTTATTTGTCATGTTGCTTAGATACACGGCTGCGTCTATGATAGCTCTAACTACTGGCTGAGTATAAAATCAAGCGAAGGAAAGATGTGCAAATAAGGGCTCTAGATACCTTCCGTAATACGCGGGATGAGAAGCAACTTATAGAACATGGTGTAATGAGAGGATGATTGGGATACTAAATGCACTTCACGGGGAAGATCTGATAAATCTGGACTCCCGACACCTTGATGGGGATAGAAAGGACAAATGATAGTGCGACATCGGACCAAAAGGCAGAAAGAACCGCAAATACTAACTATTGAAATACTAAAAGTTCCATACAACCCCTGAGAATTATTATAGAAACCGGATCTTCGTGAAATGCCCCACTTCCCCCGAAGCATCAGCTTGACGCAGCAGGCTACAGTAGGTGGAGATGTTCGGATATCGGATCATCTGATAATATTTGACCTTTCTATTGGATGAATGTAAGTCAGAAATTGTACCAGTCGAGGGGCTGTGCTGTCCTACTAAAGGTTTCGAGTGCGGATACGGAGTCGGAAAAAGACAAGTTTTAGCGTAGTACGCAGGGGTCATTTATTGTAGCAGAAAATAAGTTGCAACTATCTTTGTGGCCTACGTGAAAACCCCCGGCTCGAATACGGGCATATGTAAGATTACCTCGTATTGATGAAATAAGTGACCATCAAGAGGTATTGAATTGCCTCCTGTCCTCCTTTGAGTATATATGTTTCAAGAAAGGCCTAGAAAACCTGTAATGGGGTGCTCATAATTGATATCAGCTTTGATAATACGGACATTGGAGCAAGCAAAAAGCCGGTCCATGATATCCAAGTCATGTTGCTGTATATCCACATCATCTGATCGGTGACCAATTGGAAGGTTCTCAATATAAAGAGGAGTGTCGGGCCAATTTGCCTCTAGACGCTCACGAACTATCGCTGGGAAAGGTTTGTCCCACGATTTCCATCTGGTTTAACATAGGTTAGAGCTGGTTCAAGTGATAGGCTCACGAGGGACAATACTGAATTGAATCTAAATGCTTCAGTTGACAAATCAGATCGGCTAAAATATTCCAGTCGGGATATTCGCCCTGAATTGTGATATGGCGTGTACAAAAAACTATGTTGGATCGGAGATTTCTTAATCTAGTATCTGCATATAGGCTTTGCAATCTGGAAGCCGTCAAGACGAGCGATTCATATAAAACTGGTGTAGCAATTCGATAGAAATGACTCGTAACTTGGCTGAGACTCTGCAAGTCATTTGGGCTGGTAAGAAAAACCTAGTAGGTTTTAGTTTTACGTCTTCAAAATGCCTGCTTGAGTGGGATTTTTGGTTGACGCACCTGCCTGAGTATCAAATTTGAAACTTCATCGCTTAGGTAGAAGCGGCAGTCGGACATCTTCGTAGAGTGTTGGGGCAAAGAGTTGCTTCAATCGACGTGATATCTGGTTTGGCGACATGCAAATGAAGGCCGGTCGTGAACATAGGCGGACCTGTCTATCTAAGAATGCACTGACCCATGCGGCGCGCTGACGCCTTGGCATGCAAAAAAAAGATCCTGAAGGATTCCTGCTGCGCCAATCTTTTAATATAAAGTGCTTTGGTGTACAAGATGGCGGGCAGTTGGGGTTTGTTATAAGCTGTTGTAAGTACGGCACGCACACCGAGCTGAAAGAAGTAGCTACAGTAGCGGAGGCCTACCCGCGCTAGCGTCGTTGCTTTTAGCGCCCTAGTTGTTTTTCCTCGCATTCTTATGTCCGAAATCTCCACGAATATAACAACCATATAATTGAAGGTAGAGGTCAAAAAATATCCCTCTACTCCAAAATACTTTTTTTACAGCATGTGAGGATGAAGACAGATTTTAAGAAGGAAAATTTAAAAAACACATCACCTTTCCCACGAATATGGCTAAGGAGGATTCAGTTCCCTGGATGCTACCTGTTCTAAGGGCGAAACTCGTATTCATTCATGCCTAGTGTATAGAGAATATAAATAAACACTACTTCTACTAATCAATTGCCCTGTTCAAGTCAATGCCTTATTAATTAGCGATCAAGTTGCCTATTCATCCATCTTATTAGAATACTCTGACCAAGATTATGCCTCAATGTACGTCCACTACAGCCTCCAGGATACGTTTCCACCACCACCAGTAACAATATCCGAATCAGATACCACTTGTTCATCCGCAACTCCTGGTACTATTCCTACAACTGGTGTTTCATTAACATCTGAAAACTCTCATCCAGATATGCGTTCAACCAGCTATTCAGTAAGCAAATCTTTTTTCACGTCGTTTCGTCCTACAACGTTTTCGACGGCCAAGAAATTTAGTAGTTTGAACTTTGCCTCGATATATTCAAACTCAAATGAAACAAATACTTTGGGTGGGAAAAGTGTCTCGTGTGGAGGAGCATCAACTTTATGCAGCCATTTGCCGGAACCTGGTAGCTCAATTCTGACGGATTTGGATGGAGGATACCTCTCAGGTGTACTTCCAAAGTTGACAAATACAGCCTGGGTTGGTAGCACACTTGTGAACTGTCAATGGATTTTCAGAACAACCACACCATGCCCTACGACCACTGAAGCTTTACCTGAACGTTGCACCGAACCAACAACTACTGTAGGATCAACAACTCCAAAACGGGATAGTGCTTCAACGCCTCTACCTACTCCTACAATACTAGTCCGGCTTGAATTTTCCCACTTGGAGCACAAAACGATTGTCACCTTAAACATATGGACAGTGTTCCTTGGAAAACCTGGAATGACTATTGATGTTTGCGGCAGCTCGCAAGCTCAAGTCTTTCAGGACGATAGGATAAAGCAAACGGACAAAGTAAATAGCAAAAACGTGCCTTGGCCCTCAGGTACTTTTGATTTACCTTCGGCAATTGGAAGTGGTTGCCACTACACAGGCACTCAAAGTGGACCTGGGAAAGTCATGTGCCCTGGAAAGACCATTTCTTGTGTCGCTGACGCGCAAAATGGAGAAGTAGTGTCGTGTGCTTCGAGCGCGAGTACAGATGACGGCGATATTACCCTTTCCCCGAAGGTTGTCTGTAAAATGACACCCTGAAAGAGGAGAGTGGTTTCAAGGGATCAAATGTTTTCCGCATAGGATTGCCTTCCAAGGTAGATGAGGACAAGGACCAGCATGGAAGGGCCATAACAGCAGGGCCATTATAGTAAGGTTGATTGTTTTACCGATAGTTCTACGGTCAGACAGATACAAATTGAGTACTGAATACAGACACTTATGGTTCTAAGCTAGTGCGGTCACTTATATGTTAGATTCCAAACCTCAAAACGAACTTTAAGCGTAAAGTAAAATATGCTGCTGGATTTAGCTGCTGACATAAGCATGACTGACCACAAACTGGTTTTCGGGTATTCATTCATATCCTCTTCTTAATATATATGTTAATATATATAACTTAATCTCTTTATACTAGCTTCGAGCGATATTCCATCGTATAATCCAGTCGTATCATTCTAACATATGGTCACAGGTTAGCGATATCACGTGTATGGATTACAGGATCCCTACCCTTCATTCACATATAGCACGTCACCAAAGCCTTTATATGCGTCAAACTAGGGTGTTAGTCAGCAATTAAAATATTAGTTGAGGTGTCTGGACCAAGTAATTAAAATTCAAAAGTGTCTGGTTTCATTAAATAAGCGTTCTATTAGCAATGGAAGACGAATTGAAGTGGAATTATTATCATCTCAAATGTGAGAATGTGATGTTTTAGGTAGCTTAATTGACCGATCGACCTGCCTAAAGATCACAACTATTATCTTATCAATTAAGAAAAAGCGGGAGAGTTGAAAGTCAATGCAAGGTTTTCCAAAACCGGGCTATGCTGGAGCTTGGTAGAGATGAGATAAATGCAGGTGGGGTGAAATGTTGCCAGACCAGGTGAGTTGCATAAAGTTGGAGGGACAGCTCACGTGGGCATTCTTGTATTGCTCTTAGACTATATTTTACTCAAAAGAATCCGCGTAAGAAAGAGTATCACAATTGGGAATTGGTGTTTATCTTGCGCGTCGGGTTGCATTTAGCACATTGAAAAGGAAAAAGGGACTTACTCTATACTTGGATATATACGTGTGGCATTCTGAAAGCTACGCGTAATGATAGGGGCTGGGAAATAAGCGAGGGGTCAATGTAACAAACCGAAAAGGTAGAATGGAGTGTTACACCGGCTAAGTCTTTGCTCTTACTGTAAATGAGATGGTATCGCAATCCCTTACGCTATCACGTGAATGTAACCAACAACAGGGGCTTTCCATGGATGAGACAGTTGGCGGACTTAAGGCATTAAAACTCGTTTACTCCAACGATTCTTTTTATAGACTGAGAGAGGAGGTCAATTTACCCACGGCTATAAAGCCCTTGTCATCCTTCTGGTTTGTAGAGATAACAAGACCAACTTTCTTCAATTTCAGCTCGCGCAACACCATTGAATCAAATCTACAAAAAGAAACTACCGGTATTTGAGTTTTACATCACATACGATCAGATAATTCGCACAAGCAAGCCATGTCGGCGACAGAAGCAGACTACATTATCGTTGGCGGAGGGCTCACTGGCTGCACACTGGCAGTAAGACTACATCAAGGCAATCCTTCGCTAAATATCATCATTGTTGAAGCGGGACCAGATGCTTCTGATAACCCAAATGCTAGTTCGCCCTTCGGCAGTTTTGCTCTTACAGGGTCTGACTTGGATTGGGCGTATCCAAGTCTTCCTGATGCCACAACAAATAACAGAGTTCATATCAACAATGCTGGGAAAGCTCTTGGGGGTGGGAGTACTAGTAACCAACCTTGTTCTTTGTCCCTCCACTCTGACTTGTTATGTTGCGAATCCGGAAGAGTATTTAATCTTGGTGAGCACTCTACTAATACTTGTAGTCAACTACGCCGGATGGTCTCGTGGGAACGCCGCTGATTACGATGCGTGGGGTGCAATCGTCGACGATTCTCGCTGGAGCTATGCCGGTCTGCTTCCTTTCTTCAAGAAATCCGAGAAGTATTTTGACAAGAAGGCCGATCCCGAGCAACACGGTTTCGAGGGTCCAATTCATATCATCTCAACCTCGGCCAGCGATCCTGATCGCCAGTACGGCCTTCGGGAGCCATTACTGAAGGCTTGGACGAACATTGGAGTGAAATACAATCCCGATCCTGTCGGCTCCACGGAAGGAATTTCAGAATACCTTGAGAACTGGAGAGATGGACAGCGACAACCTGCCCAGAAAGCGTATGGGATTGAAGGCATCACAGTCATTACAAACAAGCGTGTTAACCGCATCATATTTTCCAAGGATGAGGAGGAAAGGCCGAAAGCGTCCGGTGTTCAACTCAGCGATGGCAGATTTATCAAGGCCCATAAGGAAGTCATATTATCTGCCGGCACATTTGGAACCCCACAGGTTCTGATGCTGTCGGGTATTGGATCTGCATCAGCTCTCTCTGCGCTCGGAATTCAGGTTGTTCATGATGCACCAGAAGTGGGCCAGAACTTGTTCGACCACTTTGCACACTTTCAGCTGTGGAAAGTTCGCCATCCAGAGGAAGGTCTAGCCATGGGCAACCCAATCTGGAACAAACCTGCATACTTTAAAGGCATGCCCTGCGACTGGGTTGTGAACGAAAGAGTTCCATCCAACTTTCTGGAGAGGGTCGAAGAATCTACCCAGGATAGTGATTCGTCACTCTTAAAGGCTGGGGGGTGTCACATCGAGTCATCAGTCATATATGCACCTGCGGGTATTCCTGGATTGCCGATGAACGGCACCTTCATTTCGAGCTCAATCATGCTCCTCCTGCCCACGTCTCGAGGTGCTGTTACACTTGCATCGACCTCGCCCTCAGACCTGCCGCTTATAACCAGCAACTACTACAGCACTAAGGCAGATGTAGCCTGCCTTATCTATGGGACTCGGCGGATGTTGCAGGTAATGCTTGAGACGTCACCGGCTAAAGAGTATATTGAAGGCGAGGTAGCGCCGCCAGGGCAAGCTGAGCTTTCCCCTGACTCGTTGGATGAGGAAATCGAGCAGCGAATTAGAGCTGTGGGTATGTCTCACAAGCACGCAGCCGGTACGGTAGCAATGGGGAAAGTAGTGGGGTCTGATTTGAAAGTTTTGGGTGTTGGTGGCTTGCGGGTGGTGGATGGCAGCGTGCTCCCGGTGCCGATTGGCGGTCATCCACAGGCGACACTCTATGCCCTTGCTGAGCAGGCTGCAGATATCATACTAGATGAAGCTCGAGTTTGACTGCTCTTTTAGGAGGACTTATATAGTTGCGATTAAACAAGTCATCAGGAACAGTTGTGCCTGAATTCAAGGGTGCCCCAATGACATCTGGCTGTGATGTCGTCTTGGCGGGTCGTTCTTCATGTGTAATGCTAATGAGCCGAGCCTAATAAATTGCAATCTATGCATTTAGGCAGGGAATTCGGCATATAAGTCGGACTTACAAGCATTCAAATCTCTAAAATCTTAGTGGTAGAAGGAAAAATTGTTTTACGTTACTTCTTATGGATCTCAGATTTAGGCTATACTTATTTGAAGTTTTTCAGATAGAAACTTTTGAAACTCCATTGCATTGCATTTGCAAATGCAGCCCGAAAGCGAGAGTGACTTAGTGAAGCCTGAAAAAGACCTGAACGCACAGATACCCCACTTCTCGCCCCTAGCCCCTCGCCCTATCTGCAGGTAACTCTAGGGGGGTAAATCTCCTACTGTAGCGCGCCCGGCATTAGCGCAACTCCGTATACTGCATGTGTCGTATGCACATAAAATGTGGGGAACACATCAGACGAACCCTTGCTACAGTAGTTGATCACATGTTGCTACGGAGGACTCCGGAACATTTGAAACTGTGGAGCTTAGCCTACATCGTTGGAGCTGTATAACTAGTTCTGACTCTAAATTGACCCTATTTACTCTATAGTGGATCATGTAGCCAAGTTGATTAACTCATATAGTCAAGGAGCTTGAGGAAACGCAACTGAAAACTAGATACTTTTTGCGGAGAAGGCGATATAACACTAATATAACACTATAGGGGTTAAACATTGGTAAATGGCCAGTTCCATTTCGATGACCTGAGAAAATCATTAATGTAGCCTATAGAACCCTTGTAGTTCTAACTGTACCTATTTACCTCCGTAGGTAACGAAGGGTTCGTCCGATACCCCCTGATCCACCTAGGGAACAGGCCCCAAATATGCAGGTAATCTGTACTACGGAAGATGACACAGGGGTAATTAGGCCTAGGGGTAATACAGCACTGAGTTGTCTACTCCGTGCACATGACTTCCAAGTGCTTGTAGGTGTTTAAGTGGATCCGACAAGGGCTATACAAGGCCTCCCGCTTGTGCGGAACGCCTTCTTTCGGAGCTCTTATCCAGAATGATATTTATTGGCTGCACCTCGCTGGGCCTTCCATACAAAACTACCGAATTGCTTCATCCCGAGCCAACAAGAACCCTACGCACAGACCCTTTTTATGCCGCTGGCATCACGGTCTGAGCTTCTGAGTACGGAGCACAGTATGGAACCTGCAGGTAGGGCTGTCGGGGCGGGGACCTCCGTGCACCTACGTTCGAACTTCCGTAGTAAGCTAGACACTCCCGAATACCGAGGGGCTTCGAACTTGATACGCTTAACATGTCTCATACATTTCCTATACGAGAATATGTGCCGTAGAATGAAACACAAGCAGCATAAAGATCTCTTCACAATATTGCATTTTATCTTGCATCGCATGCCAAGCAATGCGTACCCCTGTCCGCCCATGTATCACTATAGCTTTGAAATGCTTGAATCTTGACCCAAGAATCTTGAGGAATGCTTTGTCAACATGCCCCAAATCTGCCATCCTTACCTTCTACATGAGGGAAGACCTCCGCAGTTCTGTATGTTATCTACATCTAACAAACAAGGATAACTTCGCTAGCGTGGGTGGTTACACCTGTACTCCATACCATTGACGAATCAAACCTTTGCTTGTATGCGTTCACCAAAACGGGTAATTGTGTATCCTTAGTCGACCTTGAGATTATTACTCGATAAGTGCTATTGCACTTTTCTATACCCAGACGGTTCCGAAGTACGGAGTAAAGACGCATCTTTCTTGAAACCACCAACTCCTGCGAAAAATCAGCGGCCATGGACCATGAAAAGGATTTCGGTGTAGAGCAACATCTTCTAAGTCAAAACCAAGACAATGATTCGAAAGAGATCATCAGCTCGTTTCAACTACAGCACAAGCGCCGTGGTATTTGTTCCCGGCTGACTTTTGTGAATGTATCGATTTTCTTGTTGACAATAGCTTATGTGCCTCTGATCATAATATCTTCATTGCTTTATCATCGACAGACGGAATCTAGTAATTGTCTTGATCGCCCCCCTTCGGATCTATTTCCCTGTAGGTGAATCCCCATAAGAGAGATTGCGTATACGAGTACAAGAGGCTGATGAAATTCACAGCGCTCGCTGAGAGCTCAGCAGTGAAGTACGAAACACGAACATTTCCTGTAGCTTTAGAGGGGAATCCGTTTATAGGAGATCCACGACCCGAACTTGAGAGCGCATGGCATGAGCTATTCGAAGGTATGTAAATTCTCCGAAAGTTGAGTATAAGTTCATGATATGGCCTTAATTGACACTTTCCAATGAGCAGATATCAGATTTTCAGCGCCGCAGAAGGATCTGGATTATTATAACACAACGTCTATTCCACTAGCTGATGGATCGGGATACGCAGTTGAGATGGGAGTTTCGCATGAGCTGCATTGTTTGGTTAGTAATTCATACCCTATTTGGGCTTTTCTAGAGATCTTTCCCTGGGAGAAGAGATAGAAAAGTCAAAGATATATCAATATTTTGTTGGCGGATACTGAAAACGCAACAGAAAAAAATCAGACATTATGTTTATAAAGACCATTACCTTGTCAATGAAACAGAAGAGGAGCTTGTAGAATGGAAAGCACATATTGGTAAGATATTGATCCCCCAAAGATAAAAAGTAGAGACATCAATTTAGAAAGCTGATGACATGAAAATAGATCATTGTATGGAGATGCTGAGAGAAGCCATCATGTGCAGAGGAGACCCGTCTCTAAGCACTTTCACGTGGCTGCATACAGATCCACCAGCACTCACGGCTGTTGCTGATGGGCACCATCGATGTGTAAATTGGGAAAGTCTTTCGGCTTGGGTAAGAGCGCGTGCTGTACCGATTTTTGATCAGGGTGTTCTTCTTTCTAAAGATGAACAAGATAATCTCTAAGATCAGAATCAAGTTTTTCTAGAAGTATGAGTCTAACGTAATAAAAAATATTATCTTCAAGAAGCTGTCCTTTGCATCGTATAGAAGAATTTATTATGTCCAAACTAATGTGCCATTAGAGATATAGACGGTTCTAGCCTCAGTGTCTGGTAAACTCAGAGGACTCCGTCCACCTGTGCTCTGTTCAATCTTTTAGAGGTAAAAGAAAAACGTACATTTACCTCAAGAAAATTCAAAATCACATAAAAAACATTTGCTGATGGTTTTTGTTTCAACGTATATTTAGGAAAAAGCTAAACGCAATAATCTATCAAGATGCAAAAATACCCACTACTCCAGAAACATTAATTACCACTACACCTTACCAGATTCCTTAATCTGATCATCCCACTTCCTATTTACTTCTGCCCATTCCTTGACCTCGTCAAAGTTCCGACACGTCTTATCAAAGCGCCACCCCGTCACGCCACCCAGCTCAAAATCCACAGGCTCCAAATTTGTATCTGCGGCACACATGAGTGCTTGGCGAAGATAATCAAAACAGTGGCGGAGATGGTGTGGATCTGGTCGACTGTTGTGGTCGTGAACCTCGTACATAGCTTCGATATTGCCATTCAGAGCGGCGTAAAAACCGATACGTAGGATATTCTGGGTAGGTAGAAGGCGTATTAGATAGATAGGGAGATAATGGGATGGGGAGGATAATGGGAAAACACCACATACAAGGCAATGGAGCTCGTGGAAAACTGCGATTCCGGAGATGTTAGGGGATATTTCTGGATGCTGTATAAAACCTTTGCCTTCTGAAATGAGAGTTAGCAGTGTTTTAGAGAGCAAACTTTTGCTGTGGGGGAATTGGACGCACTAGGGAACAGATCATCCCATGCTTCGTTAATCTCTGGTGTTGGCTCTAAAGTATAGGTCTGGTTGTAAATCATTGGAGCTTGGATGTTTCCAGCTGGTGCTATAGACCGCAAGCTTAGCGTTTGATCATGTTCCGGTTTCGAGCTATTTCTTACCTAGAAGTACTCGCTTGGGTGGATTTTGACTACGAGCCCCAATGCTAAACGCGGAAATACTGGAGATGATGATGCTGACTGTAAGGAGAAGAAAGACTTGAGTCCGCGACCATTGCTTTGTTCTTTTCTCTCCGAGTTGAATATTAGTCTCACCGATCTCGCTATCAGAGGTTTCGACAGGACTGTAACTGTCTACGTTCTTTGATGAAAACAAGGAGAGAGCCATTGTCGAAGATTGCGAAGATTGCGGCCTTGAAACTTCTAGATGAAAAGAGCTTTAAACATAAAAAAGTAAAAACACGAATGTAGAGATAAGAATGGGAGATAGTCTTGCTTCCACCTGCATAAAGCGCGTGGGGTCATTCAGTCGAATTCTCGTAGCACGCCAACACATACGCAGTACTAGCTCGAAGTATACGCGGCAAATTTTAGCTTGGTGAAAATGTCCTGTCGTGATATATGCAACCTTGTAGTAAGGTACAATATTGATATTGCTTGCATGATGGTAAGCCAATGGGTTATGTGTCATGCAGATGAGGGGGGACAAATCGGACGAACTCCCTGTTAGCGTAACTTTATCAATAAGGTCTGCCCCCTCAAAAGTCGTCAACAGTAAACCTTGCACTTTATCTTTTGTGGCTATTTCTCTTTTCAGCGTCCTGATCTTATTTTAGCCTGTTTTCCTTATCGGTCATTGATTAAAATATCATGATTGATCCTTTTTATGGCTAGGCTGACCGGAAAGAATTTGAATCTACCTGATGAGAAAGTAGATTTAACCTTAAAACTACTAGCGAGATGTTCATCCGATACCCCCCCCCTTTACGAAGCGGCAACGACACACAGGCGGTGAGAGAAACTTTGATATCTAAGCGGTAGGAGATTCCTTTTTAGCTTAGTTTGATTGACTTCCCTAGCTATTAAGATTAGGAAGATTGTCTGTATATTTTGTTTGTTGAAACATATTACCCGAAGTTATTTGTATAAGCAAAGCAATCCCTTTTAAGATACATGACCAACAACTGAGCAGATTCCTCACTCCCGCCATACACCAAACACATCACATCAACATTACGTCAGGAAACATCATGAAGTCTCTGCAACTCCTCCAATCTCTTCTGCTGCTTGGTAGTTTTGCTTCTGCTTTCCCTACAGGAAATGGTCAGTCCCCATCGAGTTAATGGAAACCTCAGGAATTTTCAAAAGCTAACGTAAACAAGTGAACCTCAAGAGAGCCGAGACCGTCGATGGTGACGACCAGGTCGTCTACACTTGGTCACTTCCGGACGAGAAGGCCAAACGTGCTGAAACTGTCGATGGTGATGACCAAGTTGTTTATACCTGGTCCCTGCCGGACGAAAAAAGCAAGCGTGCTGAAACCGTTGATGGTGATGACCAAGTTGTTTATACTTGGTCGCTTCCTGACGAGAAGGCCAAACGTGCTGAAACGGTAGACGGTGATGACCAAGTTGTTTATACTTGGTCCTTACCAGATGAGAAGTGAGAGGGTATGGTTGCTGAGGAAACGTGGCTCAATCTTAGTTTGCTCTGAATTGATGGCTCTTTACTTTTCTTTTGGAGATTTATAAGAAATTGAGAGGTGGAGGTAGAGAATGTCAGAATTTGTAACGTGTGCATATTTGAACTCGTGGAGATAGCAAGATGTGATTTTTTCGTTATTAGGGTTGGAAAACTTTAGCATTCGTGGAGTCAGAGCTCTTATTCAAGCCCTTGACCACCCGATTCCGTTACAAATATGAGTTATAACAAGAGATTACACTTTTTGCCCACAACCGTGTTAGAGGAGCCGAACGAAGTGAAGAGACTTTTTATCGACAGACACAGCTGCTAGGCTCGCATTTCTCGACCGAGCAGATAATACTGCGACGGGGACTCGGGAGAGTGAGATACGCTAGCTAAGAGCCGTTGCACCCATCAAGGGGCTCAAATGCTATGTACAAAAAAGCAGTAATTTTTAGAAGTTAAAGAGAAGGCGGGCGTATCAAAAAGGCGCTGGATATGATAGAGACATAGTCAAAGACGTAGTTGAAGAAGTAAATTGATGCTATCCAGGAAACTCTTCTCTTATGCTGGTCGGCGTGGCGCATCCTGCAATACTAATTGAAAGAACGATTGCTACTGGATATATCGTTCTGCACACGAATGACACCTGCCCTCGGAAGCTTACTCTCGTCAAGCTCAATTCCCTCAATATGCGTCTGAACAAAAGGCGTCCCCATTGAATCCGCCGTATCGCTTCTAGAATCAAAACCCTTCGAACGACTCATTTGAGTGCTACTGAGCCCCGACTTCGATTGATTCTTCAGTGTTCCTTGGCTTGACAACGAGCTCCAGTAAGATGACATTTTGGTCCATGGTCGACTTCTGGTTTGAGTGAAAATAGGTCTCAGTGTCGGCAGGCACGCGGCGATTATTCCTAGCGCCAGCTCTATAACAGTCCAGAAAAACACAGGTGAAGTATAATCTGAAGAAGAATTAGCAAAGAACCTTCCCAAATAGTAAGGAATACTTACAAGTCTCGTCATTATAATGAATCTGGAGCACACTTCCGATTTGAACGAAGACTACTATACGGGTAACACTTGCTGCACAGACACTGCAGTTATTAGTTTACGATTGGCCAAGCAAGAACGCGTGAATCATAAAACTTACGTAGCACCGAGAAGAAAGATGCCCATGACAGCAATCTTTTGATTCAAAGGAAGATGCAAGTTCATGACTGGTTGAATAGGCATGGACAAGATGGTCAAGTCTAGCGCAATATCCGTAGCCGACTCCGAATACCACATAGGAATAGTATTGATGCATTTATTTCCATAGAACTGTTCGACCAGGGCGGTTACGGGAACGCAAGTAAAGAGGTTCGTGAAGAAGAAGGCGATTGTCCATGCGATGACTATGCCCACCAAAATTCTGCCGGCCAGACGAAAAGAGCTTGTTGCGAATATTCTCATATAGAAGAATAAGATAGAGGACTTCGTCAAACCGAGTCCGATTACGGAAAGCATTTGTAGGGCAAATTTGCACTAGAAGTTGGAGGTTAGCCCTAGATTTCTGTTTGACGCTCGAGTAATTGTCAACCTACTCGCTCATATTTCAAGAACCTTGGATCGTCTAATATAGGCATGCCATTTGAGGCATCAGTTTGATGCTGCCCTAGTTGCCCATCAATGGCAGCTGCAACAGGGTTAGTTGTGGGATGTTCATTCAGAAAGCACAATAGCCTCACCTATGAGTTGGACAACGCAACAAGATATTGAAAAAGCCTGTTCGGAAGTCAGAGATACAAGAGCGAGCCAGAATCGCAAACAAACTTACGCATGCTACGATAATCAAATAGTCGTCAGTTCCCAGCTTTGCGCCTTGAATCCTTCTCGCAAAGAGCCTCGCACCCACGAAAGCGGCAGGCAGGATAGTAAATGCAACGCCCAGCCCAATCATCTGGGACTGAGAATAATTGTAGCTGCTCATTTTGGCGGACTTGAAAGTTGTGTGAAAGTTACGCCCGATTGGAGTATATTGAAGAAAGACAAAATAAAATTTGACGTGAAGTGAAAGTAAGCAGTATTAGTAGTGGTTAAACAGGACTATATGTTTGATTGCTGCACGTCTCTGCTGCACGAGACGTATGGTATACCAACATAGCTTAAAGTGATGCTTCGGGCCTCCTTCCCTTTCTCCCTTTCTCCCTTGTTTTATCTTTACTCCCAGGACAGACCCGCTGAAACCCCCATTTTCTCTTCGCGTGGCCGCACGTGTATTATGATCACCTGATATATTATTCATTTGTAACCAATTAAAACTAAAAAGATTTGAGTTGGAAAATTTCAACCTTGTTTCACAGGCGGGCGGAGGAGACGGACTTGGAAGGTAAGCCATGCATAGACCATTGCATACAGCAGGAGCCGAGGCTGGCTACTTGGGTGCATAATATTGCCGGCGGTTAAGACAGAAAGGGTGTGTATTCATACGAATTCAAACTCGTCCCGTGTGGCGTATTGCAATATGCAACTCAGTCCTTGAGATGGCGCGTTCATTTGGGGTTCTTTTACGGAGGTGCTACCTCGAACTTACCCCTATGGCTATATCACAGGATTCTAAGGATTTCAATATTGGCGGGGGCTTTGTTATCGACAAGCCTGCAGCCCAATCAAACAGATGGCTGACAATACCCCTGGTGATAAAGGCTATATAGGCAGCTCCGGGTATGCAGGAAACTAGTACTTGCAATATGCATGACAGAACGGAAACTAGACCCCACACCCTCACAATCACCTGCTCGTCCACGTCCACGTCCACGTCCACGCCCACCGAACCGAGGTGTTAGTACCCACTGATCAAAGATCTATCAACAACACGTCGTATTTCGTACTCCGTACATCGTGGTCAAAGAATCCACTTGCACGGACCGCGAGGCAAACTGCGATACAGACGGTCTGTGCGAGGCCTAGGACAAAGCAATGTACAGTACAAGGTGTTCCTGGATCTCAAGCACGCAATAAGTTCCCTTCCTCGGATAAGCAGATGGCAAATGACTTATCTTTCAGCAGGGCCCCCCTTCTTACTCACCTGCCCCCTTCGTTCCATGCTCCCGAGTTTACTGCTCGTCTTCTCGCTTAACTCTTATTCGTGCGGCTTGAGTTAGTCCCTGCTCTGACCCACAAATGTCTTCGTCTTCATTACAGACCGTGTTGATAACTGGTGCGAATAGAGGTAAACAACTTGAATGTGGAAGATATCTTGTGGCATATAGCTAATCACATATCTCAGGTATTGGGAAGGGTATTGTAACAGTGTATCTTTCAAAGTCTGATGTGACGGTCATTGCGGCAGTTCGAGATTTGGAGAGCATTTCAACTAAAGCCCTCTCGTCCCTGCCGAAAGCTAAAAATAGCTCGCTCATAACGGTGAAAATAGACAGCAGTCTAGAACAGGATGCCATCGCCGCCGTGAGGACACTAGAATCAGAGCATAGTATCAGCAAAATCGATGTTGTTATTGCAAATGCTGGCACTTCTGCCTCCCTGGGTCCCGTGGCAAGTATCACCGCCGAACAAGTGTTGGATAACATGACAGTAAATAGTCTAGGTAGTATTTTGCACACTTCTAAGTACTTTTTACAGTATGTAGATATGACTAACTTGAACATTCAATAGGACCTCTGTTTCTCTTCCAAGCCACTCTTCCACTTCTGCAAAAGTCATCGCAGCCAAAATTTGTGGTGTTGGGTTCACAAGCCGGCAGTATTAGTGCCATGGAGAAAGCTCCAGCCCCAATGGCGGCGTACGGCTCCTCGAAAGCCATGGCTCACTACTTCGTCCGTAAAATCCATTTCGAGCATAACGACATCATATCATTCGCTGTCGAGCCCGGGTAAGATCTTATTATATTGCTTTTTATAACAGCATCTGATCTCTTAGGTTTGCTCAATCGGAATCTGGAAATTCAATAGCGCAAAAGTTTGGAATGCAGGAAGCGGTTGTGCCTATTTCGGATAGTGCGAACTTTGTTGTTTCTCAAGTAAGTGCTGGTGGTGTATAACTTGACCATTATATGTCGATCGAGCTGATAGCATTAGATTGTTGTCGCTACCAAAGACACATTATCGGGCCATTTCCCTGCATTCCCGCGTGGCGAGTGCTTGTGGTAAGCTGATGCAAGAAAGACTCTCGTCGAGAGCCCACTGGCATAAGAAGTTGGCGGAGACTGGATCGATAGACTTGTTTTCAAGCTGTTGACATGACAATACTCTATCTATGCCGAACTAGTCTTGAGTGCTTTAAGGTTTCCTTCGGTAAATTGATTTCCGTCAATATCATCGCACGTGGCAGTATATTTGTAGATACGCGTTCGGCCTATGAAAACCTTTGTCGTGACCAGGTTGCGCCGGAGCTGTAACTTGAACGGGATATCTACAAGGGTTTCCACGTGGTTGCCAACCGCCGCCCCATCACAATGCATGGTAATATCCGCAGCTTTCGCAGACAATAATATTGAGGTCAGAAGTATTTGAAGGAAGCTCGCTCCGTTAAAATAACCTCGTCCTATTGAGCCTTCCACCTTGACCTACTGTATGTACTCTTGAGACACTATGTTCTTCAACAACCTCAACATCATTCAATTTGGTTTGCTGTTGCTTCAAGGCAGCACTACCTTCGCGAAACATATCAGTTCTCGAACCTGTAATAATTGCTCTTGCGCTATTGCAGAAACGCTAGGCCCCAAGCTCTCCGCTGGAGCTTCATGCTCCTACTCTACCGCGGCAGCACCGAGATGGAGTGAATTTGATGCTCCTGACCCAGGTCTTGTTGTGAATGTAGCTACTGAATCGGATGTCCTTATTACTGTAAAGACCCGCGATTTTCTCCCATTACTCCCCTCCACTCTCCCCCTCATCACATGTTTGAGGTTTATTGCTAACTCAGAATTAAGGTTCAATACTGCAATGAAAACAACATCAGTTTTCTGGCTCAAAATGGTGGTCACGGCTGGGGTCAGACTTTCCACCTTGGTCTTGAAGGTCTTCTGATCAACTTGGGCGGCCTGAATAGTACCACTTTCAATGCAGATAAGACAGAAGCAACCATCCAAGGCGGAGCATTGGTCAGGAGTGTTGTTGATGCAGCTTATTCAAATGGCGCACAAATCCCCACCGGCAATTGCAATTGTGTTGGCGCACTAGGCGCCATTCTAGGTGGAGGTTTTGGTCGTCTCATGGGACTTTACGGACTTGGTGTTGACAACTTACTTTCTCTCAATGTGGTCACTGCAGCTGGAACGCAGCTCACAGTAACACCAGAAACCGAGGAAGAGCTCTGGTGGGCTTTACGAGGCGCGGGTCCTAACTTTGGCATCGTCACGTCGGCAACCATTACATCTTATCCCGTGACAACAGCTGAGAATGGGGCTTGGGTCGGAAGCTGGATCTTTACAGAGGATCAAATCGAGGATGTCGTTGAAGCAGTCAACGATTTGGATCTTTTGCCAGAGATGGCTGTTTTCCTCTACTATGCAGTTTCGGATGGAACTCCAGTGGTGCTAGTCAGTGGTTCATATGCGGGAGCAAACAATAGTGATGGTCCGAACGCATTTGCTTCCATCACAGCCGTTGGACCTGTAGTGGAAGAAGCAGCTTGGTCGCCCTTCGATGAAGTCAATGCATCAGGCGATTCCTTTTGCGCAAAGGGGGGATATAAGCCAGCTTACGGTGCCGGACTCGCACAATTGGTGCCAGCAACATGGCGCTCAATTTGGAACGAATTCGTTGATTTTATAGCAATTAACGGCACGTCGGCCAGCACTGTAATGGTCGACTGCTACCCCATGGAAAAGACTCGGACTCTACCCGATTCCTCTTCGTCCTATCCTTGGAGATCCACTATCAATTGCAATGCTGCAGTTATTCCGTGGTATGATGATGCTAGCTTGAATGCTGCTGCAGTGTCATTTGGGAAATCTGTCAGAAGTTTGTGGTACGAGACCAGCGGGACAGCAACGAATGCAACGTAAGACCCACTTAGAAACTTTTACTGCACTTCCGCTAATCAAACAGGTATATCAATTATGCGGTAGGAGACGAACCATACTCTGTTGTCTACGGTGACAACTTGGCGACATTAGAAACTCTTAAGGGTGTATGGGATCCGACGGGGAAGTTCGACCAGTTTTTCCCTTTATAAGTCTGCCAACTTGACGTAAATAGACAGTACTTCTTATTTCCAAACGTATTTGCTTGTAATAATGTAATTAGATAAGCATCTTCAACCGCTCCCCAAAGATACTATCATTTCGAAAGTCCTGCGTAACATGCCCATGAATAAGCCTCCCCTATCACAGCATTTAAAGGTTAGGGTCCCAAATATAGGTCCAAGGCGCCTCGTTACAAGGTTATTGATGCTTGTTCTTCGGTTCCGGTGTACTGTATATGTAGTCTTTCCGCGATTGGATAGGCTATAGGCTGCAACCACTAGGTAGCAGCCACATCCCACTTACGAGTCAATTATAAGACGCTGCTTTACTGTTTATATACGGCATGGCGTCGGGAGCCCTAGCAGTTGAGAGGCACAGATAGCCGTCCCACATCTAAGCAATAAGCTTAATCCTCGACAAGTGGTGGGCACGCCTCTCATATAAGAGGTCTTGAGCTGAAGCATGAATAGCTTATCCAGAAGCAGAAAATACCTTGCTCTATTATACATTCAATATGACTTCACCCTCTATCACCGAGTTAGCTGTGATAATTTCAGAAAACACCGCCAAAGTTAATGAATATCTACTTGCCAAAGAACTTCCTCTGCCTTCTTTCAACGTTGACGCTCCAAACAAACCACTCATTGACCCCCAAGAATGTCCTGATGTTGAGGCTGCTAGAATTAAAATCATAGATGCTTCGCTGATGATGCGTGATCTAATGTTGGGACCGAAAGGACACCTCATGAGCTTCAACGTAAGTCACCGACTCTACTTTCATTCCGCACTGACAATTGAAAGCATGACTCGCTCCTGAGTATGCAAGCAATCAGTCAATTCAATCTGGTGTCGACGATTCCAATCCATGGGGAAGCTACGTTTGGTGAGATTGCCGAAAAAAGTGGTGTCAATGAAGGTGATGTGAAACGTATATTACGCCATGCTATGACAAACCGGATTTTTAAAGAGCCTAGTAAGGGTCTTGTTGCCCATACTGCAGCATCAAGGTTAATAGCAGAGGATACGCAAATGGCAGACTGGGTTGGCGCTAGTACCGGTGAGCTCTGGCAAGCGGCTGCACAAACAGTACATGCAATGTTGAAGTATCCTGGTTCTCAGGAACCTAATGAGACTGTATGATATTCCTTGCGTCCCCATCTCTTAATTTGAGCTGATTGTATAGGGGTTTTCACTGGCGAATAACTCTGATAAATCTACTTTTGCTATCCTCTCCCAGGACCCCAAAAGAGCAAAGCGGTTTGGGAATGCGATGAGGGCATATACTGAGGGTACCGGGTTCGATCTTCAATACGTAGCTGATAACTATCCATGGGCGGATTTCGGAAATGGTACTGTTGTTGATGTATGTGGTCTCGCACTTCCAAGTGTATTTCTAACAGCAGCAGGTCGGTGGTTCTCATGGATCTGCATGCATCACACTCGCAACTGCTTTCCCGAAACTTAATCTCGTCGTCCAGGATCTCCCTCAAGTAGTTGCAGGTGGTCCTGCAACCTTGCCTCTGGATATGGCCAACAAGATCGAGTTTATGGCCTATGACTTCTTGAAAGAACAACAACCTGTGAAGGATGCAGATGTCTATTTCTTCCGATGGGTCTTCCACAACTGGTCCGACAAGTACTGTATTCTGATACTACGCAACCATATTCCAGCGCTCAAAAAGGGGGCTCGAATTGTGATCAACGAATATGTATTGCCGGAACCGGGCGTATTACCGATTTATCAGGAGGAGAGGCTGCGATCGATGGATCTGACAATGATGGAGGTGCAAAATTCGAGAGAGAGGGACTTGGACGACTGGGCAAAGCTTTTCCGCGAAGCAGATGAGAGATTTGTCTTTAAAGGTGGGAAACAACCTGAGGGCTCATCATTATGGATTTTAGAAGTTGAATGGAAGTAATAGCGAGCGTGGAAAACGGGAGTCAATATCTGCGGAACTTTCTCTATAATTTACTACACTTGGAGTAAAATCTCAATCGTTGTTATTGTGAATAGCCAGACGTAACTGCTTCTGATTGACGAGAGAATAAAAGCATCAAGCTTTGTAAAGAGCAACAATCAAGTTCGTCCACCCAGTTACAATTAGAGACGAGCGGTGCTACCCATATTCGGCAACTATCCTTAAAAAAGCTCAAATCCCGCTGACATCATGGAAACAAAAGCGAGCAGATAAGTTACGCGGCATCCTAAGTAGAAAACAATAGATAGCCTTCATAAGCCTCCGCTTCCAGTCCACGAGAAGGCCCAGACAAGGTTTAGCGTGACGCTTGCGTATCTCAGGGGGAAATATTGCAGTCAGTTTCTGGATTCACGGCATGGCATGGAACAATTCAAAATCTGACAATGGGAAAGTATAGCTAAAAGTCAACAGGGTTATATTTGCATATTTTTGATATAGTAGATTTGCAATCTATCAAAGGAAATCGCTCAAAGCAATGCATTCGATGAACCACCAGAAATTTCAATAGGAAAAGTTCTAAAGAATCACCAGTATCAATTCCACTTGGACAGCGGGTCATGTTGAAGAGTTTGTTTATTTTAGATATCCAGGGAAACATCCAGCGTCAAATATTCATACTATTGCCCCCTAGCTTCCAGAATCTATCCCAAACTCCATAATTTCTAGGCGTTGAAGCCTTCTATTCCCCGCCCTCTCAGAACGCTAAATGCCAAATGAGTAATCAGAAACCTGCGCCTATAAATTGAATTAAATTGCCCAGCTAGCGTGCTTCATACTTTAGACTGCTTAACCAACCAACTCAATAAGTCAACCTTGGTAACGACAGCGACTGGCTTAGGTAGCCCATCACTATCGGCGTCCCCATTCTCTGTAACAATCGCAGCGGAGTTCCACTCGAAGAATTTGCTCAAAGCACTGATTGGAGTATCAAGTGTGATTTGAACAAACTTTCTCTTCGGCGTCTTCTGTTTCTTTTCTCCTGCCACATTTTGCTCAACTCCATTAGTCTTAGGAGCCTCGGCAAGTTTACTAATGTCTCGGGGGTCTGTGATCACTTCTGGGATGGAAGAGAAGTCAAACATCACTTCCGAAACGGGACTCTTGCCGCTTGCTCGGCCGCGACTGATCCAGCTTAGTAAGTTGCCTAATGTAACGAGTCCGACGAGCTTTCCGCCCGTTGGAGCGAGAACGGGAAGCTGGTCGAAACCCTTTTCGCGCATGGTCTCGACTGCTTCAGAGCAAGGTGAGTCGGCAAGGACTGTAGTAACAGGCTTGAGACGGAGAGAGCGGAGAGTGGCACCAGAGTAAGGATCTTTCTTAGATTTCGTGGTAGAGGAGAGGATTGGAGACGATGGGGTAGTGCTTGGTGGTGTTGAAGGAAGGAGGTCATTGGCTGCCAGCCAGTCGTCGTCGGCGAATTTGGAAAGGTAACTGCGGATGCTATCAGGGAGGACAACCACTATTGTGTCCCCTTTCTTGAGACCGAGATCCTTGACACCCTTGACCATCGCTGCGATTGCACTTCCACTGCTGCCACCAACCAGGAGACCTTCCTCTGCAATCAATCGTCTGGCATACCCAAATGATTCTCGGTCATCAGTCTTATACCAAACATCCACTGCCTTTTGATCCAAAACATCGGGAATGAAGTCATAGCCAATTCCCTCCACTTTGTATGCTTCATTCGCGTGCTCTTGGTTCAGACTTTCGGGTACGGCGAGGATTGAGCCGAAGGGGTCTGCTGCAATAACTTTGATATCTGGATTGTGCTTCTTCAGTCCTCGGGACAAGCCGGTTATGGTCCCACCAGTTCCAGCACCTGCAACAATTGCTGTAATTTTGCCATTTGTCTGTTCCCATATTTCTTCAGCTGTTCCAAACTCGTGCGCTAGTGGGTTGTCCTTGTTCGTGTATTGGTCTAGGATATGGGAATTCGGGATCTCTTTTTGAAGACGCCTTGCAACACCAATGTGGGATTCGGGAGAGTCAAAGGCAGCTTGAGTTGGGGTGCGAATGATCGTAGCACCCAATGCTCGGAGGACAGCGACTTTCTCGGGCGACATTTTCTCGGGGAGGGTAATAATGGTTTTGTATCCCTTGATGGCACCGACGAGGGCAAGACCAATACCACTAGAGCGTGTGAGTACATGAATACGTCGTCAAGCAGACTGGACTGTACGTACGTGTTACCACTCGTTGGTTCAATAAGGGTATCTCCAGGCTTTATCCTTCCCGACTTCTCTGCCTCCTCGATCATCCGCAGTGCAATACGATCCTTCACACTCCCGCCGGCATTGAACAATTCCACTTTCGCATACACATCGGCCTCGATTCCCAGACTTTGGGGTATCTTGTTCAGTCTCACCAGCGGGGTGTTGCCGATCAGCTCGGTGGCTGACAGGGCAAGCGCTGGCTTCACGGCGGGTTTGCTGATTGTTGACATGATGGACTTTTATTGAGTATCTTCAGGAAGCAGAGGAGGAGAAGGAGGTTGAAAGAATTTACTTTGCGGAAGTAGAAGTGGCGCAATTTTGGAGAATTGCGAGTAAAACAATTGAGAGGAATTGGCCCGCTGATAACCGTCCCGTCGCATGCAGCGTGGGGCAAAAAAATGACTTGGTCTAGTAGTAGTAGTAGTAATAGTAGTAGTAAGTGAACTTTAACCTACATATGTAAAACAATAATTTGATAGTAGAAGTGAGGGTACGAGGTTTATAATAAGCTACAATGAAAGAAGCAATAATACAATATGGTTGAATATGAATACGAAGCTGATCTCCGGTTTGTTCGTGTTTCTATTTTGGATAAGACCGCGCTCCGCGTTCCGCGCTAAAGAGCGGCTAATTCCAGGACCGTGATATCTTCCAACATCACACACATTATTACTTCAGTCATTATCATCGTCGAGGCCATCGCCATCAATTCTCAACTTCGCCTTCCACGACCCTCACACTCGAATTCAAGTCCTCGAACAAGTCACTCGTTTCGCACATAGAGCACCGGCCGTCGCCATGCATTTGTCAGGGGCCCTCGTTTTCCTTGCGACGCTCGCCCCCTTAGCATCTGCCGTACCGGTAATCTCATCTCCTGCTGCAGCCGCTTCAGTTCCTGGCGGGACGTCTTTAACAGTCGAGTGGGCGGACGATGGTACTGCGCCGGCTATCGCAGATCTCGCGAGCTATCAGCTTTTCCTATATTCGGGGTCGGGTACGGATCCAACACAACTATACGCTGCGGCTTCCGATGGCGTCTATACTACGGGGAACTCTGCGGTTGTGACTATTCCTGTTGGTGTAGGAGGAAGCACTACAAATGCATAGTAACCGCTACCGAAAGTCTCCAGACTGACTGAATGCTAACTTGGTAAAAAGCTTTTTTGGACTCATGTCGACGGCAACAGCTGGAGGGACCATCACTACCTACTCGAGTCGATTCACGCTTACTGGCATGACTGGTACTTTTGCGGCTGCGGTCACAACTGCAAATGCAGCTGTCACGGACACATCTCCACCTGCCACAAAGAACAACGTGGTCGACACTGGAAGTGCTGCTTCTGGCACGCAAGCTGAGGGGAATTTCGGAATCTCATACACACTTCAAACCGGCCTCACAAAGTACGCTCCTATGCAGCCAGTCCCTCCAACCGCGATCACGAAGACAGCTACCGTCCCTCTCAACCCTACATCTGCTGTTCAATTTGCCACCACCTTCCTACCAACCCCAAGTCAAGTTACTACCCTCACCCAATCGCAGACTTTCAGCGTTTCTAGTCACGCGAATACAGTATGGTTATTACCCAAAAGTCCCGTAGCATACTGCTGACATCTAAATAGGCGGCCACCCAATCATCGCCAACCCCCTCGAACGATATGCAAAGATTTTTGAACCGCTGGAAGGATTAAAGTCTGTGAGGTTAGCATTTGATATTTACAGAATCGGTTTGTAATATTATTGAAAGGCGTTGGAGTCAGGTGTTGGCTGGGAACTAGATCGGGTCGTGTTCAATTAATCAATAAGCATATAACAAAGTTGTCATCGATCCTGGGGTGATTGCCAAACAATATTCAATCCATCGGAGAGTCAAGCAATTGCTAAAACTATGCGGTTAAACTATGGCGCTTGCTAAACGAAAATAGGAACTTGCGATCAACTTGGCCATCATTATGACTGCTCATCGATAACCCAAACATTGAAAATTGGAAACTTTGACACCATATTGCTAAACATATAAATACCTGTCAAGGGTAAGCTGCACCCCACGATCATGTAGAGCAATCGTTTAACCGCGTCATGTTAGGATTGCACACTTCTTTCCTCAACATGCCCACCATGTACACCATTGTCGAGATTCCCAACAAGGGAAAAGGCATGAGAGCGACCATAGCAATTCCTCTCGGGACCCGAATACTCTCCGAGAGCCCAATTGTCGAACTCGGCGCAAACCAAGATGATGCGGGCATAGCTAAGGCCATGAAAGACCAACAATTAAGCCAAGAGGATACCCGGGCTATTTTTTCGCTCCAGAACAGACTCGAAGGGAGCTCGACACCATTGTTAGGGATAGTCGAAGTGAATGCCATTCCTTTAGACTCCCCTACCACCCGACGATATGGCTTATTCAAAGACGCACACCGAATTAATCACAGCTGCCTACCCAACGCGTACCTCACCTGGAACACCGCCCTGCATAAAATCACTGTTCACGCGATTAGGGATATCAAATCTGGCGAGGAAATCACCAGGACCTACGGCAACGAGTTCTGGCCATATGAGACCCGCCAAGCACAAATCCTATTCCATTTCAACTTCAAATGTATTTGCGAGCGATGCATGAAACCGCTTGAGATACGGGCGGCTGCCAATGCAATACTCAATCACGCGATGGAAATTGAGGGAGCCAACAACGATGCGCCCTGCAACTACTTGGTGAACAGTCCCGAAAAGTATCTCACCAACGCCAAGGTGACCCTTGAGCTTCTCACGGAATTGCGGATGAGCTTTACTTCTCTGGGATATAGGGCATACGCACAGGCGTTCAAGGTTGCTATTGCTCATGGCGATGAGGCGCGTGCCAGTGTGTTTGCCAGGAAAGCTTTCGAGACGCGCAGGATCATGGAAGGGGATGATAATCCCCAGGTACTGCAGATAGAATTGTTCATAAAGCAGCCAGCTACTCACCAAGGCTATGGAAAGCTTAAGAACATGCAGTGGAAACAGCCGCTATGCAATGTGCCAGAGGACTTGGGGACTGGAAAGTTTGAGGCTTGGTTGTGGAGTCCGGGATGGCTCGGCAAGTGGGGTTGAGAGTTTGTGGGCTGCGCTTGTAGATGTATGATACATTGCGATATATTGTTCTGCTCTTTGACCTTTGCTGGAGGAGCTCTGCGCCGCCTGTCTCGTTCTTCTGGCAAAAGCATCCATACCCAAGGAACTTTGTTGGCGTCACCGTTACTATTCCTACCGTCGAGGATGAATCTACGGATACACATGTCTCGTAATTAGATCTGACCGCGGCTGTCAAAGTCCAAATTGGAAGTTATTGCGATATTGAAGATTGTGTTTGTATTCTCTCGGTGGCATATTATTTTCCAAGGCAGTGAAGTTGCCTCTATACCAATTGAATAAGAATATCCGATGAATTCTCATAGCTATATTTCTATTGAACCCAGATCTCCTTCAGCTATGTGGGATGTAGACGTTAAAGAATCGGTCTAAGAATAAGAAGTAGATCTTAGCGGATATCGCGATTTCTGATCGTTATCACGAATTGGATAGAGATCCACTTAACAATGGCTGCAAGGATGCTCATTGGTCAAATACAACATCCTTCGGACCTCCCGTCGCTAAAGTTACGTTTGATGTCAATCCTGGAGGACCACCAGTTGACGCGTGCAGAAGTAAGAAGCCGCATTGCTGCGAATAATGTGGGGGCATTTTCGGAATTCGTCGAGTTTAGTGCTAATATAAAGTAAGAATAATGCCTCTTGTTTGGAGAAGCCAAATTTAGAACTGTATACTCCTTAGGTCAGAATCCCTCACGGGTCCGAGCCTCCACCACCTAGCACCAAAGACAACGGATGCGCCGTCTTTATGACATATTATTTAAATATATCGCCATTAATTTGTGGGACCATTACAATGATACGCCGGAAGTGTATTCTAGGCCCCGGACATCGATCCTTCTGTTATCTTCCGCGAAGAATAAAGTTATTATGTTCGCCGCAAATCTCTATCATATTCGTTCATCTACATGTTCTATTAGATTTATTATAGCTCTCTATATTCGTTCGTGGATATCGCCCATAGCACGCCGTCATGGCTTCCGAGATCTACGAGCTCAATGATTCGACCCATCGAGGTACAGCACCGAGCGCGAACACCGACTCGAAGGAGAAAACCAATCCGGATACTATAACAGAGGCATTGGATAGTGGGTCGAACTCGTCGTTGGAAAGAGGAATCGATGAAGACGACAGTAAAGTACCTATACAAAGGGCAGAAAAAACAGAATTAGTACCAAATGAGGCCTTCCATTGGAACGTTGATGGGGATCAATCGCCATGTGAGTGCCCTTATAAGGGCAACCCAATCTGACTGCCGATGAGGCTGATGTGTGTTATTAGTTCCCGAGGTAGCGGCTTGTGTGTCTAACACGGACGACCCAAGCACCCTTTGCAATAGTGAGTATCTCAGAACCCCTCGGAAGTTTTTCAGTGTTGACTGATGATGCCTCAGCTGTCCGAGCTTGGATTCTCACCACTATATTTGTTATGCTATTCTCTGGCGTCAACGAGTTTTTCGGACTTCGCTATGTACGCTCTGCCTTCTGAGAGTGTTGAATTGTGTACTGATATATCTTAGCCTTCCCTCTCGATTGGTTATGTTGTAGCCCAACTTCTCGTTTTCCCCATCGGCCGGGCCTGGGAGAAGCTCCCCCGGTGGAGAGTCCCTTTGGGCATGTTCACCTTCGACGTTAATCCTGGAAAGTTTTCCATCAAGGAGCATGCTCTAATTGTCATTGTGAGTTCCACCCACTTGCTCGCGCGCCATCCTTCATAGTTCTAACTTTATGATCCGCCAGTGCGTCAATGTTAGTGCCAGCGCTGCCTACGCCAATGGATCGTTGGTCGCCATCATCAGCCCTCAGTATTGGAATCGTGACTACGGCGCGGGTTTTGCTTTCCTCTATCTCTTGACTACCCAGATGCTCGGGTGAGTTGTGCTATGCATTGTCCCTCTTTCAGCTGGTGTTTGACACAGCCTGTCAAGGTGCCGCTCTTAAAGCATTATTCCTAACAGTGTCATCTAGGTTTGGCCTTGCTGGCCTGGCACGCAGGTGGCTGGTTTACCCCGCAGCTCTCATATGGCCCAGCTCTCTCTCCTCCACGGTCCTTTTCCGAGCGCTTCACGAGGGCAAGCAGGACGACTCCTCCGCCAATGGCTGGACGATTACTCGCTATCGTTTCTTTGGATATGTTACTGCATTTGCGTTCGTGCTCTTCTGGTTCCCAGATTATATCTGGACAAGTCTAGGCACATTTGCGTTCCTCACGTGGATCTTCCCACACAACCAGAAGGTCAACACGATATTTGGTGTAAGTCGCGATTTTTGAATCAAGCGTGATGGTGAAGATGCTAATGTGAGCACAGATGAACTCAGGCCTGGGACTACTTCCTATCAGCATCGACTGGACCCAGATTACTTATGCAAACCCTTCTCCCCTCACAACACCATTTTACATCTCTTGTAATGCTTTCGCCGTTGTGGTGATCTTTTATATTTTCCTGTCCCCAATTCTATACTATACCAACGTGTGGAACAGCTCATAGTAAGTGCCCACATGCCCACCATTTTGAGATATTTAGGACTATCATGTTCGGATACTTTCAAGTTCCCACTAGATTCGCAAAACTGATCGTGTGGGTAGCCTTCCACTCCTGTCCTCGAGTACATTTGACAATACCGGCAAATCGTACAACATTACGCGTGTTATCGATTCGAACCTCAACTTCCTCGTGGATAAATACGAAGCCTACTCCCCCATGTATATTTCCATGTCCTATTCGATTTCGTACGCCCTCTCGTTCGCTGCGGTGACCGCTATGGTCGTCCACACCTATCTTTACAACGGCTCTGAGATATGGGCCAGATTCAAGAACTCTCGTAACGGTGGAGAAGACATACACAAGAGACTAATGAACAAATATAAAGAAGTTCCGGACTGGTGGTATATGATTTTGACGCTAGTGGTGCTGGCCCTCGGTATTGTGACGGTTCGAAATTGGGACTCTGGCTTGCCAGTTTGGGGGTTTATCGTTGTATGTTTTGGTATGGGTGTGGTGCTGATTATCCCAGAAGGGATTTTGGAGGGAACGACGAATCAAAGAATGTTAGTGCAAAATCTTGAGACTTGGTTACGCTTGTCCACCTACTAACGAGAGAATTGCAGCTTCCTTAACATCATCACGGAGCTCATCGCAGGGTATGCATGGCCCGGAAAGCCAATTGCCAATATGATGGTCAAGTGCTACGGGTATAATTCCGTAAAGCACGGCATGGATTTTGCCCAGGATTTGAAGCTCGGGCAGTACATGGTACGTCAAGCCCCTTTTTGTGTGCATACAGAAACGATCACTAACCCTGGGGCGCGTAGAAAATCCCTCCCCGTGTCCTCTTTGTGGGCCAGATATATTCTACGATACTCGCAACTATGACTCAAGTCGGTGGTAAGCACATACCCCCAAAAGAAAAAGATGGACGGCGATTAAATTAATGAAACAGTACTTCGATGGATGATGGGTCATATCCCAAATCTATGTTCCCCGAAGAACACCCAACGCTTCACTTGCAACGCCGCCAAAGTATACTACAGTACCTCTATCATATGGGGCTCTATTGGTCCCCAGAGGATGTTCCAGTCCGGGCAGGTGTATAGCGGCATTATGTACTTTTTCATCATTGGGGTTCGTCGTGTCCTTCCTTGTCTATACTAATTGACGGTTGCTGACTCGGACTCTGTAGCCGGTGGTGACTCTTCTCGTCTGGCTAGTTTATCGCAGGTATCCAAACAGCTGGGTGCGGTACATCAACGTCCCGATCTTCTTCAACGCCGCAGGCAACATTCCGCCTGCCAACACTAGTATGCTCTTCAGTCTGCTACTTGCTTGCCCAATGCTAACGAGGTGTAGCTCAATATTCGTTATGGTTTATTTTCGGATTCCTGTTCAACCACCTCATCCGCAGGCGCGCTTTTGCATGGTGGAAGCGGTACAACTGTGAGTCCCTTTGCAACCTACGTTCTCGTCTTTACTAATTGTGGTAAGATCTGCTCCAAGCTGCGATGGACACTGGTACCGCGCTAGCAACCATTATCATCTTCTTCTGCCTGAGTTATAACAACGTCAAGTTGAATTGGTGGGGCAATACTGTTGGATCGAATACAGACGACGCGAACTCGGTGCCATGGTTAAAGGTAGCCAAGGGTCATCACTTCGGGAAAGGGGTCGGAGAGTTTTAATCAACTCGCTATAGAAATCATGTCATTTAGAACCAGGGAGATAGGGTAGTAGGATCTGACTACTACCTTATTTAGGGCAATTTTATCATTACCATCCAGCTTTACGATAATGCAGCCGCCCTGTGAGCGTTAGCTAGTTTGTTCCTACCAGATTGAAGAGGGAGTGATGGCGCTAATACTAGCGCGAGACTTGATGCTCACGCCTAAGGGGCCGTTTGCTGCAGAAATTCCAGCTGATTTATCTTTTGCAAGTGTAAATCCCCGAACGGCATCTATGGTGCCTGTTTTATTGCACTTTTTATGTCACGAAGTGAGAGCTCAGGACTGTCAGGAAAAATCATTTCTTATTGCATGGATTGAGGTATCATGACCGCATCCGAAAATCTCGCTGCATTTCACCTCGAAATCAATGTTCCAATGCGTCGGGTAATGAGAACTCGATCTCAACGAGTCGCAACACCGAGCTTCACTGCAAACGCCCGTCGCAAGTTATCTCCCGCCAAACTGCCAGAATCATGACGCTGAATGACCAACGCCTCCACCACCAATGTCCATCACTCAGCTGAGCTACCACCAACTCTCCTTACTCCTTGAATATTATACCAGGTAGGGTGCAACAAGTGTTATATGCCTGAATAGAATAGTCAGCCTATAGAACTTCAGAAGACGGCTCGTGCATAGCTACTTACCGGACCACCACAGCCACCGCAGCCACCGTGACAGAATTTGCAGTTAGAAGTGCAGCAGAGTTGAGCAAGCGGGGCTCTCTCCTCAACGGCGGTTGAGTCGGCTCTAGCTGGGAGAGATGCAGGCTCATCGCGGGCAGCAACTGGGACGTCTTGGGTTGGAGCCAGTGATTCAAATGTCTCCGCATCAATGACTGTAACAGACTCTCCTTGCATGTTGAAGACCTGTTCGGTCCCATCCGCGTCCTTAGTGAGAATGGTTGCGCAGCAGGCGCGGTAGGGCTGCTAAAGATATCAGGCTGTGTAGGGTAGTTGTAAGGCAGGGCCGAAGGGGAATTTACTTACAAAAACGCAATGTGAGATTCCACCACATGTGGGGCGACAGGCTTTGCAGCCAGGGAAACAGCATTTGTCATGTTGGACTGCTTGACCAGCATCGACCTGGACGCCTCTGGATTGGAGTAGTGCGATGACATTGAGACCGGCGGCGGCCGGAATTGGTTCGGCACAAGCGAACTTGAACAGAGTGGCAGTGCCAGCAATGATTGCGAGAAGGAGGTTGAGGAGTTGCATGATGACGAGTTTGTTGTTGAGGAGAGTGGTATTGAGTTGAAGTGAAACTAAGATGCTTGGATGTTATCCTGTTATGGTTTTTGTTGGATGAGGTTGAGTAGAAAAGCTTCTGTTAAGGCAGGGACACATGGCTACTACTTATACTTCAAGTCGGAGTCAATTGACTTATTGATCTGTCGATCGTTTGAATTTGCCTCGTATATCAGACTATGCATAGAATCTACCTATGTATTCACTATTATCCTCTATTCCTTTAAACAGGTTGAGTGAATCTTATCTCATGGAAAGTAAATAGAACCATTCCCTCATACTTGCATTAACTGTCGGCCTTGAATTTTCGAATAAAGCATGGTCCTCCTTCTCTTCACTGTACGCTATCCACCGAGAACAAGTACAAACAAATGAATCCTATTCACAAAACAAGATTAGCATAAAGTGGAGCAATTATTCAAAAGCTTTATAATAATTGAATCTGTTGCTTTATTATTTCTTACTAGGAAATGGTGAATATGTGGTCTCAACATGCACCCTTTAATACATTTTCTTATCTTTATCTGAAAGTACGACATGCAACAAAAGCTCATTTTTCGGCAACTAGCATCTTATCTAGAAATACGACAAAGTGGTCTTATCGGACTATTTACAACTATCAACTCGAGATTAAAGCCTGATCCTTTAAAAACAGCATAGTCAGGGAACTCGGTCGTTACAGGACAGGGGTTTGTAGAATAGGGGGGATTTCACGTGATACATAGCCAAGCGATACTCGAGTACTATGGAAGTGGATTTTGGACCACGTGATATGGGGACAATGAGGGTGGCTTAGTCATGCATGAGTATATCTCATCGTAGCATCCGTAGATCCTTATAAAACCAAGTCTTCCCCTTGAATCGAATCAATCCTGCTCTCAGTACGTTACTTTGTTGCATGGTGTTGGAATTAGCTGCTGACATAATCATGAGTGACCATAAAACTGGTCTTCGGTAATTTGGTGATATCCTCTGCCGTCTCCCGCTCTACTTCGTAAAATCAGACTTCATTAATTCAATCTGCCCTTACTTATGTGCCGGTAGTTCATGTAATCGTCAACTGCGTCCGAGCCAGATACGAAGATGACACCTAAAGTTTATCGACATGAGGACTTGAGCGACTTGGATATCGTTCAACGCTGTCTCGACCCCAATCGTCAAGTTGTCGGCGGTTATGGGAATCCTGTAATAAAACTATCAGAGGAAGTGGTAGTCAAATTCGGCCATGATGTTTCAGCCGAAGAGGCAGACAACCAAAGAAAAGCTCTAGAGCTACTTGATAACACCATTATTCGCATACCACAAGTATATCGCTACTTCACTTGGACCGACAATAGCACATCAACTTTGAAAGGGTTTCTTGTTATGGAATTCATCCATGGCGAAGTTCTTGAATCAGTGGATAATCATCAGATAAACCAGATTGCAAAGGTCCTCTCACACTTTTCGACTATACAGGGCCAGCGACCTGGTCCACTACAGACGGGTGTCTCGCGCGGACTACTCTGGGAAGAGAATGGGAAGCCAACCTTTGAAACAACCAAACAAATGGAGCGTTGGTTAAACTTCAGGCTACCAGACACCAAGTCCAAATTAGCCCTCGAGGAGTATCCCTTAGTTTTGTGTCATTTGGATCTTGCACTACGAAATATTATTTGGTTAGAGGATGGCTCTGTGTGTTTTGTGGATTGGGCTTCGGCGGGCTTTTATCCAAGATTCTTTGAAGTCTGCCTTTTGAAAATTATGGAAAACAGTCATGGGGACTATGAGCTAAATCTAATAAGGCAGATGAAGAAGTTGACGGAGGATGAGGAGGCTCAAATGTCACTCTTGGAGCGGTCATTCTATAACGGTATTAATTACTACTTTGTAAGTTTATTCTGCCTAGAGTATTATAGCTGCTGACAATGACCCAAGCCTTCAATATCGGAGACTCTGTTGTGACAGTGACCCAACTACGATCATGTCACTAGTTGCACAGCCTGGATAAGGTTACAGTACTTGTCAACTTATAATGCATAAACCGAAATTTAGCGAGAACGCTATTTTCCCTCCTATTATAAGTGTCTCTATTCCTATACCATTAATCATCCAAAGCAAGTAATTCTTGGTGTTTTAGGCACAACTTGTGAGAGAAACACTGGGCTTCATTGCTCGTTTCAATTTATCAATATCAACTTGCAAAGCTTCCCATGCCTATTTTAGTGCTCCTGCTTAATTGAGCCCTCATAAGTGTCAGCTCTGGCATGCATTACGATACAATTTATTTTTCTTGAAATCCTCGAGACGTGGCGATGAATGGCAGGAACACCCCTCGACCAGACCACTGCTAGAAACAGCAACAGCTTAGTAAGAACAAACCACGAGTCCGCGTCTAGATTATTTCTAATTCCTGGCTTTATTCTTCGCATTCGTTTTAGTTGAAGTTTCACAATTGCGTACAATCAACAAAGAAGTGCGACTTCCATGGTGGATGTCTTTTCTTTCACAGCCAAATTACCAAAGAGAAGAGCAATCTTTGTTGACTTTACTTGGACCATAAACCCTAAAATATATTTTGCATTGAACCTCTCCATCCTAATTTCTCAATCGGCATTTGGAGTGGAGAACTTACAATGGCGTCCTCGGATATGCCTGATATCGAGGCCCTAGCTGTTGGAAGTTCCCAGCCAGCCCAATTTCAGAGCTCTGCAATCCCTATGCCAAATGCAGCACCTCCAGTACCGTCAGATTGGCAGACTCCAGCTCGACAGACCCCGTTTTGGGAGCCATACGAATATGGCAAGTGGCTTGCGAGTGAAAGCAAGTGGAAGAACCGAGTCGGCAAAGGATGGGTCGCGAAAAGAGTTCTCGGCAGAGGTGGATTTGGCATTGTCGGTCATTGGGAATACATGGGTCCGGATAGAGATCATAAGCCACTCAAGGACGTTGTAGTCAAGCAGGTAACTACACTAAGACCTGGCGGCACTAAGGGTCCGGGGCTTATAGAAGAGGGCGAGTTTCTCCAATCATTTCTGTCGGCGAGAACTAAGCACATCGTTCGAATATATCGTCGAATTTACAAGGACTTGGGCGCGGGAACATTAAGTCAGGATCCTGCGTCTGAAGTGCATCGTATGTTCCTGGAATTCTGTCCCGGTGGAGACCTGCATGATGTGTGGTACAATAAGAAAAAGGCTGGTGAACTTCCATTTAGTGAAGTCCAGTTGTGGATGATCTTTCATTGCTTGGCACGAGCACTTCTAGTAATGCATTGCGGCAGTGAAAACCCCGGAGGAAATGTACATCCGAGGAGCAGAGGGGAGATTTGTCACTTCGATCTCAAACCTGGGAATAGTAATAGTTCCTACCTCTTTTCAGATTACGATATACTAATCTGTAGATGTTCTAGTCCTCGTTGGAGCACCTACTACAGATAATGAGCATCGAAATACTCCTCCCTACAAGGCCAGTTTACTTTGAAATAGAGAAATAGTCTCTAATTTAACACTTTACAGATAGCAGATTTTGGAATGTCAGAATATGTTCCAGATTTCCAATCTCCAAACTGTTTAAACAAGAGAGCGTGGTGGGGAACGGAAACATTTCTCTTTTTACCTGTGAGTGAGTGTTATTGCCCTATCTAGATCCACTTCTAAGCTCAGCTCAAATGACCCCCAGACACCTTTCTGAATTAGCTACAGGAACAAATAGATACGAACTTGAGGAAAGATCTAAGGGGTCTTAGGCCGTGGAACAAAGTAAGCACCATTTCCAGCTAACTTTCTCGAGAAGAATCGAGTCGTGAAGCCATGCTGACATCCGGTATCATAGTCCCGCCTCCGCACTAGTCTGATCAAAAACCGTCAATTCGGAACTGCTAGTAACGTGTGGCAAATCGGACTAATATTACATTGTCTTATGCACAAGAAATCCCAACCCGAATGGCAAAGCATGCATGTTTACAATTCCACAAAATCAGAATATCTGAAGCATAATCTACAGACCCTCGGGAACCGTCAAGACATCGATGAGGAAGGCCCCTCTCATTCAAAGTTAAATGATATATACAGCGTAACACTGAGGGGAGCAATCGCCGAAACGTTAATCCTAGACCCGCTGCGTCGAATTTCTGCAAAGGAACTCGTCACCAGGACAAAACATGGACTTAAAGTAGCGCGCGTAATGGCGGGGATCACGGATGAGCCCGAACCAGGGATTACTAAAAATGATGAGCCTCTTCTTGATGCAAACTGGTACTCTGGGCAATACCAGCACCCGGTAAGTAATTTCTCCTGCCTCTCGTTACTTAATAGGATAACGGCACGTATCTTTCCAGAAGTCCTAAATACAAATTCTCCGCAACTATCAAGATTCGCCTAGCCTTTGAAGGAACGCTGACTCTTTAACGTTGTAGGATTATCGAATTGTGCAAGACATCTTAGACAAAACCAATGCCGAGGCAGCGAGAGTAGCAGCAAGAGCAAAAACACAGGGAAAGGGGAAAGGAAAAGAGAAAGCTACTAGCCCAACAACACCAACGCATTTGCAACAACTAGGACAGCTGCCTCCTGAAGTAGTAGCTCGGAATTTACAAGCTGATCAAGCAACAAGATTAGGTAAGACATCCCAACCATTTCCATTATTTCTATGCGCATGTAGAAAATGAAATAACTTCTCTATAATATTCTTCTAAATCCATAGAATAGTCACAAAGCTAATACATGATTACCCACCTACAGCACAATGGAATGCCGAGCAATCCCAAAAGGCGCAAGCAGAAAAAGAGCAAAAAGCAAAACGGGCAGAGTTGAAAGCCATACGAGAGCAGGAAGAACAGGAATATAATGCGAGGAAAGGAGTAGCCCAGGGACCTGCCGCACCGAAGTTTAACATCAATATGAACCCGTGGGCATTTGGACAGGCTATGGCAGCTCAGAATCTGCCTGGATATATGGCTGCTCAGAGCCAAACTCCTACACAACCACAGGTCCGGCCTCCGCCTAAGATTTTACCACGTCCGCGACCTAGACCTAATGGGCCTGCCCGGCCCCAAGTCCAACTACTAATCGTTCCGTCTCTCAAACCCAGGTTTTCACCTACACCACTTCCCTCCCTAAGCTCCGACTTCGTCATCCTCCCCTCCCCCTCCCCCTCCCTCCTTCCACCAGCCCCACCTCTCACGCTCGTGAACATGACATTCATTATCCAAAAGCCCGGCGGATTCTTTGGCTACGGACGGCCCGCACACACACACTACGCGCTGGAAGACATACTTCCCACACTGACGATAGGTGAAGTGAAGCGGGAGCTAGAGCGGCGGTCGGGAGTAGCGTGGCGGAAGCTGAAGGTTCTGGGGCTAGGGAGGGAAGTGGACGATGGGGAGAAGATTGGGTGGTGGGCGGAGAGGAAGAAGATTATGCGGGTTGATGTTATTTGAGGTGTTGATGCGTGGTGCATATGGAGGGAAGAAAAGGGAGTGGAAGGGAGGGAGTTTGGAGTCGATGGATTTCCATTTTCTTTAGTAGATAGGTTTTCATTGCCGTTTTATATGTCAATTACTGCAGTGATGTATATGTAATCAAGTCCACAACATTTCTGTTTCATTCTAATAGAATATCAAATTAGCAGTAATATTATCCTGCTTAACCAAGTAGTTGGGGAAAATGCATCAAGAGTCAAGACACAAACCCACGTTTCGTTCCCAATTACACAAGTTATCTCACTGTATAAACACACAGGAGTAATAAATTAGATGTTCATTCTATCACCGAAAGTAATAATTAACACATGCTTTCCCCCTTCCATCACCTTCCCACCTGTAGCCAGCCACTTCCCTTCACATAGCTAGCCCACCAAACCCACCGAAAGGTCAACGCTGCAAAGGGCATCTCATCTAATAGAACCGCATGAATGAATCCGTCCGCAAAGCAAGATCAAGTCAAAAACCACTCTCGGCTGACACAAACAAATCCTCCTCCAAGGTCCTCGCCACATCATCATCTATCACCACATCAACATCCGCATCCACATTCACAGCACGAGCAGCTTTCCCAAATACTAATCCCGGCATAGCACCAAGCTGTCCAGAACCACGTTCCCCAGGCGAAGGCACAGCGTGCTCTTCTTGAGGAGACGAGTGATCATGCGTCAGACTAGGCGTTGGAATGTCGATGTCCGAGGTCGGGGCATATGCATAGTTGGATGTGACGATTCTGAGAGACGCGGTGGTGGTTGTGGCGACCTGAAGGGGAGATGAGGCGTAGCCAATTGAAGCAGGAATAGGCATTATCGTATACGCCGTTGCGCCCACAGCATCCCCATCCCCATCTTCATACCATTCATCAAGAACAGCAGCCGCGCTCTTATACCTACCCATCTTCCCCACAATCGCCAAATTTCGACTAGGTTTCTTCTGAACACATCCTGCGCTTGTATGGCTGCTTCGAACCATATCTGCTAAACACCAGTAGTGATAAAGTCAGTCTCGATTCCAATTTCAATTTCTCATCCGACATGTCATGCCATGATTTCCAGAGATACGGTGATTGATTTACTTACGCACTGCATCAGCACGAGGATCACCACCAAAACCTAGTGCCACCTCCCTCTGCCTCTTCTCACCCAGACTTCTATCACTACTCGCCTTCCGATTACTCTCCCACGCACACCTCAAGGACCTTGTAATGCGGCCCGTGCGCTGCCTCTCCATCAACCCGCCGCGTCCCACGACCTGCTTCTTATCTTTCAGCATCTTGTCCAGCTGCCGGGTTACTTCGCGCCTGGAAATATCTTCTTGATATCTATCACCGTGGAGAGCGTGATTGAGGGCCGTTGCGAAGGTGAGGTATGCGTTGGATGTGGACGATGATTTGGATATGTAGTGGGAGCGTCTTTTGAATTTCGTGGTGGGGGAGGGGTTTCCGTCGAGGTGGATCCCACGGGCCATGAGTGCGAGCATTGTATTTAGCTGTGAGCATGGGAGATGGGAGTTAGTGAATGTGTATTAGGGATTGAGGGAGGTGGAGGGGAATTGGGGAAGGGATACTTCGAATCTGGTCCATTGGTGCTCGTTGTGGCCTGCGATTGGAGGCATTTTGATGTTGACTGTCTTGTTTCAGTTGCAGTTGCAATTGATCTTGATGTTGGTGAGACACTGTGTGCTTAAGAGTGAAAGTCGACAGTGAGGGTGTCGAAGCTGAAGAGGGAGTCTCGATAGTCTGTGGAAAGAGAAGAAGACTACGTGTCAGGATGGTCAGCATTGCTAGATATAGAATTTCGGGGTGGGAGACTGAAGTTGAGGCGTCCAAATTCACTCTGCTATTCACCTGTAGCTATTTATCTTGGATAAGTGTTGTGTAACGAAACGGAGACCGAGAGATGAGTATTTCCAAGAACCAAAAACACCCTTAAATATTATGTGGCGGAGTAGGATATTGAGTTGGGGGAGTATCGATGTTGTCGTGGTATTGTTGGATAAGGTAGATAGATATCCCTTGCGCTTTCTCTGTCGCTGCTTCCCCCTTTTCGGAGAGCTTAGCGAGGTCGGAGGCGGGGCACTACTTAGCATGTATGCATTGAGTGAGTTCGTGAGCCCTTGAACTTGATCTTTGAACTTGCAATAATGCTGTTATTGAAACTATGTGGTCATTCGGTTGTCCTTGAAAAAGGGTAAAGATTCCATCCAGCTCGAGGCCTTAAAGCACGATCAAATTGACGGGGAGCACTCGAACAACCACAAGGGGTAACTATGTCATCAAGTCGAATCATTCATAACACGACATAATTTGTACTCGCCAATTACTGGCCGGTCATCTCGAAATGTCACAAACATTATGCCCAGTCATCCATCTCATGTGTAAATGCACCACGATATGCAAGTATCCAACGCCTCCAAAATGCAGCCCGAGCTTTTTGAATAAACAGCGAATCTAATCCTCCTCCTAGTATATACCTTGTGTACGATATTGGAACGTATCATATCTACATGATCCAAATATTAGCATCAATATCAAGATCAGGCCTGAAGAACCGGGGTTCTAGACGAAACGGGGGCTAGATACTTACAGTCGTGTGTAATAACTCCCTAGCGACTTCCCAATCAAGTCAGTCTCAACAAACTGTTCAGCTTCGTCTGCGCTGAGCTGGAGCTGGAAGCGTTGTCGTAGGCTGTTTGTGGCCTGCTGGACGCCGTAGGAGAAGCAGGGCATTTTTGATTCTCTACCCATCATACTTACAAGGTCGATGAGATGATCTGCAGAGCGTCGGAGAGCTGTTGTATATTAGTAATGATAATAGATTTGTCTGTATCGCAGGGAAGTACCTTGGAAAGCCTGCTTGCATAATTTCTTGTAATCTTCAAACCCAGGAGACCCAATACCACCGAAAACATCAACATAATCTTGCGTCAACTTGAAAGGTGCAGCTTCAAAGCCAACTGATCCTGGGGAGTTGGAGAGCATGAATCCGAAATCGATGTGAATGATATGGCCTTCGTTGTCGATGAGCACATTGCCATTGTGTCGGTCCTTGAGCTGTAAGACGTAGGAGATGATGCTGTAAGCTGCTAGTGAACGTTTAAATGCGTCTTCCGCAGCTCTATACGCATCGCTTTCTGGGACCCCAAACGTCTTCACAAAGTGATCTTTCAGGGTGGCGATTCGTCTTCGAGGATTTTGGCCAGCTTCGATAGTGGCGAGTGTTAGACTTCGTTTGAGAGAATGTAGCGAAACGCCATTGGTAATAGTCTCAATCAAACCAGATGACTCTCCCGTAACCAAAATACGCATGCGTTTCACCCAGACAGGAGTCTGAGAATCCTGCCAAATGTTATCGCACACCTGGATCAGCTGGCAAGCAAAAGCTTCTTGCCTCAGATCTGCTCCAGTCTTGACGATAACACTGAGGACGTCCCAGTTCTTCATCCAGCCATAAGGTGACGATTTTCGTATCCGCTCCTTCTTCACATTCCAAGCTTCACCAAATGTTGCGGCACTTGGATCATCTCTATCGCCTTTCCTTTGTACACCACCAGTTTTCTGATCATTTTCCATTCGGGCAGCTCCAGCTCCACTATTCAAACCTGGTTCGGATACATTTTCGTCCTCGATATCTCCTGGTTCGACATTGGCCGCTGCAACATTGGCATTGGCTATTATTAAATCAAAGGTAGGAGCATTGCCGCCGCCATCATCTGTGTCGAAACTCTGTTCCTCCAAGCTTTGCATGCTCGCGATGATCTTCGAGCGGATGGCGGCAACCTCGCTCTTTGGTCTTTTCCCACTCGTAGAATCGAGTTGTGCCAACATTTGCGATGCTGTCCGCATGTGGGTAGCCAATGCAGAGAAGTCTGGCTGATCTGATGCCCCGGATTTTCCATAGCTCGGGAGTGTCATTTTTCGGGAACCTCTCGGGCTGCCCGACCTCGAAGTAGATACTTCCGATGTTCGTGGAGTTGTAAGGGCTGAAGCTGTTGACAAAGTCGTTGCACCGCTAGAAAGCCTGGGAGGCATGCCAGGATGAGTAGGGGGTGTATTCTCCTTCGGTGGAGGGGTACCATCTGAAGATCTTATTAAGGGAGTGCTGCCCAAATCTCCAGAGGTAGGCTCGAAAACACTGTCTGCCGGAGTGTCGCTGATTTTCGTCCCATTGAGATTTGTATGCATCTGAGCCGCTTCCGACAAGTCAAAGATACGTCTTCGCCCAGTACCTTGTTGAGAAAACAGCTTAGTCAATAATCTCTCGTTATCAGCAGTTGAGCTCTCGAAAGAAAAGTCATCCCGCAAAACTTCCACCATCAGTAGATATGGGACTTTCTCTGCACTGTTCAGGACTGTCGCCTCAGCTGGATTCAAACGAACAATTCGATGATGTCGGCTTTTGCTAGGTGCTCCATCGACCAGTGTCGCAGGACATATAATCGGAATATCCACTTCGGCTGGCAAATCTTGGGCTATGAGAGCAAGCTCAGCACGCAAAGCACTTAAACGAGCAGGTTTTGGAACAATCACTAGTCGATTTGAGATATCTTCCAGCGCTGTCAGGAATTGAGTTTGACAGCGGAAATAGTTTTGCCGTAATAATTTCACTTTCTGGGCATCTGACAACGCAGATGGCGTAAGTGGTCTTGTAATATGGGAATGTCTTCTAGTATTATCCGCTGGACGCCGAGTCAGACCAGCCGTGGCTGGAGTTGTAGGTCTAGTCACCGAGACCAGCGGTGATCGTGAGCTGGGCAGAGGAAGAGATGAAGAACTCAGTCTGGGATCGATATTCAAGTCGAGATGCGCTGGCCGAGGTCTGTGGTCCAGAGTCGGTCTTTGACCCAAGCTAGAAGATTGCGGTCTCTCGAGGGAACTTGCTCGTCTTGTTTTGGGCCGAGTCCTATTAGGAACAGGTGTACTAGCAACTCTTTCCTTCGCCCCCCGTTTCGATCGTGAAGAACCGGCGCCGTCGTTTGGCTGCGAACTATTTTCTGCGTCTGGCTCGTATCGGATATCACATCTCCAGTTGACGAAGGCTTCTTTGCCTGAGCAATAGCGAGTGGACCAGCCCATCTGGGCAGAAATGGGACTGCAACACTCGCCAGCACAAAGCTTGCCAGAACTGTAACTGGAATCACATTTTCCTTTATCTTTTCGTTTCTTGCAGGCTCTGCAACCCCAAATACAATATGCTGCACCTTGTTATATACCCTTCTACATGTTTTGAAAGCTTCGGATTGTGGATTCGGGGAGAGATCGTGTAGGTAGGTTTGGAAAAGCCAGAATGTCTGGTCGCATAATCAGCATCTCCAAGCACGTATCTCGCAAATCATGGCACCCACCAGTAACGCCGCATTAACAGATTCCTCGCAGAGATCTAATATAAACTCCTCTAAGGCCATAGACTCGTTGTCGACGCTGATGATGAGATGGCATAGCTGGGGCAGGAAGAACTCGATCTCTTCGTAGCTAAATTGCCGGAGCTTGGAGCAAAGAACATAATGAATGCCGACATGGTCTGCGTATCGTCTGCACGGCCAATGATCAGCTCGAATCCTCTGTCCTCTGCATACATAGATAGGGGGCGCCTTACGAGAGATATGCTACCGAGAGGAAAGGATTCTGGTTAAAGACATCGCTCTCGATGAACCGCTTCAGCAGGTCCCAAGACATTGGGACTCTGGAGCTGGCAGGTAGAGAAGGAGTGTGGAGTGAGGCGCAATGCCTCTAATAATCTTCGTCATTAACAGGAATTTAGTAGGGCGTTAATCATAGCTGCGCATTTGGGCAGATGGGACGAGACGAGGCTGTTGATGGGATTATTTGGTTGTTCAAGATTTCGAGGTTATTACCGTTCGTTATCCACATGCACCGCCTACTTAAGGTCGGCAGCGGCACAGAAGCGAGTGGCGGCGAAAGTGGAGCTCGAAGCCCCCTTTTCTGTGTGGTATTAAGCTTAAATGTTTCAGATAGACTTTAAATAGGAGTCTGCTTAGCAATTGGTGGTCATTTTACTCATATTGCGCGTAGGTTTCAAGCATTGAGGATTGTTTAGAATTAGTATATGTCAATTCCATATCAAACCTACGTGTTTCCTACCGGATAAATATCTTCATCAAGAGCCGCTAAGTGCAGGGGACCTTCTAATCCATCCAACCACAAAGCACTTCGCACCAATCGCATACCTTGCTCGTTATCCCATCCTAATGCTAGGACGCAGAGGAAGAGTTACGAAACAGACAGTTCTGCAACCTAGAAAATATATTCTCTATTTCGGGGGATATATATGTCCTAAACAACGCCGACTAAGGTCCCACAAAACAGATTTAATAAACCCGATTGGAGCCAACCCAATGCACCTCGCCGCCCACGTAAATACACGCAATCAATCAAATCCGAACGCCATTAATTCCCTCCTCGAGACCATTGACGCTGTCCCGCATGCAATCCGCGGTGACTTTTTCCAGACACCCACTAGCAGCAGCCACGAACCCAAGATATGGCTTGCTAGGTTGCAACACCCTGCTCATATACTCAGGATGGAACTGCACGGCCACATACCAAGGATGATCCTTTAGCTCCAGAATCTCCATTCGGACCCCTTTATCGTCCTTGCCCACAAACTCCAAGCCTTTCACCGCGAGACGATCGACGTATTCAGGGTTGACTTCGTATCTATGTCGATGTCTCTCCTGTATCTCCTTTTTCTCACCATAAAGCTGGCGCAGACGCGACCACTCAGACCCTTCTTGGAATATTGTTGGACGGAGGCCGAGACGCATCGTGCCGCCCAAGTTCACCTTGTCGATTTCAGGCATAAAGATAACGACTGGGTCAGGACATTGCTCGTTCAATTCGATTGAACTCGCGTTCGGGATATCGCAGACGTTGCGTGCGAACTCGATGACCGCGATTTGCAAGCCAAGGCATATACCCAGATAGGGGGTCTTATTAGTACGAGCCCATTTCGCGGCTTGGATCATGCCTTCTGTGCCTCTATGCCCGAAGCCACCGGGGACGAGAATGCCGTTCGCAGTGCAGACTGAGTGCCAGGCCTTGTGGAACTCGGCAGGTTTCTCAGTTCTAGCCTCCTCTTCGAGGTTAGAGGCGTCAACCCAGACGAGGTTGAGCTTCTTGCCGCAGCGCATGGCGCTGTGCTCCAGGGACTTAATGACAGAGAGGTAACTGTCATGAAGATTTGTGTATTTGCCGACGAGGGTGATATTCACGGTCTCGAAGAGGCGTTCCTGAGAAGAAGTGAGGTTCTTCCATTCCGTCCAAGTACGAGATCCACGATCAACTAGGCTGCTAGCTCTAGGAATAGCATCGAGATTCAGCATCGAGGTAAGGTTCTTGACGAGACCTTGCTTCTCGAGGAGTAGAGGGACGTGATATGTTGTCAGGACGTTATGGACTGCGAGGACCTGCTCGTTCTCTACCTGGCAGAACATGGCGATCTTGTCGATGGTGGACTTCTCGAGAGGTACATCACATCTGCATGCAATCTGCGATTCTAATCAGTTTCAAGCTCCCCATAATTTCAATTGGACTCACCAAGTCAGGAACCAATCCCTCTCGTCCAACTTCCTTGATAGCCTGCTGCGTAGGCTTGGTCTTCTGCTCCCCAGAAATAACAGGCACCAGGGAGACGTGGATTTGAACAAAATTGCCCTTTCCCACTCTCCTCTTCAATTGTCTCATGGCCTCAGTGAAGAGGCCACTCTCAATATCTCCGACAGTACCACCGAGTTCAATGATACAAACGTCGGGGCACTCATTCGTGTCATCGACCGGGATCTGCGCAACCCTAACGATCCAATCCTGTATCGCGTCTGTGACATGCGGTACCATCTGGACCGTCTTGCCCAGATAGTCACCCTTCCGTTCCCGCTCAATGACATGCTGGTAGACCTTGCCAGATGTGATGTTGTTTTCGCGAGTTAGGATGATGTTAAGGTATCGCTCGTAGTTGCCTAAATCGAGGTCGACTTCTCCCCCATCATTGAGGACAAAGCATTCTCCATGCCTACCCCGAATTAGCCTTCCCGCAACGTTCATGCAGGTTTCGGGTACCTACTCCGTGGGAGCCATCGTCCCCGCATCGACGTTCATATACGGATCGATTTTGATCGATGTGACGTGCACTGCCAGTCAGCCAATATACCCTTTCTAGAGTGACCGAAAAACTTATTTTAAGCCCAATCGTCTTCAACAGCAAGCCCGCAGACGAAGCTATATTTCCCGCAGATCAGCATCTCTTGCTCTTCTCATTTGCTTCGTGAACTTTCGAGGGCACATACCAATGGTACCCTTGCCAATGCCCGAGATCACACCTGCGACACCACAGTCAGTACACGTCCGATCTTGCCCGAAAAAGTCGTAGAATGATTCTTACCTCCAGATACAAGAACGTACTTCATTTTGGCGGTATTTGCGGATGTTTATGGTGCCTTTCCTGGCTTCTGCCAGGGGGAAAGAAAAAAGTTGAAAATTATCTGACGCGCGACTCATTTTATGCGGTGCGTGGTGGGGCTCGAGTTAGAGCTAGTCTGCTTTGGGCTGACGTGTTTTGGCGGGGTCGTCCATCCTGCCGTTTCGTGTATAGTGGTGATATCTGGCTTCATAGAATGTCGCTGTTGGATATAGGATATAATTGTATTCACATCAGAATTGGCTTCATCAACGTGTAAACTCTTGATATATCCCTTCTAGACATAGGATACTTTTCCTGGTTGTTTCCCCCACTTCAAACTTCGAGCAAACAGGCAAGCAAGTCCCTCCATCAACTCAATTCACAAACATCAAGATGCCAATAGCATACATCCCCTCCTCTCTCCATTCCACAATGACAACCGGCGCCATAACGAGCATTCTGGTCTCTGCCCTACCCCCAACACCCACCACCCCCACATCCACCCAAAAGACAAACCACTGGCACCTACACCTCAGTTTACCTCTCCCTCAAAAAGGAATTCGCATGGATCCCAGCCCAGATGCCAACAGCCTTCTAACCCTTATTGTTTCCCAAGACAAACCTCCACAGTATATCAAAACCATCGCCCTGTCATCTGTGCGCGAGAACTTGACGGCAAGTGACGTGATTGAAGAGTTGAGGAAGGCGGGACATGAGAATTATCGGTTTCAGGACGGTCAGGGTTGTAGACATTGGTTGATTACTAGTCTGGCGGTTTTGAGGGCAAGGGGAATCTTGAGGAGTGATAAAGAGGTAGAGGGGGCGGAAGAGGCTTTAAAAGGGGTTTGGGGTGATGATGGGGAGTTGGTGAAGGAGGAGGAGCAGAGTGAGGTTGTTGTTGGGACGTTTCTTTAAGTTAGCTGAGGATAAGAGGCTTGTGAAAGAAGTTCTTCAGAGGCTAGGATTGTGTGATTGCACTTTGACCTAAGTCTAATTGGAACGGTGGTTCAGATACTCGATAATAGAACTTAAGTCAGACGTAAGTGGAGCCTGTAACGTGGTAGAGAATGTGATATCCTAAGCTGTACATGGAGAATGAAAACAACGTTGCAATATTGTAAATTAAAATACTACCAAGCTGGCAAAACGGTAAAAGACAAAAAGAATTCTGACTTATTTAATGCTGCCGAGGAGAGGAGAGAAGAACTGACCAATTCTCTAATAAGCGGTGTTAAAGGAAGAGTTGAAAGCAGCTGGGCATGTTTTTCGTCATTTTTATCATCGCCATAAGATTATTTCCTAGCCTGGCCTTGTCATCTGGAACGCTATGCTTTATTCATATCTTAGCTAAATATAAATTACAAAACGCAGAAACTACTAGCTTGTATTTGATAAGAGAGAGGAATTAACATACTTGAGAACGAACGGAGGTAAGTCGGCGCTGAGGAGGTGAGGAGATGGAGATGAAGCTTGAGGAACGTCGAAGAATGTAACGGTAAACGATCTCGCTTTATATGGCGTCAAAAGTTCATTCGTTTAAATAAGAGTAGATCGACACCGTGGATGGCTCCTATGAAAACGAAATCAATGAGGTTCGGAGAGGTGCTTCGACTGTTTTAGGAGTTAGCAAAGTGCTTAAGAGTGAATCAACCGCTCTGCCACATTAAATAGTTTGTAAAGAGAATATGTTTATCCAGAACTATACCAATAAGAAGAGTTGTGGATATAAAAGGCAAAAGTCCGGGGCAGAAAAGGAAGCTTGTTTAAGGTGGCCGGGCAGGGAAGAGAGGGAGGAAACCAGGCCATAAGTCACCCATTTCAACTTGGCCGAGCGGTTAAAAGCATACAACCTGTAAAATTGAGTCTTGAGGATCTGTCTTCTCATAACCCGCCTTCTGAAGTGATAGACTGCTTCATAAGCAAGATTGCCGCAACGCTATACGTGACCCCAGATGCAACTGATCTCCTCCTATGCTTGCGCTAGGCTACCATTGAGAGAGAGCAGAGCCATCATTGCCCAGCAACTTAGGTGTCGTACCATATACGGTAGAATCTGTTCTCTGTCCCTATCAGATAGCCTGCAAGTTATATTAGCAGGAAAGCTTAAATAGGAAAATGGTTGCTAGAGGATATCTTCAATAGAGAAAATGACAATATTATCTGCCCGCATGTCTTTGAGACTACTTTTGTTTTCTTTGAAATGTGCCTCGGCTGCAAATGCAATTTACTTGGAGCTGTTAATAAAGTATCTCGAGGATATTACAACTACTGTTGGGATATAGGGGCTGTATCCCGAACTTTGTAGTCATGTAACTTGGCGTAGCTTAGCCGGCGAAGAGGCCATCACCTCTTCGCGTCTCCCACTTCCACTTATGAAGGCTACATAACATCAACCAGAACCATGACTACCTTGTACTAGCTAGTAGGAAGTGATCTAATCTGTTACCTGTGATACCAACAACTGCCGATAACAATATTCGGTGTTCCCACTAGATCCGGACCTAGCGGGGTTCAAATGCCCGGTAACAGAAACGCGACATAACTTGAAACGCGAGAAGATTACTGTAGAGGTGAAAGGATATGTATGCGACGAATTAAATGCCGCATATATACTGTATCCATCCCTGCAGGAGAATCCAGGGGTCGTGAGGGCTGAGTAAGGATACCCGAGCATTGTGTGGGGAGGGCTTCCCCGCATCCCAACCCCACATACTGCCGAACGTTCCAGGACTTATCGTGAAACCCAAACGTCTATATCCACCTGAGGGCCGAGAGAGGAACTGGAGAGTTGGTAATTCTTGAGTGCAAGGTTTGTTATATAAACTCGTGATGATGGAGCCTGCTACGGGAGCTTTGGTCAGCGCTGCCGCTTTGGCAGCTGGAGCTTACCTTAATGCGAAATTGGCCATTTCGGTTGATATTCAGCAATTGAGACATGAACGAGCCTGGGGGGAGAGATTCCAGAGCAGAATTGAGAGCCTGGGCGATTCGTGCTCAACCTACCACGTTTTTGATGGAGTCGATCCCGGATTAGAATTCCTCTGGTTTGAAGGCAAATCTTGGACATATGGCGAGATCAAAAGCTGTGAGTTGTTTTCCTGGATTGTAAATGTATATATGGGGCTAATATATATTCAGACGTCCACAGACTGGCTGCTTTTCTGGAGTCGGAAGGAGTCTCCAAGAAGGATCACATCGCCTGCTTCATGACCAACTCTCCAGAAATGGTCGTGACCGTACTTGCCCTCTCGAAACTAGGTGCTGTAGCCGCATTAGTAAATATCCATCTTCGAGGTCTGTCTGACGATGAATATATCCCCGACCTTGTGTGGTTTGGTAACTAACCGTAACCAGGTGACACTTTGATGTACTGTATGGATATCTCATCGGCTCGAACAATAATCTCGTCACCAGATCTAGCGGAATTTGTCCCCGCGAGCATGCGACACTTCTCGCTGAATCTCTTAACATTTCCAAACACAATTCCACAACAAAACACCACCGTCACTCTCCTCAACCAAGACAACTTGCCAAGCCCAAACATAATTACTCCCGGGGTAAAAGCAACACCTCAGGATGTGACTGTACTCATTTACACCTCGGGAACAACCGGGAAACCGAAAGCATGCGGGGTTCGAAACTTTCTATGCATAGCGACTTCATTACCCCTTTCACAGGATATCAATGATCCCCAAAAATACTTTCCTCTTCGAACCTACTCACCCCTCCCTCTCTTCCACGGTACTGCGTTCTTCACCGCTTTTTGTTACACTCTCGGGACCTCATCAACCTTCTGTCTCGCTCGGAAGTTCTCCGCATCTCGGTTTTTCAAAGATGTGACTGAGTCCAGGGCCACACGTATCCTCTACGTTGGAGAATTATGTCGATATTTAGTCCACGCGCCTCCATCATCCTATGACCGAGCACACAAATGCATCGTCGCAAGCGGAAACGGTTTACGGGCTGAGATCTGGGAGAGATTCCGAGAGCGGTACGGGATTCCTGAGATTCGAGAGTTTTATCGATCAACGGAGGGGCTGGCAAAATTTGATAATATAGGGTTCAGCGCAGCAGGGGCGGGGAGTATTGGATTCGCTGGGCCATTGAGGAGGTATTTGGAGCAGGACAATTTTCTAGTCAAGGTAGATCCAGAAACCGAGGCTCCTTATCGGGATCCGAGAACTGGATTCTGTGTCAGAGCAAAGTTAGGAGAGCCTGGTGAAGTGATTGGAAGGGTGAAAAGTCGAGCATTACTTACAGAATATCTAAACAACGAATCTGCGACGGAGGAAAAGATATTGTTTGATGTATTCGAAAAGGGAGATTGTTACCAGAAGATGGGCGATCTCATGATACATGATCACACAGGCTGGGTACGTTTTCATGACCGTATGGGCGATTCTTTTAGGTGGAAGGGAGAGAATGTCAGCGCAGGTGAGGTTAGAGATCATCTCGCAAAGCTTCCCGGCGTTGTGGATGCTGTGGTGTACGGGGTAAAACTAAGCAGGTAAGCAAATTCTTGTTCATGTACTACAGTACACTTTCTCATACACGCACTTCAGTTACGACGGACAAGCTGGAGCCGCAGCTATCACCTTGGAATCTAACGCCGATGGCCCCTTCATGAACAAGCTTTACAAACAACTGAAAAAGACGGGGCTTCCTGGGTATGCAATGCCGCGTCTGGTGAGAATTACTTCAGAGTAAGGCCCTTGATTATTCTTGCTCCTGTGATGAAATTAACACAACATCCCTAGAATCGAGACCAACGCGACATTCAAGAAAGCAAAACTCGATATTTCCAAGAGAAGTTGGAACTCCAGCGATAAAGGTAATCAAGACAAGCTGTACTGGCTCAACGGGAAGACATATCAACCGCTGGATGGTGATAGTTGGCGCGCAATTGAGATAGGAAAGGCAAAGTTGTAATCTTGCACGTGCATACAGCCTTTTGCATTGAAACCAGGGTACAGACACAATTGAATGTTGTGCTAAGCAGAGCAGAGTATCAAAGATTGATGTTCGAGAATAATCGTTGTTTTCAAGTATGCGTTATGGGTTGAGGCGCGGCGCGAGAGACTCGCTTATAGACTTGGTCCGTGCTTTTGAGGTTATTCCCAACTTCCTGCTTGTACTTCCAGCTTTCCTCTTCGTAGTTGTCTTAGTCAATAAAAAAAAATTATATTAAGTAATCATTTTGTGGTTTAAATTAAGTTGAGTATTGACTCTGACTTACCTCAACTCAACTCATTTCACATGCTGTCAGGTTGTAATCAAAGACAATTCAGTGAACATCAAGTCAGAAGAGGCTATTGCATGAGCTCTAAAAAGAAATCCGCATCCTCTATCCCCTAATTACTTCTTAACCTAAATCAGAGTACGAAGATCAAGGAAGACCATCACCGACAGTGGTTCTAGTCTAGACTACCTCACGGCTCTTGAAATCAAACAAATCAAACAACCTCATCCCCAACATTGGAAATGACCGCATCTTCAGCTGTCAAGGGTCTCATCTCATGCAACGTCTGCTCCATATACTTTATCTGGGTCTTCATCCACACCGAAAGCTCCTTAACATTGATCGTCTCTGTCTTACAAGCGCCAAGCTTCCCGTCCAAGTCGGTGTCCTCACACGTCTGTTTATAGCTCTTCTTGAGGTCATCAGAAAGAATGGCAAACCGCTCACTCAGTAGTTCAAGACGGTATGTGGTCCACTGATAGTTCAACTCTGGAACCAGCGACTTGTTTCTAATATTCATATTGGTGCTGCTGTCGAAAAGTCTCGGATCACGTGGTCGGAAGGAACAGACAATGGTAATGCGTTCTTCCATGTTGCCTCCTGGGATTGCAATGTGGGATACAGAACGGCCTTGTAGAACAACCGCATGCCCCTATGATCCAATATTTATTAGCCTCGACAGTTGATCACTTAAAAGTGGACTCCTTACGCATTGAGGCGACCGGACTTTGGTAACAGTACCATCGCCACTCATCAGCCCCGTTTCGCCATCAAGCATGTACTCCGCATTGGAGAGCATTACGACGCAAACAAATGGATGAGAATCGCGATGCCAGGGAACGATGGGCTGCGAAATCTTCCGGGGCTCTTTTTCTGTTGTTCGGTTGTTGAATATGTCTTTTTGCTCTTGGGATGCTTCGGGTGGCCAAATAGGAGTATCCTTCAAAGCTTCGATACCGCCTGGACCCAACTGAACATTGGTATGGCAGATCTCGTAGTTCATGACAGGAACCAGATCTACGCCCGCAATGCTGCTCACAATATCAAGCACTTGAGGAGATGTCCAGAAGGCATGAATAAATGGTGCGTATCGTGGCGCCATGCCTCGAAGTTGAACCGATCCAGGGCGGGTGGCATAAAGACAGTTCTCGAGTACATCCTTGCAAAAGAGCTCTTTCCGGTGCTGCTTAATAGCTTCAGGGGACAAAAGTGGAAATGGAATTGATGATGCCACTGGGGAGATTTTAGAATCTGGAAGATGAATGTCTTTAAGTAAGACGATCTTTTCCGGTGGTTGATAAGCAAGGTGTGTAACGGGATCGAATAATGGGTTTGAAATTGGTTGCTTGCTCTTAAGACCCTCTGGACTTCCCTGGGGAGGAATCTCTTGGATTATTGATGGCATGACAGCGGTTAGGCGGTTGGCTCGAAGTTCAAAATATGTGGTACAGTAGATGGTAAAAGCTTTGGCTTCTAAATATTCAAGTAGAGGGCTTAACAAGACTATAAAGCTACCTTCGTACCAGATTCTCGAGTAATCACTGAGTCGCCTAGAATAACCCAAGATGGATAAGATTGTGCAGCTTGATGTCATGCAATGTATATTACAACTAGTGAATTCCAATATAGAGTGGGATTCCCGGCTACCTAATGTGTAATATTTGAAGCGCAAGCGCTAAAATTAACTTATTTATAAAGCGATAGTTGGGTCCTTGTAAGGGTGCAAGCACACATTGAGGATATGTTGAATATGGCAGTCCATCCAGAGATTTACTATCTTCCGCAGACTCGTTTTGTCCCAAACAATAGGCTTCCTGTTCTTATTTACCGCAATGTGCTGCCGCAGCCACATACGGAACTAAGTGCCCAAAATATGTTGGAAAAGAATCATTGGACGAAGAAGGTAAACTCAATTTTTGGTCTTCTTCTTCGATACTGACTAAATTTTAAGGGGACGTGGGGGGCAGTGCCTAGACATCATTTTCATCCCAATACACATGAATGCTACGGTAAGACTACTGATCAACCAATAGTTAATATGAGGTTGATAAGCGTAGCGGTCTTCCAAGGGCATTCAACTTTACTTATTGGACGCGGTCCGCTCGATAATGACGAAGAGCCTTCAGTTTTGACTGAATTGAAACCGGGCGATGTTATCATATTGCCGGCTGGAGTTGCACACTGCTCCATAGATAACGATACAGACTATCGCTACATTGGTCTATATCCTGAGGTAGGTTATTGTCCATTGAGTTAAATTTCGGGGCCAAGCAAGCAAGCTGATGGTTGATAAGGGATCTCCAAAGTATAAAAATGAGTACTGCAAGGACATGGACCGGGTTACGGAACTAACGGAAGAAGTGAGTAAGGTTCAACTACCAATCAGTGATCCGGTGATTGGGAAAGATGGGCCCCTGATGCAGATTTGGGGAGCTATTTAAACCAATCACTTCTTCGCTAAAATGCGGCCTAGTTAGATAAAGGGAAAGTATTGACAAAAGAAGCATAAAATTACAAACCCAAGTTCTGTAGTTTCCGTGCAAAATAGTTGCTTTGGTATACTACCAATAGGACTCTTACACAATGTCAATCTACAGAGCTTGTCTCGAGAAGAAAGGCACCAGTAAAAGGGGAGAAACGCGCTACCCCAGCCCTCGCTTATGCAAGCGTCTCCTATTGTCTCCGAAAATGGGGTATTTACTAAAGGGCTGCAGTCGGGGCATCATTGACGTTTCCTAATCCGCACTAAACTTCTTTTGTACCATTCTAGCCGCGAGAGCGTCCCTTAACCCATCTTAGCCACCAAGCCTCATTCATACCATTCCAGCCGCCAGAAATCTCGAGTCTTATCTGTAGCTCACCACCTGTACTCCGTACATCTTAACTACTACTGTGTTTTACGGCCTACCCCACAAGAGAGCCGCCAATCGTAAATAGCAAACATGAAAAGCGGCACTTATTATTCGCATCCCTTTTTGATATCCCACGCCACCTACCACATATATAGCGGTGCCGCTTTTTCTATTTACTGCAAAACATTATCTTTTAGTGGGGATGGACGTAAAACGCTATAGTATCTAATGATAAACAACACCATCGTTGTTATCTTTCTAGCACCTGCGATAGCTCTAATAGTCATTTGGTAGTTCTATCTTGCTGTTTGCTCGATGCAAAATTCATGGTCCTTATCTCTACATGACCAATATCCCCTGGACAGAAAGACTACTTAATTCGAGCCCATGCCATCCAGCACAGTTCTCAATTTCTCAACTTCCAGAATCCAACCCTCCTCAAACTCAATCCGGAGCCTCATCATACCCAGCAGTCGCCATGAATATCCAATATGTTCCAGGAGATCCAAAGCCTCAAGACACCAAATCTCTGTCCGAAACATTTGCAGCCGTTGAAAAGGGTGATGTCAGCTACCGCAATCGAGCTGGAAAGGTCATCGACATTACCACCGTGCAGCCAGGAGCTGATACAGCTTATGAGTTGAAGGTTGTTCTCCTTAATCAAGCTATGCTTGATCTAGGAATGGGCAAATATCAATGGAGGCTTTTCGTTCTTACTGGATTTGGTTGGTTTGTTGATAATGTAAGTGACCCTGATCCGAGAAACAAAGAAAGATGAAGCTCATATAATAAATAGTTTTGGCTCCAGGCAGTTACTCTCATCAGTCCGCTAGTCAAGAGAGAATTCGTTGTCAAACGGATTGCGTTTCTCACAGTTGGGAAGTACGCAGGCTTGGTGGTTGGCTCAACACTCTGGCCGATTAGTGCGGATTTTATTGGAAGGAAGCTTGCTTTCAATTCCACTTTGATTCTTTCGTCAGTGGCAGGCTTAGTGGGTGGTGGGATGCCGAATTTTGCGGCTCTCACTACTATATGCGCATTTATCGGTCTTGCTACTGGGGGAAACCAGCCAGTCGACAGCGCCATCTTCTTGGAATTCATTCCCGCAACACATTCATATCTGCTCACCATGCAATCGGCATTTTGGTCAATTGGTCAGTCTGTGGCAGTTCTAGTTGGTTGGTAAGTAGCGACTACCCCTCAAAAGGTAATTCTTTGTAACAACGGCTAAAGTTTGGCAGGCCACTGGTTGCCAATTTTTCATGTCCTGCTACAACGAAAACCGGAGAATGTTTTTACGAAGACAATATGGGATGGCGTTACTGCTTTTGGACTTTTGGAGGACTCACCCTTGTCATGAGTCTTCTACGATTCATGTTTCGGATGCATGAGACCCCAAAATACCTTCTCGGCAAGCGGCAGGACGCGAAAGTGGTCAAGGTAATCGAACAGATCGCAGCGTACAATGGGAAGACAACATGGCTCACCCTAGAACACTTTCAAGAGCTTGATGCCCAACTCGAAGCATCTGGACACTCGATTGCCCAGGAAACCGCTGATCAAGCAATCATGAGAAGAAAGCTGGAAGTTCTAAAGCCTGCCAAACTCAAGGGACTCTTCAGCACCCCGAAGATGGCATATTCTACAACACTCATGATACTACTCTGGTGCATGATTGGCATGGCATACCCTCTCTATAACTCTTTTATTCCAATATATCTGGAAAACAAAGGACTAAAGTCAGGATCCAGTTCAATCGACAGAACATACCGGGACTACGCCATCCAGGCCGTTTGTGGTATTCCAGCATCTATTATCGGTGGCTTCACTATTGATATGCGTTACATGGGTCGAAAAGGAACAGGAACCATTGCTTGCATCTGTACTGGGGTCTTCTTGTTTCTGTATACTCGAGCAACAAGCCAGTCAGCCGTCCTTGGATTTTCGTGTGCCGTTTCATTTTTTCAAAACCTCGTCTACGGCCTTCTGTACTCATACACGCCGGAACTTTTCCCAGCGCCAATCAGAGGAACTGGTAACGGATTGGTAGCCCTATTCAATAGGCTTTCAGGTTTGATGGCACCTATCATTGCGGCTTATGTCGGAGTTGACACAGATTCGCCGATTTGGATATCGGCGGCCTTATTTATTGTAGCTGGTTTTGTTTTCATGCTGTTGCCATACGAAACGAGAGGCCGGGCAGCTTCTTGAGCCAAATCTATAAATATGAGAACTAGAGGCGGGAGGTTGTGATTTGAAGAGATATGGACTGGTGTCCAAATTCGGTTTTGGCTTGAAAGGCGTGCCTGAAATACCTGAAATACCGTTTTGCAACTGTCCCTATAATACCAAGTAAGCTACTACTAAGTTAGTAGCTTATAACTATATACATGCAAGCCTCTTTCTATCCGCTTATACAAGTGCAATTATAGGTGCACAACCACCTATTATAACACCTATATAATACACCTATTCACATTCAATTTAACACAAATTTGGGTGTGACTCCAGAATACGGAAAAAATAGCTACAAAGGGGAAAGACATGCAACATTTAGCGCGGCGCTAACCAAAAAGCATGGAAGTTAGTTGGGGGTAACCCGAACCTGACTCGGGCTTGGGTACGTATGTATATGAACCTCAACCCCTCTAAACTATTTATCGTAGCCCCATATTATACTATGAACTGAAACCAAGGGAATAAAAAATGGACAGCAAACCCACCAGAACAAGGACGAGGGATGGATGTTTGACATGCCGTCGCAGGTATGCCGAAGCCTGCGATCATAAACCTCACAGCATGCATTGCTAACGACCAAATAATAGGAAGAAGAAGTGTGACAGTGTTCGGCCCCAGTGTGAAAACTGCTTGCAGAGAGGGCTTCAGTGTGAAGGCTACGGCACTAAGATCCTATGGCCAGATTCCGAGGTTCGAGTGGGTATGAGTCGTCGCGGGCCTTCGAAAGCTTCGCAAACATCGCCGTCGAGAACCAAAGGAGTGGCAGGAAAAAAGATGAGCCGCGATGAACCCAAACCATTCAGTTGGGTAGGAGATTTGATAGCTACGCCTTCTGAAGATCAAGGGTACTGCTCGACACCAGGATCGAGCAGCACAGATTGCGGTAGCTTGACACAAGTTTGCAGTTCTCGGAATATATGGGGTAGTCCAAAGAACGCGTCCAGCCCCGAGGCTCCAGCAATGATCCAGACAATCTCGTTCCTTGCTACAAACCTCACAACTACCCAGCAAGTTCTGTTTGATCATTACATCCATAAGTTTTCAGTATCCTACCCGACTTGTACAGACTCCTCGAACCCATTTTTGGCGGTTTACGTTCCACTAGCTCTGCGAAACCCTACTGCTATGTACGCACTTCTAACCCTATCTGGAACTCAAATTGAACGACGTGCGAACTTCGAAATGAAGCAAGAAATCCTTAAGTTGAAAGGACTAGCTCTTAGAGGATGCCGAAAATTATTAGAGAGTTTGCCTGAGTTGGACTCTGCTAGCCCAGAGGAGTATAGAAGACTGCTGGAGTCAGAGGATTGTTTAGGGCTAGTGGTATCCGTGGTATTATTAATCCTCTACGATAAGCTGTCCGGAGAAGCACCTGATATTTTCAAGCCTCACCTGAAGTTTATAAACCGGTTTTTCGCCGGAATTCAGCGTACGACATATTCGGGGATCTTTCTACAGAGATCACCTTCTAGTACCCTCGGTCAATGGGGTCGCGAGTATGAATTTCTCCATAGCGAATTCATGTATAATGACCTGTTGACATCCATGGCAAGTAACGAGCCCACAATCGGCAAATATGATATGGGAGACGATCAAAGAACAGAAGGTCCAGTCGCTCTATCGAGTTTGACTTTAGGACCAAGCCGCTCTCGTTATCTTCAATTGATATCCAAGATCGTCAATGGTCACACGGAAGTCAGTCTTGCACACTTTGATGAGTGGGACGGCAGACTTGACTGGATACCGAGTCTTTGTTTCAGTGGCAGTCAAGAAAATGATGGGACCACAGCCGCTACTGCATTCGACATACCTTTTTCGATTCAATTCGAGTCACTGCTACTTTCAAGTATCTACCGAGACGCAGGAAAATTACTTTACATCCAAAGAAGGTGTCCGGGTTTGGCACAGTCTTCCAGAATATCGCCCCAACAAAATAATGGACACTGCTCAAATATTGCTCGCCAACACAGGCGAGCCGAAATAGGTTTTCTGGTTTCCAATATTATCAGAAATCTAAAACTGTTACCTATAGATTCCAGGTACGAGAGCTCCATACTTTGGCCTCTTGGTGTTATTTCAGAATCCATTTTTTTGGAGGACCATAAGGAGTATGTATTACTTAGAGCACAATCTCTCGATGACAGATTTGGAATGAGAGTTTTTGAGAGGTTTAAAGACCTATTAACAAGTGCATGGAAGGGGAACATATTGGAAGACAACCCAGCATGTAGTCTCCGAGGACGGCTTTTATTAGGCTGAGTTATAATCAATTGCATGATTGCACCTAATATATAATCCGCTCTATAGTAGGCGGCAAGGAAAGAGGCAATGACAATTCATAGCGGCAATCCGAGCATATTTGACACATCCCAATGACTGATGAGATGATATTAGTAAGAAGCCAAGATTGTTATCACAACAAAGGTCTCACAGGGCTACTAAAGCCGGGCCAGAAGAGGTGGTACAAAGGGTCATTGCCCATGGTACTTGCGCATAAGTTGAAACATGGAGCTGTTACACGGCATAAGAGACTGCTGCATAGTCCCAGATTCAGCAAAACGTGGTTCTACACTTGTAGGACTCCATCGCTCATATTCGACACTACATCGACGAATCTGAGCCCAGGACAGGCATATAAAACAAAAGAACAAAAAGTATACGGAAAGAAGACGAGAAAGGCTATCTGTATAAAGTGTTCCTCGGACTTTGGTTCGCTCAAGCTGGGAATACATGAGATTGCATGTGCTGTTAGGAAGGACAAGAAGCAAGCAGTATGTAATTGTCATAGAAAGATCGACCGCAAAGCAGAAAGACTTCTCATGTCATGCGGAAATCAAGACATGAAGCAAAGATGTGGCTTATACCCTGGACAACGAAGGTTGTGTTTGGAATGCTGGGTATGGTAATACCAAGAGACGGCAGCTGAATAATGTGGTGGCTTGATGCATAAGGTAGTGTTGAGCAACCTACATGCCGAAAAGAATGACTACAGATGGTGGACGGAGTGAGTGCTGAAGTCGGAATAAGGTATGAGTTGGCAGTGGATCTGCAAGTCACACCACATCTTCCTACCGTTATGTAACTGCCAGCGTATGAATGCTACACGCGCTCAGCGATAAGATCTGCTACTTCCGACAGATTTCAGCTTTGAAAGACCAGATGTGTAAGCAATGGACCAATACTAGTTGAGAGCACAATGGTTTCGTACTTCCCATCGTCACCGTTCTGTATAGAGGGGTCACACCCTGAATGGCATCACATAATGATCAGGAGAATGGCTAGCTATGCAATAAGAAAGATTTAGAGGCATGGGTTCCAGCACGCTCATGTGATGAACACAAAAGAAAGGATATACTTTAAGCCCGATAACCCCACTCGCCTCGTTCAAAGTACGACACGCATACATGCAGCACCGGGATCTTGTCATATCGCCGACCTCAAATCGAGACGGTTTTATGCGGATGGATGGAATGATTCGAACTTGCGACCAGCTGTGAAAGTGTTGTGGGCAGTGGAAATCCAACCCAATAGTGGGCATCGAGCTGCAATGTAAGTCGTGGCGGAGCTGAGGGGTGGTGTAGAAAACGACTTTTTGAAGCGCGTTTAAATAAAAAGCAAACCCCCCCAATCCTATTGCCGTCGCAAGTTTTCGAACCTCGCTTGCTTGCCGAGGATTGACATGGATATGCAGCAATCTCGATTGCTGAGCGCCACCAACTTGTTTTGTGTCACAAAATGACTTGATACTAGTGGTGGCTTTGACTGTCCCCATGGCGTTGGGAAAGACGTCCATTATCTTCAGGGAAAATGTGTTTTTGATACCGGTAGTTGAATGTTCAATTAATTTAAGCCCAATATTTGCCATGGTGATCGACTGTCCGAAGTAGATGCCTCTTTCGTTCTTATTAGAAAGTATGTGCACAACGTAGATGTGCCCCGAAGTACCGGTAGTTGAATCCAGCTGGCCGGATTCGACACGGATGTGCTTGATCCCAGAATCCGGACCGCATGGTTCTTAATGTAAATACGAATAATAGACTTCGGCAGCGCTTGGCTTGCGAACCGGGCCGATGCGTAATCAAGCCCTGACCGTCTTATCTTGTTGGTCAAGTTCCATACCACCAGGGTCACCCAGTCCACGTTATATCGTGCTTTTGGCAACAAGCAGGCCTTCAGTGGCCAGCCAAGCGAATGAAATAATGTGAGTTGTGATCAAATCGGCAATGTATTATCCGTCGGGTCTCGTAAGCTACAAAAGGGAAGTTGACAGTCTGAAATTTTGCATTTGGAAACGGAAACCTCGTGGCACTTGGGCACTTATTAAGAGTTGAAGAAGGGTATCGCGCTTCCGCGGAATTCAGTCTGTGCTTCAATTTATAGAGAGATACTTTACGTAGTATCGGCCCTAAGCTTCAATTAGTGGGGCGTGATCAGAAGATCGAGATCAGACCCATATTATGGCAAGTGCCGATGAGGTCCTTGCTCTCCGCACTCCGCTCGGAAGGATTCCACGAAACTCTTATTCCGGCGTGAAGATCGTACGGAGTAAAGCCTTCTTTTATAAAGGTACCGTGGCGTGGTTATACAAGTACTGTAAGCCATATGCAAAGCGGCTTCATATCCGCAGCTGTCCATAGCAGGGAATATTAGGCTATGAATAAATTAATTACATCGGATCAATCGCTAATAGAGAACCTAGTTGAAGATCAATTCTTCAAGAGCCCACCCCTAGCAACACTACGCTGATAAATAATGCGCGGGATGACTAGATGGACGTGCCACCAGATGACTGCAGGGTGCTGGAGTGAGGGGTCCTTCGGAAAGTCTGAGAACTTGATGCGCAATTGCGAAATAGCGATTAATCCAGTGGCTCCCCAGGGAGAAAATGAAGCGGAAAGGAGAGGGGGTCAAGCTTGAGTTACGGGGTCTCTGCAGTATGACGGCAGATGGTACAACTAACAACAGCTTGGGTTGTTCAACAGCTGCATCCTGTACGTATCATGGCTGAAGATTCTCCAACGTTTGTTTAGTGATTTGATCCCATGATAAGCCGAGGTGCATCGCAGACGGGAGGACGGCCAGGATTAGGGCTGAAGCACGCTGCTGTTGTCGCTGTTGTCGCTGTTTTGCTCAACATGAGCATACGGCGTACTCGGTACTTCGCAGAAGACCTGATGGACTTCTCCAAGAAATTTATATAGAAGAAATTTGCGGACGCACAATGAAGATCGGTACGTAGGCAAGCGATCGACTTTTGGTTGATTTGTGAAGACTTCAAGCAGGGGGAAGGCGGGGGGGTTGGTCGTGCGTGGCAAGGGTTGCGCCCAGGGGTAAGAAATAGAAGTAAAAGTTGGTGCAGCATTGGGATTGATCCGAGTAGGGCTTGCGAATCGATAGTCGACATCAAGATCCTTGAAGCCATACCATACCATAACCAATACTGTGCATAATTTTCGGCATAAAATCATACGTAAAATGTACTGTAGTCTGTAAGTTTACTCCGTAGATGTATCGGGATGGACGGGCTGTCTGTCCATTTCAGTCACGGCGCCCGTGGACGGGGTTATGATCACTGGGCGCTGGTTGTTGCACGAGAGCACGAGCATTGAGTGGTCGAGGTGTGCGTTAGCCGTCTGTCCCCTCCGCAGATTTCAATCCGCACCGCCGTGGCATGCAGCTAGTCTTCATCCTTGAAACGTATCTCACCCGGTTTCTGGGTCGTCGCTTTCACTATGCTGTATGTACTTCACCCTGTTGTTTGCTATGGCCAAAACTTTCACATCCCATCCCGCGCTTGCATGGGTCGTTACTCTGGCGCTTGTCTGGCCTGGCCTTGCCCTCTTGCCGTCTTGCTTTGCCTTGTTTCTCGGTCCAGCTTGCTCGTGCTTGCTTGCTTTCTGTCGGACCTTTCAAATGCAAGTACAGCCCTCCCTTCTCCTTTCCTTACCTCTTCCTCCTTCGCCCTTTGCCATTCGATATACAGACCGCTTCTTCCTGCGCTTCATCTTGTGACGATTCTTGGCCCAACGAGCAGTGCAGTGCCACTACAAACACGTCGCATACAAGGTGTGACCCCCCGATTGGCCCCTCCCTCCCTTCTACAAGCTCCAAGCTGGTTCTGCGTGGCGCTGGCTGCAATCCGCCAACTCGGTCAGCCATGCAGTAGACGTCCACTACACACTATATGTTCTCGCAGACTCGGAACACAATCAATTCTTACATATTATCGTCGGGACGGTCCTTATCCCCATCGCGATCGATTGATCATTCATCTGAAGTTTATGCCCTGGGATTGAGGTGTGCCGCCATTCCGCAGACTTAAATAGTCGCCGGCAAATCTACAAATTAAAGACTAGCAGCCACAGCCATGGAGAGGTAACAGTCGTAGGAAAACATACCTTCAGCGCCTTGCATAAGAATCGCAAAGGTACCTTGTACATATTGCTTGTCTGCAGGAGCAGGTGAACGTCATTTGATTCAAGTTTTAAGGGCTCATCCATAGAGTGTCCAAGGTATGACAGCCGACCCTTCATGTACCCAATGCTTCTGACATTTGATATTAGGCCACTCACCTCCCACTTCTGCTTTCCGATAGTCTGAGCAATTGTCTCGTCTGCCGCCTGCCGAATCAAATATGTCGAAGTCGGAACCAACCAGGGCTGGCGCAGCTCCTGCACCGCATAGTTATCCATACCCTCCCAGAACAACTGAAGGGGGAAATCCAAGAGCACCTCCACTTATTTTGCCTCCAATGTCATCACTCCTACAAAGAAACGAGCGCATGGAACCAGAACTGCATAACCCCTATTCGTCTCGGCGCTTTTCCGACAGAAACCATCCCCTTTGGATCAGCGAGTCGGACCCCAATGCTCCTGTACATCATATATATCATCCCCCACAATCGCACTCACACAGTCTACAGTATCCAGCGCAGCCTATCCTCGTTCCAAATCACCCGCAAAACCAAAGCAACCTAGGGCATAATCCGGATCAGAGACCTCCGCAACCTCAAGCGCGGCAAATCAGACGAATTGTTCAACGACGTGGATATGATGTACCAAAAGGCGATACGACTCCTGAAATAATTTCGCCCGTCTCGAATCCTCACCCGTGGATATCTCAACCGCCTAGTCAATCAGCAAGTCCATTCCAGCAACAGATGGCGCTTTCACCAGCAGGTCCCGCTCCCGCTCCCACTCAAAGCCCTACTTCTAGGTCAATGCCAATATCAGGGCTACTGAGCGGCAGTCCAAGGTCAGAGATTTCTATTCATATGAGAAGATATATCAACTAATTCTCTTCAGTCCCGAGATGCGAAGACCCCCTCCCAATTATTCAATTCGCATGCGGCAAGAGCCCATCGCAGCCCGCGCTTGCGGTTTCGGCGAAAGAGATCGCAGGGTGATTGACCCCCCTCCAATTCTGCAAATGATGATAGAAGATCCCAACTCGACTCCAGGTGAAATAAGCGCACTGCTTCGACAACCAAGCGCTGTTATGCACTGCACTTTATGGGATCCCGTGGCCAATAAAGACGACAGTGCTATGCCAGGGACAACCGACAAGCGGCAGCAACGGCGGTTGATGGGAACACTTGTCTCGTCACCGTTCGTAGGCCAAGACGAACATAATGTCGAAGGATGCTTCTTCACTTTTCCCGATCTCTCGGTTAGAACTCCCGGAACCTATAGCTTACGCTTCAGCCTCATGATACTAGATGTCACGAGAATGATCCCCGGGGAGAAAGTCCCTGTCAGGTGTCTCGCTTTCAGCCAGGCCTTCCACGTCTACAACGCCAAGGATTTTGGTGGCATGCGAGCGAGCACTGAACTTACTAAGCGGCTCAAGCATCAAGGGTGCTTAATCAGCGTCAAGAAAGGCAATGCGAAGTCGAGCGGTGGAGCACACGAGAGCGATGGAGACGACGACGACGATGACAACGAAGATCTTGGAGAGAAGAAACCAGCCAAGAGACCAAAGCGGTGAGGAGTCAGCAAAATCAAATTCACCTTTACTAACGATAATGAACCGGTGGCCGTTGTGATGTTATTGAATTATATGGCTTCAAAGGGTCAAAAGCACACGTTAACTCGGCGAGGACGAGGAGTTTTTGGAATTATGGGGCAATATATTATGGCTTGGTTGTATTTTTGACACAGTGGATACCTCTTTTTTATATTTGCTTGATTCTTGGAAAGAGAGAGAACAATGGGCGGTGGTTGACCTTTTGGTCCCCAGCTCTGTGATTGATACCCATGATAGAAAGACGAGAGAGCTTGGAGTTTGATTTTGCTAGGGATGTAGCTAGGAAATTACATTGATATTGAAATAAGTTCGGATTTGATTGATATCGCATCAAAGCTGTCATTAATTTGCCTTCCTCCCTCTACCCAGGAGAGAGAGAGGCTCAAAAGCAACTCCTCTCTCCTAAACGCCCCCTCATCCCCGTAACGTCCCTAATCATCTCACTCACCAGCGTCGCCAACTCCCTCTCTTCATCCCGTACATGTTTACTCCCCTTGACTACCTTTATGGGCCAGAGAAGGAAGTATGCTCCTACACCTTGAAGGGTTCTCTTCTCCTCCAATATCTCGCTTTCTAATGCCCTTGCTTCTGGGGTTGGGATTAGTAGAGTCCCGGCGGAATCGATGAATCCTAGTGATTGGGGGGCCTGGGTGGTGTTAGTGATAGTTTTAGTGATAGTGGGGGTTGGGGTTGGGGAACAGGCAAAGGGGAGGCATGCCGTGGAGACTATTTTTGCGGCGAGCGACAAGATTACACTTTTTGAATGCATGTAGTATTCTTGGAGCTCGGAGAGCGTGGGAGCGGAATCGGAGGGTGCGGAGGATGCGCAGCTGGATGTGGATGTACGTTGTGGTCTATTTGAATGCGAGTTTTTAGCTAGTGAGTTGTGAGGGGAAGGAAGGGGGGAGAGTGGGTTTCGCGAGAGGGGGAGCATGTACGGTGAAGGATAGCTCCAACTAGCAAGAGAAACAGAATCTAGCAGCCGGTCCAAACATTCCAGTATGTGCGTATGCAGGATGATACGGCCGGTGCGGTGATAGTTCCACTCATAAGCAATCCTGCAAGAGAAGAAAAAACATATCAATATCATTTCTCCATGTCCGGAGCTCACAAACTTACCACGCATCGTGATGGAGTTGAATATGCGCTGGAAACCACTCCGGTGCCCCCGCAATATCATGCTTCCTCGCGTCCCTATACTCCCAACTCGGCCCAGCCCGCCACCCCGTCGCCGTCCGATCTAACTCGACCATTTTCCTCACCAGCTCCATGGTCTCTTCATCGCTCCGCTCATCGCCCGCTACCAGTTTCGCCCTCAATTCACGTGCACTAGCACAGATTTTCGAAATGGCGAAATTGTCATGCGTGATACGGTTACTAGGCGTATCCGGCGTCAAACTCGACAGCAAGTCTTCCTGTTCCTGGGAAATCGCAGGCGCGGAGTCGTAAGTGAGCTGTTGCCGCTGCAAGCGGTGGTGCGCGAGTCTGTATAGAGACCAGCCGCGCGCGGAGTATATCTGGTCCGGACCGCGCAGACGCAGGATTTGAGCCATTCCTTCGGTATGTGCGCTACGGCTGTGGGTGGGGACTTGTATGAAGATGGTCTGCGACGTTTGTTAAGGAAGAGGAAGTCAAGGGGGGGGTGGGGGAGGAATACTTCGAATAGATCGAGCATGACGACGGTCATAAGCGTATAATCGCTAACAGCCTCCTCTTTATTCCTCAACGAGTCACCCAGCGCCTCCAACGCCTTCCCATAACACACACTAGCCTTCCGCTCCAACTGCTCATTCCCCTGTTCATTATTCAGACTCGCAAAACTCGCAGCACGCACAGCCCACCGCAGCGCTACTCGTCCTTCGGTCTGCACTTCTTCGAACAGCATGGGGAGCTGTTCTAGGAAGCCAGATGAGGAGGATGAGTTACAGGGAAAGAGGACGAATTTCTCGAAGAATTTATCGACAGCCCTCTTCTCGACGCTTTGCTCACGTGCTTTCGACCCATCTTTCAGCCACGGGTACGGAGTCCCTAGATCCAGATCCTGGGCTGCGTTCTCGAGGTCGCTGTCATCTATGGAGCTGACTGAGAGCGTGATGCGTAGACGAGAGCTAGATGACAGAGATGAGGCTCTGCGCCGTGGTCTTGTTTGGGCCCGCGAGACGAGCGTTGCAGTACGCTCGTTTTCTGATTTGAAGAGGTAGGTGGTTTGGGGGTCGCGGTAGCCATAGCATGCTTCACCGCGTTGGATGCAGCGGTTGCAAAAAGGACGGCCTTCGTCACACTGCATGTTCGCTGTTAGTAATTTGTGTCTCGGAGATTGATGTGCAGATTCAGGGTACTTTGACTTTACGCTTCCGGCATTGTTGACACCCTTTACTTGCTCTTGAGCCAGACATTTGAAATCTATGGTCAATGAGAGATTGATAGTAGAATATTTCTGATTATAGGTTAGATGCACATTTATCTTTACGTACTGAGTGAAAGGAAAGAAAGCGGGTCGTCGTTGCGCGCAAGCGAGCCCCTGCCTGGCGGAATGTAAGCTTGTCACGTGGGTATATAGCTCCTTATATGGGGGTTTCCTAGCTAAAATGCGTGATTTGTTACACCCATATTAGCTAGCTATCCAGCTAGGTAGTTATTCTACAATCTGCTACCGCTGAGGTAACCTAAAGCATCAAGTAGCATGATCGTCTAGATCACGTGAACATTAGTCTATCCTTAGCATATTTGAGGTTTTAAATTATATCTATAATGAGGCAAGCAACAAGGATGTTTTCTTTTACAAAATACATATGCAAAGAGTAGTCTTTGTCAAGTGCAATTTTCCATCTAAGAAATAAATAGCTTTCCGTGGCCCTCGGTTGTAAAACGAGGCTGTGCTACTCTTCGTCTGACTCTTAATACCATTTCCCCATCGCATCCTTTACTTTTCTACAAAACACCGAATCTTCAACCTTACATTGCCTAACAACACACACCACTCGACCGAACACCAGAGATCTTATGGATACTTTACCCGCCGAACTTGGAGCGTTAATCCTAGAGAATGCCCCCGATGTGGGCAGCCTTTGGGCTTTCGTCCGAGCATCGCCCTATTTGCATAGTATCTTCCGCAAGTGTCGAGAACAAATCCTGCCTGTTGTTATCGCTCGTGACATTGGCCCTGTTATTACGGTTGAGGCTCTAGCAGCTCTGGAGTAGGTTCGTTTTCATACAAGTTCGAGAAGGGAGGGGGGAGCTGTTTCGAGGGGGGGCATACGGCGCACGAGACGTTGATTTCTTACAATACTAATTCATCTTAGCTCTTCACGATTTACACTGTATGGAGAAGCGAAAGGGGAAATTACGGTATTTATCCGTGGCCCTCCCAAGTCTGAAGCGTTGAAGTGGATTGAAAATTACTTTTCGGAGTCCGAGGATTTGAGATGGCGTGAAAGCGATGGTGCCAATCGACGAAACATATCACCATCTTCGGACAATATGTTACCGCTCTGGGCATTGCATAAAGAAGTGAAGTTTATAGCCAACCTTTACGTCCAAGAAACCTTACCCATCATGAATCACTACGCCACAGAACACTCCCCAAGTCCGACTACAGGCAAAGCAGATCCACACACACTCGACGACCTTTCGTCCATCGAAAAAGACCGCATCTTACGAGCCATCTACCGCTTCGTGATCTTCGGGAACCTCTTCGCTCGCCCTTCCGCGGAATGGTACTCCGAAGAATTATGCGAGCACTTCCTGTGTCGCTTTCCCGCCTGGCAAGTCGAGGAACTAAGCTGTGTGAATGATTTCATGACCGACAGGATCCGGCAGAAATGGCAGGAGATGGAGGATAATGAATTCAATCGTCTCGCCGCGGGCGATCCGCAGTTGTGGGAAATTGAGCCGAGGCCGGATCCTTGGAATTGTCGCTGGGATGCGGATTTCTATTCCAGTGAGACAAAGGGCCTTTGTTTCGAAGAGAAGCAGGCATTTCTTACTAGTTTGCCTATTGAGGTCTTGACAGCTTTGTTCCAGGCGGAAGGTGGGGTTTTGGAGGAGTTGGTGAGGGGATGGGCGGAGGAGTGGCGGGGTGGGGACGGGCCGTTCTTAATAGAGGCGTTAGATTGTGACCCGAGGTATTTGCCTGTGGATCCTGGGGTGGAGGTGCTCAGATGTGATGCAAAGGTTGAGGCATGGGATGATAGGTCCATGTCTTTGGTTGATCGTGAAAAACCTGATAATGTGATGTCTGCCAATATCGGCTGGTATTGGACGCATGATTGGCAGCCCTTTGAGTTGTATGTTAACTCTACATCCAATGCTTGGGGGGGAGAAGGGGATGATGAGGATAGTGAGGGGTTCCGACGGCTTGGGTACGTGTTCTGGGATCGTTGGCGCCTGAGATCTCTTGAAGAATGCAAGTAAGTGGACTTACTTAATTCGTGCAGATATGTCAAGCTAATGATTTGTAAACAGTTCAGAGTCTTTTGGAAAGAAGATCTTAGAGAAGTTTCCCCGACCAGCTTCTCCAGATAAGAGTCTAAGCGTGGAGGAAAGAATTCGGGAAATGGCGGGTTGTAGGTGTGGTGGGGTTATTAGGCCCGAGGATTCGAAATGTAAGATCAAGGGACATAGGGTGAAGTTTGAGTATCCGTGTGGGCCGGGAGCGACTGGGAAGGAGGTTTGAGTTATGTTTGACATAAGAAAGACTTTACGTATATACTATGTCCTCCTCTTGTTCTAAGAGTATTGGTTACTACTCAACATATCAAGCCCGATACACGAAGCCTTGTATGTTGATATTCTTTGACCATATGAGGTGGTTCGATCGAAAGAGGTCCAGAGGATGTTGGCATTATGTTGCATCTAGGTTAAATATAGACTACCCAGAAAGTCGTTGTTGCCTGCATAATTAGCTACCACCATGAATTTCATTTAACTTCCTATCATGTCAAAATGCATGTAAAGAAAAGTAATATATAATAACGTAAAACCTCTATATTTATCTCATCATACACCCAACTCTTCCTCTTTTCCTTTCCTACTTATCCAGAACAAAAGCCCAAACCTAAACCCCAAAACCAACTGGAAGCCAAGCTAAGCCGGAGGAGGTGCAGGCTTTCCAAAAACCGTCTCCCCCAAAACCTCTCCGCCCCCCAACTTGACAGCCTCCGCCCCTACCATAACAACCAATATCCGACACCACTCGTCCGTGCGATTATGCCACTCATGATTCGTGCCCCTCTGCACAATAACCTCGTTCTGCTTGACGGTCTTCTCGCGTCCTCCATCGAGGCGCAAGACGATTTCGCCGGCTAGCACGACGGCGTAGTCGAGGGAGAGGGTGCGGTGCATGGGCGCGGAGGAGTTGGGTGCTATGTCGGTGGTGCAGAAGAGGACGCCGGAGGGAGGGGACCGCGGGAGGGTGTTGGTGAGGATCGGGAGGGCGGTTTGGTTTGAGGCGGGGACCGTGTCGCTTTTGTGGCTTGGGTGGATGTTAGGGAGAGAGGGACGAGGTGAAGTGGAGAGAGAAGGACTTACAATGAGGAGAAAGAGCTTTTGCCAGGCCCGAAAGGTTGGAAGGCCTCACAAACGGTATCGGCGGCGAAGATGGATACACCATCATTCTTGTGTGTAGTAACGACCATACGGGTTGGGGGAATTGTAGATGCCATTGCTGATATAGAAAGCGAAGTTGGAAGTAATTCTTTCGTTTGCTAGATGTTTGATATTGAAGTGAAGGTAAAGTGATAGATAGATAGATCTTAGACTGCCTTTCCGATCGATTTGGTTTGATTTGATTTGATTTGATTTGATCGTCCAAGTGAAGATAAACCTCTTTACTCTGTACTGCTGCTAATATCCTTTCAATCGAGAGAGAAATAACATCTTTATATACCTCCCTGTGCGGCACATAACAAAACTCACAGGATGAACAAGTACGCAGCCTAGCCTCGCACAAACAACATGCTGATTGGTTCGCACTGCTCGCTCACCAGGACTGTTTTGGGGAAAGCGGGGCGAGGCTACCTTACCCCCGCAGCCGCACCCGAAAGCGGCGTCTTTACTCCGTAGCGTGCCACGGACACCCTCCCCATGCAGATCCCTCTCGCAAGCAGGGATCTGTTTTGGTACAAGTGCGGCGAGGCTGACAAGCAGTCAGGGTGTGTCAGTGTCAGAAATGTCAGGCTTTGAGTCAGACAGAATTCCTAATGGTAAGGTTGAAGTATATGCTTACTTACCTTTACGGAGTATGCGGTGCAGCTAGCCTCAATCTGTTTACAATACAGATATTCAATATAAGCTCTTCCGTTATGCATACAGATCATATTCATTATGTGCACCCCTCTCTACTATAACAATCATAAAATGCAAAAGCAAATGAGGTATATCCTCAAACTCCAACGCCCCAGAATGTCTCATATCCAGTACCGCTGCCTTTTCCCCCCTTATTTCGGTGCCTCGCCCTCTACAAACCTCAAGGCTTCTTCACGACTAACAGCATCAATGCCACTCGTCTTGTTATGAAACGTAACTCCGTAACACTTATCCGCAACGAGCAACATCTCTGGCCTAAAGGTCGTGCAAATAAACTGCCCACTCATGCCACCAGCCCCATTCTCATTGTCCTGAGAACTCTGCTGGAGCGAGATTTCTTCCAGCATCTGCGCGACGGCCGTGCGGTATTGTGCGTCGAGATTGGCGTCGATTTCGTCGAAGAGGTAGAAGGGTGCTGGGTCGCATTGTTGGATTGCGAAGACCAGGGCTAGGGCGCAGAGACCTAGTGGTTTGTTAGATATAAGTTGTGAGAAGGGGAAGTGACGTACTCTTTTGACCACCGCTCAACTGCTGGATTCGTTGTTGTTCGTCATGCTTGCTGTTGAAAGATACGCTGATGCCGACACCGGTGTAATTCTCAACCGACTCACGAGGCTCGTCATCTGAGTCTTCTTCCTCACGAACACGTTGGTCCATCTTGCGTTGGATGATGAGCTTGCCGCGACCAGCAGGAACTAAACGCTCAAATATAGATGCAAACTCTTTAGAGACTTGTTTGAATGTCCGTTCAATGGCTTCGTCCTTGCGTGTATCCAGAATCTCGACCAGTTCTTGAATCGAGGATTGAGCTTTGTCGAGCTCTAGTCGTCGCTTAGTTAGGGAATCTCGTTGGCTCGTGAAGGTATTATATTGCTCAAAAGCTTTCTTGTTGACGTGCTTGAATCTCTTCAAAGCCTCGGTAACTTTCTTGAGACGAGAAGTAACCTGTGAACAATTAGCACATGTCAATACTCTTGCAGCAAGATGCTTACAGTCTTGGACTCGACATTGGAAAACTTCTCGAAGGCCTCCTCGGGAAGAACACCCAGATCACGAATATTCTTAGCACATTCCGCAGCTGAGACAATCAATAAGGCCTTCTTGGCGCTGCTCTTCTCCATCTTCTTGTGGCGCTTTTCAATGGATTTGGCCAACTCCTGCTGTTGTTCTTCTTTTTGAATCTTGATCTTTTGCAGATTGGCAACCTTATTCTCAGCTGCTTCTATTGCAACATCGTTCTCCTTCAGTTTCTCCTCCACGACGGCAGCGGCTTTCTGGATGCGCTTGAGCTCACGCTGCGACTCTTTAAGGCTTCCAGAACCAATACCAGCATTGGTATCAATTTCTTGACTGTTCAATTGGTCCAACTTCATTCTCAGGTTCTCGCGCAAGTCGACTTCGAGAAGTTGCTTCCGGCCCTCAAGCTCCTGTTTACTCTTGCTCAAATCGTTCCATTGCTTTCGTAAGTCTGCGACGGTCGTAGTTAGCTGTTCCAGTTGGGTTTCTTCGTTCGCAGTTAGTGCCTTCTTGAAGTCGGAAGATAACTCTTGTTCGAATCCATCTACAGTGTCGCCATAATCCTTGAGCAACTTTTCAACAATCTCTCTTCGACGAATGTGATCTTCCAGCTGACCTCTCTGCTTCTCCAAATGTGAACTCAAGACTCTCAACTTCATCTTCAGCGGGTCAAAGCTGTCGTCGAGTTGACGCAATTTCTGCTCGAGCTTTTGAAGCTCTCCCATCGCAGCAGTAATCTCTTGGTCCTTTCTCTCAACCTCCTGTCTAACCTCAACAGCACGTCTCCTCAAGGTTTCAAATTCGTCTCGCCACTTGTTAACAGACCGAACTGCTTGCAGTCGTGATCTGCGAGTGTCGATGAAACCTCCTGTCAGAGCACCCTTCTTGTTTGCAGTGTCACCTTCCGGGGTGATGGCATTGCAATTATGAGTACGAGCGTATTGCGAAGCAATGGCAAGATTTGGACAGATAATAGTCTTGCCAAAGACTTGGCTCATAGCTCTCTCGAACTTAGCTTCATAGGTGAGCATGCTTATCAATGACATAGCATCGGATGCTTTCGGCAGCTTCGCTGGCTTGGGTCGAAGCTGGCTCAAAGGCATGAAAGTGACTCGACCTCCTCTTTGCTTCTGCAAAGCGTCCATAAGTATAGTAGCTGTCTCTTCATTGTCAACGACATAGTGAAACAAGCTGTTGCCAGCGGTTTGTTCTGCCGCAGTTCGACAGTCTTCTGGTACCTCAAATAACTCTGCCAGAGTGCCGTAGGCTCCTTCAAGATTATTCTCTTGTTTGAGGCGGCGTACTGTTGCCAAACCACGAGAGGTTGCGCCGTCCATGGTATGAGATAGATCTCGCTCAGCACGCTCCTTCTCATGTCGAGCATCGCTTATAACCGAATCAAGCTTGTCATCTTCGCGGCGAAGCAACTTGCGCTCGTCGGTCAGTTTCTCCAGAGCATCCTTTGCAATGGTGACCTGCTCGGATAAGGCTTGTCGGCTGCCACCCCAGCCATCCAGTCGTTTCCGGAGGCCAGCAATTTCTTCTTCCAGGTTCTTGATTTCAGACTGCACAGACTTGACCTCCTCGTCCGCGTTCAAGCGATTAGCCTTTTGCACACCCATAGCTATATTCAGCTCCTCAATTTCACTTTTGAGCCACTTATCACGTTCAGCCTTACTTTTGAACTGCGAGGTCCGACCTTGCTTGTTGTAGAGTCGATTTTGGGTGGCCTCCGCAGCATCAAGTTTCTGCTTGACTTCCGTCTCATTATCCTTCCGCTTCTTGTACTCAGGTAAAATCTTCTTCAGCTCGGCCTCTTTGGCAGCGATTTCCTGCTTCACTGACTTGAGCTCCTCCTGATGTTGCGACCGGGCTTGTTCGGTGGATGATAAGCCATCGGAGAGAGTTTTGACGTCCAATTCAATCTTAGCCTGCGTCTTCCAAGTGTCACGTCGATCCTCCTCTAGCTGGCGTCGTTCGAGTCTGAGAAGCTCCATCTGGCGGTTCAATTGTTTGATTTCGTCGTCCACCTCGGTAATTGCACGCTCGCCCTCCAAGAAAGCCCCCTGGTCTTCATCCGTACCCTCGATGCCATCTCGGCGCAAATCCTCAATTTCATCTAGAGCCTCGGCTAAGATAACTTGCTCTCGATGGTAGAACGCGTACTCAAGACAACGGCGTTCCTTATCTTTTTCTTGGTAGCCACGCAGCTCTTCCTTTTCTTCCTCCAACTCCGAAAGACGTTCCTTGATGTAATCGAGTGTCTCATCAATCTTGGCACGCTTGTTATTTGTATCGGTCATGATCTTTAATGATTCAGATCGACGTGCCTCATATATCTGGGTGCCGGCAACTTCCTTAAGGAGATTTAGTCTCTCCGTATCCTTCATATTGGTCAACGCCGTGACACGACCCTGGGGTACGATGTAGTAAGGGTTTGACCGTGAGAAACCAGCCGATTCTAATAGATTCATGACATCTGTCTTAGTCGCATTCTTGCGATCAAGCGAGTATTCATCCTTCTTTAAACCAATCGTGCGTCGCAGGATCACCTCGTCCTTTCCAGTGGGGAATCGCTCATCGCTATTGTCGAAGATGATCTCCACGTAGGCAGACATCACGGCGGACCCTGAACCTTCGTGTAGCAGAGCCTGTCGCTCTTCGCGACCCATCTGAGTGTAGGAATCGCTGAGCACGAATCGAATTGCGGCAAAGAAGTTACTCTTTCCAGAGCCATTGCGACCAACAACAACATTCGTTTTTGGGGAGAAGGGTTCGATGACAGTCTGCTCCTTGTAACTGTAGATTCTTAGCTATGACCTAGGGAAAGAATCTCATGAGAGTTTTACCTCTTGAAGCCCTGGATGATGATCTGCTTGATGTACATCTTTGCGATCCGTTTGCGCCCGCGGGGCAGTAGTCGTCCGGGACTTTCGAGGATTGCTCAGAGTAGGTATATATTGTCGCACTTCTATATCGCGCGGCTGATTATTTGAGTCCCTCCCGGATTTCAAAGCTTCCAGGAGCAATATCGTGGAGGCGTAAGCAGTTGTTGAAGTTCCCGTTGCATCACGCGTAGGAAGAAGTTGACGCGCCAAATATCCTGAAAGTCGCGAGGTCCCGAAATGGCCTTAGCGCTGATCTTCCCTCACCGCCAACAAAAGAAGTGAGGGGTCTGGCAGAATTACTTTGACATGGAAAGAAAAGATTCTATGATCCCTCGAAATTACAAGTTATAACCCTTTTGAACTCAACATTTCAAGAAGATGGCAGAACCTCCGAATACCCCCCAGGTCTCTATGCCCTCTACTCCAGCAGACGGACAGTCTCCCACTCATACCTATGTGCCAAATCACGGCTACGATACCTCTTCATCTGCCCAAGATGCCCCACCAAGCTCTGCTGGTGGCCAAACAGAATACGCCGCCGACAACGAAGATGAGGTCTACGACGATCTGTTCGACGAGGATGAAGAGGAATACTTTGAGGATATGGAGTACGATCCATCTTCCGGAGATCTCACCAAGTCTTACAACCGCCAACGCAAGATGAACGACCAGAGCGCCACTGCCCCGCGCATAAACCCACAACAAAAGCCAAGTGCAAACACCAAGTCCAGCGTCGATGATCAGATATCTAGTCTTGCAAAGCATGCCGGGAAGATCCGGCTTGACGGTGGAGAGTCCCATCGAACTCACGGAAAGGACAAATCAGACCGAGCAACCAGTGAGCAGGTCTTAGATCCACGGACACGGATGCTACTCTTGCAGATGATCAATCGAGGCGTAGTATCAGAAGTCAATGGGTGTCTGAGTACCGGCAAAGAAGCAAATGTCTACGGAGCGCTATCGATGTCATCTTCCGAGGGCGAAGAATCCCAACCAATTCATCGAGCTATCAAAGTCTACAAGACAAGCATTCTGGTGTTCAAGGACCGTGATCGCTATGTAACCGGAGAACATCGCTTCCGATCAGGCTACAACAAGGGCAATAACCGCGCTATGGTCAAAGTTTGGGCGGAGAAGGAATTCCGAAATCTAAAGCGATTATACCTTGCTGGAATCCCTTGTCCGGAACCTGTCTACCTACGACTTCACGTTCTAGTCATGGGGTTTTTGGGTGATAAGAAGGGATGGGCTGCGCCACGGCTGCGAGATGTCGAACTCCACGGTGACGACGTGGACGAGCAATGGAGAGTCTTGTATCTTCAGATGCTTGGGCTGATGCGACGAATGTATCAGACTTGCAAACTCGTCCACGCAGATCTGAGCGAGTATAATGTTTTATACCACGAGAAAAAGTTGTTCATCATCGATGTCTCTCAGAGTGTTGAGCACGATCATCCTCGATCTCTCGAGTTTCTGCGAATGGATATTAAAAACGTGTCTGATTTCTTTAGGCGTAAGAGTGTCAATGTCCTATCCGAGCAAAGTGTCTTTGGATTTATCTCAGCCCACAGTGGACAAATACAGGAACCTGGCCTCACAGATTCCCTCGAGAAATTGTTCGTCGAACGGCCTGTGGTAGAGGAAGGCGAGCAAGCTGCTGCCGAGCAAGAAGTCGAGAACGAAGTCTTTCGCCAGCAATACATTCCGCAAACATTAGAACAAGTATATGACTTCGAGCGCGACGCAGAGAAAATTGGCAAGGGTCAGAAGGATGACTTAGTATACCGAAATTTACTCGCAGACAAGGTACCCATGTCATCGGGAAACGAAGCTGATGGCGAAGATACAATGGGTGGTAGTTCTTCCGCGGAGGATGATGAAGAGGGTAGCGATACCGAAGATGAGAGTCGATTCGAAAAGGGCACACCAAGGGGGAAGAGGTTCGAGGATAAAGATGTCAAGAAGGTACACGCTTCCATGTCTCCCGACTTTCACCAGCTCACATTTACTAGGAACACAAAAAAGCAGTCAAGGAAGACAAACGCGAAAAGAGAAAAGAAAAGATGCCCAAGCATCTCAAAAAGAAGCTCGTCAGCTCATCAGCCAAGCACAAGCACTGATTCGATATCAAATCAAAGAAACCATACCAATATACCAACGCTGCCCCAATATGAACATGCCGAAGTGAGTTCAGTTTCCCGGGAAGTTTCCCTCGACCTTACAAACTGCAGTCAGTATACAACCAGACTTCTATTATGTCTGGTTACCCCTGCGACCACACATGAAGCGCTCGAATGACGAAAACAAAATCTTCTCCAAGTCAGGCAGATGGCCGCGTTCTGCATTCGTCTGCAAAACCTCCATCGAGCCTTTCCGCGGAGAAGCTGAGAAGCTTTCCTTCTCTCCAGAGAAGGATGGTTATGCTGATCAAAGAGAGCACTGACGAGCGCTTCATGTGACCTACTTTTTGCTGGTCCAGATTTCATTGTCGTCTTATTCCACGTGTTGGTTGATTCTACTCCTTCGTAGATCTAAGGTCTTAAATCCAACTTTGACCGGGTGTATTCAATCTTCTTGCTATAATATTATATCATATCAACCTATTCTCTCCCCCCTCGTATCATTCCTCCTCGCTTGATCTCGCGCCCACGTAATAGGGTCTTTCCACCTCGCAACACTCGTCGCCACCGAATCCCTCTGCGCAGCACCCTTATTAATACCAAGCGGCTCCACATCATCAACATCTACACTATCCCGTTGGTGTCGAAAGTCATTGTTCTTGTTCTTCCCCTTCATAATCCCGCCACCAAAGCCTAGCTCCCGTTCGGTGAGTATATCGGTCCTTACTCTCCCAAGACGCTCTTCGCGATCTATGGCTTTATTGCCTAGTGTGCTGCCACCCGTATGCGGATCTTCTTTCTCGGCGGCGAAGAAGTCGTCTGGCATGGTGGCCATATCGTTGTGATTATTATTATGACTTGCTTCCGGACGTCGGGGATTAAAGATAGGCGGCATGAAATCCGCTACTGTAGTTCTATTCCCAAAAGCGGCGGAACCGTTATGATTGTCGTAGGTGTTGGGAAGATTCGGGTTCCGAGACTGGAAGATTGGTGGGACGAATTGTGCCATTGTGTTTTGACCTCCAGAGGTGGCCGAGGATTCAGAACCCCAGATTGAACGAGTGGCGTTGCTGCGGTTGGAGGGGAAGTTAGGGGCGGGGTACTGAGCACGGTGGGCTTTGAAACGACGTCGGATCAAAAAGATGATGAGGCCTATGAAAAGTGCTGCGGCAACTAGGTGTATGTTAGTGAAAATAGACCTGGAGAGGGGTGGGCGATGCAACATACTTCCTCCTATGATACCTAGAACCAGAGCTGTTGAATTTGTCGATGTGGAAGCGGAAATTCCAGCCGAGGATTCCTCTTTAGCTGATGATGCCTTTGCTGGAGCGACCGTTCCAACGAGAGCTGAACTAGATTGGATTGGAAGGGCGGACGGTGGCTCGGATTTGGCGATGGGTGCAGCCGAGGATGCCAAGATAATTGCACCAGCGGCTGAGCCTGATACTGATGTAGAGAGCGTTGTCTTAGGAGGTGGAGGGAGAGGTAGAGACTAGATCTGGTCAGAGTGTTGGAAATATGAATCAACATTTTAACTTACTGATGTTGTCACAGCGGCTGCTGAGGTAGCAGCAGGTGGCTTTGGAGGTGGAACTGACGTTGCTGCCGTCGTACTTGCGGCTTGTGAGCTCGCTGTTGCCGATGTCAAAGTCTGAGAAGCCTGGGTAGTCGAGAAAGAAATCTGTGAAGTAGCCGGGGGAGGCGGTGGTGCTGATGTCTGAGCTTGAGCCGTCGAAGTGCTGCTATCATCATCGCTACTTTCACCATCGTCCTCCACCTTCACTTCTTTCGACTTTTCTTTCTTCTCATCGTCACCTCGTCTCGCTTTCCTCCAACGTGGGAGACCCTCCCATCTTGCTTTCCTCCTCCTGGGGACTGGGTCCCGTGATTCGTATCGCTCTCGGAAAGACATTATTGGGGGGAGTTGGGGACGGTAGATGAAAGATCAAGACTGCTTTTAGTTCGTTGAATTCCAGATTCAAAGAGTGAAGAAATAGACAGCCAGTGTCAGATAGAAGGAAAGTGCCAGCACGATGCGTTTACCAGAAACGCACGAACAGGTAGAAATTCCGTTGAAGCCCAGGACCAGGATCAAACAGATGTATTATAATTTGGGCAACAGCCAAGGAATTGGCCACGACTAGACTGGAAGCGCCGCCACGACATATCGTGAACGACTGCTTCACCTGAACCCTATGAAAATGGCGCTTGAAACCGATTATCAAATATCTCCGCCTCCATACGAGACCACTCAGCGCATACCCGAGACCATACAGCCCTAGAAGAAACGGAGAACATGGAGAAGAATCATCTGTATTGCGCAAGAATCGTCGAAGATCGGCAAAAACGACAGGATCTATGCCAACCGAATTCTCTTGGCGATGTTTGGGTTGCGGCTACCAAGAACGATCGTGAGACTGCCCAGAGACTTGGCTGTTCGATCTCCTGAATAGGCGTTCCGATACACGACAGAAGAAACGTAACTATGGATGCATAGCAGCAACAAGATGTATCAGTAGTGGATGTCCAAGATTCGAACTCTCCGAGCGTGAAAGATCTCGACTTCAAGATGCGACGCGTGCATTTCCCTCGCCATGGACAAATTTAACACTGAAGCTGGTAAAACGAAATATCAAAATGGACGATTGGAGAGATAAAATCAAGCTAGATATTGCTTGTTTTGGGTTCATGTTCAAAGAGACGAATAAACGCCAATCCTCTATACACAGAAGAGAGGAAAGGAGAAGGAAACTAGGCGAAACTATTCACCAGATTCCAACAGATTCACCTGGTAGGACTTTGCGACTAGTCGAGAGAGAAGGGCTTGATATCGCACTTCCATCTGCAGAGGCTGCTTCATTCCGCCCTGAAGATACGTAAGTCTCAAAAATTCCATTAGCTGAATCCAATGTCCTTCTCAGAAGACCTCGCAAACCCAAGACCGATCGTCTCGTCGACTGGAAACTCATATTCCAAGCCTACGGTATTATTGGTGTGCTCGAGACATTTTGCTCGTTTATCATGTCTTACTTATTTGCAACGCTGCGGCATTACCTTCAGCGACTTGTGGTTCGGTTACGGTAGTCTTCCCGATAGTATCGATGCAGAATATGCAGTTGCCAGACTCAGTGAGGCTTCCAGTATCTACTTTGTGAATCTAGTCGTCATGCAATGTTTTACCCTAATGACACTTCGTACGCGCCGTCTAGGTATTTTCCAACACCCTCCAGCATTCAACAAGATGATGCAGAACCTGTAACCCTTCCCAGCTATTGTCTTCGCGCTGGTCATGGCTATTTTTTGGCTTTATATCCCACAATTACAGTTAACTCTGGGTACGAGCTAAGTTCCGGCTGAGCATTTCTTCTTGCCGGCTGCGTTTGGACTTGGCATTCTGCTTTTGGATGAAGCTAGAAAATGGGGTGTGAGTAAGTGGCCAAAGGGTATTTTAGCCAAGATGGCTTGGTAAAGGGAAAGACCTGAATCCACCATATATCAATATTGTACTTAAACAGTTGAAGGTCCTATAATGAAAGACTATAGCTGGTAACACCAGTTAATAAAATGACACCCCTCAAAGCTTCAAGTCTACTTCACCCCGCCTCTTGAAATCTACCTCTGCAAACATATTCGGCATTATAGTAAATTCCTGGAAGTCATTCTTGGGCCGATTATCCACGCCACCCTTTCTCTCCACATCACCCTTGAGTCTAAACTCCCAATTCCTCAACAGCTCAATGCATACAACCTTGATCTCATTGCTTGCAAAGAATCTACCGGGGCAGGCATGGTTTCCATGACCAAAGTTGAGAGATTCGGGCGATGTAGTGACGAATTGATGCTTGTTCTCCATTCCCTTAATGGCGCGTAAGTTCGAAAAGCGGAACCCGTCAAACTCAGTGGGGGGTTTGGCACCAGGTGGGTTGTAAGAGGGCGAATAGGTAGTCGTGCCTGCTGAGGTATGCACAGCATATGCTGCGACACCAAAGTGTGTGCCTTTAGGCAAGACAAGTCCAGTCGACAAAGTAAGATCAGAGGTCACCACGCGGGGATTTGACACTAGATACGGGGATGAGTACCAAATCTTTCAACAATTTGAACTGAATACATACTTATGGAAAGCGGGGACAGTCTTTGAGACTCTTTGAGGAAGCTATCTAGCTTGCGGAGCTTTGCCATGCTGGTCTTCTTAAGCTTCAAGAAACCTTCACCGTCGATATCATATCCATCTTGTCGGAGAACATCATCAATCTCCTTGCGTAAAGGTTCGACATACTCGGGCCGACAGGCTAGGTCATAAATGGTGTGGCATATAGACATGCTTGTTGTGGAAATCGCGGCAAATGATACTGTAGGGCTTGTAAGACTTTTACCCATTCATCCAGCAAGAACAAGACTTACGCATCATCTGGTTGATACCTAAGACCAGTGCGTCAGCACGCTCCTTCTGATCTATATGATTAAGAAGCCATGAGATCATTGTTCCTTGCTCGTCTTCATATCCCTCTAGCCCCGACTTTTCGCCTTGGGCTTTTGCTAGGCAATCTTTGAGGATTGGCGTCAGCAATTCCGCACCACGCGTTTTGTGCTGATTGAGTCTTCGAATTTCTGGGAGGAATGGGGCAACGAATGGCCGCATCCAGCTGCTCCATTCCAGTATCGCCAGCCTTGCCAAATGAGCATTGGACGCAAATTCTGTCGTCGAAGAAACTGCGAAGAGTAGGGAGTCAGCTTTATTCTCCAAGATATGTTAGAGTGTGTAGCGAAAAATCAGAAAATAGGCATTCTCCGAGCAAGATCTTCGGAAACACATTCTAGGATCGTAGAGGAGTATTGATATAAGAAACATGAAATTTCAATTCACGTACTCCACTCCTCTTCTCTGCTTAAAGGGCGACCGACGAATACACGACCACTTAATAAAGCCACAATGCGAGCTAGCTTTCCGTAGAGTTCAATCGAAGTCCAGTCATAACATGGTCCAAATTCTTTGTCGAGCGCGTACTTGATTTCATTCTGAAGTCCATCCAGAGCGCCGGCAATGTTGCGTGTCAAATCAATCTTCACGGCAGCCACTAGTTCGGATCTATCATCGCCAAACCCAGTGTGCCTTCCAGCAAATACTTCTCGAAGCAATTCATTGAAAGACGCCTTTTTCTCGGGGAGATTCTTTATTTCATCCAACATGGATATTGGAAGCATGACTGTTGGGGGTGAAGTTGGCATGAAGAATGGTGTATCTGGATACTGTTGGATAATATAAATTATTAGTTCTATAGCCATATGTTGGTATAATGAAGAAGATTGTATGTTGTCTTTACCTTTATAGTTCCCTCTATCAGGTCCTTTGCCCAATCATCACTCTCGGGCAAACCCACGAGCGGTAGATTTAGGCGTTTAGGGCGATTGAGGAGGTATCTTACAAAGGCAGCAAGGATGAGTAAAGAAATCACGCTTAATATGAGAGGCGACCTCATAGCGAAGGTCTTAAACTCGTTGGATACTGTAGTGGACGCCATTGTCTGATGACTTGAATGCCTTTCAATCGACATATGATGGTATTTTGTAATATACTATGAGTTATAAGGATCAACGTGACAAGAAATTCTATGAATAGTGGAGAGGTAGAGTGGAAAAGGAAGCGGGCAAACTTCATGGCTATAACAAAAGTTCTTTGGCGTCAGTTGCATAAATGAGCCATGAATCATTATCCGGATAATCAACACTTCCGTTGATTTGCATATCTCGAATTGAACAGTCCACTTGAAAACGTCGTGTAACCGGGAAGCTGCACGAAACCGTTTCCAAAACTCGATCACTCGCCTCAAATGGTCATCTCGAACGCCTCCCCTATATGAATATACATTAGGACAACACTTAACATGTACAGCCATGCTACTAGCATGCACGCGGATACATAATATATATGACATCGGACAGCTTTACAGGGCAGTCACACTGTGATCGGCACTTGCGGATTCCGGGTGGTAGCGCGGCGGCAACCAACCAGTTCTAGCCTATTGAGCAGAAGCTCTATATGCATGGAAGCTCCTCGCGTTGTTCAAAACAAGTTGGGCTTGTATTTTGAGACAATACGTCAAAAAACATATTTTCAAATATGATAAATCAAGGACGTTAGTTGCGGGGCAGTCCTGGTTGCGTAACACGATATTTGCAAGGACTAAGGGTGTACTTTGTGTCCAAAGACCGAGTACGATAGAGTACATGATGCGGAGACTCCGAAGATAAGAGTGGACCATGTAGTCTGCTCTATTACCGTTATACAAGTACAAGAATTCGCAAGCTGCACTATTATGGTCAGTGATGGAAGTAAAGTTAAGGTTTTTGGCCCCTTTGACCTGGTCATCCGATGGCTGAAACGGGCCTGCCAGTCACAACGAGGGAAATTGACTCTTCTGTCTCGGGGGGAAACGGATTGACGATTCTCACAAATGATAGATCCGATTAATTATTGGCCTGAATTGTTACTGCAGTACGAGGCGGGGACTTCACCAGAAAAATAGCGCCTTTGCTGATAACTATACTCTGCCTTAAGCTTACTTGGCACTGATTAGAGGGCTTGCATTCAACGTTACTATTTACAAACTCGACCCTATATTACAACATCACAGTTAATAAACAAGACTAATCCTCCAACGCCGCCCCAAATGAATCTAGAGAGTAAAGGTCTCGCATTGGATTTTCTGAGATTTCAGAAATGGTTTTGCATAACACGTCGATCATTTCGTTCGCAGCATCTAGCCCGATCGTCTTGCTCGAGACAGCGAACTGGATGTAGAGGCGGCCCTCGTTCGGATAGGTGACCACGTTAAAGTTGGTTGGTATCCCAAAGTCCAAGTTCTTCCATTGTGATGTCACGCCATTTATCGAGCAAGTCAGATCGAAATTTCCATTTTGGTGAGTGACAACGCTGCTGAAATCTGTCTTGGGCGACCATGTTGTTGAATGCTTCACAATGTCCTTGAAGTCTATGTTGGCGAATGGCATAGTGCGAGTGTATTGGATTTGGACGTGATGCAGCAAGTCTTTAAATGTCCAGTTTCTCTGAAAGGTTACTCGTAAGGGAGACTTGGTCACGGTAGGGCCCGAAACAGTCTCGATATCCTCCAATGGCGCATCTCGTCCGCTGATGATGTTGCCGAATACAACGTCTGGTCGCTTTGTCATTTTTGCTAGAACAATAGACCACGCTCCTTTGACGAGGGAAGCCATACTTATCCCTTCAGGAGTAGAGGGAACTGGGATATCTCTCAATGGCTTCACTAAAAACTCATCTTGAAAGTCTGCTTGGGGTAGTACACTTTTTGTGCGAATATCGATCATCTGAGATCCAGAAAGGTATTGCTGCCAGAAATCGTACGTCCCGGGAGTTTTCTGAGCTGTGCGGAATTGCAAATATTGCGCGAAAGAGAGTGGAGAGATATGCAACGCGCAGTTGTTATATGCGGAAGTAAAGTCTTTGGAAATCAATGGAAATGATCCTCCATCATATTGTGCATGTGTCATTCTGAGGACGAGCATGTGCTCCGACTCGGACCGGGATATTAGAAAAGGCCAGAAATGAGGAGTGCCAAAATCAATTTCAGTGGCAGAATCTTGAGAACATATCTTCTCCGAGAAGTCCGTCACGTCCTCATCACAATGAAGCCTCGACATTTCAAAGTCGATAGTTCGCAAGACCACCTGAAGAATATCGCACTGATAAGGAACAAATATAGTACGAAGGATAGCATGCTTGCGAACAATAGCACGGCAGGACGCTTCAATTTGCTCCGGATCAACGTGCGTGGGTAGATAGAGACGGCTATAGGTGACATTTTTCGCTTCGAGAAGCTGGCTCTGAACTTCAGTGGTGGGCAAGATATCAATAACGTTCGAGGTTTCGAATGGTAGAGATGATGCTGCTAGATTTTGCGTCGCAAATGACTCCAAGTCGGTAATGCCTAACAGCAATGATCCAGGACGGTACTCTGAAGTTGGACCATTAGATGATAAGTCACCAATAAAAGTAGCTAGATCGGAAAGCACTGGGTGGTCAAAGATGTACGATACAGGTAGGCGCAATCCTTGGCGACGGGCAAACATTGCCAGTCTCATAGCGATAATCGAGTCTCCTCCCAGATGAAAAAAGTTATCATCTGCCCCGATCTGCTCCGACGGAATTTTGAAGAGGTCTGCCCAAAGGCTTTGCACGGCTTTTTCCTTCTCCGTTATTGGCTCCCGTTTAATCGATGCAAAAGTGGAGAACTGCTGAATCTGCTCACGAGAGAGGGCGGCAGCCTGTTCGCGCAGTCCTTTCCGGTCTGCTTTATCACTTGTATTTCGTGGAATATCCAGTACTTGTAGGAAAACTGCTGGCACCATGTAACTAGGAAGTGATTGGCGAAGTTTGACAGTTGCTGCATTAACGCGAGTCAAGAAACCCTCGTCAGGAACACTGAATAGATCTTTAAACAACCCACTTCTGTCGGGGTAACCGCTGGTGGTAGAAACATGTGCATTCGCAATGAATGCCATGATAGATGGACTGTTCTGGTGAATAACAACTTCAGCGACAACATCAAGGGCATCTGGAAATAGCTGTCTCAAATTTTCCTCGATCTCACCCAATTCGATTCGTTGACCACGTAGCTTCACCTGGGTATCTCTACGGCCAACGTAGCGAAATGTTCCGTTTGAATTATACTGGAAGAGATCCCCGCTTCGGTATAACTTTCCCTGACCAAGCCCGGATGGAAACGCATAGCGCCAAGGCGGGCTGACGATATATGCCGCTTCAGTCTTCTCGGTATCATTGAGGTAGCCAGGGGTGACTACGGCTCCTTCGATTAAGAGCTCTCCTACTGCACCAATAGGAGCAATACGTGAAGGATCATTTGGCATGGTGATCCATCCCATACCGCCAGTGACCTGTCCAATAGTCCCTTGCTTCCAACCAACCTCGGGAAGCGGGCCGACCGCGCAGATAGTTGTCTCAGCAGGGCCGTAGCCATTGATCAGGGTTACTTTAGAGGCCCAGATGCGGACGTTCTCCTGAGTTACTGCCTCACCTCCGAGAACCACGGTCCGCACTCCAGGGATACTCTCGGGCCGTATCAAAGTGATAAGGGAAGGTGTAAATACAGCCCAGTTCACTTTATGCTCATTAATGAAAGGAACAATACTATTCATGCGTTCAAACTCAGAGGGTATGCAGATGCAACCACCATTAACAAGAGTTCCGAAGACCTCATATATGCTAGCATCAAAGGCATAACTAGCAAAATGAAGAGCACGAGTCTCCTGATTGATGCGCATCATACTGCTATAGTGGCGAATGCTGGTGGCTAGGTTGGCATGCTCCATTAATATGCCTTTGGGCATCCCAGTGCTACCAGATGTAAAGATGATAAAAGCTGTATCGTGGGGAGTGACACGAGGCGCTGAAAACTCGCCCACTGTTGCCTTTGCATCCGAGACAGGGATAGTGACTATTGTAGCGTCTGTATCGGCCATAATATGCTGCTTCAATGGCGACGTGATAATATATTTAGCATTGGTGCGGTCCAATATATCTCGTATACGGGCTTTGGGGTGGGCTGGATCTAAGCAAACACAGGCAGCTCCGAGTTGAAGAACTGCTATCATAGCAATGACGGACCATTTTGAGCGCTCGAAGCATAACGGCACCAAAAGCCCTGGCTGAATCCCGAGGGTCACAAGATGCTGTGACAGTGAAGAACATGCGAATTTCAATTCTCTAAATGTCATGTGACCATCCCAAGAGGAGATTGCGGGAGAGTTGGGTGAGTGTATAGAGTGCTGCAGAACTAAGTCATGCAAGCAAGCCTCATGGGAGGATGGCACGACCGAATTCCAATCTGCTATTTGTTGTCGGTCCTGCGGGCTAAGGAGATCGAGAGTGTCGAGTTGGCGATTCTCAAATTGACCATCCGACAATTGAAGAAGAACGTGCTCGAACTGTTGCACCATCCTCGTAGCTTCTAAAGGCTGGACAACACGCTCATCGTAACTCACCGAGACAATGATGTCATTTGGTTGACTCCTTTCGGGAAGATGGCATATTATCACGAAGGCGTAATTGGCAAAAGCTCCATAATCTTCGTGTTTACTTTGCACGCTGGAGAAAATCCCGGCGTCTCCAAATCTTGCTGGCGCTTGAATCGCTAGATGACATTGAAAGCTGCATGCAGCAGCCGTGTTTTCATTGAACTGGCGGATATTTTGCAAGCCACAGTGCTGAAATGGGATCATATCTATGGCTTTCTGTTGAACTAACGATAACGCGGCTCCGACAGAATCACCCGGACGGACGTGTACACGCACGGGAAATGTGGCAAAGGTTGGACCAGTAAGATCTTCAATCCCAGGAAGTGGGGCACTGCGGCCGTTAACAGTAAGCCCATACACGACATCCTCGGAATCGGTATAGGAAGACATGATTATAGCCCAGGCCATACGAATCAGTGTGGATGTGGTGTAGTTAGTCATTGTATGGTTGAAATCAGAGATGACATGGCTGAGAGAAGAGGTTGGTGATGGGATGAACAACGGAGATTGCAAAACCGGGAAGACTGGAGCACTCAAATCGGCGAATTCGGATCTCCAGAAATCTTCGTTGCTTTTTGTTGGTAGAATATGTTCGATAAATCGATTAAAGGGTCTTGTCAGTAGTGGTTCTTTGTGGTAAGCTTTTTGTACTTGGCTCCAAAGCAGGGAGAGCGAAGAGCCATCGTACAAGGCGTGATGGAGAGTGAGATGGAACTTGAAGCCTTTCCTGGAATTTGCCTCTGATTTGATCACTCCAAAATGCACCAGTTCTTCCCCCATGTCCATAGTAAGAGTCTTTACTAATTTTGTGTATGACACTTCAGTATCATAAAAATTCCAAACGATGCTCTTTCCAACAACAACTTGAAAGGTGCCTGAATCAAATGGGACGATTCGGGTGCGGAGAATAGGATTTGCTGTAACAGTCGCATTCCATGCAGTCTGGAATTGATCAAGACAAATATCGGCTGCGATCTCATACTCGAAAGTTGCAATATATTTCCCAGGTTTCTTGATGGCCAAGGCTACGAGGCCTTCCTGCAATGGCGTGCATGGATAAATATCCTCGACTTGGCTGGCTGACACTTGGCATCTGTCTGCCGCGGTCATTATCATAGTCTCTCTAATCGGCACATCCTGAATCAGGGTAAATGGAGCGACTGTATAATCTTTCTCGGTGGTGAGTGGTCTGGAAGCAAGTGCTAAATCGCAGATTTTAGGATGGTTAAAAACGTCGGCCATTTCGATGACAAAGCCTACGTCTCGAGCCATGGGAATTAAGACCATTGCCATGATGCTGTCCCCTCCGAGTCGGAAGAAGTGATCATCAACGCCAACGTCCACAGCGTCAAGGCTGAATAAATCAGCAAATAAGCTTAGGAACTTTCCTTCTTCTACAGTTGATGGTGCTCTCTTTACCACGTTCAAGGAAGTGTAAAATTGAATCTGGTCCCGAGTGAGTGAAGCTGCTGCAACTCTTAAAGTCCGGCGATCCGTCTTCCCAGTTTTTGTTAGTGGGATGTAGTCTATAGGAATAAAGATGGTCGGAACCATAAAGACTGGAAGAACGATATCGAGCTTCATCGTCGTCGTTATAATGCCCTTCTTGAAATAATCATCAGGAGTGCCAAAAATCTGAGAATCATCGTTCGTGGCCTCAGTCTTATTGTTGAGAGCGATAAATGCCACGAGGGCCGGTGGCCGGCTGCCTTCAGTGGGCTTCACGACCTCAGCGATAGCATCCTGAGCATTTGGAAACGACTCGCGTAGGTGATATTCTACCTCACCAAGCTCAACACGCTGACCTCGGAGCTTGACTTGGGTATCTTTGCGTCCAATATACCGCATAGATCCGTCTTCCAGATATTGGACTAGGTCACCTGTTCGGTAAACTAGTCCAGTTGCCGAAGGACGCATTTCACGTAACCATGATGGGCATTCTAAAAATAATGCCGCCGTTTTGACGGGCTCGTTCAGGTAGCAACGGCCCACAATGGGACTCTCAACAATCAATTCGCCAATACTTCCAACAGGAGCCAGCCTCTCATAATCTTGTGGATTAACAATCCAGCAAACAGAACTTGTTGGGAATCCAATGTTGTTTGGATCTCTATTGTCATGCACTGAACGATTGAGAGTCGTTAAGATTGCACATTCAGCTGGTCCATAAAGGTTCAAAAGATGCACATTGGGTGCCCATTGGGTAATGTCCCCGGGAGCGATTGCTTCTCCACAAAGCACAAGCTTTTTTAGACTAGGGCAAGCGATTGGTTCCAAGATCCGGGCAACAGACGGCGTTAAACAAGCCCAGTTCACCTGAAGCCTACTTATTGCCCTAGTGATATTGCCTTCGCGTTCCTCGTTAGACGGAATACAGATGCAGCCACCAGATGAAAGAGTGAGGAGTATATCCGCGATGGATATATCAAACGCGTACGATGCGAATTGTAGAACGCGTGAACCCCTTTCCAAGTATAGCCCAATTTGGTTTGCTTCAGCACTAGTACACCAGGAAGCATGAGATATCACGGCCCCTTTCGGTTTCCCAGTGGAGCCGGAAGTAAAGACTGCGTATATTGAATTCTCGGGTGTCACTGAAGAGACAATGCTTGCCTCCATGTCTGTTCTCCAGCCAAATTCATGGTCACCAATAGCTACTACCTTAGTAGCTACGCTAGTGGCGAGATGAGCTTTTATCTCTGAAGCAATTACCAGCGTAGCATTCGCATCTTGACAGATATCTTGCAGCCGCTGGAGAGGATGGGACGGATCCAGAAGAATGAAGGCACCACCAGCCTTAAGAATACCCAGTATAGCCACCGTTGTCCAACGGGACTTTTCGAAAATGACAGGCACAAAAATCTCTTCGCCAATTCCATGCTTCCGAATGAGGTGACTTGCTAGCGTTGAGGCAAGGGCATCGAGTTCTGAGTAGGTAAAATTGCCATCCCAAGAGCAGACCGCAGGTGCATCTGGCTGATCCAGACAACGCTCATAGATAATGTCGTGTGCACACTTGTTGATTCGGGCAGGTACTTCGCTATTCCATTTTGAAACCTGGTCTCTACTTCCTGCACCAAACAGATCTAGATCGTTGACTGTCTCGTTAGCCTTGTGTGTGAGTTCCGAGACAGCTTGCTTGAAAGTATCAGCCACCATGGTAGCTTGTGCCTCTGACATAAATGAAGTCCAGTAATTCATAGAGATTTCGATGCTGTTGTCTTCCAGCCACGCATTCAACGTTATGTCGTACTGTCATGAATTAGCAAATATGTTTAGGGGATATATGGATAGGACCTGCCTCGGTTGGGTCTTCGCCCTCGATAGCCTCGATCTCGATGGAGGTCTTTTCTCTGGCACGGGTGGCGACACCCCCCTTTTGAATGGATATAATGGTATTGAAGAGGGATGTTTCTGGAAGATTCAGTGGACGTTGGATATCGGCTAAGGATAGATGCTGGTGTTTTGAACTTCGCAAATAATCTTCTTGGGTATTTCGAAGCAATTCCGCGACCGCAAGATCTTTCGAGAACTTCATTCTACAGACAAGCATGTTGATGTATGGGCCCACTGCCTCTGCAATTCCGTGGATTGGGATGTCACGGCCGGAGGTGAGATAACCGAAGGAGACATCTTCCAATCCGGTATATGCTCGTAAAACCAATCCCCAAGCAGCATAGAAAAGGTTGGACAGTGTCAACCCGTGATCCGCACATAGCTTGCGTTGATCAGAACCTGTCCCCAGATTAAAAGTATGGGCTTGCATTCTTTGAAGACTTGGTCGCGTGTCATTTGGGTAGGAGGTTGGGAGAATGCAGGGGTCACTTCCACTAAGATATCTGGTCCAGTACTCTTTAGCCACGTTCAACGGGATAGTTTGAAGGTACTCAATATAGTTGTGATAAGATGGTCCGGGTCCGGATGATAAGGCTTTATCGTAGGCAAGGCGTAAGTCTCGCACCAGTATATGTAGTGAAGTGCCGTCAAGTAGAACATGATTGATTTCCAGCAAAATTAAGAGTTCGCCACTTTGAGAACTGCAAATGGTGAGATGGTGCCAAGGCTTTCCCTCAAATGACGCTTTCGATGGTTGAATATTTAGCGCTTGGATAGGCTCCTCTACGGTTGGCAGAATCGTAATGATATCTTCTGGGACAAACCGTAAAACAACTTGATCCCTGTGGCCTCGATTGGACTGACTATCAACAAAGCACGTTCTTAGAATGGCATGGCGAGTAACCACCTGATGCCATGCTTGAATAAAACGTTCCATATCGAGATTAGAACTCCCTTGGGAAGATGTAACTTTGAAGATGAATCGATTATGATAGGCAAGGGCGCTCTTCAGTTGACTCAGTAGCATGCCTTGCTGGATGGGCGAGCAGGGGTAGACATCCTCAATCTGACTATTAGACAACCCAATCTCTGGCAGCGTCTCGCCTAGGAATCTATCCAGCGTGGCATAATTGAATGATGCAAGCGGGAAGTCTGACAGAGTAGAGCTTGGCGGTTGATGCGGCAGCCTCTGCGCTAATTCGCATAGTGACTGCTCGAAACCAATGATCCATTGATCAATTGGACGTTTTGCGGCAGCTTGGCGATTAGAAAAGAAGCTGAAACTCAGGCAATGGTCAACCACAGTGGCAGCTACATCAATAAGTGCAAAACGTGGCGAATCATTCTCTACATCGAGGATCTCGTTTTCAAAGGTGTCGGTAGCTAAGAATAAGGAGTCAGATCGTTCCAATTGTTGATATAGCCCTGTGAAATTAAACACAATTTCTGCAGGCCCCTCGTGGTGGAAGGCGGCACGGCCTTCGGGGCTCAGGTATCGGGAGCAGAAATATGCCCATCCATTCTTCGGTATCCTCCGCCTATGGTCTTTGGTTTCGCGAAGGATATCTAAAATGTCGTGGGATTCGATATATGTAGGCCACATTGTCGTAAACCAGCCTACAGTTCTTGTCACATCAATATTGGAGTCCCATGACTCGCGACCATGCCCTTCTGTAAAAATCGTTGGCGCTTGACGATCTTGAAAGGCCCGTCTAAAGGAGTGTAGTAGAGCACACTGGAACAGGTCTGCAGGCTGAGTCTGAAAAGCGTCATTAGCAGTCCCGAAAAGAGTCCGGGTTATGCTCTCATCAAGGGTGAATCCTTGGTCGAGAGCATCTCCAACAAGATTACTTCGGCCAGCTACCCCCCAGTAATCCAATTGAGGTCGTGGAATATCACCTGGGTACGAATTTGTTGGGCTTAGATGAGTAGCAGCATAGGCAGCCTGGAGCTGACACCAAGCCTGAAATGACAGTGAAGGTCTCCCAGAAATCGATCCCGATACTATAAGTTCTTCCAGATCTGCAAGTATAATTCGCCACGACACGAGATCGACAACAAGATGATGGGCCACGAGGAAAAGGTACTGGCCCTGAGAGGCAGTATTGAGAAGATCGACCGAGAAAACGGGTCCGTCCACAAAACGTATCGCTTTCTGGCTAGAGAGGCAGATTTGTCCCCCTTCTTGCACAGATGTTATTTGGTGTGTTTTGTATCTAAAAGTGCCTTCCACACTTTGGGGAACGACCTGTTCCCAATCGATGACGTCCTTGGAGTTATTCGTTTTCTGAAATCGTGCTCTAAGCATATGATGAAGAGACACTAGTTCATTGAGGGCGCTGAATAACCTTTTTGGGTCAATTGTTTGACTGACGCGTAGGAAAAAGCTCTGATTGAAGTGGTCATGTCCGTTGTGCGCAGTATCGAAGAACAGCTGCTGAACTGGCGACAAATCAAATGATGTATTTGTTTTGATCTGTGAATGAGTGGGATTCGATTTCAAAAGTTGGATATTATGACTGATTCGAGATATCGTTTTGTGGCGGAATATGTTAGCTACAGTCACATTGACTTGATTGGCAGCACACTGTGATACAACCTGCATTGCACTGATCGAATCGCCACCGAGACGGAAGAAGTCATCCTCTATACCGATAAACTCAAGACCTATATTGAGTACTCTTGCCCAGATAGTATGGATTATTCGCTCCGTGTCTGTTGTAGGGTGACTCTTTTTAACTAAAGGTCCGCTGTACGATAGAATTTGACTTGAAGAAAGCGCCTCTACCGCCTGGCACAGCAACTGACGGTTGACCTTGCCACTCGAGTTCAAGGGGATGCACTGCAAGGGCAAAAAGAGCGATGGAACCATGTACGTTGGTAGTACTTGGCTCAGCTGTACCTCTGCTGCTTGAGTCTGTGACCGGAAGTCATCGGAAGCTTCAGCTAGTATGCAAAGGTCTGCGGGTAATGAGCGCTTTTGCATACAAATGAATGCAACCAGAATCGGCTGGTGTCCTTTTCTAGTCACTATCTCGACAACTGCATCGCTCAAGCCCGAAAAGCATTGTCGTGCATGATGCTCAACCTCCCCTAATTCTAGGCGTTGGCCGCGAAGCTTGATTTGCGTGTCCTTGCGAGAGATATAGTATAGAGAGCCGTCCTTGCTATATTTGACTAAGTCCCCAGTCTTGTATATGAGGGACGATTCGTCGCATCCAAATTCCTCAAGCCAAGGGGGGGCCTGAATAAATGATTCTTCCGTCTTTTCGGGATTCTTGAGATAACCACGGGCGACATTAGGACCTTCGATCAATAATTCGCCAATGGCACCGATAGGAGACAGATGGTTATTTTGGTCCACAATCCATGATCGGCAGCCAAAACTAAATCCCAAGTTTCTCCCACTGGTTCCGCTGGAAGTTTTCTTAGTTGCGGAACAGAAGACAGAACACTCGGATGGGCCATAAGCCAAATAGAGATCAACACTTTCTTGCCACAACTTCAATTCTTTCTCTGAAATCAACTCTCCGCCGATAATCATGACTTGCAAAGATGGGAGATCCACAGGGTTCAGGATTCTGGCCATCGAAGGCGTGAAGAAAGCCCAGTTGACTCTCAATCTAGCAATAGCTACAGAAAGATCATTGCGCTCAATATCAGAGGGAACGCAGATGCACCCCCCCACCAGAAGCGTGGTAAGGTTTTCGGCAACCGATGCGTCAAAGGCATATGATGCAAATTGAAGAACGCGAGATGTTTCGTTCATATGCAGCGCTAAGCTGTGTTCTATTGCGCTGGTCACAAAGGCTTGATGTTCGATGATGACTCCCTTTGGCTTTCCGGTAGAACCCGAGGTGAAGACGGCGTATAGGGCATTTTGGGGGGATACTTCCACTCGTGGTGTATCTTCCAGTCGATCATACGATGCGGTGGCAATCCAATCTTTCTGGTTATCGCCGATGATAACAAGTTCTCGGGCAAAGGTAGCAGCCATACTAGCCTGACGTTCAGATGATATAACTACTCTAGCCTCTGCAGTGTTACAGATCTCACGTAGACGCTGGACGGGCTGTGAGGGATCTAGGAGGGTAAAAGCCCCACCGGCCTTAGCTACTGCTATCATTGCAATCGTTGTCCAGCGAGATTTCTCGAGACAAATAGGGATAAACGTTTCTGGCATAACATTGTACTGGGCAAGGTGTTTTGCCAGGGTAGAAGATAACTCGTCGACTTCTCCATACGTAAATTCACCGTCCCAAGCATATATAGCAGGTGACTCAGCCATTGCTACGCATCGTCGGTGTATTAAATCTTCCACACGGCTATGAACCGGTATAGGCAGCTTCTGGTTCCATTCTTGCAAGACCTTGCGGCCATTTTCGCCAAGCATCGGAACATGACTAATAGGAGCATTGGCATTATGGCTTAATTCGTGAATGGCTTGGCGAAAGGTGTCTGCGATGTTTTCAACCGTCTCTTCAGCAATTTTTGACTTCCAATACGACAGCGTAGCATCTATGCGGTCTACCCCAACAACGATGTTGACCGTAAGATCATACTCTGAAGGATCTTCTCCTCCAACCACCTCCACACCCACGGAGGATTTATCCTCCACGCCGGGTTCTCTCGTGATTTGTAAGGACATGGCTGTGTTGAACAAGGAACCGCCGGCGGGCAGATCGGCCATACGGATCATGTCAGCCAGGGGGTAATTTTGGTGTTCCATGGCCCCTATATATGCGGCCTGGCACTCTCGCATTGCGTCAATCAATAAAGTTTCGCTGGGCAGTGCCATGCGGCAGACAAGGATATTGATGAATGGCCCTATTGCATCTTCGACTCGAGGAATTGGTATGTCTCGGCCTGAATTCAAGTACCCAAAGCAAACGGATTCTGAGCCGACATATGACTTCAAAACAAGTCCCCATGCGACTTGGAACAAGTTGGATAGGGTCAGTTGATAGTGATCGCATGATGACCGTAGATTCGAGGCCAACCCTACGTCGACACTAATTGCCTGCATGTCTTTATCCTCCACAAGTTGTGTCTCATTGATAGTCGTTGGGAGAAGACAAGGAGTGACGCCCTCCAGATACGTTGCCCAATAAGCTTTGTTTGATGATTCTGAAATATTGGCAAGGTATGAAATATATTCCTTGTAGGGTACGGGAGGAGCTAAAAGATGACTATCTTCATAAGCCAGCTGGAGCTCGCGAAGCAGAATCTGCTTTGCTGTGCCGTCAAAGATAGCATGATTGATTTCGAGGGAACATAGGACATCTCCTGTTGGTGTCTGGCCGACACTGAACCGATAAGGAAGTTCACCGTAAGCGAAAACTAGCTGGCGCTGCTCTGAGAGAAGCGCCATCATGCTATTTTCTTCATCGGATGAAACCACACACACTTCGGCGAACGGTCTTTTAAGCACAACTTGGTCGACGTAGTTGGCATCAGCAGCACTCCTGACAAACACTGTGCGAAAAATTGTATGGCGGGCAACAAGCCCGCGCCACGCTTTAATCACGCGTTCGATATTGACCGGCCGGGACGTTCCTTGAGCTTGTACTTTCCAGATGATAAGAGTTTGATAAAATTTGTCATCTTTGGCTTGGCTTAGCAATATTCCCTGCTGAATTGGTGAGCATGGATATATATCTTCGATTTCTGTGCTTGAGATATCGCACTGGGGCAATGCTGATGTAAGAAAAGTGTCTAGGGTGTCGTAAGCGAAGGACATAAGTGGAAAGTCCGAAGGAGTGAACTCCGGCGCCTGCGAGGGAAAATCCATTGCTATCGATTTGAGCGATCGCTCACAAGTGGAAATCCAGTCACGAATAGGGCGATTTTGAGCAGCGTATTTGTTGTAGTTGAAGTCAAAGTGTAAGCAATTGTCCTTCAGTGATATCGAGATCTCGATAAGAGCAAACCGTTGCATGTCTCTAGCAACGTCCGATGTCGCGGGCCTTGTGACCGACTGGAAAAGCGAATCGGAACGCTCAAGCTGCTGATACTGCCCAACATAGTTGAATAAGATCTCTCTCGATTCCTCTTTGAATATTCCTTGGGCCTTGGGGTGGAGAGAAGACGTGAAGTGTGCCCATCCATTACTCGGTACACTCCGACGTTTGTCTTTGGTCTGACGAACTATATCAAAAAGATCGGGCTTGGTGATCTGGATATATAGTGGCCACATGGTGGTAAACCAGCCGACGGTCCTAGCGACGTCTATATTGGAAGCCCATGGTTCGCGGCCATGCCCCTCGTTCCAAACAGCTGGAACAGGTCGGTCGCTAAACGTCTGCGCAAATGAATGTGAGATTACTGCCAGGAAGAGTTCCACTGGCTGTGTCCGGAGAGCACTGTTAGCCTCGTGAAACAATGATGATGTGGTTTGTTCGTCCAAAGCGAAGCCACTTTCGATAGCATCTTGAAGCAAATTCGTTTTCCCAGGAATTCCCCAATAATCACCCGAAGGAATAGTTGGCGCTGGATGATGAAGCTTCGACCCTTCTGGAGCCAGGTTCAGTATGGCATACTCTTCCTGTAGTCGGCACCAGGTTTGAAAAGGCAAAGATGGCGGGATAGAGATCGCCCCAGTCGTCAAATAATCCTCTAAATCGCCTATAACAATCCGCCATGATACTAAATCGACCACAAGATGATGCGCTGCTAAGAAGAGATATTGTTGCTCTCTAACGTTGATCAGGTTAGCTGATACGATGGGACCTTTTGTTATATCTAGTCTCTTCTGGCTCGAAACGAAAATCGCATCCGCAGCTTCCATTGATATGGCAGAATTTTCTTGGTAATGATAGCTTCCAGGTGTATCGGTCCCAATGGTTTGTAACCAGTTGCCATTGTGGTCTTTGATAAAGCGTGCCCGGAACATAGAATGGGTTCGGACGATCTGGTGAACGGCATCTGCCACTTTATCCGATGACACAGACTGCGTTAATCGGAGACAAAAGTCCTGGTTGAATTGGTTATGGCCTTGGGGTGAAACCTGAAAGAACAAATTCTGAATAGGCGAGAGGGAAAACGGCGAATTCGTGACTTCGGGTGGGTGAACTGCAGATACACTTTTGTTCCTTAACAGGCTCAGTTGTGAGATAGTTTTGCAACGAAAGATATCTGCCACCGTGATGCTCATGCCAGCGGAGCTAGATTGTGATGCCACCTGCATGGCGCTAATGCTGTCTCCCCCAAGACGAAAGAAACTATCATGAACGCCGATATTCTCTACAGTCTTATTCAAAACTCGCGCCCATACTCGTTGCAGTAAAGTTTCGCCTTCCGTCGATGGCTGTTCCTTAGAAGTGCCAAGATAATTGTACCTTTCAAGGCCGTCAGAACTTAAAGCCATGACCGCCTCGCGGAGCTGCCGCCGATCCGTTTTGTTGTTGGGGGTCTGAGGAACATATCGGATGGGTAAGAAGACAGACGGTACCATGAAAGCCGGGATATTATTGCTTAGCTGTTGTTCCGCTACCCGGGCCATCATGCAAAACTGTTCACTGGCACCAAGGAGTAAAACCTGAGCCGAAGAGTGCACCTTGGCATCCGTCTTCTCAACGCTACCTTCTCGAGCCAGGCAGACAAATGCTACGAGCATTGGATGACCACTTGTTGGCTTGATAATCTCCGCTACTACGTCGCTGGCCTCCTGGAAGGCGCAGCTAAGGTGTTGTTCCACTTCACCCAACTCAATTCGCTGGCCACGCAGTTTGACCTGTAAATCCTTTCGCGCCACAAATTGAAGCGCGCCGCCATCGGTATAACGGACCAAGTCGCCAGTTTTATAGAATCGGCTGTTGCCAGGTTCACGGAAGCTTGAATGCCAAGTAGGATGTGAAACAAAAACCAGTATGCTTCGGGCAGGATCATTCAAGTATTCGCGGGCTACGATATGCCCCTCAATCAATAACTCGCCCACAGCGCCTACTGGAAGGAGCTTGTGGTGATCCTCTGGGCTCACAATCCACATATTACAACCAAACGGGTGGCCTAGATTACGGCCATCGTCCATATCGTTAGTCACAGGAGGAGTACTTGAACAAAAGACTGAGGTCTCAGAGGGCCCGTATGCCAGGTGCAGATTAACATGGGACCGCCACAAATCCAGCACCTTAGGAGTAATAATATCTCCACCAACAACCAGTGTGTTTAGCGTCTTGAACTTGGATGGATCCAATATCCTGCACATAGAAGGTGTTAGAAACATCCAGTTCACTTGATATGCTGCTACTACTTTCGCAAGGTCCTCCTGTCGCTGTGTTTCGGATGGGATGCAGACACAACCTCCTACAATCAGCGTAGATAAATGCTCGGCGATACTAGCATCCCATGCGTATGAGGCAAACTGTAAAACTCGAGAATCGGATTTGAGCTGAAAGGCGGCAGTATGAGCTCGGGCGCTAGTAGCAAATGAACGATGCTCAATTACCACCCCTTTCGGTTTACCCGTAGAACCAGACGTAAAGACAGCGAACAGCGCATTGCTCGGCTTTGATGTGCTAATAAGTTTAGTCACACCCTTAGGACTCCACATCGTACTTTGACCCCCCAAAACGACCACTTCTGGCCCTACCGTGGCAGCAAGATCCTGGTTGTGTTCGGAAGTGAGCATAAGCGAGGCTGCTGTGTCTTGGCAGATACTTTGTAGTCGCTGTAATGGATGGGATGGGTCTAAGAAAACGGACGCGCCGCCAGCTTTGAGTATTCCAAGCAGGGCTATAGGGGTCCATCGGGATTTCTCAAAGCAGAGTGGAACAAAAATGTCAGGTCCCACTCCTCGGTTCTTGAGCTCGGTAGCGAGAACAGACGACATTTCATCGAGCTGAGCATACGTGAAGTCTCCATCCCAGGCACAAACAGCAGGAGCAGATGGCTGAGCCAGGCAGCGCTTGTGGATAAGATCGTGGACACACTCCTCAACCGGTATTGGTACTTGCACATTGTAATTGCCCACACGTCGTTTACTCAAAGCGCCGAATGTATTCAGCTCCGAGACAATTAGTCGGGGTCCTGACATAATACTCAACAAGGCCTGCTCGAACGCATCTCCCAGATTTTGGGCCTGCTCTTCAGAGAGGAAGGCTGTTGTGTACTCTAGGGCAATGTCAATGTCATCTTTTAAAAGTCCAATATTGACACTGAGATCATACTAGACACAGTCAGGTCAATAATCTTCTAGGCGCACCGCAATGGCGATTGTTACGATTATAACTCACCTCAGTAGGATTTTCTCCCCTTAATTCGTCAAAATCAAGAGTAGATGCATTCGGAGGGCACTCTAACTCTTTCTGCACAGACATGATAGTATTGAATAAGACCATTTCAGATGGCCTTGCGCCTTTTATCTTCTCTGCTAGAGATAGATGTTGATGCGTCAAGCTCTGCACGAATTCGGCCTGGTTCCTTCGCAGCAGATCCAAAACTTGTTCTCCTCCGCAAGGGGAAATACGGCAAACTAACATGTTAATGAAAGGGCCAACAGCATTGTCAATATCCGGGATAGCGGCATCTCTTCCAGATGTCATATAACCAAAACAGACATCGAACTGATTGAGGTAATCTCGAAGTACCAGCGCCCATCCCAATTGAAATACATTCGCCATTGTCAACTCGAATCTAGAACAGAATTCACGAAGCGACTGTTGGGAAGACAGTGCGAAATGAAATTCTCTTCGCTGTATAGGGGCACCTACAAGCTGACGCACTGGTGATTTTTGCAAAAAGCAAGGTTCAGCGGCCCTGAGGTAGTCTTCCCAATATTTGCGGGCATCACCCATGGATTGGTGATGAATGAATTCCACGTATTCCCGATATGCTGTCCTTGGGGTTGGGTCAAGCTGATCATCGTATGCAAATCCCAAGTCACGCAAAAGAATCTGTCTGGAGATGCCATCTATTATCGTGTGGCTAATTTCAAACATGCATACCGTTTTCCCTGTAGATGACCCACATATCACAAGTCTATTGTGAGGTCTCAAGTATCGAATTGCAAAGGGCTGATGCTCTAGAAGTCGTTCTAACGGGTCATTATCGTTGGGTAAAATGACGCAAAATTCTGAAGGTGCCTTTTTCAAGACGAGCTGGTCCTGGGAGCTGTTCTGAGAAGGACTGTCAAAGAACACAGTGCGCAGCAAAGGATGTCTGTGTAGAACTTGCTGCCAGGCGCGCATGAGTCGCGCCGGATCCACGGCGGATCCATTCCGGGCATGGAACCCCAAGTACCACTTGTTGAAATATTGGGCGGGATCTTTTGCCTGGCTAAGCAACATCCCTTCTTGTATTGGTGTGCATGGATACGCATCTTCGACTTCTAGGTTATCGGTTTCAAGCGGCGAAATAACCTGATTGACGAACGCATCTAGTTCGGGATACGAATATGACAACAGGGGGAAGTCGGACAGAGTGAAAACGGTAGATTTTTGAATCAATTCTAACGCTGTGTGTTCAAGACACAACTTGCAATTTTGGATCCACTTGCGAATTGCTGATTGGTAACGCATCAAACGATTGAAAATGAAAGTAAAAGACAGGCGCGAATCACTAACGTCCGCCAGGACATCTATCAATGCAAATCGTGGCATCTTCTGGGGCATATTAAGGAGCTCGCCTTTTGTGATTGGGGAATATTGTAGGAGTGATGCCGAGTGTTGAGAAAGGCCGGGATGATAGTTGAACGAAATTTCTAGGGGATCGGCTGTCCCAAAGGCTGCAACACCATCTTGATGAAGGTATCGAGAAGCAAAATAACGCCAACCGCTTCCAGACACTCGTCGTCGCCCGTCTTTGACCCTTCTCGCGATTTCTAGGACGTCATCCTCTGGCTGGATCTGGATATCGATTGGCCAAAAAGTTGTAAACCAACCAACGCTACGAGTAAGATCAATTCTCGAATCCCATGGCTCTCGACCGTGTCCCTCATTGAAGATGACAGGTGTCGGCCGATCGGTAAATATCTGACGGAATGATTGCAGGACAGCTGCATGCAGTAGCTCTACGGGCTGGGTCTGAAATGCGTCGTTTGCTCGGCCGAGAAGGCTTTGGGTGACATGCTCGGAGAGACTAAACACCTCTTCTGAGGCGTCCCCCCATGTATTTGGCTGGCCATAAACGCCCCAGTAGTCATCCAAGGGAGTGTGGGTAAAGTTGGGTAGAGCCTTAGCGGGAGGGAGGTTTGTTGCCGTGTATTCGGCCAGGAGCTGGGTCCAGGTCTGGAAAGAAAGAGTGGGCGTCCGCGGGGCGTCTCTCGTAGTGAGTAGTGCCTCAATATCAGCAATGATGATTTGCCACGAGACAGTGTCAACGACCAAGTGGTGTGCAATAAGGGAGAGGAAGAACTGCCCATTTTGATCCACCTGGACTAGATCACAAACTAGAAGCGGCCCCTTCTCGATATCTAGAGTCTGTCGCCTAGAAGAGACTAGAGTAGCCGCTGAGTCGAGGGATGTTAGCCGGTGGCTTTGAAAGCTGTAGCTGTGATCAATGTCATCGGTTATCATTTGTGTCCAAGCGCGCGGCTGTGGCTGCTGCTGCTGCGTGAACCTCGCACGGAGCATCGCATGGCACGTGACAACACGCCTAATAGCCGACTCCATCTTCTCCGACGACACTCGATTGGTGAGTCGGAAGAATAGGCTTTGATTGAAATGATGATAGTTTTCCGCAGCAGTCTCGAAGAACATGCGTTGAATTGGGGATAGGTCAAAAGGTATATTCAACTTTTCAGCTTTCCATTCGACGGTATCTTGCATCTGTTCCGTCCGAATACTAATTCGCGCAATAGTCTTGGCCTGGAAGATGGCAGCAACAGAGCTCCGAAGTCCAGCAGACGTAGAATGGGCGACAACTTGCATGGCGCTGATGGAATCGCCCCCCAATCGGAAAAAGCTATCGTCAACTCCAAATGACTGAGGCTGTCGATTCAGCACGCGTGCCCATATACTGTGGAGCATCCGCTCAGTGCTCGTAGAAGGGGCTCGTTTCACTGCCTTGGTTCGTCCTGTATACTCATTAATCCGGTCGGTCATCAAAGAACTGCAAGCCTCCCTTAGCCGTCGCCGGTCGATTTTGCCGTTCCGTGTCATTGGCAGTTGTCGCAGAGGAAGAAACAGCCCTGGCACCATGTAGGCAGGGATGGAAGCTAGGAGACTGGTCTCTGCGTCTTGGGAGGTTGAAAAGAAAGATTCGTCTGGCAGGACAAATAATTCCTTCAACTCATTTGATGCCACTATATCGCAAGCAATATTCTTGACGGTATCTAGCCAGATACAAGCGACTAGCAGCGGGGAGCTTCCGTCTGTTTTTGGGACTACTATTTCTGCAATGACTTCGGTCGCATTAGGGAAGCACTTTTGGATGTGGTACTCGACTTCCCCTAGTTCAATGCGCTGTCCACGGAGTTTCACCTGCGTGTCCTTCCGACCGACATAACGTATAGTGCCATCTGAATTATATTGCACGAGATCACCAGTCTTGTAAAGTCGGCTTAAATCGCCTTCTGCACGAAAATTTCGCAGCCAGGCAGGTCTGTTGATATAAGCAGCAGCTGTCTTCTCAGGCTCGCCCAAATATCCCCTTGTCACGACAGAGCCCTCGATGATTAGTTCTCCGACGGAACCAATCGCCGCCAGCTTTGACGAGTCAGAGGGACTCGTAATCCACCCAACGCTGCCTAGCATTTTTCCGATTGTTCCTGTTCGCCACCCCGTCGATGGAATAGGCCCAGCAGTGCAGCAAGTACCCTCCGCAGGCCCGTAGGCATTGATGAGCGTCAATTTATTAGCCCACTTGTCCACCACCTCGCCATTGACCGCTTCGCCTCCGAGTGCAATCGTGTTTAGCGAGGGAACATCTTCCGGCGCAAAGAGACCCAGTGTGGAGGGTGTTAGGAAGGCCCAATTAATTCTTAATTGGCGAATGGCACCAACTAGATTGTTCATTCGATCATATTCAGAGGGAACGCAGACACAGCCACCACAGACTAATGTACTAAAAACTTCATAAATACTTATATCGAACGCGTATGAAGCGAAATGTAAGGATCTTGCAGCGGAGCTGAGGTTTAGAGCGTCGCTATGAGCTAGAATGCTCGTTCCCAGATTGACATGTTCCATGATGACACCCTTTGGTGTGCCAGTGCTACCAGAGGTAAACAGGATGAATGCAGCTTGGCTAGGCATCACACTTTGCAGGTCAGAGCTGAGAAATGGCAGGCCGAGAATATGGTCTTTCCCAGTCAGGACAACTTTGCTGTAGAGACCTCGAACAACATTGGCATGTATTTTTGATGCCAGCAGTAGCTGTGGTGTGGAACTTTTGATGATCTGTTCAATTCTCTGGCGTGGGTGACCTGGGTCAATGAGAACGCACGCTGCACCTGCGCGGAGGACTGCAATCAATGCTATGATTGACCATCGAGACTTTTCCAAGCACACTGCGACTCTCGACTCGGGTGAAATACCTAGAGTCAGGAGATGCTTTGCTAAACGGGCGGAGTAGTCGCCTAGTTCCCGGTATGTTAATACACCGTCCCAAGCGCAAACAGCTTCTGCATCCGGCTGGCTGGTAGTTCGGCGGAGAACGAGATTATGAAGCGTTTCTTGAGTTGCAGATGGGACTTGTCCATTCCACTCGGCCAACTGAGTCAAATCTTTAGCACTAACCACTTGGATATCTCGGATAGCGTCATGTGGCTTTGTCGAGAGCTGGCAGACGACAGCCTCGAACTGCTGAACTAGTCTTTGAGCCTCGGTGTCCTGGATGATAGATGAATTGTAAGTCACCGTGATCTGGAGATCGCTAGAATCGTCATTCATATGACAGAACATTGCGAACGCGTAACTAGCGAAGTCCTCATATCCCTGGACGCTTCCTTGATCCGCCTTTCCGAGCCAGCCAAGGGTTTCGTCTTCCATGATGCTTGAAGGCTGAATGACCAACTGAGTCTGGAATTCACACGCTTTGGCGGCATCGGTGCTGAGCTTGCGTATGTTTTGCAATCCGTATTGTAAGAATGGGATCATTCTGGTCCCTTGTCGCTGCAGTTCCGACAAAGTGTCGCCTACGGTCTTCACCTGGTTTAGAGACACTCGCAGGGGTACTGTCGCGATAGTCGGCCCCGTCACCTCCGCGATACCTCCTATAGGAGCAGTTCGCCCATTTACAGTGAGCCCAAATACTATATCGTCTGAGTCCGTATAATGTGCGAGTACTAATGCCCACGCGAGTTGGAGCACGTTGGACAGGGTATACTCTTTATTGTGGCTCGGGAGACTGGTTATAGTGTGAGTAAATGAATGGTTTGGGTCGGGGCTGTAATCGGAATGGGTCAATGATGGAAAGACGGCCGCCTGTAGATTACTCAATTGGGAGGTCCAGAAACGGTCGCCGCCATCAACATCAGCGAGGTACTGAATAAAGCGGTTGAAGTACTGGGGTTTTAATAGCTTGTGTTCGTATGCTTCCTTCACCTGGACCCACAGCAGCGGCAATGACCATCCATCGTACAATGCGTGGTGGATGCTCCAAACGAATCGAGTTTTCTTTCCCTCCGGGGAGAGCACTAAGGCTAGGTGCATTAAGGGTTGACCCAGGCTCATGACTCTCCTGGTAGATTGACTCATTTCCTCTTCAAGGCTGTTGTATATCTCCCATGGAGGTAGTTTGCTCAAAACCACCTGGAGGGTTCCATATTTGGTTGACTGGATTATTCGTGTTCGAAGTATTGAATTTTCAGTACAAACTGCATCCCAGGCTTGCTGGAAACGCTTCAAATCAATACTTTGCGGAAGCAGATACTCGAATCGACCGATGTACATCCCTGCCGTCTTGATTGCTAGTGCCATCAACCCTTCCTGCAGAGGTGTGCAAGGATAAATATCATCGATCTCATCTCTATCTACTTGACATTGATCGATACCGCACTCGAGGACCTCTTCCACACTAGGCCCGTCTCCTACGAGAGCAAATGGTCGGGTTTGTAGCTCCGGTTTACTGACAAGTCTCTGCGTCTTTTCCGCAAGAGATACAATTGTGGGATGATCAAAGATATCAGCGACGGTGAAAAGCAATCCGTTGTCTCTACCTCGAGCCACAAGGTTCATGGCCACAATCGAGTCGCCACCAAGGCGGAAAAAATTATTATCGATACTGAGTTCGTCTGTTGAGATTTTGATAACTTCGACGAACAATGCATATAGAAGGCGTTGAACTTCAGTAACTGGCCCTCTCTTCACATTAGAGATGGTACTAGTCGCGCTCGTCTGGTGTCTAGAGTGCTCTGCGCCTAGACTCCGGAGTAGTCTACGGTCCACTTTGCCGGATTTGCTGAGAGGAACAGTGTTCAGGGGGATGAACACTGTCGGGATCATGTATCTTGGCAGAATTTCCTCTAGTTTTTCAAGTGCTTCGTTGACTTTTGCATTGAAACGTTCATCTGTTATCTTGAACACCTCTGGTTCCAGCATAATGAACGCCATTAAGATTGGTCGACTGCCTTCTTTAGTAGTTACTACTACCTCAGCGACAGCGTCTTGTACGCCTGGAAAGCATTGGCGAAGGTGATGCTCAACCTCACTTAATTCGATACGCTGCCCGCGAAGTTTGATCTGGGTGTCTTTACGGCCCATATAGCGGAGGGAACCATTTGCGGTATACTGGACAAGATCGCCCGTCCGATATAACCGTTCAACTCCTCCGGGTCGAAATTGAGTGAGCCATGGAGGGTGTTCATCTGCTGGGATAAAAGACGCTGCTGTTCTTTTACGGTCATTGAGATAGCCATATCCAACAATCGGGCTCTCGATCCAGAGCTCGCCAATAGTACCAATTGGTGCCAAATTATCGTTACCATCCACCACCCAGCCTACAGCACTAGTAGGACATCCAATATCATTAGGATCTTTCGGATCGCGTACATTCCTGTTCAGCGTACTGAGAATCGCGCACTCCGCAGGCCCATACAGGTTCAGGAGATGAGTGTGCGGGCACCATAAAAGGATGTCCTCGGCGGCGATTGGTTCGCCACATAGGACTAGTGTTTTTAAAGACACCTTCTCTGGGGCAATCATACGAGCAACGGATGGGGTTATGCACGCCCAGTTAGCCTTTAGGGTGTTGATGGATTCGATAATATTCCCTTGCCGGTCTTGCTCGGAGGGGACGCAGATGCAACCCCCAGCTACCAAGGTAAGGAAGTTATCGGCAATACTAATATCAAAGGCATAAGAGGCAAATTGTAAGACTCTCGAGCTAGTGTCTAGAAAGAGACCGATGCGATTGGCCTCTGCACTCGTGCACCAGGACATATGAGATATGACCGCCCCCTTCGGCTTCCCAGTCGATCCAGATGTAAATACAGCATAGACTGGGGCTTCTGGATTGACAGTGGGCAGCGATCGCGAAGAGGCGTTCTTATGAGAAGTGGGTCTCTGATGATTGCCTAAAAGTATTGATCTCTTTGCAAGACTCCCCGCCAAAATCGCATTCCGTTCCGACGAGATGACAAATTGCGCGTTTGCGTCCTGGCATATCCCTTGTAGGCGGAGGGTTGGGTGCGAGGGGTCAAGGAGGATGAAAGCCCCCCCCGCTTTGCTTACACCTAGCATAGCAACAGTAGTCCAACGCGACTTTTCGAAGCAAAGAGATATAAAAAGTCCCGGGTTAAAGCCTTGGTCTATGAGATACACGGCCAAGTCGGATGAGAGCTGGTCTAGTTCACCATAGGTAAACTCCCCATCCCAGGCACAAACTGCCGGCGAACTGGGCTGGGCCCAGCATTGCTTTTGAATGAGTTCATGGGCACATGAGTAGACTCGCGGGGTGAGGTCTCCATTCCAAAGAGTCAACTCGGACCAATCATGTGAGCTAATCTTGTTGAGATCTCGTATGGGCAGGTTACTTTGAGAGGGAGTCATTTGCTGAAAGAGATGTTGTAGCTGATGCAGCATTCGGCTCAACTGAATCTCGCCGATTAATTGCTGGTCAAAGGTCGCCTCAACCTCGACCGAACTGCCCGACGGCTGGCAAATCAATGTGATGCCATAGGTACTGAAAGCGGACAGCTCAGACAAATCTTTGAATTTGGAAAACATGCTTGGAAGGCTCCCTTCCTCCGGTTGAATTACCAGCAAGCTTTGGAACTGGCAGGCGGCCTCCGTTTCCAATCCCATACGCTTGATATGCTGCAAGCCTGACTGCTCGAACGGAATGGTAGCGATGAAATTCTCCTGGACGTTGCCAAGTGCTTCGGCAATGGTGTCGTCGGGATTTAGGCGCAGACGAACTGGGATTGCTGCAGTGGTAGGAGCAGTCATCTCCTCGACTCCCAGCACCGGAGCACCACGACCGGTGGAGATGGTGCCAAAGACGACATCGGGACTTTCCGTATAGAGGGCCAAAAGGATGGCCCAAGCCAGTTTGATCTTGTTGGAAATGGTGAAGACACCCGCAGTTGGATCTGTTGCGATGACACACTTCTTTTTTATTGTCGGATTAGGGACATACCCCGGCGATGGTACTACAGGAAATATGGCGGCATTTAAGTCAGCAAACTGCATCTTCCAAAATGCTTCGTCTTCATTGCGAATCTGCAATATGTACTTGATGAAGCCATTGAACGGTCGAGACAAGAGACTCGTCCCCTTATATGCCGCTTCCACCTGCTCCAACAGTAATGGCATCGCCCAGCCATCGCTGATGGCGTGATGAAGAACCAGAATAAAGCGAAACGGCTCGGTGGTAGATAGCCGCTGGTTCATATAAAGTCGAACCAGCCGTTGACCCACCTGCCAGTCTTGCCACTTCGTCATGTCTGGTCCGTGGTTGTCGAAGTATTCCCAGGGCAGAACTCCACAAATGACGGCTTGATACATCGATCCACTACCTGCCTGTATGATGCGGGTCCTCAGAATTGGATTGGCTTCGGAAACCTCGTCCCAGGCCCTTTTAAAGCTTTCAATATTAATGTGGCTCGGGAGTTCATACTCTGTGGCGACTGTGTACGCGCCTGGTCTTTTGGCTGTGAGTGCCATGAGTCCTTCTTGAAGAGGGGTGCAGGGATACAGGTCCTCGATCTCACCGGCATCACTCAGCTGGCATTGCCGCATAGCTAAGTCAATCATTGCATCCCGGCCATCTGGCTCCGAAAGCAGTGAAAACGACGCAATATTCGCAGAATCTAACGTCTGGGTGGAAATCGCCGCAGCCATCTCGATGAGAGTTTCATGGTCGTATATATGGCCGACCGTCAACGCCAATCCTTGCCGTCGAGCAAGGCCGGCGAGCTTTATAGCGGCCATCGAATCCCCACCGAGTCCCAGGAAGCTATCAACCTGTCCTATATGGCTTGGAGGGATCTGCAAAACCTCCGCCCAGAGTCGCTGAATCCACCGTTCTATGGGGCTGAAAGGTTGTCGTTTGTTTAGAGAAGCATCGGCGCGTATATAAGCTTCCAACTCCTGCCTTGTCAGGTGTGCAGCTAGAGAGCGCAACCGTCGACGATCGCTCTTCCCACTGACCATCAAAGGCATTGATTGGAGAGGGAGAAAGACCATAGGAACCATGTATTGAGGGACCAGATCTTGTAATTTTGTCTTCACCAACTGTACCTGAGCTTGGAACTGCTCACTTGGCGCCATAATCCATTGCTTGTCTTCGTATGTCGATATTCCGCTCGCAGTCAAGGTTTCGGCTTGTCTACCACTTGTGTTTTCACGTTCCGCCAAGATGAAGGCCATTAGAATTTGCGAATTCGTCTTGTCCGCCAGCGTGATCAACTCGACCACGACGTTTTGAATACAAACGCCGTCAAAACAGCGTCGTATATGCGCTTCCACCTCACCCAACTCCAGGCGCTGCCCTTTCAGCTTGACCTGGGTGTCTTTGCGGCCCACGTATCGAATGGTCCGATTCTCGGCACGAACCAAATCACCCGTCTTGTACAATCTAGCAATGGTATTCGGCCGGAGCTGGCGGTGCCACGCGGGTGGATCTATGAACGCTGCTGCCGTTCGAGCCTGATCATTAATGTAACCACGGCCGACCGAAGGACCATCTAGCAGTAGCTCTCCCGTCATGCCAGCCGGGCATAATTGATTGTGGTCATCCGGATCAACCACCCAACAGGTTACCCCAACGCCTCGGCCAATGTTGGTGGCATCGACGTCGATATCACCTACCTCGTGCCGCCTCACCATGGAGACCACCGCACATTCGGTTGGGCCGTAGCCTTGAAATAACTTAACGTGGTTAGACCACTTCTGTACATCCTCCACCTGTACTGCCTCCCCACCAAAGACTAATGTCTTCAGCGTTGGAAAGTCGTGAACCTCAAGCACTCGGGTAAGCGATGGAGTCAAAACCGCCCACGTTACGCCTAGTCGGCGCGAGGCTCCAGCCAGATCACGTTTTCGGTCTGCCTCAGACGGAATGCACACACAACCTCCCACGATTAACGTCGTTAGGATCTCAATTATAGAACCATCGAAAGCATATGACGCAAAGTGCAAGACTCGTGAGCCGGAATGCATGTCCGTGGCGCTGCTGTGGGCCAGGGCACTCGTCGAGTACGACCGATGCTCGAGGATGACCCCTTTAGGCTTTCCAGTCGTGCCCGACGTAAACATTACATAGGCAGCATTGTTAGGCTTCACCGTCGCTTTAAAACTATTGTTTTCTTTCGACCAGACAACCATATCGTCTATCAAGATCATCTTGAGGCCCAGCTTGGCCATGTTCGCTGCATTTCCCTTCGACGTAACTACCACGGTTGCCTCGACTGCGGAGCAGACTTCCTTCATCCGTTGAATTGGATGCGAGGCGTCTAGAAGCACAAAGGCACCGCCGGCTTTCAAAACCCCAAGCATAGCCATTGGGACCCAACTCGACCTCTCCAGACAGAGAGGCACAAAGACTTCAGGGCCGACCCCATGGCTAGCCAGATAAGCCGCGAAAGACGACGAGAGGGTATTGAGCTCCGCGTATGTCAAATGGCTGTTCCAAGCATCGATCGCGGCGGCTTCGGGCTGTGCGGTACCACGCTTTTGAATTAGATCGTGAACGCAGATATCCATGGATGGTGGCGCATTCGAATTGTAAATTTGGGATTGGAATGCTTGTTCGCCGTTGTTTTCCATAGTTGAGGATATTTCAGATGACTTCTCGTAGTGCTTGGTCAGGCCGTGTTTTCGAGTATAAAAAAGAAGTTTCTAGCAATTTCCAGTTTGATATTGGCCTATAGTTGGACTCGGGTTCAAGCGAACCAAGGCCAAAGCTGGAATCTATGAATTGGCGATCTTGTCTCGTGAATCTTTAGTTACTTTCTTTCGAATTTTGAGTTTGAATTTTGGCATGCGATATTACGGGTTTGTTTTGGTTTGTACAAGCTTGTATGAATCGGTGCACTTCAGACAGGTCTCTACAAGAATGTGCCTGTGGAAATACAGTGTGCTCCTCAAGCAGCAAGCATCAAGCCGGCATAAAGATGTCACGATGTGGAACCCACAGGTAAACGTAGGTGGGTAGCACCCTCCACTCAATGATGGATAGACAAGTTCATGTCCAACTCGAGTCAAATTCGTCTCGAACACGACTTCAACAAATGCCGAGTTTTGTCAGTCGTGGAAAGCATGGCCTTCTAATTGGGGTTTAGTTCAAGGGGGTGTGGTGCAGTTTCCCGTCACAACTATCACTTTTTGTAGACTTCAGCGTCTTGTAATCGCTCTTTAGAGGCAATAATATCTCGTACAAAACGTCATATGGATCTCATCGATTCATAGAACTTGCAACTGTCAACTTTTGCCTCAAACACGAATTTGTCTATCCCGATTCTCAAGCCCGTTATGTACCGCATATCTGTAACACGAAGTACAATAGGTCATAAGCCACCATCTACGGCTACGTGCGCCACGGAGCATTCATGTACGACGTATTTCATATAAAAATCTGACAGCATGGTATTACTTAATTGGCAGGTTTATCTTACCCATGCTTCTTTCTTGCTCGAGGCAGCTGAGAGAAATGCTCACGTTGCATCGGAATTAGAAATAGAATCAGACTGTGGGGCTCCCCTGTCCGTAGTACGGAACGGAGCTACTGTACGACAGATGCGCCGAAACCGAAAAGCTAAAACCTGAAGACTGAAAACTTTGAATAAAGACTAGATGTTTTCGGTTTTTTGGTTTTGGCGCATATAGTGTAACTCCGTTCCGTACCTGTCACCTTTGCTTTGCCACTTCGGGCTTTGACAGGAACGGAGTATGAAGTTACACGATATGGATAAGCCTAGAATTCCTATTTGTTCATTAATGGTGCATGCAAGAGGTGAGTTTTCGAAGCTGAAAGGAGTTACATTCCATTAGCTCACCGACTCAATACTACAGTGATTGAGTAATTTGCTAATCCCGGGCCCCTGTTATTATTTTACCGCCAGCGTACCTTTAGTACTATAGAGGTTTTAAGGTATTACGATTTATTTCTCTCTTATTACAAGAAGAAACTCGTTGTGGAAATTCTAGTACGAGAGGCTCCAGATAGCTGAAAAGAGACACTATAGGAAATTTACAGTCAATAATGTGGATGGGAATACGAGTACGATAGAAAGTCCATTGAAATTCGTTAGCCCTTCTTAATAGTGCCATTTCTAAAGTCGAAGTCTAGCAGGAAAGGCGAGCTGAGAAACTTAAGACCATGCACTTTGCAGAAAATAACAGCCTGAAGATAAGTTAGCCTAGTGTAAGTGATGTGGAAGTAAAGACTAACAGTATTCATTCTGGGCATCTGTCCAAGTTTTACGAACTTCAAACCCGGCATTCTCTGCAATAACTCGCATCTGCGCCTGACTCCACTTCCCACTCAAAAAGTAATGTATCTCCTCACCCTTCTTGACAGTCACGTGCAACTGATGAACGTCCACCTCGACGTCCTGTTTTGCCACGTAGCTAAAAAGAAGCTCGTTCTCCTTCTGCTCGTACTTCATGATACATTTCCAGTGGTTTGCCTCGAATATATTTTCACCCATCAACCGGTTGGCATGATGCAAGCCGTGATAGAGGAACGTGCGCGCGCTGCTTACATCTGGGTCATATGCCTTGACCAACCTATCTTCAGCAGTGCAGCAATCCGCAGTGACCAAAAAACTGCAATCAATAGATATCTTGCAACACGCTTCGCGGAACCGACTCATTAGGGCACTCGCCTCGGTTTTGCTGAGATTCGCAATACTATTTCCAACCCAGAGGAATGTGACAGTGGATACAGGTAGATTAGCAGATGTGGTCAGCCATTCCACGCAGTCCTCATATGTACCAATGAAGCCCGAGATACTGATTTTGCCGCAACTTTTGAATCGCTCACTCATTGCACCTAAGTTCTGGCGTAGCGCTTCTTCTGAAACATCCAGGGCAAAGTAGGACACTTCGTGCCCCTCCTTTTCCAGGTTCTCTAGGATCGATACGGTCTTGGTAAGGCTTCTACGATGGTCTGAGCATCTCGCAACCAAAAACCCAGGAATTTGAAAACTGAAAATCTTACCCGCAGCCTAGTTCAATCAGAACCAGTCTCTTTGGCAGCTTGCGTACGATATCGAGGCCCTGAGTTCTGAGGATCTCCATCTCCCGTTGACTGGGATAGTAGTCGGGGCTTTTGGCCCAGCTGTAGAAGTTCTCCAAGCCTTCGTCGTCCCAGAGGAGTAGCGAAGGCATTGTTCTTATTACCCCGCGGCCAGTAAGTCCGGAGATGATTTCTGATTTTAGATCTAAGAGTGAAGATTTTCGAATATCGAGGAGCTGTACTATGCCATTGGTGAGAAACATCTTAAAAATCTGACGATGATCAATCAAAGTGTGATATTGCTTGACGAAAAACTTTTATGCTTGAATGGAATCCGCCTCGAGTATTCGTTGTAGTAGCTAATACTGGTATACTTATGTGAGCCGTGGGCTCCAATCAGCTCTAAATCTTCCGGCGGGGGGTATTCTTGCCATACAACTGACGTATGTAGCAATAATATTTAAGTAATAATAGGTTGTCAGAAAGTCGGGTTGTTTAATTGTGTTCTTTCGGTCTTCGTGGGAGGAGTAGATCGTGTGCCTCTGTCCCACCCTCTTCCGAGAGCACTACATCCCGAAGTACAACATCTAGAAAAGCATAACAGATTAGAAAGATTCATGCATGCAGATTATGGTGGGGATTATGCACGGACTTCTCGTTCCTTGCGATGTAACATTGAAAAGAGGGGTAGAAAAAAACGAAACTAGTTCTCTGAGAGTGAGCTAGAGAATCACAATTACACGTTGCTCTAGGAGGTCATGTGTAAATTAATCTACTGTGTAAAGTAATCTACCTGATTTATGATAAGTATCCGAGGGCGAATAATTGAGATTGACTGGTTACTTAGCATCTTTCAAGATGCCAGATGGTAATTTGACCAGTCTTGTTGACCACAAGATTCTCGACATTCGACAAGATATAGATTATCTTCGCCTTCCTGAACAAATTATCAACGGTCTTTCCTCTAAACCCCCATTCCTACCCTCATTCCTGCTGTGGAACGACAAAGGATTGGAGCTTTTCGACCGCTTCTCCCAAACATCTTCCTACTATCTATTTCACAGCGAAATCGAGATTCTCAATCGATATGCGTCAGAGATTTCTGCCAATGTCCCTCACGGTGGTGCTTTAATTGAGTTGGGGTGCGGGTAAGTGAGGTGCATTGTTTCTTCAAATTGTTCCTGCCTGCCTCGCTTTGCGGGTAGTAGTAAGACTGCGTATAGAAGATGAAAACTGAATGACTAAAGGGCTATTCGAAAGACCAAAACTATCATGTCAGTCTTTAAACTGCAGCAGAAACCCATCCATTATTACGCCCTAGACGTGTCCCTCCAAAGCTTGACGAACAGTATCAATGAATTGACAGAAACAATGCATGGATCTGAACTCCTCACCATCACTGGACTCTTGGGAACTTACGAGGATTGCGTCTCATGGCTTAGCAAACCCGAAAATCTGGATAGCTTGTCTTCTGTCACATTTTTGTGGATGGGCAATAGCATCGCCAACTTCTATCAGCGCTCAGAAGCTAGCGCCTTCCTCGCCCGCTTCAAGAGCGCTTGCCAATTCTCCAACATCGACTGCAACTTCATCCTCTCAACGGACATCTGTCATGAAGAAGCCAAAATTCATCAAGCATACAACCTCAACAGTCCTGAATTTGTGGAATACCTTCTCAACGCCTTATCACAGGCGAATGCGGCTCTAGGACAGGACGTGTTCCGGCTTGAGGATTGGAAATGCGAGTCGCAGTTTGATAAACAAGACCGTAACTTGCACGTGTACTACGCGGCTCGGTCCGACGTTCAGGTGACTCCAGCAAAGGGTCTTTCCATTGCATTCGATAAGGGCACAAGGGTTCGCATCGAGACGAGTGGGAAATGGAACGCGGATCTGATGGGCGAAATGTGCAAAACTGCGGGATTCCGTATTCGCCAGCAATGGACAGATGCTTCCGGAGTATATTGCATTTATTTCATAACCTCTAAGGGGAGATAGAATGAAAAAATACAAGATATGCATGTTATACAATATCTATAAATTCCAATAAACTCTCGCTATAGTAGCTCTAGATCTTGTGTTCAATAAGCTGCTCATTACTCCACAAGTGCTTGCGAATTGACAACACATTCACTAATCTCACTTTCCCGAGGACTTACAGAATGTTACTCGAACTCGAACTCTTATTTTAGGCCTTGGTGTTGTGTTGGCGTTGCATGATATTCTTGTACCATGCGAACCAGTCCGATGTTATGCTTGTGTTACCCCTTTCTCTTTAACCTCGTGTGTGTAGAGCGAGCGAGAGGGCGGGTGTGGTCCTATCGGAATCGTGGTGTCCAATTGGTCAGTACGACGACAATAGTCTAATCACACCCCCTTCTCTTCGCTTGCTTCCCTTCACTACCTTCCTCTCGCCTTCTCGTTCGCGTTCGCTTCCATTTTCTGTCTTTTCCCATTCCCTTTCCAACCTCAACACTACCTCTTCCTTCCAGCACCGTTTCATCTGTAACTTAGTCACGATGAGTGCGGTGCAGCCTACTACGGCATCGCCGCTGCCCTCGCCAATCCCACCAACAGCAGATTTCAAGCAAGATTCTCAACCTCAGCAAAACGAGAAATCCGAAGGTGGAGATGAAGATACCACTTGTACAAACGCAGAGAACGAGAAAGCAGAAGAGCAAGAACTTGCTTCATGGAAGCTGGTACTCTTGAGCATTGCCCTCTGTTCGTCCTTATTCTGTATTTCCCTGGTGAGCAAACCGCGTATTTGAACCCACCCTTGTCTACCCTCAGTCATTCACTTCTAACTTGTCTCTTTCCTCAGGATGGGACTATCCTCGCAACCGCCATCCCAAAGATCACCAACCACTTCAACTCCCTCGACGATGTGGCCTGGTACGGCAGTTCCTACCTCTTCACGACGTGTGCCGTGCAGTTGGTCTTTGGTAAGCTGTATACATTTTATTCCACCAAATGGGTGTTTCTTTCAGGTGTCGCCGTCTTCGAAGTGGGTTCATTGATTTGTGGCACCGCCCCCACGTCGGCCGCACTCATCGTTGGAAGATCTATCGCGGGATTAGGAGCGGCTGGCATTTTTACCGGCGCTATCCTCATCATCGCAACGAATGTCCCGCTGCGTCAACGTCCTATCTACACAGCACTCCTGTCGAGCATGCACGCTATTGCTAGTGTTGCGGGACCTTTGTAAGTACAGTGCAAATCCGAGCCTACTACAGGCGATATAAGCTAACGAAAGATAGATTGGGCGGCGTTTTCACCGACCACGTAACTTGGAGATGGTGTTTCTATATCAACCTCCCGTTCGGTGGCATGGCCATTCTCTTCATCGTTCTTTTTTTGCCAAGTACGACACCGCCTCAGAGCAATTTCGGCTGGAAAGAGAAAGTAAAAGCTTTCGATCTAATAGGCACGTTTTTCCTGATTCCGGGAGTTATCTGTTTGTTACTCGCACTACAATGGGGCGGGGCTAAATATCCCTGGGACAACGCTCGAATCATTGCTTTGTTTGTTGTATTCGGTGTCATGATGGTGGTGTTTATAGGGGTTGAGTTCTGGCAAAAAGATAGGGCTACAGTTCCTCTACGCATATTGAAAGATCGAAACATCTTGGGCGCTGTATGGTTCGGAGTTTGCATGGGCGGGGCACTGTTCATCTTCACATATTACGTAAGCTACATACGTTCACCTTCTCTTAACTCTAACTAACTAGAGAAGCTCCCTATATGGTTTCAAGCCATTCAAGGCGTCAGTGCCACCCAATCCGGCATCCGAAACCTCCCTAGTATTTTAGGCCTTGTGGTCTTTTCCCTCATCGGTGGTGGACTTGTTACGGCAGTCGGCTACTACACTCCATTCCTGATCCTCTCTTCTGTGGTGACAGCTGTAGGAGCTGGCATGTTAAGCACCCTCAAAACAAATTCTCGCATAGGTGAATGGCTTGGCTACCAAATTCTCCTAAGTGCAGGGGCCGGACTTGGAGCTCAGAATGTCATGTTGGTTCCTCAAGTAGCCAGCGCGCCGACAGACCAGCCTATAGCCATCTCGATTCTTATCTTCACCCAAACGCTCTCCAGCGCCATCTTCTTGTCGGTTGCGCAGAACGTTTTCCAAAACCAGCTCATCCGGAATCTACACTCCTATGCTCCTGATATCAATTCCTCCTTCGTCATTCAAACTGGCGTCACGCTCCTCCGCGAAAATTTCTCCCCGGAAAAGCTGCCACGGGTTCTCGAGGCGTACAACGAAGCTATTGTGCAGACATTCTACGTGGCTGTTGCCATGGCCGCCGCATCTATTCTCGGCCCTGTCTTTATGAATTGGCTCTCGCTGAAGACATCCAAGAAGGTAGAATCCCAGAACGAAGAGGAGGGTGTCCGAAACGCAGGGACAAATTCCGGAGAAGAGAAGATGTCTAATCACAAAGCCAGTGGTCCTGCCAGCGAGAGTTCACAAGCACTTTAATGGAACTGTGAGAGATTGTACTTAGAAACCTTCTCAACATGCTGCCAAGCTGAGAAATAGCCATTGCTTTATAAATAGACCCATAAAATTATTATAATACACTGTTGCCCTAATCCTAAAAATCTCTCAAAACTTTCATATCCGCTCTATCTTCACCACGGTCTGGAAATCTTGTTCGGTTGTTGCATTTCCTTACACGGTTTGACTAACACGTACGTGTCTTACTATCTGGCTCTGCCTCGGTGGTGTTTTCGAAAGTGTTATTACCGAATCCGGTTAGTCTACCTTGAAACAAAATGACATTCATGTATCACATAAATCCTGGTTTGGCCGGCAGACAATACTGATTACATTGTGTTACTTTTCATGTCGTTCATATTCTTGCGATACTCCGTATCTAGTCTTTTGCATGCTGCATGTGCATGATTTCCGCGGGATGAATAGTAGAACTTTATGCCATAGGAGCGATCATGATATTTTCCACTTTGTCTTACCTAAATGCGGGACCTCCAGTTGTATTACCTTGCAGCTGATCAATTGCATGCTCAAAAGTTAAGCCGAGCTGCAATGTTTCACAGCAGCGACAAATCTTGAGTCGAAGGAGGGGTTGTAAAACCCATCGCCGATGTGTGACTTGGAGTTACTACAACGTTGAAACAACACCCATCTGTGATGTAGCGGGTCTTCAAGGTGACGATGTCTACAGGGTCTCCGCAATGAGGGAGGCTTGAGGTGGATAGATTTTGGCCACATGGTTAAAGCCGACAGCAGCAGCGTAAACTCCAGAGTCTGGTAGCGCAGGCAGCCAAAGAAATGCAGTGCCACAAGTATTCTCAATAATGGGTTTCTATCCATTTTCCCTTACTTCATCTTATATGCGTCGCGTACAGAAGGAATAGCTCTAGATTCCCCACTGGTATCGAGTGACTTTCCCGTGCAATTGTCGTCGGAGCACTATCCTCTCATATGCAGCGGGATATTCTATCTCGCCTTGTACGAATGTTCCATCAGCAATCAGAATATCGCTTTACGTCATAATTCCTTCTGATTTCGCGGTCTCATTTATCCTCACATGGGAAACAATTCGAAGCCAGAATGGGCGTTCTAAACCTGTCAGACCTATTTTCTGAGTGCTTAATCATCATGGCCGCCAATTGAGCATTGGTCGCGACATATCCGGACATCTTTTCCTTCAAGGGAGATGCCATTATAGTCTATCACTGATAATAAAACGTACCACAAAGGAAGATGGAAAACCACAATATCCCAAGGATAACCCGCCGAAAAGGCGCATGTATGAATTGCAAACAACGTAAAATACGATGTAAGTTTTAAAAACCGTCAAATTACATCAAGGGCGCCTCTAATGTTATAGGTGATGGCAATACAACCTGCTCACAATGCTTGGTAATGACACTATCTGGGGATCATGCTGTATGCTTCTAACTTCTGACTTAACAGAAATCGGATCATGTTTGCCTATATACTAAAAGCCGATCAAGCACTGTTAGTAGCCGACAGAGCTATTTGCACGCCCGAACATATCATCCAAATACTCCAGGGTATGAAGGCAAGACGAGAGGCCCACATGTACAGGACCAGCTCGAGAAACGAAATATGCTTTTCTGTAACGAATCTCGGAAAGAAAGCACGGAACTTCCTTATCTGTAAGCAGTTTTAGATTTATCATATCAATCTAATTATTAATAGAAGACCAAGTGCGGAGTTTAATATGAGTTCTTTCAATTTGAGTGAAAGAGATCTGATGCCTCACAATTCACTTCCGTCATCCGATGTCACCGATAAATATGATCACCTTTCGGATTTCATTACTACTAGATGTGATTTCTCTCATTCTAAATCAGATCATTGTCTCTCTTATGGGACAGACCTAGGTTGGAGCCAGGCGTGGGCAGAGACTATGTGCCGTAAGCTGAAACTTTGCGCATGGTGGGAATTGAGTGACTAACGAATGATAGGCGATTTCTCATCTTTAGCTCCGCTCCGTTTTCTTTCTAAACACGTTCCCGACAACAATTCTAAAGATGGTATTTCAATATTCTTTGAGCGGCTTACCGCAAGGATACGACATGTTCCAAAACGTGAGGCAAGTCCGAAGAATTATGAGACCACGGATAGCCTTTCTCTCTACGCTCCTAATGATACCACTCAGTTCCTTGACGGTATGGCCCTGATAAATTCCAACAAAGGGACTGTTCTGACACTTGAATCAGCCTTCTTTCTAGATCACTATATGTATGTTCGCCGCTTTTTCGTCAAGTTTCAAAGGCTAATAAGTTGATTGCAAAGACAACCACCATATATTGACCGGGAATTCGTTGAAGACACCCTAGCAGATCTTATATTTTCACCTAAAAGTGTGAATCCCCATGCTTCTGTGCTTGTCAATGGTGTTCTTGCGATTGGATGCAGAGCCTTATCTCTTTCGTCGAGCAAGAAGATGCAGTCCAGCAGTGGTAGTATGGTGCAAGCTACTGGTTACTTTGACCGAGCACTACAGACCAAAAATGAACAAATTGGAGATCAGCCAACCTTTCTTCAGCTCCAAGTAGGTGCAACGGCATTCTGGCTGTAGAAATACATTTGGAAGGCTAACCGCCCTCAGGCTTTATTGACTCTGGTAAATTGTCCTTTACTTACAGCTTAATCAGCAGGCCAATTGCTCACAGGGTATCCTTCAGGTGGTTTACACCAAGAACCAACAAGATATCAGCCTTATCAGGACACTGCTGTCACAATCGATCCAGGTCATCCAAGAATTGACACTAATACTTCCCCAACAACCCTCAAACCCGGAAGAAATAAAGCAACAAAAGAATATGGAATGCATGTTTTGGTCACTGTATTCTATCGAGATGCCACTCGTGATCAGATTTGGTGGGTATTCAGTACGCCTGTCACCTCCGAATCACTATTCATCCATACTAAAATTCTATCAGATGATCAATGACAACCTCATAATGTACGATGCTCCATCCAAAACGGACAATGCAGTTGCATACCAGCCTTCAGCGCAGTCTAGATGGCAGCTGGTGAACTATCGCTACGCTCGGCTTTGTTCGAATATTGTAACGGTCATATATAGCAAGTCAGCTCTCAAGATGACACCGGCTGAGACGGCCACATCGATATCTGATTTGTCTAAAGTCTTAGAGGCATGGAGATTGTCCATTCCCGTAGCTTATCGACCTCCTGACAGTAATGATTTATCACCAGTCGACAAGACCTCTCGAGAATCAGACATACAATTGGACCTATTCTTCAAATACGCAGAAGCTAACTTCGCCATACACCGCTGGGCCATGATCCAAGGCACGCCTTCTGGCCCGACGGATATCTTGGAAACGTATTTGCACAGTTGGGAGCGTTGCATCAGCCTCTCCAAAGCCACGATAGACCTCACCCATTCTTTTCGTACTAACGATCCCGAACTCAATTGGTGGGTTTATTTACATTTATTTTGCTTAGTAAGATCATTACATGCTGATAGCCCATAGGCCCCATATTCACTTGCCACTTTTGTCAGCTAGCTTAATATTTATTGCCGTCAGTCACCTTGAATTTGGTGAAGATCAGCTTCCGTATCAGCGGTATCTGGGAATGGCGAGTGGATATTTTGCTAGACTAGCTACGAAAGGGGGCATTTTCGCGGAAATATTTGAAGGAGTGAGCCATCTTACCAGAATATCACACTGGGAACTGAAACCCAGCAATGATACCAGGTTACAAGCCCAAGACAAAGTAAAAAGGTCGCAGGTCGAAAAGCTTTTGTGGCAAACAGCATCACCCGGTATGGCTTCTTCAACTGATTTACTTGAAAGCCAACTGCCACCCTTCTCTGCTACTCGGGGTTTTGATTTTCCAGAGGACTCTTCTACCAATCATTTTGAGTATTCGTCAGTCCTCCATGAATACCCCCTCGACCAGGCATTTGCGACAGAAATGGGATGAAATTTCGGAGAAATAATACTTATGACTTAGATTGGATTACTATGAGATATCAGGTATTGGGTCTTAGGAGTTGGGTCTACCTATAAGCTTCTGGTTATCACCATTTTATTGAACTCGGTTTGATATCAACTTCCAAGGTTTTGCGTGATGGCTGCACCCGCGAAAACACCGAGTCAAGTCCCATCTTAGCGCTTGCGTCAATCCACGGTCGGGACATCCTCCTGTCTCTCTCAAAAGTTGTGATTTTCTTCTCGGATAGCAAAGTTGTTGATATTTCATCTGTTCCATTCAGCAGTTTGCTCTTCCTGTGCTCCTCGATTTCAAAACTCCCGATTTGACGGCCCTCAGCATCCAACACAGACTGGGTAGGGAGATCTATCTCAATGATGCGGCCATCATTAACTTCTTTAACGATGCTTTGTATTGCATTTAAATCCAGAATTGCTGGAAGCAAGCCATTTTTGAAACAATTGTTATGGAAGATATTTGCAAAACTTGGAGCCAATACAGTTCTAAAACCAAAATCCTGCAACGCCCAGACTGCGTGTTCTCGAGAACTGCCACAGCCAAAGTTTGGACCGGTCGCTAGAAGAATTGGACATTTCTGGTATTCGCTGTGATTAAGGATGAATGAGCTATTGAGATTGCCATCTTGATGGTAACGAAGGTTGTAGAATAGTGCGTTGCCTAACCCTTGACGCTTAATAGTTGTGCAGAATTGTTTTGGAAATATTGCATCTGTATCAATATTTGCTCGATTTAGAATAGCGACTTTGCCTCTGGCATGGTGAAATGAGTTAGTAGCGATCTGTTTTGGAGCCGGGGAATTTTCTGGAATTGGATCAGTGTCGGTGGCATCGGAACCAGTCCAATCTATCAAGCCATCGTTATAGGTTGAAGGCGCCAAGTTTACAGAATCTTTCAGGGTTGACCAATCCTCTAGCCGAGCATCGGTCAATCTTCCAGCAAGTGCTGTTGAAGCTGCTACTGCTGGAGATACCAGGTGTGTTCGCCCAGCAGTCCCTTGTCGGCTCTCAAAGTTTCTGTTACTAGTACTTGCGCAGCGTTCGAACGGCAGAAGTGCATCTTCATTCAGCCCAACGCAAAGACTGCATCCGGCCTCTCTCCATTGGAATCCAGCAGTCCTGAAAATGATATCGAGTCCTTCTGCTTCAGCTGCTCGTTTTACAGTACCTGACCCAGGGACCGCCAATGCTAGTTTGAGACTGGGCGAGATTCTTTTTCCTTTAAGCACCGAGGCCGCAACGCGAAAATCCTCGAGGCGTGCATTTGTACACGACCCTATGAATACCTTATCGACCGCGATGTCTATCATTTGGGTACCTGGCTCAAGGGCCATATATTCCAAAGCTTGCCTGCAGCTTTGTTGCTTCACTGGGTCCTCAAAATCCTCGGGGAAAGGCACGGATCCCGTAATTGGCACAACTTGCTCGGGCGAGGTTCCCCACGTCACCGTAGGCGCGACGCCTGTAGCATCTATCTCGATAATTTTGTCAAAGTGAGCGCCTGGATCTGATGATAGGGATTGCCAATACTTCTGTGCTTTATCCCACAGAGGTGAAGATGAGTGTGGTGCCATTGGTTTATCTTTAACGTACTGAGTTGTGGTCTCATCGTGTGCAATCATTCCTGCTCTTGCACCTGCTTCGATTGACATGTTGCATAAGGACATACGGCTTTCCATGCTCAAACTTTCAATCCCTGGACCGGCAAATTCAATCACCATCCCAGTTGCACCAGCAGTTCCTAATGCTAAATTAGCTTATGTCCTGTTTTTATATAAGAACTCGTCTCACCAATCTTTCCAATGATGAAAAGGATCAAGTCCTTAGAACTGACGCCTTCACCCAGTGTTCCTCTTACCACAATCTTCATATTCCGATCTCTCGTCGTGACAAGAGTCTGCGTCGCGAGCACATGTTCCACTTCGCTTGTTCCAATTCCAAATGCAAGAGCTCCAAATGCACCATGTGTACTGGTGTGGCTGTCTCCACACACCACGGTGGTGGCGGGAAGCGTGAACCCCAATTCTGGTCCAATGATATGTACGATACCTTGCATGTTGGAATTCAGACCTAGGTATGGGATCCCATGATGTTTCACATTACGTTCCAGCGTCTGGACCTGTAAGCGAGAGGCTGGATCTTTAAGGAAAGAAGCAGTTTTCACTGGACGCCTGCGGGTTGTAGTAGGGACATTATGATCCGATGTTGCAAGTGTAAGTTCAGGACGTCGGGTTTGGCGACCTTGAGCTTCAAGCCCCCAAAATGCCTGCTACAAATAGTTAGTCGAAGCAATTTTCTTTTATAAAATCGTTACATACCGGTGAAGTCACTTCATGGATCAGGTGTCTATCTGAAGATGTTAGAGTCAAAGTTGAAGATCATGGAATCTTCAACTTACCAATGTATAAAAGTACTGTTCCATCTTCTCTCTCTTCAACAACATGGTCGTCAAATACCTTTTCATAGAGAGTCCTAGGTCTGTTTGTATGATACATTTTTTGCTGGCTGCTGCAGATTTTCTTCGCTATGTAACTGTCTTATCCCATTATCTACGGTAGTTTGGCACTTATTTGTAGTCCAGAATCAACTGGCATGAGGTGACCGGACCGAACAGTAATATATTGTCAGCTCGGTCCGAAACCTTAACACAGCCACGGTCCTTCCGCAATTATCTAGATGTATGAGGGTAATTGAACATGAGAGCTTTGATCTCGCCAAATCATGTTATTTTTCACATCTACAATCACCTCTTCGCCTTGTCATCCACACTTAGACTTAGACACCAAAATATAATCTTACCACCACTTAAACCAGAATCAAGTCTTACCGATGAATACTAGCTAGTGAGAAGTGATCACTCCTGTGATGCCAACATACCCCTTCAACAAAAATGTTTGAATGTTTACGGCCGCAACTCCACTGCAGCCTTTGTAGATGTCGCTGGCGTATCTTCAAAATTAGTTGTAATAGTCAAAAGTCCCAAACTCGGCGCAAGTTCTTGTACACTCTATCTAAGATCAGAATCAAATATCAAACAACCGAAAATGGGGCGGACTTACCAAAAGGGATGAAAGACAAGCCAGTAAATCGGCCTGCACACAAGAATCGTTCATACTGGCCCCCCATGCACCACAAAGTACGTTCTTCAATTGGCACTTTGCAATAGCGATTCTTCGTGTCCCTCCCTCCTTGCTCCAGTTGCGCTCAAAGACCTCGAAAGATATTTGCAGACCAGTACCAATGGCAATGGAACTAGAAATCGCACTTCCCACAGTATCTGACACCCCTTGAATGCGCCGAGCGAAACCGTTTATAATAAGTATGGCACTGACCATAAAAAGCCCGTCATTTTGCCGGCGTTCCACTTCATACTTTAAGATTCTCGGATCTTTCTTTATAACATGGTATTCAGAGAAGAAAATGTCCTGTATCTCCACAGAAGTCAAAACTCTGCCAACCTCATCAGCCCTGCGTTTCACGGTTTGAGAAAAATCATGTTGCAATTCCTTGGGCATATCCAAGTTCACCGATTTCTCCAGTGTCCATGCAACACCGCCCTTGCCACTCTGGGAATTTACAAGGATAATGGATTCATAAGTGGTACCTATATCGCTTGGGTCCAGTGGTAGATAAGGCACCTTCCAGAGATTTTTCTGGCCTGGATTTGGGTTGTTCCACCTCTTGAAGCCCTTGTTTATTGCATCTTGGTGGGAACCACTGTAGGCTAGAAAGACAGAATCGCCAGCGTATGGCGCACGAGTGTGAACGGGGATTCGAGTGAGGCACTCGATGGTCTTTCGAATACTTGGAAGATCGGAAAAGTCAAGGTGCGGGTCAATCCCTTGGGTGTAGAGGTTCAGTGCTAGCGTTACAAGGTCAACATTTCCTGTTCGCTCGCCGTTTCCGAACAAGCAGCCTTCCACGCGGCGAGCACCAGCCAATTGTCCAAGTTCTGCAGCGGCTACAGCACAACCACGATCATTGTGTGGATGTAACGAGACGGTGACATCTTCTCGTGGAAATCCTCGACAGAAAATTTCGACTTGATCAGCAAAGGTGTTTGGCGTACTCATCTCAACTGTGGCCGGGAGATTCAGAATCATAGGCACGTCAACCGTTGGTTCCCAAGCATTCCTTACAGCCTCACCGAGAGCAATAGCATAGGAGGTGTCTGTGTCTGAGAATGCTTCGGGGCTAAACATCAGATTCCATGTCGTCTTTTGCTGATTAGGATCATCTTTGGTGATCGATTTCGTGTATCGCACACAATCAACTGCAATATTCAGAACATCCTCATTAGACAATCCAAAGATTGTCTTTTGAAAAGAGTGACTGGAAGCAATATATAAACTTATGATTGCTTTTTCAGCTCCTTGGATACTATCCACGGTTCTTCGGATCAACTCTCGACGACATGGTGAAAGGACCTGAAGCCAAACATCTTCGGGTACTGCATATTGTGTCTCGATGAGTTTGCGGGTGAACATGAACTCAGTGTCAGACGCACTAGGAAACGACACATCAATTTCCTTGAAGCCCATGCGCACAAGCAGTTGAAAGTAAGTCCACTTCTGCTCAACCGTCATAGGGAATGCAAGGCTCTGGTTTCCATCTCTAAGATCTGTTGCCAGCCAACGGGGCGCTTGTGTGATGGTTTTGGAGGGCCACTTTCTGTCTGCAAGGGTGGGAGGGTTGAAGGGAGCATATTTTTCGGATGGATTGGGAATCCTGCAATTGTGTGAGACTTGATGATATGAACCGATTTACTAAGCGTCTTGGAAAGCTAACTTTGTTCGAACCAGGAACTTCAACTTACATTGGCATGTTGAACGGTGTATTGACAGCTTCGAATAATAACCGCGGTAATACTCTACTTGCCTAACAATCTGATCTCTAAGATTGAAAGTCGATACGTAGATATTGGAAGTATTGGAAGTATGCGAAATAGAGGAGCACTAGTATAGGCTATAGTAGACTCAGTTTTGGTTGCAGTCCACTCCTCGCTATTAGGCTAAAGTAGGTAGGAATTCAACTACAAAGTGGAATATATGAAATGATCCAGATTATGCTTAGTAATCAGAGAGAGAGGAGGTCTAGTTGGACCTGATTGGGCTTAGCGCATAACATGTCCTGCACCTCGCAATAGTAGGCATGTTTTAACAACCACTGCATAATCCCTTCTAAGTGCATCGTATCACGCACGCTAGGGATTTCGCGGACCGCAATCTCGGACCGTTCGGTAGTACAGTAGGAAAATGTGGCCCGGAAGTGCTTGTGATCTGTTCCTCGATCCGATAGCTGCATAGCCACACTGAGCCGCTGTCTGGAAAGTAAAAAAAAAGGAACACAATAGTCGGAATGTTGAGTTGCAACAGTGGGCAAGTAAAGTTGAACCAAATCTTTCCGGGGTGCCTGCAAACTCCAATTCCTTGCAAACTACAATAATCTTTGTCAGCCAGTCAGCAGCATAGTAGTTCTCCTTCTTCTTCAGTCAGAAACTACAAACGTGTATACTGCGTATCCAAAATGGCGCCACTACCAGTAGTGATCGATGCCGCGTGTATGAGAAATGGCACGCAGGATGAATGTAACGCATTCAGCACAAAACTGCTAGACGGCATGGTTGAGCAAGGGTTTGTAAAGTTAGTTAATCATAGTGTTCCGCTTCCGGTTGTCGAGGATGCATTCACAATGGTGAGCCACATTCGAAGAACTCCATATCCGTATGCTAATAAAGATAAAAGGCGAGGAAGATCTTTCAGTTGCCCTTAGATGTGAAGAAGCCTACAATAAATGACCCCAGTAAAGGCCAACAGCGTGGCTGGAGTCCACCTGGTGAGGAAAAAACATGGTGGCTAGAAAGCAATACTGGCAATGTCGACTCTCCTCGCTTTAGCGACAACAAGGTCAGCGTGTTAATCTTGTCTCGGACTCTAAATCCAAGCTGACCAGAGTCTAGGAAAGCTTCGATTGTGGAATCCCAAACGACCAGCAATTCCCTAATAAATGGCCATGTGAAGAAGCTCTTCCAGGGTGCCAGGCTACAATGGATAAGTTTTTTTTCAACTGTGGCAAGCTCTGCATCGATATCCTTGAAGTCCTCGCTTCGCAAATGCACCATGACCCCAACCTTTTCTCATCGCGTTGCACCAACGAGGCTAGCACTATACGCATCAATCATTTTCCTTCAGTTGCTCGAGAAACTTTGGAAAGCAACCAAGTCAGTCGAATATGGCCACATACCGACTTCGGAATTATTTCGCTCGTCTTTCCAAGTGAACTTGGTGGCTTGGAATATGAAGACCGTGAGAACCCAGGTACATTCATTCCAATGCCGTATAATAGAGATGAGGAGGTCATTGTCCTCATTTCTGAGACATTCCAACGATGGACCAATGGAAACGTTAGAGCTTGCATGCATCGAGTCACGAAACCAATTGACATGACCGGTGATACAGTGCCCGAGAGGTGGAGTCTTGTGTATTTTTGTAAGGCAGATAGGCATATCAACGTTGGGCCATTGAAAGAATTTATTGGCCAGGAACGGCAGCCGCTTTATGAAGACCTAACAGCTTTACAGTATCAGTCTATGCGAAACTCCGTGCACTATCCAGACACAGTGCCTGAGACTGTAGCCGCAAGTTCCTAGACTAGGGGAATGAAGGGTTCCGTATTCATCGTTACCAAATACGAATTGTTTTCTTTTCGGGGATATGTATATTTCTTAGGCTATTAAGACTGATCCAATGAATATCTTGAGGCTCGGAAAGTAAAAACAGAAATTTGGCTAAGAATAAGTTGCAAGCATTATGTATTATACTGTTAGAAAAGGGGTTTTATTCAATTTAGATATTCTAAAAGTGATCCGAACCATTTAGCGTATAAATTAACAATGAAATGATATATAACCCGGTTTTCAACACAAATGTGATTGTTGATTACGATTTGATTTTAATGTCTTCACGCTAGTTAGTGATTATATTCTTCAGTTGTCCGGACCGGCTTCTGCAACCGCTTCGGTCCGGACGGATTAATAGTACTGATCCTCAAAGTTGTACTCTGCTCATCATGTTGTTTATTATGTCCATATACTGTTAAATTGAGAGCCTAAGCCTTGATTCACCAGATACTAGGCCAGAAAGCTATTAAGATCTATTTCAATGCCCGCAAGAATGGCATCGACTCTGCTGTCATCTCCTGGTTCATCCTGCCCCTCCATCAAGCCACGAGAATTGGATAATTCGAAGCTACAGATTATAAGGAATCCTTTTCCTTCAAAGTTAGTAGCGCCAGAAGATCTAAAGTTCGGAAAACATTTAACTGGTTGGAACTTTAATCATATGTCTGTGATAGTTGGGTGCTGACAGAGCGCACTAGATCATATGCTTCAAGTCCATTGGTCCCTTGATCGTGGATGGCAAACACCTCAAATCCTACCTTACCAACGCATTAGTCTGGATCCAACCGCCTGCGTCTTTCACTATGGCTTTGAATGCTTCGAAGGCATGAAAGCCTACAAAGATGCAAGTGGTCGGCTTAGGCTTTTCAGACCCCGCATGAACATGGAGCGTTTCAAAGAATCCGCTGCGAGAGTAGCACTTCCATCATTCGATTCTGAAGAGCTCCTTAAGCTGATCGCTGAGTTTGTGCAAGTGGAAGAAAGATTCATCCTACTGTAAGAATATTCCGTTGGCCAGAATAACCTCTTCTCAGTCATATCAGGAAAGAGGGGTACTCCCTCTATCTTCGGCCGGTACTTGTGGGCACCAGCGGTGGTCTTGCTGTCACCGCTCCTACAAGTGCGCTTCTTTACATCGTGGCCTCACCAGTCGGAGCATATTATGGAGAAGGATATAGCGGTATTTCTCTTGAAGCAACAAATGGCGCGATAGCCACCCGGGCTTGGCCAGGAGGTGCTGGGCGCCATAAAGTTGGTGGGAATTATGCTCCTTGCGTGGCTCCAGAAAAGACTGCACAAAGCCGTGGGTATCAACAATGTCTGTGGTTGTTTGGAGATGACGACGCCATCACTGAAGCTGGAACGATGAACATATTCATCTCGCTCCGAGTTTCGAAATCGGAGCGATTTGAGTTGGTTACTCCGCCTCTAGATGGGGTCATACTTCCAGGTATTACGAGAGATTGCATTCTAAAACTTGCTGAAGAAAAGCTTGAGCCTCTAGGTTGGTTGGTCAGCGAACGCAAAATCACCATGTCAGAACTAGCAGCAGCATCTGATTCAGGGGAACTTCTTGAAATTTTTGGAACAGGAACGGCTGCAATTGTAAGCCCAGTAGAGAGGATCAAATGGGGTGAGAAGATTATAAAGTGTGGCCCGTCTGAGAATCATAATGCGGCAGACTTGGCGCCGCTCATGAAAGGCTGGATAGAAGCCAGGCAATGTGGACTAGAGGAGCACCATTGGAGTGTGCTCATTGATGATATAAAGAAACAGCGGATGCTGAGCTTCAAATAGAACTCAGAATGGCGCCCCCAGACGGGTGCCAGGCTATTCGAACCTTAGCTCGGCTCTTTTTCAAGCTTACTTAGTGCTGACTTATTACTAAGACATAAGTCAGAACCATATGCTCCCGTTTATGTCACAGCTTAGCGCGAACACTTGAATATTATACAATGTTTATAGTCAACTTCTTGATATTCGAAGTGGTGATTCTAGTTGAAAGGTCTAGAAAATCTGAACGTCGAGCCCTAACGGTTTACCTTCTCTTAAACAGTTCATTTAGAATTCTCTGCGTAATTTTATCAGGCAGGAGATATATGACGTCACGTTTATATTTCAAAACTCACTGTAAAATAGGGGGGAGCCTCGCTTCTCGCTTAGCAAGCAAGCAGGGATAATTTCGGAGCTGGAGGCTATGCTTGCCCTGACATAATAAGCTCCGTGCTTGACCAATCTTCGACGGACCGTAGGGTAGGACAGCGCGAATTCAGTTATCTCGCAAACCGTCAAATGAGGCTAAGCCCATCACAGCCGCACATTGTTTGACTCTTTTTCTCTAGACACGTAACAGGAAAGCGTTCAGTTGTGGCGTTCAGTTGCTAGTAGTACCGGTATTACAGACAACGTGTACCTCGTTTATGAGCTGGAGCGATATCCCAGTCGATCCAATGATTTCAAGTAAGGCGATTCCGTCGTGTAACCTTGGCTTGATAGTTCCTCGATTGCTGCAGCATATGACGAATTTTGTGGTAGTTTTATGGGAGAACTATATGTCGGATTGAATTACTAGATACGGAAGATCCATTGTACAACAATTTGGATCGCCACTCTATTTAATGCAACACGAAGTTGCCTTATATTTTCCCCGGTTTGACATTTGCTATTTTACGACTCTTGCCACTACGAAGATGATTGACGCAAACCCAAATCTGATCCAATCACACCCGTCGTACCTTCCACCCACTACCCCGCTCATCCTGATTCACGATGGCGGCGGTACTACCTTCGGATACTTTAGCCTCGGATCACTCGGACGCAACGTTTGGGCCATCCACAACCCGAATTTTATGACCAGTACTCATTGGACCGGAGGAATCGATGCCATGGCTGTAGCCTACGTCCAGCTGTTGCGGGACGCTGATGTGCAAGGTGAGGTAATTCTAGGAGGCTGGTCATTGGGGGGTCTGCTAGCTTTGGCGATGGCGAAGTTACTTGCTGAGGCTGGGATGGAGGGAATAGGGAATACGATTTTGGTGAAAGGTTTGCTGATTATTGACACATCATTCCACGTTCCGGGAGAGAAACACTACCTAGATGAGTTCGCTGTGCGGTCACTACCTGATCTGGTGAGGATTAGCTTTGATCACGCCGTGGACATGATGGCGGAGTGGAAATTGCCCGTGTGGACAGGGAGAAGTGAGGGAAGACAACTGAAAATTGGTGACATGGCGGTAGCAGCCGGAGAGGTGTTGAATGTTGGCGTTGGAGGAGATGAGAGCGTGGAGTTTGTGGGACATTATGAGGGGACGGGTGGTTCGCCGCCGTGGGGCGTGTTAGTGAAAGCGACCAGACGGACCGAAGGAAGGGAGGGGGCAGAATCTCGAGGGGACCAGTGGAGGGAGGAGAAGGTCCTGGGATGGGAGGGGCGGTATCCTGAGTTTATAAAGGCGGTAGTAGAGGTGGACGCCTCTCATTTCGAGCTGTTTGATCTGTCAAGGGTAAATCATCAAATATATTGTGACACGAATCCAGCTAATTTCGTCTTAGATTGATGACATGACGGAAAAGATCAACAGGGCACTAAGTATTCTGGATAAGGGGGTGGTGATGGTGGTCTAACGATGAAGTGAGTGAGAGAGCTTGTGGATGAGTTTATATACGATAATGACACCCGTGTGTATGACGACGACAATGGCTTCCCACTTGCCAAAACCCAGCGTCCATAAATATTAAATGATAAACACCTGGCGAGACTCTAAATGCACATCTTCTCCCGTTTTCTTTTGCTTGTTTTTTTCAACCCTTCAATACATAAAAATGATAGCCACAACAACCCCAAATCAAGCCAGTCTCCCAACCGCGACATCCACATCCTCATTCTGGCACAAAGACCCCTCAGTAGCCCTCTTAGACCATCGCACTACCGCCACCCTCCCGACATGCACAGATGTCCTAATAATTGGCTCTGGGATCACTGGTTCTTTCGCGGCTCATTTCCTGCGTCAGAAAGATAAGGAAAAACATATCTTGATGCTAGAAGCTAGAGAGGCTTGTTGGGGTGCTACTGGTCGTGTAAGTCCTTTCACTAGCCAACACCACAAGCTAGATTGATGACTGAAAATTTTTTGACAGAACGGGGGACATTGCCAGCCCGCAATCTATGCTTCACCACCCGAAATCGGGGCTTTTGAACTGAGGAATTTTCGGTTCTTAAAAGACTTGGTTGAGGAGAATAGCATTCAGTGTGATTGGGTGAACACGCAGGGTATTCATTCATATTATGACGAAAACATGTTTAAAACCTCTTTACAGCATTTCAGAGTCCTCGAAAAAATGTTTCCAAAACTCGCAAAAAACGTGAAAGTCATCACCAAAGATTTGAGGTCGCCTTCGTTAGCCGATTTGAGGGTTCCGCGGGCTGTGGGTGCCTTTCTCCAGGTCAATGCGGCGGGTTTATGGCCTTATAAACTTATTTGTTGGGTTCTTGAGAACTTACTTTCAAGTTCGAAGGATTCAGAAGTAGGAGATTTTAATTTGCAGACTAATACACCAGTTACACAACTTCAAAAGGTTGATGAGGGTTGGATGGTGCATACACCCCGCGGTATGGTTTTGGCGAGAAAGGTTGTTGTTGCTACAAATGCATACACTTCCCATCTCCTACCCAAAATGAGCAATCTAATTGTGCCAGTACAAGGAGAAATGAGCGCGCTTATCCCCCCAGCATCTGCTCGTCCTTCCTCGTCATCTTCGTCGCTAAGAAGGACATATGTCTTTCATAACCACGATTTGAATAATGATATTCATCAAGACGATTACCTTATCCAACGCCCCTTTACCACCACTTCATTATCCAAAGGAGGAGAGCTCATGTTCGGCGGCGGTCGCCAATACGCTGCCCAGGCCGGCGTCGGAGTCTCAGACGACTCATTTACCTCTAAAACCGCAGCTTCCTACCTAAGAAATAAACTCAACAACGTCCTGGACATCTCAGCCATTCCCTCTGAAGAACTCAAAGCTTCTCATGAATGGACTGGCATAATGGGCTTCTCTCGCGACGAAAGACCTTGGGTTGGCGAGGTGACTGAAGAACTTGGGCTAGGGGGTGCGGATGGACTTTTTGTTTGTGCTGGATTTACAGGGCATGGGATGCCAAATTCGACGTTGAGTGCTAAGGCTATTGTTGAAATGTTGCTTGGAAACGGCAATGGGCAAGAGGAAGTAGATTTGCCTAGTAGTTATCGGGTCAATCCGGACAGGGTTAAGGTTTTGGTTGGGGGATGAATTGCATATCGCCACCCTCAGAGGTCTTTCTTAAATTCAATTAGAAGATTTTCATGTACAGTATCTCAAATCTTACGAGGCATCGTATGGGCAACGAGTAGCTGCAATGATTATTCTTAGTAAGCAGTGGTAGTGGAGGTCTAGCGGTTCAGAATAGACTTATAATTAGCGCTAATCATATTCCGCACGCAATAATATATATATACTGCCAACGATTATAACGATAATAGATACTCTTGGCACCGCGACCTCGAGGCAAAGGACATGTAGGGATGCAGAAAACAGAAGGTATTATAACTGCGGCAATATCATGCAAAATCCACCATGGTAACTGAGGCTGTGGGGTTTCAAATACTAGCAAGTCTGGTGTCCTACATCAACACTTCCCTGCTCTATCTTTTCGCTGCTGGATTGGGAGTTTGCCTTTACCTCCTCGTTCATTGCCCGATTGGCGTGCCAGCTTTCCTCCACTGCAGCTAGTACAGTCGTGCTTGTGTCAAGTCGATCCAGGGTGCGGATAGCCTTCTCAGTACTGCCGCCTACAACACATACATCGGCCAACAACTCAAGCATCGTAGCATCAGGTGTTGTCTGTGCTAGCAGAGCCGCGCCAAGACAAGACTGGACAACTAGTCGGCGGCTAATCTCGGGTGGGAGACCAAAGGCAGCCCCGGCAGCCACCAAAGATTGGATCAAGTGAAAGAAGTAGGCAGGAGCAGACCTAGAGGCAGCGATCAGCTGATGAAGAATGACGAACGTGAAGAGTGATGAAAGGATAAAATGGAGAAAGAAGCAGAGAAAAGACGAGATGGCATCTGCCGGAGAAAGATGGCTACATATCTCGAGTTGCGTATACGTACCCGGATACGGAGGCTACGATATCCATCAGCTCTTCACGCGGGAGGAACACCACAGCAGGAGACATGCGCTTGAAGATTGACTGGATCTCGGATGCCACTACGGAAGATGTCGAACGGTTGGCAAAAAGGGCCGTCGCGCCCTGTCTGATAGCAATTGGCGTGTTAGGCATTGTCCGTACAATGGGAGTGTTGGGAGGCAGCCAGCATTCGAGTTGCGAGGTGGTGATGCCTGGGCACACGGTAACCACCACCAGCTCCTGGGTTCCGCCAGCCAATGTAAAGGCCTGAGTGATATCATCACATACATTGGCGGTGTATTCCGGCTGCGTCCCGATCACAACAATGTGCCTGTTTTCCTGGTGTTTAGGTGACATCCAGATTCGGGTGTCTGTGTTGTCGTTCGTCACCAATGTCTGAGGGTAGTCATTCTGAAGTTTCTCTGTGGCTTCTTTGCGACGGTGCGTCAAGGCAAGGGAGTATGACTGATACTGGTTGGCTTCAGATGAAAGTCCGTCTATAATGGCACGACCAAAGATGCCGCAACCGATGACGGTCAGTTGAGATTGCATTATGCTTGACGATATTACTGGTAATTTGCACCACTACTTTCAGACATTATACAAGACATATATACTATCTAGAGTGATCCTGATGCCGAGGATCTTCATAACACTGCATTCTCTTGTGTACCATGCCGCCCTTTCTAGTCTACACCGTAGCCAATGGTATTCTTGTGAAAAAGCACGTAGCAGGAGCCTGTAAGACCGCATTCTCGTGTGCAGCATGCCATGCTATTTAGTCTATATTATATTAAATGGGTGGCATTTTGTGACAAGTACAAGACACGTAGGCTCGTAGCAGTGTCGTATGGAAGCGGTATGCATTCCAGATATCACAAACGTAAATCCCAGTTTCCTTGATATCAGAGTCGCGCCCCCTTGCGACTCTACTATAGTGAGGAAGCGATATCTCTGCTATCAAATGACCTCTACTACCTGATAATCCTTATGGTACAGTATGGATAAGCTAGAGTAGCGCTAACACTATGAAAGCGCTAGTATTCTGATTCTTCCAGGAAACATTAATAGATGCTTAATCTTGAAAATTAATGCTATACAAGTAAGTATATTTATATATAATTAGTTAAAAATAAAATAGGTTTTTCCGATAGAAATAAAGTTATTTCATTATAATGTTTTGGTCTCCGCAAAGACCGACTTAATAATACCTACCTAGGCTAGGTAGCTCGGGTAGTGTTGGATGAAGAAGTCCTCGCTTAAAGCCAGCACATGTGAGCAAAAAAATACTTCCCCAAGAAAGCCAAAAAAATTATTCCTGGTGAATGGTTGCATCTTCCCCCCTAAGGCTTGAACTTAGAACCTCCCGATTGCAGATCTTAACAGATAACAGTCGGACGCCTGAATATTGTTAGTGATGATAACTGTGATACGATGCAAAGGCTGACTTACGCTAACCAATTGCGCCAGGGAGAACATGGTTTTTTGATACAGAATATCTTATTTTGGTATATACAAGTATAAAGAATGGTAGGGAGGGTTAGAGAAACAGTTCGTGAGCCACTTAGATGAGTCAAAGGGCCTTCAAGGGGAAGAAACGAAACTTGAAGTCACCAAATCAATATTTTTTCTCTTCTCCTTTATATTAGACGCATTCTTTCACTTTAATATCTGCATAACACTCAATCGTTGTATTTACTAACGATGACGTTTGTCATTTTTAACCTGCTATAAATGTAAAAGCTTCAACACTCCGCTTGAGCTCACCTAATCGTGGCAGCACTTTTACCTGAATGTAGAATATCAAACAGCGAGCCCTTCAAGTACAACTTTGTCCAAATGGTCATGAACTAAATCGACAGCTTGATTCACAGGGAAACATTTGGATCATTGCCTTCTTATATAATTTTCACGGCCCTAGCAGGAAGGAAAGTATTCCCTATCTTATCACTTCATCTGAACAAGACATTAGGAATCTGGAAGTTCCCAATGGGAAGGGGATCCACGTAAATCTTCCATCCACGATGCGTCCAACCTCCCCTCCGTCAACCTTTTACATCAATGCCATCCCTTTTCTCATTCCGTGGCAGGCTCAATAAATTCATCCCGTAAATCTATGCCTCATAGGAGCTTACCTGTCGCGGAATCTTGGGACGCTGTCGTCGTGTGGCTATCACGGACTAAGATGCCTGTGCATCTGTAGATATCTCTCCAAGATGTTCAAGTTGTTACAGAGCGCCATTTGTACCACCGAAGGTGGTTTAAGTCTTATTCGTCCCGTTCCATAAACCGCTCACAAATATTTCTTCCCAGCAGCAGCAACTCTACTCCTGAATACTGGACTCTTGACTTCCATGTTAACGTGGTAGAAGGGGCTCATGATCGTCTTGACCCAATTCTCGTAGACTTCCGTAAAAAATTGTTTGATTGCCTCCTCCGTTTGCGGTGATGTTGGGTTCGCAGCTATAGAAGTACTGGCTCGGGAGGTGTTTGCGATAGCGGGCTGAGAAGGAGCATGAAGGAGGAGGAATTTGACATCTAAACTTTCGTTAGGTCTCGTTATAGTACAATTGAAGGGAACGCTTACTTCCACCTGTCATGAAGCAGGAAACGTAGTTGTTGTAGAAACGATCGATGCATTTGAAATACCTGTGCCAAGCGGTTCTGTCAGGATATCTAATAAAATAGAATACTGGGGAAACGTACATCTGCCCTTGTGCCCACTGTGCTTCCTCTACAATATCAAGACTGCTGTGGACAATGAATTGGTTCATATGCCGTGCTTGCTCCGGAAATCGGGCAACACCATCTCCTCCCTGTTTAGCCGTCCCGAACTCATACTCGAAGAGAGGATTATCCTGAGTGCCAATAATGGCAAAGTAATACGACATTGCGGCAGGCCTGGTGGTGGAATTATGATTGTGCTATTCGTTGCTTGTTGCTTGGTGGGGAGCTGTTTGAGGAGCAGGGCAGGTTGACAGAATGGACCCTGATTGGCCGATGCGATTGGACGCCTTGGCGCAGATAAATCTCAAGCAACCTTCCAACACCAGTCCAGCTCCTCCCTCCTCAGATTCAGATAAATCAACCACAATGTTCGGAGCGTTCAGACCCACGAATCCTTTATCCGGGGGTCTTCTATGGTATGCCAAACCCCTTTGTCCTTGACTTGGCTTTATATGAGCTCGTTGCTGACTGCATGTCTCAATTTAGGAAGATCCCATGGCGACTCTCCAAATTCCAAAAGGCACGACAACGCAAACGGTTACGCGCAGTCGACTCGCTTGTAGCTACTCTAGATAAGGCATTGACGAAGAAGAGCATCACTACGAAGGCTGTGGAGAGGTGGAAGGAGGAGATGCCAATTGAGCAGGAGATGGTGCCAAAAGACAAATATACAATCTTCGACCGGAAGGAGAAGAAATACAGAAAGAGCATGCGAAGTGGGTTCTCGATAGCAAATACAGGAGCAGTTGGACATTTGCTAACGCAGCTACAGAGCTACCAAAGTGGACAAGAGTATCACAGCGAGTCAATCCTCCAGGATACTGAGTGCATTTTATGGACAGACGAATCGAAGGTTGTACAGTATGTGTATGAAGCACAGGGACGGCGTTTGACCCGGATGTATATCAGGAATGAAGGCAATGGCATAATACATAATAGTATTCAGCTAATATTCCATTTTAAGTGCTGTGAATTTCACAATGCTCTTAATCCCCCTTTCCCCAGACGCCTCCAAAACGCCGAATTTACACCTTGTATGAGCTTATCTACCTTTCCCATACTCTTCTTCTTCCTTCAGTCTCTCTGCTTGAATCGCTCGACCAAGGCCACCTCTACCCTCATCATACTCCTCCCGGTACTCATCACGCACCTGGCCGCCAGACTTTCCCCTTCCATATTGCCTCCCCTCCTGAAAGCCGGGATCCAAATCCGTCCGAATGATTCGCTCATCAAGCTTCGTTCCCCCAATGTATTTCATGCAATCCAATGCATCCTGATGCGTATAGTACTCGACGAAACAGAAGCCACAGGGCGTCTTGTTAAATCTGTCCAGGCCCATAATCAACCTCTTAATTTCTCCACACTTAGCAAACAATTCGTGAATCTGTTCTTCTGTTGTGTAGAAGGACCTGAATGCGCCTCGTAAGCTTCGATCTAAAAGAAAATAGGATACATCAGGCTGGCACATACAAATTTCCCACATAAAGAGTTGCAGCATCTTTCAGGGGGTCTTCAGCTGGCTCCTCTGGCGTTCTTTCGCGCTCCTCATTGTCTCTGTCGTACTTGCGCTTCTTGGTCTGTAGGGAAAAGCTGATAGTTAGCAAAATGCACAATCATGAGGCGATGAAATGAAGGCATTGCATTACCCTGCTCTGGTAGTAAGCACTTGGCTTGTCCAGCCGGTCTACGGTGTTTCGTATTGCTGCTGGCATCTTTGTTCTTGCGTTGAAGGCGTGTCGAGAAAGGCAAGCTGTGAGCTGTCTTGCAGGAACGCGACTAGCGCTGTTTTCTCAGGCGCCTCAAAAAAGGTACAGAGCTTTGTCAACAACACACCATCAATTCACACCTGCTTGTCGCAAACATGTTCCTCATGACTTGCATTTAAACCCAACACCTTTCAAAGCTTCTTGAGCTTCTTCCCTAGCTTCTACCTCCAAGATGCCCCAGGTAATCAGCTACACGCCAGCATGGCTCGGGAAAGGAACTCCTGGCTATGACCTCTTTACTGGTGCTTCCAGAAAACCTGCGGGCACCTGTACCGCTTCCTTAAACGGATCCAGCACGAGCAAAAAGAAGAATGCGAAGCCGGGTCCTCGTCGAACGATTGCGCGCCGCGGAACGGAGATCTTTACAGCTGTTGGGAAGGAAATACGATGGGCAGATCTTGCATACCTGAAGGAAGCATGGATTCACGAGGAGGAAACGAAAAACGGCACTTCTAAAGGGAAGGGAAGGGAAGGCAGTCCAAGTCAATATGACGAGGATCACGCTCAAGGGTACAGAGTAAGCTCCTCTAGAACTCTTGCCGACTCACAGTCTCTAACATTCCAGACTCTCAAAGTCTCCTTAGCGGAAGACATCAGGCAACTGATCATATCTCCGCACACGAACTATCTTGCGATCCTAACGACGCATACTGTACATATTGCAATCTTGCCGGACTCATCACACCTCACTGCTTTCGACACAAGCCCTTTGAAACCAAAGACGTACACGCTCGGCCCTGAAACACATGTCACATCACAGGCGGCTATTGTTTCGGCTTTATGGCATCCCCTTGGAGTAAATGGATCTTGTTTGGTTACGGTGACGGAAGCTGCTGTGGTACGGGTCTGGGAGTTGTCCCTGGATGATCGCTGGTCTTTTGACAAGCCCACGCTCTCAATAGATCTCAAAAAGCTAGCAGACGGAACATCTTTTGATCAAGATTTTGAAGCTTCGAAACCAGGCATGAACACGGGCTTCTCACCTGATTCTTTCGAAATGGAAGTTGCATCAGCATGCTTCGCCGGCCGAGAGAGCGGTGGGTGGTCACCCATGACTCTTTGGATAGCGATGAGGGAAGGCGACGTCTATGCTCTATGTCCTCTACTCCCCGAGAAGTGGTCGCCACCTCCAACTCTGATACCAGCATTATCTGTATCAATCGTTGCCAAGGTTGCCGCCATAGAAGATGACCAAGACGTGCCCCAAGGCACCAGAATTCTCACTCAGCAACAACTAGCATGGATGTCTGATCTAGATAATCAAGAACCGGCCGAGGTTGCATCTCCCTTGGGCGATCGGCACTCAGACGTCTATGCCAGGCCAACAAAGCCAGGAAAGGTTCCGAAATTGCAAGGCCCTTTCGACTTTGAATTGGCACCCGAGGAGTCGGAAGACGAGCTCGACAATCTCTTAACTGACATTTATGTCATTGGTCCGAAACTCGATGTAGATGAGTTGATGTTCGGAGAAGAGAATGACCTCGAAATTGACGACCCCGGCAATGGGCTATCACTTGGGGTGGTTTGCTTGCTTACAAGCAGCGGTCGACTTTCTATTTCGCTCGATCTTGATGGCGTAGAAGCACAATGGCTTCCCAAACCCGGATCTAAAGTTCTCAAATTTACGGACGATTCTGATCCCCCGTCACTATTGACATTCCAAGTTCTCGACACGACACGGAATGGGGAAGTTTGGGAAGGGAATTGGCCCATGTTCAGCAGCGACTTCACTTCACGGTACAGTTTCTTCGTTACAGATACTTCCAGCGTCACTTATATATCCCTAACGCCTTGGGTATTTACTTTGGAAAACGAATTGAGGGACAGCGGAGTTGGTGCCGAATTCCGGATTGATCTAATGGTCAAGGCACACAATTCTTTTCGGGGGAGAATTTATACAGAACAGTCCAAAGATCGATTGTCTCCTCTTGCTTCGAGCGTAGCCATGCGGGACCCGGATCTTGGCTATTTTATCCTCACTGCAACACCATACCATCCAGTCGCGGTGATTTTTGAGTCTCCGGACACCGGAGAAATCGAAGAAATCGGCCATCAGTCTTATTCCCCAACTTATGACTCTGAGCCACTGCAACCTATAATTAACCCAAGACCTGTGTACCAACCCGCTCACGCCCTCGAGGAACAATCTGCGCTCCCATCGTTGTTAGAGAAGCTACGACATAGCAGATACAAGCGGCTACTGAAAGAAGACATCCGATTATCACCAGCAACCCTTCATGTGATGACTGACGCTCACAAAGTTCTCAGCGAGGAAACTCTTCGAATTGGAACTGCCGCAGCAGAGTTATTCCGAAGATGCGAACGCTTACAGATCGAGCTGCAGAGTCAAATCAAAGAGGTCCATAAGGTTGCCGGACGTGTAGATGAAATTACTGGGGACGATAGAGACGACCAACCCGCGGCCGACGTCAATGAAAGAGTTGAGGCGCGAATCTCAAAAGCCAGTAAACGGCAGAAGGAGCTGACGGAACGAATTGAGAAATTGAGGAGACAAGCTACCAAGGCAACTGGCCGCGAGCTGACTGACAAGGAGAGGGGCTGGGCTGAGGAGATAGTTGAGGTGCAAAGTGCAGTTCTTGGGGAAGGGGACACAGTGGACGGTTTCGGGACGACGAAGCAGCCTTGGGTACGATTCGACGAAGTCAAACAATTGAAGGACGAGCTTCTGGACCAAGTTGAGGATCTTGCCGCGGAAGATGCAAGACCGGCGTCAAGAGGTGTGAAGGTACCTTCTGAGATCAGAAAAGCAAAGATGGCCCAGATCACTGCATTGTTGAATCGCGAAACGGCGCTGGTGGAAGGTGCTAGAAACCGGCTGGACAGATTACGATCCTCTTAGTTAGCTGTCAGTTCTTGTAAAAATATATACCCCTTCTATTTGAGAATACGATACCTTCAAAAGCAGGTCTTTGCAGCCAATGACCAGGAAAAGTCACAATTCCGTCACATGATTACCTTCGCATTATTTTAGTATCTACCTGTCTCATAGACCAGACTAAAATATTTGGAAGTCCACATTCGCGCTCAAGTCCGGTTCTCATAGTCAACTTCGTACCTTTCTGTCTGGTTTATTAGCCTTAGATTCTCACAACTTCGCATTGTTTTCATTGTGCATTCTCTAGACACGCTTTATCTTTTGTGTTTGCTGCAAAGTCAGGGTCACCAATCTGTTTCTCCTTAACAAACTCGTGTAACATAGGAGTAAAGGAGCGTTTGGTGGATCGTTATTCGCATCTTCAAACACCTCCCGGCTATTATACCGGGTAAAAGTCCATTTTACTGTTCCCATCTTCAGTGGGATTTACGAAGTTGAAAGGTGTGTGCGGTCCACGAATGCTTGCGACCCCCTTGTTCTGTGCCACGATCATGATATGTTGCATCATCCAACCCCGCAGTAATATAGAGCAATTTGTTTAATAGATGACATATTTCTACCTTTTCATTTCCTCATTGATTTTATTCGCTCTTCGTCAAGGGAAATCGACAGGAGCTTTTCCGCTAGCATTCGCCAGTTGCTGAACCACCACCTGAGTGGATTTTCTTATTAGTTTTATTGGTACACATGCCCTACCTTCTGTCAATCATTTGGGAGCTTGAAAATTGTATGAAGTACTTCATAGACGAACATCGAGAAGGTGGAGGAAAAGCTCCGAAACTTCGGAAGTCTCAGAATTGCCCCACCTGCATGTGTGCTGTTGTCGCCAATTCGCAAGCTGACTGGATAATTATCTTGTTACTCTGCATTTCTAAGAGCACGGCATTACCACAGTAGTAAAGCTTTCCATGTTGTATGCCGGTAGGTGATTTCATCCCCTAAACCAATCAGCCCACAAGTCACATCACCAGCATGAAAGTTGCATTGCGACCAGCCCTCCGAAGACTCCGAATCGCCTCACGAATACTCCCTCTGTCGCCAATAAACAATTTCCTCGTCATAACACCACCATTTTGCCGATTATCCCGTTCCAGTGCCTAGCGGAGATGGGAGAGGCATGGGCGACAATCAGCTATCATTTCCTCAACAGATTCATCACATGCTGCCTACCTGCGTAAGCAACCCAGTCATAGCTGCAAGCAATCAATTGCCTTGCAGTGAAATGGTAAGTATTCCGTAAGTCTGCAATAAAGCTCACAGTGCTTCTCCATTCCAATGACGTAGAAGTATATCGATAGAGTTGTATGCATGTACGCCTGATTGGAAGATGTCCAAACTTTTGTCAGGTGCCGAAGACTGGCATTGTATGATGCTGTTTAGATGTTGGTGGAAGGATATAAGTTTCATGTCACCCCTCCTGTGACTTAGGAATCAGTTCAAACTTAGTATATAATACCAATCCATCGTCTGTACACAGCTACAAACCCAAAGCTCCCGTTCTTACTCCCAAGATGTCCATCTTGCTTCAGCGCAGCAATGATGCTCTCAAAATAAACCCCCCAGGTTAGTAGATTGTCACACCCTCTAGGTATCTCGTTCAAGACTTCTCCGAGAATTGAAAATTAATTCTTCAATCCTGTAGTGGGTGGTCACCATTTCACGGTATCAGGTTCTGATTGGCTATGGACCGTAACTGCCATATACCTATTTGCTCTACTACTCGTAGTCGGCCATTCTTACGTTGCTCGTTCTGGAGAGAAGATATTCCACTACCTGTTTACGATCTCACTCTTCGTCGGAGCTGTAGCATACTTCACTATGGCCAGTGACCTAGGAAGTACCCCCATCGCAACATCGACAGGTGATTCTGGCACTCGGCAGATATTCTACGCAAAATACATCAATTGGTATATATGACCTTCTCTGCAATTTCCACGCAAATACTAACCATATGACAGGTTCGTGGGATGGGCGCCGATTCTCATCGCGGTCGGTCTGGTGTCCGGTGTGAGCTGGGCAACAATAATCTATAACATCGGCCTGTCCTGGGTCTGGATAGCATCCTGGCTCTCTGGTGCTCTGGTAGCTACACACTACAAGTGGGGTTTCTATGCCTTCGGCGTCTTCGCCTATTTCCTCCTCGTGAGCTCCCTTCTCTACACCGGCAGCATCACCGCCAGGCGTCTCCAAATCAAGAGCAGCTACTTGCTCCTGTCATCGTGGCTCACTTTCATCTGGGTTCTGTATGCTATTGCCTACGGTCTTGATGATGGCGGTAATGAAATTAGCGTCACCAGTGGATTTATTTTCTTCGGTATCCTGGACGTTCTCAATGTTCCTGTCATTGCATGCACGGTCTTGTTTTTGAGCAGAAACTGGGATTATCGTAGCTTGAACCTTTATTTCACCCAGTACGGACGTGTCGCTCAGGGAGGCGAATTCCCGGAACGGGAGAAGGGTGTTGTCGAGCCTGTCTCCACTACAGCTCCAGCTCCAGCTCCAGCTGCGGCTTCGGCTCCAGGGGAGACTGTCTGAAGTGGATTGTCAAATTTGATACAAGCTGGCCGGTGAGATGATGGACGAATTTTAGTGGTCTGGAACGCGTCTTTTAGGTGGTGGGTCAATCGCTATGGGTCGTAATGCTCTGTAATGTGTAATTTGGCTGGCGATCTGGGAGTTTAGCTAGTGAATATCGATACCCTCATGAAACATACACGACACCCGTTTAAAAATCAGTCTGAATCGCTGCAGGAGTGATGTGGTCAAAACCTATATCTAGATGTTCTATCACTTCGCATGGGACAGACAGTTAGATACCTCAGGATAGTGGTCTCCATATTGGTAGCAATGATAGTCCACTCAATGACTAGCATCTATTGTGTCTTGCACAATTGAATCTGCTTATTATCTAATATCTATATACTGTAATTAAATTTTACTTCCCAAATAATCCTCTAGAACGCCATCTTTTGAAAACCCAAACAAATTTATGCAGGTCTGGCATTAACCCAAGTTACCCCCTGAAATATTGACAGAACATATACGTATGTATAGCCAAGCCGCCAACGCTTCGGTCCTCACCAGAACGATCACCTTATTCAGCCCTCTTGGACTGCTTCGTCCTCAACTTCATCAACAGATACACCATGGCATAACCGGTGAACGCAAATAACACCACGATCCCCGCATCTCTCCATCCGTAATAATAGTCGACCAGGTTTAGGCTCGAGAGATAATCGGATCCAGTCCGATATTCGCAAACCTTGCACTGAGATCTATCGTTAGGATTCGTGAGGTTTGTACGAGCGCCTATACCACTCATATAATCTGCCAAGTAGACACCGCAGGTTTGATTGAGAGGGGGGTTGAAGATCGCAAATTCCGACTCGGCGCAGTAGACTGGAGCGGAGAAAGTTGTGAATGTGAGGAGGGATCCCATGAGGTAGTTGAAAGCTGAAAGCGAGGATTAGTAAAGTTGGAGAAGACATATAGATCTGGATATAACTTACGATTCATCCAATAAATCCAGTAACGCCAAAAGGCCGTAATCTGTGCATACGGAACAAGAACACCACAGAAGGAAACCAAGGTCCCGATAACCAGAGGATTGGCAAGAGTAGCGAACACAGCATTCGGAGCATATGCTGCAATAAACTGGCCTATACCCGTATAGACGAACTCGTACATAATCATAACAAAGAGCGTGGCACCGGCTTTATTGGAATCGGTAGGGAACCCAACGGTATAGTACCAGCAAACGAAGTAGAGCACTGCGCAAACACACAGGTAGGGCAGCTCGGAGATAATGAGGCCAGTGACAAAAGCGATCCAAGAATACATCTTTGACTTCTTCTCTCTTGCTTCGTAAATATCTCGTCGGTCGATGAAGAGTGGCTGCAATTGAGCGATGACTCCTGGGGCTACGAAGATGAAATTGAAGACCGTAAAGAGGCGTAGTTGTAAATCTGCAACGCTGTGGCCGATCTTCCAGAAAGAGAAGCCGTTGAAGAGAGCAGATCCAACATGAAGTGCTAGTTTATTGTTGATGTAGTCAGTGTTTCTCCAAACCGAGACATTCATGCGATGTGTCACAATCTTCGTCTGTTGCCAGAGCGGCATGGCGAACTCAAAGCCATCATCGACCGTTCCAGGTGGTTTTGAGGCGGCGTCGCTAGTTATATGCTCCAATTCTTCGATAGATCGCTTGTACTCGGGCGAAGCAAGCCAGACTTTGTTCCAGTCTTTTGCTTGCGAGTGAGAGCCAGAAACAACATCAATCATATGCTCAGCGGGATTGGCATCTTTAGGGCAAGGAGCGTCATAGCGAGCGAAGTATTCCTTGAGAGTGGCAGCACTAGGGCCTATATCGCCAAAGTAAACAGTCTTGCCGCCCCGGGCCAATAGCAGGAGACTGTCAAACTGAAGGAATAGCTGAGCGGACGGTTGATGAATAGTTACCTAGAGTCAAGAAATGGTAATCAGCATTATTCCTCTAAATAGATTCGGGGTCGTAGGATATCTAGACTTTTGAATTTGATGACTTACCAAAACTGCTTGTCCAACATCTGCCAATTTTCTCAAAAAACGAACAATATTGAAAGCTGCTTGTCCGTCAAGTCCGGAGGTAGGCTCGTCCAAGAAGATTAGAATGCTGGGTTTTGACACAAGTTCCACTCCAATAGTTAACCGCTTCCTTTGCTCAACGGAAAGACCAGAGCCGGTAGTTCCGATAAGGGTATTCTCTATGTCGTGCATTTCTAAAAGATTGACTATGCTGTCGACATATTTGAGCTTCTCCTCTCGGGGAGTTGTTCGAGACTGACGAAGGAGGGCGGAGAATTCGAGTGCTTCCCGAACAGTTGCCAAAGGTTCGTGAACATCCAGTTGCTCACAATAACCAGCTGAGCGTTGAAAGCTCACAGTGAGAGGCCGCCCATCCACAAGAATTGATCCTTTGATCGTACCATCTGTTTTACGCTGAGCTAAAACGTCTAGAAGTGTGGTTTTTCCAGCTCCAGACGACCCCATTAAAGCACCCAATTGTCCTAGAGCGATGCACATTAGCAGATATTTCTCAAATAAGTTCCAACCCCCGAGGGACAAGCCCCGGGATATCTCATTCAGCTCCTAAATCAATTTGAGAGCAAGGGGGAAATATAACGAACCAGGTTTGACCCATCCATGAACATCATCTAAGAGAGTTCTGTCTCCAGAGGGTGTTTTAACCGTATATGACAGGTTTCTCCAGGTGAACACTGAGGTATTCCGAACCAATTGTTGACCGGTGACCGTTATCTCGTCGGAAGAAGAGGTACCTGAGCCCGCGACCTTCTTTTCTTGATCAACTTGCGCCTTAGATTGGGATTCTTCGTCGGCAACAAGATGTTGGATGTTCTTCTTGGCCTTTTCACGGGGAATAAGGAGAACCCCGCTCTTTCCACCCTGGGCCTTCCAGTGAGTTGTCGAGACGATTGTGATTGCAACAAAAAGAACCCAGAAAGCCCTGCTGATGTTAGAGATTGCTTAGAAGTTAATCCGGGCCGGAAATAAACCTACCAAACAATGCCAAAGTTACGCCAGATATTTGACGCGGAGTAAGATAACGAGGCAAGATACTCAGCTCCCGTAACGCTAGTGGCGCCAGGTCGAGCTCCTCCAACCCCAGCGCAAGCTGAATAGAGAAGATCACCATACTGAGGACCGTTGGGGACTAAATTTGTTCCGATGCAAGGAATTATAGCGTCCTTGAATTCGTTGGCAAGAATTCCGGAAAAGCCATAAGCTAGAGGATCAATCCCTATACAAAATTAGCTCCAGGCCACAACCCATTATTATGTAGACTTGGAATTTCTGGGCGTATGAGGCCTTGTGCGGTGGAGATACGTGGGCCCATCTGTTTTAGAAGGGGATTGGGGGTCGGAGGGGAGGATGCATACAATAGATCCAGACAAACCACTGCATACCATAGTTAGCAAATTGTTTATTACGTTCATCTGAGTCTGCACTAGAACTTACGGGATGCATTGCGGGTTTTTGAATCATGTATCCAGTATACATAATGAAAGCCGAGACTAGGAACCCTGACACCTTACTGGCGCCATCAAAAGTCGTAAATCCAGCACCAATAGACCGAAATAAAGCTGTCATGCACATTGATGTTGCAAATACTAAATTCGTAAAATGTTAGTAAAAATTTACTTCTAGGTTAGGAAACCTTGACAGCATGGGATGTGTTCGGAAGCGAGAATGTAGGAATGAGGAGAAGAGAATACGGACAGAAGATCCAAAAGGTGAAGAAGGTACCAGCATCGTGTTTCAATCCAACCATAAAGTATAATACAATAGAGAAAGGTGTGATCTGGAACAAGAGTACCGGGATATCAGCTGCAACCTGCGCAAGACAAAAGGCGGCGGGATGGAAGAGGGCGAAATTCTTGTGCTTTGCGAGAACAGGACGACCGGAGAAAGACTCTGTGACTTCGGACATAGCCATGAGACTGTTGAACAATAGAGCCAAGAACAGTGCTCCAGATTTGACAAAGATACCACCAGAATTAGCAGGCGCATTGTAAAAGAGTGATCCAGCGATGAGGGCCTGGGCAAGGACGGAGGTTTGCTTGATGATCAAGCTAGCCTTGTCACCCCAGAGGATCTGATACTGGCGCCGGACACAAGCATCGATCTGGCGCCCAAACGAAACCGTATATGGAGATATCTTTGGCAGGCTTTTAGCTTTCTCGTGATGAACACTAATCCGGAAGTCTTCAGTCCGGGATATCGCTTCTTCTGAAGTGGGATAATCGTATTCCGCTTCCATTTCATTTTTGATGCTGGATTTCTCATACGCCGCTCGAATCTCATCGGCTGTCCGTGGGAAGCTCTCGACCCCTTCGCGAATCCTCCTCTCAGATGGGACCGTGACTCCAGTGAGGTAATCAGCGACATTCGCTCCATCATCACAATAGAAGCCTAAATCCTCCATAAATGGACGAGCTTGCTTCAGGGGACCATAGTAAATTTGTTTGCCTTCGTCGATTACCAAGGCTTTGTCGAATAGGTTGTAGATCCCGTTTCCAGCCTGGTAGAGTGTGACGATTGATGCGAGACCGAATATGTCTGTAATGGCTCGAACCGCTTTGGTGTATTCCAGGGCTGTGCTAGCATCCAAACCTCTCGTACTATTGTCCCAACAGAAAACGCTCGCCCGAGTTGCTAGAGTCTCTAAAATCGAAACGCGTTTACGTTCTCCGCCAGAAACTCCACGTACAAATTCATTTCCAACTTTTGTGTCACGCGTATGAGGGATGCCCAAGGATTTCAATAAGAAGTCAACATTCTCTTTTTGGAACTCTTCCGGGGTCGCTTTGTCTGAGGGTAGGTTGAATGGAATTTTGAGAGCAGTCGCAAAATCGATCGTTTGTCCAACCGTGAGTGTAGGAAAGAACAGCTCTTCTTCTGTGTTCATGACGATCTGTCCTCGATACTGGGCTGCGTCTTTTGGATTCATGGTTCCCCAATGTACATCGCCTGTGATTTCCGCATATCCTTCCCTCCTGTTGGCCAATACCTTCAATAGACTGGTGCAGCCGGCTCCAGGGCGACCGAGAACCAAGAGCATCTCTCCTGGTTTGACACAGCCATGAGAGTTCTCAAGAATTGTTTTCAGCGGCGCGCCACCTCGGGCTTCCATGATGGCCCGTGGAATATTGAACTGGGATCCCACATTTTCATTGATGGCCGCATCAGCACCAATGCCTTTGATTGTCAGGTTTTTCCACGTGACTCCTAATTTTCGCCCTTTTACCTCATCCTTCTCGCCCTGGCGCTGGACCATCCTGAGCTCGGGCATCATCTTCCAGTCGGAAGCCATACTGACGTGTTCATCTTCGTCTGAATCATCGTATGCCCTTTGAGAATTGCGGCGGGTGAGGACGGAGGTGTTGGTGAGAATACGTGAAATGAGGCCGGGTTGCGTGGTCACTGGGGCGTATGTCTTTGGCTCTGGCTTTGGCTCTGGCTCTGTCGCCGCCATGGCGAATGTCTAATGTGTGTGTTGGATTACTCGGTCCAGAGGTTGGGATGTGATTGAAAGAAATGCAAATATGGCAGAGAGGGAAGGACGAGAACAATTGATTAATACTTGGAATAGAACAAAGAGGACAAGCGGCCAAAAGTACAAGGCGAGTGAGTACTTAGCTATAAGTACAAGGCGAGTGAGCACCTCCTACCTATCTATATATATGGGCATGGGTATGGGTATGGTTGATAGGATCCACAAGTCAAACTTGCGTAGCGCAGCGGATTAGAGATGAGGGTCCGGAGAGCGAAGAAGCTCACAAGTGTAAAGGAAGCCCGTACCGGGGGTCGGGAGTCGGGGCTCTGTTACGTGTACTCGAGTACTTACTTGCCCCTTGGAAAGAAAGCAAAGCAGTGGTCAAACAGGTGGACATGCCACTGATCTCAGGCAAACATGCGTATCTCGGTAGATGTGCAGGGTATTTGGATGGATGCAGTGGAGTTCGGCGTCAGGTGAAGGCCGAGGTGTCTCTCTTTCCCATCATTCCAGGCCTCATTGACATGACGAATACAGAACAAACCGTTACAAACTATCCCTGTACGTACAGTACAGTACAGTACAGTACAGTAAGACTGCGAACTCTATGGAGGTAAAATCAAGTGTGAGCTTGCAGGCCTGTGGTCAGTGCCAACCCAACAGCAATCACCCGCCTGGTGGGAGCCGTGGCCGTGGGTGGGAGCCGTCGCTGTCATATTGAGTTCGGATAAACAAAGGTGGCCGTGTCCGTATCGTATCGTATTATCGTATGTCCGTGTCCGTGTCCGTGTCCGTGGCGGCCTATACTATGTGCGTGATACCTTTATTATTTAAAGATTCAGCCGAGCTGAGCTAAGCTGAGCTGACGGACCAGATGCCATTCCTCTTTCATTCACAAGTACCGAAGGCTCTGGGGGTGATACTGTTATTATACTTCGTAGCAGCTAATTCCCAGGTCCCGCTACCACATCTTTACATCAGAACTCGAGATATGTCTTGGCGGACAAAGTAGAACAAAAGAAAGGAAAGAGAAAAGAAACAGAAGCATCCCGCCTCTAGTACCTATCCCAAGGTATGCTAAGCACGCCACCCTTTAGTTCCTTCGCTTTCCCGCCAGTGTGCATGAAGTTATTCAGTGGCGTGATGCGATGCTATTCGGGCTTTTTGCTTTCTAGGGGGCACCCGCCTGGAGTAGCTCAAATACTCAATCTTACATGTTAAAAGTTGAATGCTTTTATAGTCATAATCCAAAAGGTAGAGAGAATACGAAGTATGTTGATGGATAGTAAGTGCAGTCTTTACAGTCGTAACCAGAGGATCTTCAATGCACCACCGCCAAAAACATCTTCATCACAACCTCTCTTTTATTTAATCAGGCAACCTTTTGATGTACGAAGACCAGACATTTATAAGCTAGCTTTGGCTAGACCGACCTGCCCAAAAAGAAACTCTTTGAGGTACTGATTCACTTCGGCGGGTTTCTCCCACAAAGCCCAGTGGCTAGCGTTGACCTCTCCTTTTGTTAGACTTCTGAACGACTTCTCCATTCCAGCTGCCAGGGATGGCGGCAAGGCTTGATCCTTCGTTCCTCCAATAAACAAAGCCGGCATCTGAAATTTCAGGTCTTCCACGGATTTTTCCGCCAACTCTATTTCATCATTGAAATTCAGCTCACTGGTTCGGTACCACTAAGAAGGTAAAGTCAACAATCTGTTTTGGTACTGGGTTGGAGGGGTTGGAGAAGCGATTTGCTTACGTTCAATGGTCCATGGATTCCATGAATCGCATATCTCTTTACATAAAAGTCTATCTCCTCCTTACTCAACAAAGGCGAGGGTCCTACTTCAGGCAAATTGTCGTAAACAACACCAACGGCAACGTCGAACGTCGTTTCTCCACTAGGAGTTCTACCCCCATACATTCCATTCAATAACTGACCAAGCTTCTCTTCCCCCACAATATGCTTTTCCACTTCACCAGATGCAAGCTGAACCTGGTACTTGAAATTTGGCAGCGCACTGATGGGGAAGTATTCCTTGCGTGGTGGGAAATACGGAGTGCAGACAGAGAAGAAAGCAGATATGAGCTTTGGATATCGCAGCGCAACGCGATAGACTACCGCTCCTCCCCCTGTGATACAATTCAGTTGCAGTTCCATAAAGATTTTTGGTATGCAGGCCATGTGACAGGGTTGGGTGGTAACGTCAGACGTCTTTGATACAACTTCGGGTCTAATTGGGAGGGGGAAGATAGTGAGCGCAAATGGTACTTACAGTCGTGTCCTCCGAGTATAATGCTAGACAGGCCAAGTTCTTTTGCAAGAGCAGCCAGATCATCAGCCGCGCGCTTGTAGGTGTAGAATTCAGGGGAATCTGGCGCATCGGTTCCAGAGTAACCCATCATGTCCGGTGCAACGACTCGAAGGCCAAGAGAGGTTAGGAAGGGAATCTGATATCTCCAACCAAACGCCTGCCCCGACGAATTAGCATAGATAAAGTCAAGCGATTAAGAGAGCAAGGTAGTCTGAGCCCGCAGATAGGCTCCAGAAACAGCTCTTATAGAGGCAGACGGCTTTTTGTATAAGGATAGGCCTACCATATCAGGCCATCCATGAACTAGGAAAATAGTGTTGAGGCATTTGCCTTGAGGTTCAGCCAGAATATAGCTGTAAGTCTTGCCGTTCAAAACGGCAGTCTTGTACTGGACGTCCTTAGGCGTGAGCTTTTCAGCCATTGTGATTGGTGTGATAGGTTGTGAGAAACAACAGTGTATTCGTGTTCGTTGAGAGGGGCACGGTGACCGGGCCCATTTATACGTATGATGAACTAACTGCCCCTCAATGCAAACCTTGTTGTCTACGTCCGTATGCTAGTAATCCACCCTAAATGCGCGCATTAAAGATATCAGGGATCCATTTTCCTATGCAGATCACTAATTCTTGTATCTTTGAACACGTTTTGAAGGGTTTAGTATTTATTTCTTTACTCTGGATCTTATATACTAATCTTAAACCTTGATTGCTAATCCCCGACTACTAATCCCTATTACTAAAACCATACCAGGTAATCTTAACTACTAATCCATGTTATAATCGACCCCCTCCCTCACCCTTCAGAGCCTTCACCCCTAGCCACTCAAACTACCAAATCACAACTTTGCACTTGATGTTATACTCTAACAAACTTTGATATACTAATACTACCATCGAATTATTTCTCTGCCAAAGCAAAGAAAAGTCATGAACATTTTATTCGCCCAGTCTACAGCAAACGGCCTGGATATCATTCCAAACAAAAATCCGGACTCCGATCAAATGCCATGACCTGTACAAGAAATGGGATGCAGTCAGTAAATGACTGTATCCTCCTCGTTCTCAACGACTACCTCCCCATTATGTTCTTCCATAGACTGCTTTTCCGCTGTAACCTGTTCAGACTGAGTCACAGGAGTATCATTAGTAGTATCAACAGCGTTAGAAACAGACGGAGACTCGGTACGAGGCTCACCCACCGTCTCCTTGGACGTGATGTTAGCTTTCTCTTTCGCAGATGACTCTTCCTCGTCTGCCTTGGGATACCGGGCGTAAAATTCGTCTACTTCTCGTTCGATTAAAGCCTCAGCTTCGGCGATTTGTTCCTTGATACGTTCTTCCTCTCGTGGCAGCAGCTCCCATGGTTTGTAATACTAGAGTCATAGTCAGCTCTGGTTCAGAAGAGAAGACCTCCGCAGCATACCAGTTTAGGTTCCGCACTGGTAGTAAGGGAATTGGCCATTGCCAGCATATTCGTATGCTTAATTCGCATCCATAGAGGTATTAGCACAATATCAAGATAGCCATAAGGCAATAGCATACCGATTGCTCGTCGAATTTGATTTGCTCGACCTTGCGAACAGCCTTCAAGTCTGCGAGCTTCTGTGTTCTTCGTCCCTCATCTTCGGCCTTCTGTTGTTTAGCTTTCTCCTGTTGACGCTTTTCAATCTCCTGCCGTCGTTTCTGCTGACCATTGGGCGTGCTCTGACTCAATGTACTTAGAAGCCCGCCGAATAAACGTTGGCCACGCTTCCGTTCCTCTTGAACGCTGCTCTTGCGCCTATCTGAGCCAAGGTTCTTTTGCTCTTCCGGGCTGTCTCTTTCGGCCTTGATTGATGATCGCTGGCTCGATGGCTTGTCTTCCTCTCTAATCTCTTCCTCAACCTTGGAACGCTTGGCATCAGATTCGGGCTCAGATGATAATCGCCGCTTTGCGCCTGCACTCGGGGATTTGGCTGGCGCATGTTCGGGAACGACGACTGCGGATGCGATGGGTCTGCAGAGTCTTAGCATTTGCCTTACGGCCACGAGTTAGACGTGAACAAACCCGATAGCTTCCGCCATGTCGACATGAATACGTCTTTAACAGTCCTGCTCTTGATGCATACCGAGGGATATGGATATGGATATGGATATGGACGAAGTCATTGCGGCTGCCAATCTGGTTTATCGAAGGTGATTACCCGATTCGGCGCTTACCAATCAATTTATGGTGGCGGGCGGAGTTTTGATAAGTTCAGGTCGGCTTGGTTTCGTTTCCTTACTACATTTTCCTTAACCCAACGACAACGAAGGAATCCTACGTCTTCATCTTGAGCTTGAGTCAATCCAGAATTATCGAACGACTACCTCCCAAAGTGCTTGCAAATCCATAAGCCTGCAATATGTCTCGCCATCATCCGTAAGTTCCACTTTGCCGTACCCCTCCATCTTGTCACCACCCGCCTCTCTGGCTCCTTCTATTTCCTGGGACATATACTGACATTTTCTCAAGTGATCTCGTAATGTGTCGCAAGCAGTCTGGCACTCATATCGGACGCCTCTGCGATAAGTGCGACGGAAAATGCCCTGTATGCGACTCCTACGTGCGACCTACGACCCTAGTTCGGATCTGTGATGAATGCAGCTTTGGCAACTACCAGAACAAGTGTGTTGTTTGTGGTGGCGAGGTATTTTTTCGTCGAATATTATAGAGGGGATCTGTACTGACACTTACATAGGGTATCTCCGATGCTTTCTACTGCTTCGAGTGTACACGACTAGAGAAAGACCGAGATGGATGTCCGAAGATTATAAATTTGGGATCTTCAAGAACCGATCTGTTCTATCAAAAGAAGAATTTTCGGAATCAATAACGAGAGGATGTGGAGGCATGGTAGTATTGACTGCGTGCTCTCCGTTGCAGCTGCAGCTCTCTCAACTTCGCTTCTCTGGCCATACTTCTCAGCGAAGGATTCGCCAATCAACCCAAAAACAAGAGCGACGAAGTATTGGCAAAGTTGGTGTATTGATCGAAGACGGGCGGATGACCGATAATTTTCAATTGCATAGCGTTGGAGTTTGGGGTGGCATGGGCAAATGGCGTCACAAAAAGAACAATAGAACAGACCAAGACCCCACGGGGAAGTCACACCAACAATTCGGGACCCTTGACCCCATAAAAGTGTAGGAACGATGAATTGTGGGTATGGATTTACGAAGGGATCTTTCTCGTTCTGTCAAAACTTACACCAAACAGTGCTCACTCTACCAATATCACCGAGTGGTGTAGCGGCACAGCACATGACAACAATACTTAAACCATGATGTATTCTAGAAATATCAGACGCCCAGCATATACTCATTATACATCATGCATGTATCCTATTTTTTTTTCATGTCTTTGTTATATGGTTCTTCTGCAATATTCATACACATTCCAAAATAGTGTTACAATGATCAAAAATGGCCTTCCTCCATCCAGCGGCTATCCCTCAAATCAACACCATGTTTTTCAGCCCTCCCCATAAGCAATAGGCATTCTTACAAGACTGCATCTTCCTCATCTGGGCCGAATTATTGTCTTCTAAGCCTTGCGCCTCGCTCACCGTCTACCCCCTAAACCAGGTTTCTAACCGTGATTTACCCTTTAAGTCTCACTTATGACCGGGACCTTAGAATTGAAACCAGGACATAAGAAGATAATAATATGGAGGACCAATTAGGTGAGACCATACAAAGGCCGGGAAGAGTAGAATGTTAGAGCTTGGATTCGGTGCGTAGTGGTAGTTAGGATATTCCTTTTAATGCACGTGATCTAGCTGAAACCGCACCATATTTGACGCCCGTTGGTTCGTCTCACCAACACCAGTATCAGGACAGCCATCACAATGCTGGGTTACATCGCTGCCCTCCTCCCTCTCTGCGTCCTCGTCTGGATTCCCCTCTCAAATGTAATATTTGGCACTCCACAGAAACAAAAACCCTCGGACCACCAGAATGTTTTATTCAACAGTTCTTTTATTGCCACAGACGAACCCCTATCTTGTCCTCCACACAACTACAACACGTTCATCCTATCTCAAGAACCTTTGATCATCTATATTGAGAACTTCCTTACTGCTGAAGAATCGGCCCATCTTATTAGCATCAGGTATCTGGTTCCCTTTTCGCTTTGCATCATTCATTAATTGCTTTTGGATCCTAAACTTCCGATGGCAAAACGATTACTGCTTGAAGCGTCTTAGGACTATCCTATGCCTTCTATGTAGGTAACCTAGGTAATGCCAGCCCTATGAACTCTTCACGACCACTCAGCTCAGATAAGATTATTCTATTCTCGAGCTCTATCATCGTCCCATTTCCATATTCCCGACACATCCGTCTCAGATTTAAACACACGTGACTGAAGAACGCGCAGTGAAGATAAATGGGCCGCCTCCACAGTGACTTCTGGCACTGAGACATCGATTCAGAAAGACATCCGATTCTCTGAGGTTGCTCTCGTCGACCGTGATGAAGTCGTTCGTTGCATTGAGCATCGATCCCGTGCTTTCCAGGGATGGCGTCCAGACCTACATATCGAAAGATTGAGGACGCAGAGATACGGATTGGGAGGTCATTATAAGCATCACTATGATTGGAGTGGTGGAAGTAGAGAGGCAGATCGTGTGAGCACGTTTATGGTGTATGTTGATGCTGATTGTGAGGGAGGAGGTAAGAACGTTTTTTTTTTTTTCTTCTTTTCTTTTTTTTTTTTTGCCCTCTGTTGTGGGTACAGTATGAGCTCGAGGATAGAGTCTTGACTTTATATAGGATGTATGCTAAGTTGACTTTTAGGAACCGAATTTCCAAGAATGAAGATGCCAAATGTGTTAAAGGGGAGGTGGTGCGACTTTCTCGAATGTGAAAAGAATGGACCAGATGGTGATGATGATGGTGGTGGTGGAAAGGGCGACGATTTTGGAATCACGTTCAAGCCGATCAAGGGCAATGCGGTATTTTGGGAGAATCTAGGAGCAGATGGCAGAGGGTATGAGCAGACTTTCCATGCCGGTTTGCCGGTCTTGAGAGGACAAAAGGTCGGGCTGAATATCTGGAGCTGGGGACCGGCCCGAAGGACTTAATGTATGTATCTTCCTGTCATGTGGCCTTGTGTTATTGGCAATTTTGTTGTTCTGGTCTCCACCCCGTTACCACTTGCTTGGTGCGGGAGATGTGGCTTTCATCAATTGAATTGATTGTCAAAATGAATTATATATAAGGTACATATAATATTGAATAAAAAACAGGAATTACGCACACATACCCCGTACCCCGTACCCCATACTCTACCCCACACACCCCTAGTTTTGATCAGATCCCTCAAGTGGACAGCAATCAACTCGCCCTCTCATATTATTACGTTATTTACAGATCAAATGCCTCTTCTGACGGGTTTGAATCTAGTCATTTGATATCTCACATTCGTTGCCCTCGTGCCAATATACCCAGATACAGTCAGTAGCAGATATGGGAAAAGAGATATTCACCGTTGATTTTATACAATCAATACACCAATTAAGAGCTGCATGCTGGCCCTTTCTGAAGTTAGAACCCCGAATCACCACTGGAACTATCCAAGTATCTAACAAACATAACTCTTCAAACTTTGAACGTTTCTTTCTTTTCTTTTCGGGCTTTCATTAACTAAACCAGTCATGGTTGTTTTTCTTACGTTTTCTAAGAGGTGCTGAGAGCACGGTAGTTCCTTCATTTGCCCACGCGCGTGTATTATTATGATTTAGTTCCATGTGTGTAACTCAATAAGCATTACCTCTCTAACATTTACTCCCATCTATTCATTCGGCCCTTGTGTCTCCTGCTTTCCATGCAAGTTGTCGGTGACTGCAAATGGAGGAATGCGCGTCAACGGAGGTTGTGAATAGCACCTTCCTTTTGTATAAATATCTCTCCTGAATCCCCTCGGACATAGTCTTTATAGCATCTCATTGTCGACCACAACATATTTTCAATCACCCACCCTCCCTAGGAGGCGTACTTTGCTTTCTAAGATATACTTATTGCATTGCCTTAGCCCGCAGCTATGAATTTTCACTTCCTCGTAGTTGCCCTAGGCACACTTGTCAACAACGGTTTGGCAGCTACATTCAGTCCAGCCAGACCTCCCGCGATTCCTCTGGCAGGTATGTAATCTCATTTCTCCTGGGGAATTATCTGACATCTGGAATAGTTAGATCTCCGTACATGAACACATGGCTTGAACTCGGAAGCGATGGAGGATCCCAAGGTTTCCTTCCAGGTGCTTGGCCGTAAGTATCCCCAAAATCCACCTCTTTTTATAGCACAAACTCTGACAAGTCTCCCTAGTCGCTTCTGGGCGTAAGTTCAATCTATCACTTCTCAAATCAGAAGGACTTGTCAGCTGACTCCCTGGCAAGAGGCCCCCAACCTGGAGAAGCCGTTGGTGCCAATGGAGCCGTAACTGGGTGGACAGGATTGATCAAGGTTGACGGGGCATCATACACATGGATGGGGCAGCCGAAAATTGGCGACGACTTCCCTACCAATGTCAAGCAGACGAGCTTTGAATATACCTCCCAACGATCAACCTTTATCATGAACGTCGCAGGAAAAGTATCTATGAATGTAACATTCATCTCCCCTATTGCACCAAAGGATCTCAAGAGACAGTCAATCATCGGCAGCTATCTTCAGGTCACTGTTGCTGCAACTGATGGAGCTACGCATTCTGTTCAACTCTACGCTGACACTACAGCAGGTACGTATCAGTACTTTTTTGATGTAATTGTGCCTTGGTGCTGACTTTTACTAGAATGGGTTTCTATCCGCAATACAGACACTGCCCAGTGGAGGTAAGAGGCAATCCGAATTCCACACAATCTATAAACTGACGCCATATAGCTTTTCCAATCAGAATAACATTGTCAGTCACAAATCCTGGCGTCAAACACAGAGCGAGTTCAATGCGGATTTTCCTGATGATGGTTCCCATTGGGGAAATTGGTAAGCGCGGGTGCTTTTGTTGTCAGTTCATAACTTATTTTTCACAGGTATTGGTCAACAGCAGCCACCCCGTCCTTGACTTCCCAATCTGGTGGTCATGAGACTGTGCGCGGGAACTTCCTTCGTGACGGCAAGCTCCCAAACACCCAAGATAGCAATTACAGAGCAATCAGTGACAACTTCCCTGTCTTTGCATTCGGTAAGGATGATTGAATTTGAATTCCGAACACCCAGCTGATTACTTTGTAGCAAATGACCTCAGCAATGTTGGGAACAACCCAATCACAACGCTATACACCATCGTTCATGCCCAGGAGAATGCCATTCAATTCGATGGTGCAAACGGCATCGTTTCTGTCCGCTCTCTCTGGACCAGTTATTTCGGTTCTGATCTTGCAGTGGTCGAGTTTTTGTACAAAGACTACTCAACAGTAGATGGAGCTATCGATCATGTCTTCGCTGTTGACTCTCTTGCGGCTGGTGGCCAGGATTATCTCACCATCACTTCGCTTTCGGCACGCCAAGCCTTTGGTGGTACTCAGTTATGCGGAACCATTTCCAAGCCGTACCTGTTTCTCAAAGAAATTTCCTCCGACGGCAATATTCAGACCGTGGACGTTTTCTTTCCGGCTATACCCATTTTCCTATACTCTAATCCGGTCTTAGTCAAGTACCTTCTGGATCCATTGTTTGAGAATCAAGAAGCTGGGCGCTTCCCCAAGCAGTGGAGTATACATGATATGGGGGGCCATTACCCGCAAGCTATTGGGCATGAGGATGGCCAACAAGAGGATATGCCTGTTGAGGAATGTGGAAACATGATCATCGCAACTCTAGCCTATGCCCAGTCGACATCAGACACTGCCTACCTGTCTAAACACTATCAACTATTGAAGCAATGGGCTGGTTTTCTAGTCTCTGATTCTCTGATCCCAGACAACCAACTATCTACCGACGATTTCCAAGGATCGCTTGCCAACCAAACGAACTTGGCGTTGAAGGGTATCATTGGTATTGAGGCAATGGCTGTGATTGCCAGGCTTACAGGCAACAATGCGGATGTAACCAGATTTTCCAACACAGCGCATGACTACATCAAGAAGTGGCAGGATATGGCTGTGGTCACGGATGCGAATCCTCCACATACCAACCTGGCTTACCATGATAACAACTCGCATGGTGCGTAAAGTCTTAGCTTTTAGACCTCAAACTGACTACGAAACTATAGGTCTGCTTTACAATCTTTACGCCGATAAACTTCTGGGCCTCAATCTAGTCCCAAATTCCATATACGACATGCAAAGCACCTTTTATCCCACGGTCGCAGATGAATTTGGAGTAACGCTTGATACAAGAAATACGAATACGAAATGTAAGTCTTCCTATCCTGACACCCCAAGTAGTACTTATTAACAACCCGAAAAGCGGACTGGCAAATGTGGGTTGCAGCTATCTCAAGCCCGTCCACAAAGACCATGTTTTATTCCAAGCTCGCAAATTGGATAAACAAAACACCGACGAATCGTGCTTTTACTGACCTGTACAACACGCGGTCAGCAGAGTAAGGAATCCTCCTCTCAATCAGAATCAGGACCTAATCATGAGACAGTTTTGGGGGGGGCAAATTTGCCGCACGACCTGTTGTTGGAGGGCATTTTGCGGCGCTGGCCTTGAACGGGGCCCCGAGGAGTGCGGGTGTTAGGAGGGGTGTGGAATTTAAAGCTTGAGCCATTAATGTATTGTGCTTTGATTGAGGGGCGTGGACTGGACTTGGGGCTTTTGGTTTTTGAATTAGGTAGGATACCCGTTATGGATTTTGAATGATGATAACTCCTCTCACGAATTTGTTTCAAGGCTATGCTGTGAGAAAATAAGATCGCTTTTGATATATGATAAGTGACTTTTCTTGAAATACCTCGTTAATCCTCAGGCGAATCACCACGACAGAGTTAGTGTAGAACGGAGACGGAATGTCTTAAAAGTACTACTCGGCCCGTTGTATTGTAGCTGCCTTGAATAACTTTTGGCCGTGTTATCACAAAGTGGAATGGTATACTCCTGGGGGGTTTTGAGGATAGGTTGATTAGAAAGAAGAGCTATGAGCTCCAAATTGCTAGCTGAGGTACGTTGGGAAATCTGCTGTCTTGACACTTGGATTATTCATCTAGAGCAATCTTCCACAGAAAGAGAACATCCAGGTATCAACCGGGCATATTAAAGAGCAGCGTAACGAGGTGAGAAATGGATATCAAGCCTGATAACAATATCCTAGTAGTTACCCATCCAATGCCTTGGGGGAGGAGCCGAATTAGGTTTACATAAAACCTCCCATTTTGCATTCGAACCATGTAATGCCGAGTACTATGCATAGCACCAGAACCTTAACGTCCCTGGTGTCAACCAAACTTATCATAAACCATGCTATAACGCTGCCATTAAACAATGTGGAGGTGCTGGCTAGTGTCTCCTTTGTCGGCTTTATCGCTCTGTCTCAGGGTCTCTGAAGACTTCGTCCGCGGCCTGGAGGGGATATGGAGTGGTATTATCCCTCGAGTATGGAGGCAACTGATAGTCCCCAGGAGAACCTCCGCCAATTGATGATGCAGGTAGTCCGAGACTTTCTGGTATCCGTTCATCTGGACTCGGCAAACGCGACTCGGAGCCTTCCCGAGCGAGCAGTGTGTCGTCCAATTCTGTGTCGGTGATTGAAGCAGACTGTAACAAATTAGTTTGATGTTTTTTGAAGAAGAATTCTGAAAAACGTGTGCTGTTTTTGGGGGCGCGTAGAGGGGAATTCTGAAAGGGCTGTCTACAGTTGGGGCTGGCGTCCGCGGCACCGGGAACACTGGCGGCGAGATTCTGATATTTTCTAATATTTTATCAATAGGAGAAGCTTTAGCCGCTACCGCGCTCCAGATACCATCCTCAAACGGGACGCCAGTCATCTCGTTGGCTACGGCATCTGCGGCATCTGCGGCATCGGCTGCCTCCCTAAACTCGGAAAAATACGGAGTTGCACTCCTGGCTGAGTTGATGGAAACTGGAGATCTGCTCGATCCTGACCTTCCTGGCACAACAGGCTCAGAAGGAGCTAACATAGCCCCATTGTTGCCCTCCATAACTCCAGAGTCGTCGGGAGTTTTGTCGTGGGTATGTTCGTCCGAGCACCTGCTGCGTTGTGTTTGGAAAGACCTTGTACCGCTATGCTATTAGGGTCATTGGGACCCTGAGCATGTTCCTCATCGCCACTTAATTGTCTCCCCATAGATATAAGATGCTGCGATTCCTGGGCTTCTGTTCCGTTCTTACCCGCCCCCTTCTTTTTTGCAGTGTCCTTTTTTGCAGTGTCCTTTTTTGCAGTGTCCTTTTTTGCAGTGTCCTTCTTTGCAGTGCCCTTCTTTGCAACGCCTTTCTTGTTTGAAGGGCTCCTCTTCTTCTTTTGAACCCCACCGGACTGTCTCATGGTCAGCCTCTTCTTGATGAGGGAAGCGAGCGCTTGCATTTGTTTTATTGAGCACCGCTAGCTTATATTTTCCCTCCGCTGCCTCCGCTGCCTTCCTTCGCGGTCTCTGCGACAGAGGAGACTTGTCAGTCTCGAGCTGGAGGGAGCAATAGGAACAATCCTCACTTGGGGTCGGCCTTCTTCATCCATTGCAACGTCCAAGCCAGTTCTTGCAAGCACGAGCGGTTGAGAATGGAACCTTGCTTTGTTAGAGAATATGCCTCAAAAGATGTGAAGCTAGATGCGCGTAATTGGAAAACCTGTCAGGTATTGATGATGGTGGAAATGCTGGCATCATGTAGAAATATGGTGAGAAGGGGTGGTCGTTCCTTCCAGGTATGGATGTCATAACAGTAAACTTCGTTGGTATTAGTTTCCTGCTTTTATTTTACCTGAGTAAACAATGAGCTTCGCCCCGGAAAAAGTATATTCGTATCTTCCTTTCAAACAGAGAAGTGAAGCTAGCAGGATAACACCTGCTGCCTCGAATCAATACTTTCAATTTTCACTTAACTAGTTCTTCCATTCCATCTAGCCAAGCCACTTAATACTGATATATTCATCCAGGCCGAGATCCGTGCCCTCATTCGCCTAACACCTTGATGTCCCTGACGTTTAAATGATACAAACAATACAATGTCATTCCGAACCTAAAACCCCCCGCCATCACTTGCACTTGCGCCTTGGTTCGTCGCCGATCTAGCCTCTACTCTCTCGCGATGTTGCCGATTCTTCAAATGCACTTCGAAATTGCCTACCGTGGTCTCCGGACCTGGGGTATACAACTTGCCAGGACAATCGTGACACCGTATCCGGGGCAGATACATCCATTTTATTCCTTCTGGAGTAGGTTGCCCTGCTGGTGGTGCTGGACAGGGCATTTCGGTCGTGGAATTGACCGGCGAGTACCGCATTACACCCTCAAAACGGTCCGAAGGATATGTAGTGAGGAGAGTTGTTAGGCCTTCCGTGAGCCAACTTGGAGGTGGAGGCTGGAAAGATGTTAGCAACGTATAATTTAGGGAATGAGAAATTGAAGGATCAATCAGACTCGCATCGCTTGATGGTGATAAGCCGGCCAAACATACTCTCATGAGGACGTTTTCGAGGAAGCATTATTTCCTCGAGCTTCATCACATGTGACCTCAGGGAAGAAGCAAACAGAATATAGAACTTACTGGTGCATGAGCAGGTTGGCCTGGAGCAGGCGGTGGTGGAGCATCGACTCGACCTATTTGAACCTGTGTCCCAGGAGTTGTCGAAGGCTGCAGTTGCTGGTTCTGTGTCCCAGGAGTTGAAGGGGGCCCCATCGAGCCCGGAACTGGCGTACCACGAGCTGACTGTGAGCTTTTGAACGATGGTGTCTGCTGTATATTCGAAGGACGGTTGCCGGCCTTGAGCTCCCGTACAAGTTTCCTTAATTTGTCCTTTCCAATTTTCAGTTTGATAACCATTGTCGGACTATCCAAGCTCTCTTCACGGGCGTCGCGACCCACAAATCTTCTGGCAGAAGTTCTTGTCTCATGGTGATGCATTATCGCTGCCTCGGGCGTTTCAGACCTTCCAATATTCGCCATTCTCTGTTGCGCGGCTGTGGCGGCTCCTCGCATACCTCTCGTTCTAGCAGTACCTGAGAGTAGATTGGACATAGCAGGAGTTTCTGGAGATGAATCATCGCTGTCCGATGACTCGGAAAGATCTCCATCTCCTTTCCCAGCTGCACGTTTCCCTCGCCCCGAGGTACCACCCACTCTCTTATATATCCGGCTCTCTTCTATCGTATCTGCAGCCCCGGGAAGTACCGACGAGACAATTAAAGTGCGTACAGTTCGTTGTCTATCCTTGAGATCTGGTAAAGTGGGACCTCCTCTTCTGTTCACTGATCGCTTTTGTCTCCTCTGCTCTCTGGAGTATATGACTTCGCTCCTCTCTAGATCGGCCTCAGTCATCTCATATAAGTAGGGTGCATATTCCCTAGCTTGTTGCTGCGGTCGAAGGGCAGTCGTAATGGGGGTCTGACAAAACGAATTAATCAAATCTGCATCCTCTAAAGGTCGGCCATCAAACGGATGTCCAACAATGTATAAACTCCTGGTGAACAGCTGGCACTGTTCTCGTATGCAATGCGCAATCGCAGTGGTAAATTCTCCTGCCAGCGACATTTCTCTGGACATGCTCTGTGCAAACTCCTCGGGCGAGTTCAAGGGATTATTGAGCTCCCATTCAAACTTGTCTTCCAGCGTTGTAGGGCCAATGGTGATATTGAGTTTGATGACTATTCGCATTTCTTCATTTTTGTAGGCTGAGTATGGCAACTCGGGATCAAGAGCATCTTCCTCAAAATACACCTGAGGGTAGAAGTCGGTGAGCTGCTCGTGCAGTTGCTGCTGAACTTGTTCGAGTACTGGATTCGCTGCTGGAGTGACCAAGCCTAAATCTTCAACTAGTTGGGCAGCGAAAAGATCTGGTGGGACTGTACGATCGTGCAGGTTCCATGTAAAAGTATCTCGAAGCTTGATCTTGTCATAATCCACATCCAGCCGTATTGGCACCAACTCTTCCACAGCTTCTGCCTGCTGAGCCATGTCCTTGCGCTTGACGCGCAATTGACGAGTCTTCTTGTGACCCAGCCTCGGTTTCGCGCCTGGATATACAACTTTGGTTGGGCCATCCGTGTGGCCGTTGCCATAGCCATTGTAGCCCTCGCCATACAGGCGACTGAGGGGAAACCATTGTCGAAAGTCAGTTCGGACCTTCCTGTAATCGTCTATCTCGCTCTTCATGTGGGTGTATTGCTTTGCTCGGCTATCCTGGTCGGCGACTATGGAGGCCGTATGAACAAGATCGCGATTGACATATTGGTCCAAGACATACTTCTCGAAGTCGGCTTTTGTGCGCTCGCGATGAGCCAGGCCAGGCGAAGATGCTGCTGCTACTGCTGCTGCTGCTGAAGCAGCTCCTACAGGCGCCGAGGCGGAGGCAGTGTCGACGTGTAAGGAATCCTGAGGGTCGGGTGCCATGATGGGCACATTCGCGACAGGTTTGCGACAATATTGGTGCTATACGGCTGGCTTGACTAGGTGGATGCCAGGAAGGGGGTAAACTCGGTGGTAAATAAATATACAGTATTCGTAACTGAGGCGCGACTTTGGCGCGAAAGGCATAGACTACCGATATACGTACAGTAAGGTACGAGTACTGACTGTACTTAGCTGGCCTGGGGTCTTATTTGAAGCCTCAATATTGAGGCCCACTGTGTAGGGTGAAGCAAAATATGCGGTTGACGATAACAACCACCGCAGTCATAAATAAACAAACTGAAAGAATCGGTCAACAATAAAAGGTACACTGGACTGGTACACTGCCTACTCTACCGTAGCGGTTTATAAGGATTTGCCATTTGCTACTGTACAGTAATAGTCGTAGCAACAGCAACCGCAAGAACAAGGTAGCAATCAGCGGCTCGCTAATACTGAACGGGCACGCACAACCCAGCCCAACTAACCCACCCCACCACAGCCAGCAACATTCAGGCACACCACACTACTGAACTAAACAAAATACCACAAATTCTCCCTTTTGCTGGTCTAAATACAAATTCATTTCCCCACATACATACAAATCTACCAGCATCATGGCCGACAAGAAGGAAACCGAGGAAGTTGGTAAGTTGCATCCCTCCATCCCTCCATCGAGTTCAGGACAGCTTGGTGGGATGTTTCTACCCCGCTATCCTTCTCGCAACTCGAGACAACGGCCCCAGAAGCACCCAGACAGTGAAAAATAACTAATAATCACGCATGCAGACTACACTCTCAATAACCCCGACACTCTCACAAAGTACAAGAGCGCTGCCCAGATCTCCCAGAAGGTTTTGGAGGCCGTCACTGCACTTTGCGCGCCAGGGGAGAAGATCGTCACCATCTGCGAGAAAGGTGACAAACTCTTGGAGGAAGAGATCGCAAAGGTCTACCGTGGAAAGAAGATCACAAAGGGTAAGCAGAGCTTGACTTTCAGTCATACTCGTGGTCGCGACTAACCAGCATACACAGGCATCTCCCACCCGACCACTGTCTCGCCATCCTCTTTCGTCACCCCCTACACCCCGCTCACATCTGATGAAGCTGAGGCTTCCGTTACGCTGAAGGAAGGCGAAGCTATCAAAATCCAGTTGGGCGCACAAATCGATGGCTTTGGAACAATAGTCTGTGATACCATCATCATTCCCTCGGCCGAGAATAAGGATGATGTGATCAAAGGCCGTGATGCCGACTTGCTACTAGCTACCCACTATGCAAACGAGCTTTTGTTGCGCCTAATGGTACCACCTGGACTCCTTGCTACGGGCACTGATGAGGAGAAGGCAAAGGCGGCTAAAGTCAAGGCACCTACCCAAAGCAGGATCACTACTCTGCTGGAGAAGGTGGTCAAGAGCTACGACTGCAATCTGGTAGAACACACCACCAGCTGGGAGTTTGAGCGTAACGAGATCGAAGGAAAGAAGAAGATCATTCTTGCTCCTGGTGATGGCACCAAGGGCGATGGCGTTCCTGAAGTTGGTGATGTTTGGGGTGTTGAGATGGGTGTATCTTTGGGATCTGGAAAGATCAAGACCTTCGAGAACCGACCAACTCTTCACCGTCGGACTACTTTGACCTATGCTCTCAAGCGACCTAGCTCAAAGAAGATTCTCAATGAAGTCGTCAAGAAGTTTGGTGTCTTCCCTTTCAGCTTAAGGCAATTGGAAGACGAGCGAGACGCAAAAGTTGGTGTTGTAGAGTGTGTCCGAGGCAACGTCTTTAGGCAATATGAGGTTGTCGGTGACAAGGACGCGGAGCCGGTTGCTCGACTGTTGACCACAATTGGTAAGAAGAAACCTTCATATTCTGCACCCCGGGTGAGTGTAGGCTAATTTGGTTTGCAAGCTATCACAAAGAATGGTCTTCAGAAACTTGCTGCACCACCAGGCCCAGATCTGTCCAAGTTCCAGACGGACAAGAAGATCACAGATGAGGAAGTCCTCAAGATCTTGGAGGAACCCCTGGCAAAGGAGACGAAGGTCAAGAATAAGACCAAGAAGAAGAAGCCGGCCAAGAAGACGGCAGCAGCTGCAGAGGATGAGGAGAGCAGCGACGACGAGTAAAGCATTCTATGGCGGTATGGCGGCATGATGATTTGAGAAAACCCCCCTGGGATGAGATGAGATGATACGGGGATGAGAAATTCCTTTGCATTCGACATTCTTTCTTCACGTCTTCACGTTTGCTGTAGGCACTGCTTTGCTATGCTATGCCATGATATGCTATGCTATGGAGCTCTCCAGCAACTTTTACTCTAGCCAAGTTTCGTTAGTCTAGAAATGGCGGAATGATGGCATGATCCTCCAGCATTTCAAAATCTCGGAGGATTTCACTGCACACGCTGTTCCTGAGCAATAGAACTTCTCGAGTAAATGAGAGAATAGAGATATGCATCATATGAGGATTCTGACTTTCACTTCGTCTTCTTAGGAACGCGATGGTTCTCTCTCCTTGTTGACTGAGGTACGTAGGTACCTAGATAGGTACCTACGACAATGCGTGTGACAATTCCATGACCTCACCTCAAATGGGGATCAAACCGGATAGGATAACTTACAGATGATCTAGATTCAATCTCACTCGCCCAAAAGCTTCTGTCCTTAGATCCCTCACTTACTACCCCGTAGAGGATACTCATTGTCATTGTAATCCCTAGCTGACACTTGGAAAGGAGCTCACGCACAGCCCAAAGAATAAAATAGCATGTGAGCAGAGAGCACTGCACTGCCTCGTAGGAGCAGAACTGGATGGCTCGATAGATGTAAACAAAGGAAAAGAAAGAGGGGCGGTGGTCCTTGATCATACTGATATTAATTTGCTGGATGTGGTGTGGTGTGGTGTATGTGCTTGCTGCATTTTATGGTATGCCGGTCCGCTACGACCAGACCAGACCACCCACCACCAAAGCGAGCCCCTTGAAAAGCCAACCCAACCTCGCCAACCCTAACACACAACTTCCTCCTTTACATCACAACATACCGTGCCTCAACACCACCTGTCGACGAACCACCTCCCTGATCCCGAGCTATATCAAGCCAGTCTGGTCCTTCTCAGTGCTGACTCCATTTGCCCAACTTTATCTGTCGAAACGCACCACATACTGTCGAGAATTGGTGGCGACAGGCTCTTCCTCACACGTGACCTCTCTCTCGATTGCCGACCCCTGTGTACGGAAAACCTTAGCGACTCCTACCTCCTATTTGCTCTTCACCACCAACCAATTCCTCAGAGCTAGGTACTGGCTGTACCTCTCCCCCTCCCGAATCACGATTGATTCTGCTGTGCATGCGAGTGAACAATAGAGCAGTATTTGATTCTGAATTCATGCCCAAGCTTCCTCAGCTAACATCTTCGCAGCGTGCTGGATTCGTGGTCGCGGTCGCATTCGAGTTCAGGGAGGGCTGCGAGCCATGCAGGCTCCGCGGGGAGAAAGAACGACGCGAAGTCGATACAGCAGTCCCTTTGTGTCTGCAACCAACAATGCGGCTGTCGAGGCTTCGAATACAACTGCAGATGCTGCTGCTGAACGGCCAACGACTTCCTCGGAAAATTGGGTCGAGCCCCCTCTACCAGCTCCCAGACCGAGCTTTGCAGATTCTGGCCACGAGCGTGGTGGCGTTGTTGCAAATATGGCACCTCTGGGCACACGTCCAAGTCTCAAGATCATGAGGTCTGCTACTAGGCCTGACGGAGGTTCGGATGCGGGTGGGCGTTCTACGATTGGAAAACGCACAGCGTCCGTCACCCCCTTCGAGGCCATGACGCCCGAGCCTCCCACGATCCCTCTGCGACGTAGATCTGCCTCTACAAAGACCGACGATGTTGAGCTGCCAACTCCGAAGACACCGCAACAATCGAGTCCTGAAAAAGCGCCTGTGGTGGATCATGTTATGGATCAAACATCTGGTCAAGCAGTTTTTGCTCTGTCGGCATCACCTTTGCCCGCATCTACAGCTACAACTACGGCTACAACTACAGCTACAGATGCAACTACAGAACCAGAAATCACTACTCCTATCGCCACAGCTGCAGAGCTGAACCACCAGGTCTGCACTCCTGCTACACCAGCACCTGAAGTTCCCTCGCTCCCCGCTCAACCAGCTCTTGGTGAAGATGGCGAGCCTCTCATTGACCTTGGTAAAACCGACAGAGTCATTGAAGATGCTGTCCAGCTGGCCGTCGACAATAGGCGGTGGCCTACAGCGTATGCTCTGCGCATTCTGTATGATGATGCTCGAGACTCTGATGCTCGAGTTGTCAGAATCATCGAAGCTGTCTACAACAGCCGCGCAGCACCTGCTCAACTGGCGGAGTTTCAAGCTTTGATGAAAGAGAAGAAGAAAGAGGGCAAAAAAGACAGAACGGGGGAATATTATTTCAATGGCGATGGAAGTGATCCGTTGCCACTTCCCCAATTCTCAACGCTCAATACTATTCTTTCGTACGGTCCTCCTCAGACACACCCCGGCATGGGCGTGCGATCAGCGAGTGACACTCAAGCGAGGGCCACGTCAATTTCGCATTTATCTACATCACCGCTCAAGGAATACGACATTGCGCACATCGCCAAGAAGCAAAAGCAGAGTCATTATGTGTCTCCCTTCTCGCCGATGCCGATGAACGGGCTCAACGGTATCTATGGCTCGGGAATCGGTGCAGTTGCAGTTGCAGGCACGGGTACGGGTGCGGGTACAGGGGGGGCGATTGAAGCAGCGCATGCGAAACCCGAGACGCCGCAGCAGAACGGGGCATCGTCGAACCTACTAAGCCGGGCACGATCCGGGTCGATCTCGAGCTCCTCCTCATTATCGTCAGTCGACGAGAAGATTCTCGACAGCGAGTTTCCCAGCCCAGCAGCTAAGCAGAGTGGTGGTGGTGGTAGTAATGGTGGTGCGTCTAGCGGTGGCGGACGTAATAATAACACACGCAGCAAGCATAATAGAAGCGACAATACGAAATCTCGCTATTCAGCGCCAACCGAAGCTCTGGCCCCCCATAATCATCTCAATAGTCAGCCACCACCAATCAGCGCGCCACAGAAGAACGGCCCCAAAACATTTACTTTCGCGACGGTCCCTGCACCTTCTTCATCTTCTTTTACTTCAGTCAACCATCCTCTCAGCCACAACAACCAAAATTCACGCTCCGCAGCATCAATTCAAAGTTCAGACTCAAACTCAAATTCTGGTGCAAATGCCGAAATGGTTCCCATCCCAGCGCCTGCACTGGGCAAACCCGCAAAATTCATCTCTTACAAGGCGAAGAATCTGGACAAGGTCCGGGGGCGTGCACATGATGACAGTGATCAGTCCAGTCGTTTGAAGCGCTCTGCACGAGAGATCACGAACTCGAACACTGAGACACCGGAGAGCTTCGAGCGATATCAGCCTCCCCCTCCTGTTGCTCCTCCTCCAGACATGGATACTGCATCCGAAGGTGATTTTGTCGACGTCGCCCCGTCCAAACGGCCGGCCAAGATCCGTCTGCTCAACAACCGGACCGCGCGACCACAATCTAATTATGATTCCGAGGACCTTAGTTCTCCAACCCTCCTCTCTTTCCTTGCTCCCAACTCCGTTCCTGCTTCTCGTGCTGGCACACCGAGCACGCTGAACCGGCCAACCAGGAAAGCGAAGTCAGGCAGCGGCCTACGTGTCAAAACATCGTAAGTCATCAATCTTGTTGCATCACAGCATCGCTTCGTAGCCCGAAGTAATATATACTCATCGAGCATCGTATGTTGCATTGTGTTACTTACCGAGCCTCTTCTTTTCGTTGCCTGGAATGTTTGTGGGTGGTGTCGCACGGTGCGACCGACCGCCATTTTTTCATATTCTTCACCTTCACTCAAGTCTTGGGCTTCAAAATATCCGGACAACGAATAATGCTAATGCCATTTTCTACTACAGGCCAATGAAGAAAAAGGGCGGCGGGACCCTAGCTGGCATTCCTCGCGCAAGCGGTGAACGAAATAGCCCCGTCGGCAACAGTGCATTTGCCAATAACCAGGTAAGCTTTTTCTCCTTCATTTTCAACTACGTCAAAACGATTTATGTCATCTGTCGTGGCTATCGCGGGTCTGTTTGGAGACCACAGTAAACCTTCGAGTGGGTTGTATTTTGATTCCATTCACACTGCTGTGCTGCAAACGCCCGGGCGCCAATCTCTGCATTCCGCCTTTGCCGAGGAGACCAACCATGCCACCCCCACATGTACTGAAACTTACCACCATCACCATCCATCACCATCCTTCTTCGTGATAATTCCTCTATAACACTAGGTTATATCGATGTCGATGCTGATTCATGGTACAGGAAGATAACGATGACTACTGTGCGGCCTGTGGTGGTAATGGCGACTTGGTCTGTTGCGATGGCTGCACTCGATCTTTTCATTTTAAATGTGTCGATCCACCCATGGTAGAAGGCGCGCTACCCGACGAATGGTTTTGTAATCAGTGCCAATACCAAAAACACCCTCCTCGGAGAGAAGGCCCGCCTCGCAGTTTTGACTCTCTTCTTGATAGCCTTGAGGGCAAGAATCCGAGTGCGTTTCACCTGCCCAAGGAAATCCGCGAGTGTTTCGAAGGTGTCAGGACTGGTTCCGAAGGAGAGTATGAAGATATTGTTCCTCCAAAACCAAAGTAAGCCTCGGTAGATCTAAGCTCGTAAACTCATTGCTGACCTCAAATTAGGAATCACAAAGGGTACGATGAAGCGCCTGACTTCTCCCGTTTAAGGGACCAAAAGGGAAAACCAATCCTCTGTCATGCATGCAACAAGGCGGCTTCTGCTCCAGATCGCTTGATCATTCCTTGCAGTTACTGTGGCCTTTATTGGCATCTTGACTGCCTCGAGTCTCCTATGACCAAGGAACCCCACCTTAGTAGGAAATGGAGATGTCCGGCTCATATTGACGATATTATGGATATACTGCCTTTCAATTTGGGCCCCGCTCATCGTTATCGTAAGATCAAAGGTAGTTTGCCCATCACCCCTGCGTGGAGGCGAGGTACAAGGAACAACGGCCACATTGAGATAGAAAGTTCAGATGATGTGCAGCCTGGCGGAGGCTTTTATGAGGACAACAAATTTGGGGTTGTGTACAAGCTACCGGAGGAGGGCATCAAGCTGGACTTCATTTCAAAGTAAGATAAAACTCCTCGACAAGCTAAAATCCCGCGTTTTACTAATGTCACGACAGAGTCAAGCAACATGGTGGTAGTATTGACAGGGCTCGACTTCGCGAACGGCAGCGAGTCGAGGCAGCACAGAGTGCGCTTTGGGAGTCGCGATCAATCGCCGAGCAACAAGCAGTTCTAAACCTCTTGGCATTTGCTGCACAGGATACAGCATCCAGCGGTCTCGAGACGCTCATCAACGCCCTACTCGTAAGTTACCCAGTACCATTTTTTACAATTACCTTTACATTTACGTATAAGTATTCGTTTACGCTGTAACTTTCACTTTCGCTTTCACTTTCACTTTCATGCTACGTGTTCTTGGGACGTAATCACTATCGTGGCACGTGCTAACAAATGGTTGAACAGGCCGAAGCTTCTCCCGCAGTGATTGCATTAATTGCGCAAGGCGATGCAACTTCCATATCGCAGAAGAAGCAGAGGCAGAAGCTGTCGAAAAATGACAAGCAGTGTTTGCAAACAATCATGGCTGCCATTCGGAGCCAGCTGAAAGAGGACGACGAGCCAGAGCCAGAATCGGACTCCGAGCCTGCATCCGCGCCTCCACTCCAGCAGCCCGAGACACAACAACCTCAGATAGAGTCGCCTCCAGCTACACCATCTAAAGTGTCTGCTCCAGTCGTCGAGACTGCCATGGAAGTCGACCATATTGTGTCCACCCCCATCGCCGAGATCAGCATGGAAGTTGACGGACTTGTATCAGTCCCCGCCACCGAGACCGACAAAGACGTTCTTGAAGCTTAGGGTGCACCCATGCGTCTTTGTTGCTAGCATGCACTCACCCTTCAATGATGGATAGCTTGATCTCCAAGCAACGGCTTCTTGGCAAGGAGAATCCAAACGGTCACGTGGGAGCAATCATTTGCGTCACGTGATCCTTTATATCAGTTGTTTCTTTTTTCGAGAAGCTGACCCTCTTCCTCTTATTGCCCCACGAGGCTTTCCTTCCGTTTCCTATTCGCATTCATCCCTCACATGGCATGAAAACTCAGGCATTGTATCATATTGGCGTCCGCGGGATGGGTCTTTTATCTGGATACCAAGCAGCATTCATTGTATTACTTCTCGGAGAGAGAACCAAAATATGGAGAGAAGAGAGCGAAGAAGGACATATGTACCGCTGCTGTATGCTCGGACGCCTAACAAGAAAGACTGGAAGAAGTGGATTGGAGTAGTTAGGCGATGCAGACAGTAGCAAATTCAGGAGCGAGATTATATATTACCTTATGCCGGTGCTTCGTGATTATCATACCATAGTTCTTCTTACTGGTAAGATGTTGAATTGTACGTCATAGCAGCTCTGAGAATGTGAGACTTTAGGATGTTATGTCATGTAGCGAAGTAGGTAAATACTCTACTCCAAGTCTCCCTCGCTGTTATGTTTACGTTCTTAAAATGATCTATTAGGTTTTAAAACATAGTTTGCACCGTGCTCGTTCTCGACAAAATGCTCCTAAAAGACCAATTCAGGAATGAGGTCCCACCTACCTACCCTTGGGTGCGCGTGCGCCACTGTGATGGGTTAGATGCGAGTCTTATTGCAATACAGTAAGTACGAGGATAACTAACCACCATAAATATTCCAGGTGCATAAAGCTAGAAAGATGACTCCGCCACCAGGAACTGTTAAAGGCGTCGCTCTACTCGAAAATGCTACTTGTAGTTCGAACTTCGCACACAGGCATGCAATATTAATAAAAGGCAGAATAGCAAAGGGTAAGCAACTGTGGTATTATCTTATCGCCTGCTAAGTACACATAAAGCATTCATCTCCATCATATCTCATCTCATCCCAGAATCGAGCTAGTATGTACATCCCACGCAAAAACCAATGCGCTTTTGTCATCATCCTTTCCTATCCTAGCCCAGGGGGTATTGTATTATGCATGTAGCAAGAAGCAACGCAGGCTTTTGATTACTCAAACAGATATATATCGTGCTATGTATGCAAGAGCTTCAGATTATTAATTCAGCTCAATCCTCATCCAAATCCATCTCGTCGATATCCTTAGCTTGTTTCGCAGCTCCCCTCTTCGGCCTTGCAGCTGGCTTTGAGTTGGGCGTCTTTGCCTTAGCTTGCACACGCGGTGGTTTGGCTTTCGGCTTCACTACTTTCGATGTAGAGGCTTTGGGAGGGGGTTTGTTCGTACTCCTCGTAGAAGCTCGTCTCGTATTCGATCGCGGAGGTGTAGGTGTATGTTCCACCTCTTCCTCTTTCTCCGCCTCTGGTTCAGGCGTGGCAACTTCCTCCTCGACTTCTTCCTCGGCACCTGACGATTCTACCTCGTCCTCGGAATTCGCAGCATCGCGTGCTGCCTTCGCGTCTTTCTCTATTCTCCCATCTTCATACTCCCAAGATGCCACTCCGTCCCACAATTCCTTCTCGTCTTCACTGGAATCTCGTTCTTCGTACGTCTTCTTGGCGCTTGCACCGCGGCCACTCATCCTTCGCTCGGCAGGGCTGGAGGTAGGCGTGCTTATTGCCTGCTTTGGCTTCTTGGCCTTGGGTGTCTTCACAGCCTTAGCGGGCTTCTCCTTCTTGATTGTCGGGTTCCGTGAGCTTTTGGGCTTTGCATCAGACTTGTGCTTCTTGGCTGGGTGAGCATCATTATCCTTATCATCGGATTTCCGCTTTTGCTGTCAGATTGTTAGCCCGGCGAACACTAAACAGGTATATGCAGAACATGCCTTCTTCTTCTCCGCATCCCTCACCAGCCCATCAAGCAGTGAGTCCATGACCTCCGGCGCTGGTAAGTACTGCTTCTCGGCAATCTCCTGTGCCACTTCGTGACTCGGTAATCCTATATAGAGCCCGAGAGGCAATCCGACCTTCACAGGCCAAGTCTGCATGATCCAGCCCTTCTTCTCTTGCCACTTCTTGAGCAACACTGTGGCTAGATCACTGAGTACATAAATGTTGTCCGGATCGGGGCCGCTGATTGCATCACGTACTTGTTTTACTCGCTCGGCGAACTTATAAACCAGGGGAAGGTTTTCCTCAGTAACAACGGTAGTAATGTAGTACAAGATGTATTGTGCGTGATCCCTGAGCTCCTCTGGATCAAGACTGAAGTCTGGATGATGCGCTAGTAGAGATATAAGTCGAGTAAATACTGACTCTAGCGCTCTATTCTTGGTATCGTGGAAAAGCTTAGCGCGAGAACGAATCCAGGTGATGATGGAACTCTTCAGACGCTGATCAGGCTCAAAAGCTGTCAGGAATATTATGGTGTAGAAGCGGTGGGAGAGCTTAGATTTGACCAGATACTTTTGGAGTTTTTCAACGAAACCCCGCCGAACATCTCCGAGGATGTCCTGAGAGACGAACGCGAGACGATTGAACTCGACGGGCGATAGGAGATCGTCAAACAGTTTGTTCGTACATAATTTCAACATCAACTGTGTCGCCAGGAGACGCAACCGAGATTTGTGGGACTTGGGCGTGTCGTTCTTATTAGACAGTTCTCCATGCTTGAAAATGAGCTGGTTTAGAACCTTGTACACAGGTACTGCGAGCTTCTTCGCAGTTTCTGGATCATTAGTCGCACGGAGACGATTGACCAGTATCCTAAGAGCCCAGCTTTTAGCCTGGCATTCCTCATCCACCTCTGCATCGGTTTCCCAACTGGAATCACCATCAGTGCGAGTAGTTCGAACTTGCAAGAGAATTTTCTGGGTAGTGATGTCAAGAATCTCATCGTTGAGCTCGTCTGTAGTTCTAGGCTCCAGGAATGTTAGTTGGCTGATGGTCGCAAGTTTCGTGAGAAAATGGTCTTCTCCATATTCCCAATCTTGTGTAGATTTTTCCAGCAGGTCCTTTGCGTGCATCTCTTTGCGGTCAGAAGCAGCCATTAAGACGCTGACAGCATACTTAGCAGCTTTGGGTGGTGTTCCATACTGTGCAAAGTTGATCAGGGTTTGAACAAATTTGCGATCATGTGGTATCTCTTTAGAACTATTGGGGTTCTTGGCGAATGATGCCAATGCTCTTAAGGTCTCTACGCTCCCCAGATCATTAGGTTTCGTTCCCGAAGGGGCTTGCTCCGCCAATGATTTACATAGCTCTTTGACGTTGTCCTTGAAAATCTGCGGGTGTCGTTCCGATATTTCTTGCATCAGTTCATGTGCGATGGCACCAAGCCCATTCTCGTCGCTTCTCATGTATTGCATGATGAATGGGAGATGGCTACGGTTGTAGGCAAGTGACGCCGATCGGTAAATGATGGGGGTGAGGGTTTCTAACAGGCCTGCAGGGGCTGCCGGTGCTGACTCGATGCGCTTTGAGAACTCCTTGATGGCATTGAAAACGGTCTTGAATTCATTATCAGACCCGATTGCGAATCGCAGCAGCTGATAACTCCTTCGATCGTGTAATTTGGCATACTTGAGTAGTTCGTTGGTCGTTCGTAAAGGATCTGGAAGCAGATCCGCGAGCCAATTGACCACGCCGTCAAGCTTTGTCTTTGTCTCTTTAGAGTCACCTTCCATGACGCCCCCATTGAAATCTTCACACCTCTTCAGGAAAGCGGCTACAACGTTGGAGTATGTCGGCTGTCGAGCTTGCATTGCAAAAAACGCTTTCTTCGATTTTGTGTCTAGAGACCTGACGACAAGCAGAATTCGTTCAGTGCGGATTTTATCAGCATTAAAGGGTCCATCTCCATTTGTCTGACTTGCGCCTTGGGACTCCCCGTTTGTTGCTTTCGATGCTTTTGATTTCGACGGCGGATAGCTCAGGGGAATAAGTTGCTCGAACATAACGTGATCAAGTAAAACATTAAGCTCCAGATCATTGGCGTAGTATGCATCGAATACCTTCGAAGGAATAGCACCTAGAGCATTCGTTACCACTTCATTGGCTGCCGCGATTTCTCCAGCGGCTACACCCCATATCCTGCTCAAAGTAGTCATGGCTTCGATACGCACGGGATGTCTGCGATCCCGGCCTCGGTCCGCAAGACTGCACAATACCGAGCCAGATTTGGTGACACCTCCGTTTGGAGCCAACTTTGTCATAACGTCGCGGAAACCAAAGCTTGAGATTGCTTTTACAGCGGCCAGGCGGACCTTCTCGTCAGCGTCGTTCAACTTCTCCCCAAGCCCCCTGACCAGAGTATTCTCGTCTTCTCTGCTCAGCCCAATACCTCCCGCAGAAGTCACGAGTATTCGCCCAATTGCTGTAGTCCATCCCGACCGTATGATTGAGGACTTGTCATTCCTTCTCTTGAGGAAGTTGGCGTACACTGATTGGTGTGTCTGGGCAAATGATTGGGGAGACATAGGGGTAGTGAGAATGCTGTTGGAAATCGATGTTGTAGGACAATCTTCAAGCCTTACAGGTGGGTACGCAGCAGGATCCATTGGGAGAGGCGGCGGTGGTCCTGCAGCACCGATTCCAGAGATGATATCTCCTAGTGTTTCGGTAGCCAAAAGGCGCAGCTGAACATTATCTGCTGCCAGTTCTGCCTCTAGTTGGGGAATCACGTTTTGAAGAACGGCTGGCGAAGCGCGCCACAACTCGCGCAGCAATCGATGCGCCTTTTGAAGCTCCTTAAGGTCTGCTTCAGTGGGACCAGCAGGTCCTTCATCTTCATCCGAATCGAGAGCATCACTAGCTCTCCTATGGCCATTCGACTTTGGCGGTCCGGTGGAAACATCCATAATGACATCGTTGAAGTATTGACTTACATAGCGGGCCATCTTTTCGGGACATGATTTGCAGATGGTCTTTGCCATGTTGTACGCTTCTGGAAGCTCCTTCAAGAGAAGTGTAGTTTGCTTCTCATCGGCGCGTGCTTCTTCGTGTTTACCCTTCCCTGCGCCTGGAGTCGTTGCCCGTAGAAATTGAGCAACGATGATATCAACAACCTGCGGGGGCAAGACCGCGGCTTCATCAACTAATGTCACTAGCATCTGGCTCATGTTATACTCGACATCTTTGGCAATCTGCTCCCCCGTGGAGGCCTTCGAAGAACCCGATATGATATCGAACAGGTTACTGAAGAGGTGGAGTGTTAGAGAGTCGGAGCCTGGGATATCCGTAAGCAGCACAATGCTTTTGACCTCTGCTAGTGACATCAGGACGTATTTGTGCTGGGTATTGTAGGCATTGGAAGGATCCGACAGGGCTGGTAGTATGGAGTTAATGAAGAGAGTGAAGATATCCTGAGCTTAGTGTTAGCTGCGTATTTGCTACCAAATTTGGGACGCACCGCACCTTCAATTGAGAACCAGTAAACGGCGCGTCGGGAGCGCAAAGCTTCAAGACATCTACCAAGCAGCAAGCTGTAAAAGCGCGGACTCCCTTATCCTTGTGACTCAAGAGGTTCTGGCCTGCGAGTTCCTTCGCGACTTTGGTCAACGAGTCCTTGTCAATCTCCTCCTGGTCCATCTCGCGCAGCTCGTTTGACAGCGCGTCGAGTCTCTTCAGCAGCTCGCCGGTGGCAATGGGCTTTCCCGCTCGCCATGACAGCGGTTCGTTGAAAACAAGACTGGTTCCTTGCGGCTCCTGAGCCACGCTCTCAGCATGGCGCCGAGCCATTTTGAATTGGGGGGGACTCCAGTCGCGGGTGTTGGTGCTGGTGCTGGTGCAGGGAAGATGAAGTTAATTATTTTCTTCTAGTTAGGGAGGGCGATTATGGCTATGGTATGAAGTAAAGGAAACGGCGTGGCGGCTTTTCTGGTTGTTGTTTTGCGGGCTGGGGGCAGAGGAGGGGGGGAGATCTAATCTCGCAGGAGGCAATGCTTACTGTACAGTAGGCGCGGCGCGTTGCACACATCGTACAGTACAAAAAAGACGCGTCTAACTTAAAGCAAGGCACGTGCACCACACTCACTGCAATCATTCACTCTTTCACTCCTTCACTTATTCACTCCTTCACTCTTTCTTGACTCCCGTCTCAGGTTGGGATGAAAGAGTTCAATGTGTCTGTCGGCTTTCTTCTCGATTTGTCTATCATCCATGCATCCATACAATATCTACATCTATCTACCACTGACATGTTAATCCGGCTCAGCTCCAATCCAATTGCAAGCTGACAACACATTTGCTATAGTGAGTACATGTCACAGTCAGAAGGTGCGAGGCGTGGCCTTGTACCATTTGCATTTGTGCTTGATTATTTGGCAGTTGCAATGCTACTCTATGCTCTACTCTACTCTACTCTACTCTACTCTACTGCGTTCGACCTTTTCCCATCTCTCGATCCAGACAGTAGTATCCTTTGCAAAGATACAAACATCTTTCAACGCGCCTTTGTATCGCAGTCCCAGGTCCCATTCTACGAATACGCGTAAGTGCCCCTGGGTTGGCCCAGTTGAATTGTTGCTCATTCCAATCCCCAAGCAAGTCTCTTTGCATTAGGTTCTACTGGATGGTTGAGGGGTGATCTGCCAATGCCGCCGTCCAAATCTCTTCTGTTTATCATGTTGATTGTATGCGTGAGCTCTTGGTATTCATACTTGATTGGGAAGGCAAATGCGTGGGACCAAGACTCAATACTACACAAGGCAAGCTAGGTTCTTGCTCTAAGTTTGCTTGTTGCAATACCGTACTATACTCATACTTGTTCCCCTTGTCCTGTGAGATGACTGAAATGATGCATTTGATTTGTCCAAAGACCGACCGAAAGTGAGAGATTCACCGGTTTCCCTTGCTAAATTGGCAATGGCTTCCTGCCATTAATTCATTCATTCATTCACTGTGCTTTGTCTGTAATCAATCAATCAATCGCCATTCCGATAAACAAACAGCCATCCATATATCTTCCCCACCCCACACTTTTTTTACAACTACAACCACACAAAACAAGCACGAAAAGAATCTTGGAATTGGTTCCATCCCCCCACACTCTTTTGGCCCTTGGACACTCCACTCCCTCCTCAGTAGCATCCCGTCAAGATGAAGGTTTCTTTAACCATCGTCTCTTTAAGCGCCCTCTTGGTTTCCACAGGTCTTGTTGTCTCACATGCTGGGGCACAGTGTGAGGGTACGTCTCCCCCCTGAAGCCCAACCTACCTACTCTCTACTAATGACTTGCTAGATGGACTTCCTTGCGCAATCCATCTGCCAGATCTAGACCGTAGAGACATCGGGGTCACTCCCTCCCCGTCTCGCTCTCTCTCCCCCACGGAAGACTGCTCAACCACTACTTCGTCAAATCTAGCCGGAGCTGTTACAGCTTCAGACTCAATCCTCGCTACTTCTGAGAGCATGCAGCCACCTCTATTATCCACCTCCGCCAGTGTTGTTGATACCCCCTCTGTCCTCATTTTGACTACTTCTGATTATCCCAAATCCACTCCTTCATCCGCAGACCTTTCCACCAGCCCAGATGCGACGTCTACAGCTTCTGCTATCGTCACGCCAACCGCACCAATATCCACTTCCAGTGTATCCGGGGCAGTATTTACAACGGAGGCTGAGAAATCATCTTCGCCGTCCATTTCGGATTCTCTCTCGTCGACTCAATCCTCTATTCCGTCTTCTGCAGCCTTTACTTCCAGTACATTTGCGGTAGAGACTACAACGGGGACCGAGATATCATCTACACCTTCCGCTTCGAGTCCTTCCTCAAATAATCAATCTTATATCCCATCTTCTGCAGCAACAATTCAAGCGCTTCCGTCACAAAAATCTACAACGGGGACTGAGACATTATCTTCATCTTCCAATTCCAGAGCCCCTTTAAAAGCTCAATCCTCTATTCCAACTTCCCCAGCCGCTATTCCAAGCATTCCCGTATCAGCAGCTACTGCAGAGACTAGGCTCTCTGATGTTGTTTCAGAGACTTCGTCCTCCATCACTAGCGAAACTTATCTTACGGCCACAACTTTGAGCGTCCCTATGATAGACTCTACGACTGAGACTGAGACACCATCTACTTCTGTTACCGCGAGGGGTCCATGGGCAACCCAGCCTACTGTCCCACCCACATATCCCTCCGCGGCCGGTACTTCCGTTATTTCAGACAGTTCAATCACCGCCTCGGTTTCAAGCAAATTTAACAGCCCTACTCGGAGTCTTACGTCTACTACTACGGATACTACTACAGTTTCCACGATCTCGAACGTAATCGCAACCAGCAGCATCACAATTAGGGGTGGTGAATCTACGTATTATACTGCTCCTTTGACCACAGCTTCAATGAGCTTCCCAAGTGGGGCAGCCACCAAACTTAGACTCACATCCCAAGTCTCGTCCAGCATTGGCGAAGCCAATATCCCGTCATCTACCACGCAATCATCGCCAAAAGCCTCTGACACTCAATCCTCTGGTATTACTAGCACGATCTTGATGACAAGCACAACTACCCAGACCGTCGCTTTGAATTCGAACTACTTTGCTTCATCTCTAGCAACCAGCGCTTCAGCTACGGATGTATGCGATTGTACTACAACTATCACTATCACCGCTACGCCAGTGATCAGTACGGCAAGTACAGTTGCGGCACAGAAATTGCAATCGCCCAGAAGCTCGGAGGCATCATCATCGCCCTCTGAATCACCCTCAGCATCAGTACGACCCATCGAAGCCACCTCTTCATCCAGCAATTCGCTAGGATTTCCTACCTCCGCAGACACCCTCAACTATCCCGGCGGCACATCAGTTTCAACCGCAGTGAACACCGTCGTCCACCAGATCTCGCCACCAGGCAATAGCACTACTGCATCTCATGGCCTCCCATCCGCGCCCACGAGCACCTTCGCGCAAGTAAACAACAGCGGTAGTGCAAATAACGTCAGGCTTGCCTTCCTGGTGGGCTTCTTAACTCTTGCCGCTTTGATTTAAGAGATGATCGCGCGTTTCTTACGTTGCGTGGCGTATGGCTTTCTTCATTTCTCGAATTGGCGCGATGTCTCGTCAGCGTTGGAACAAATTCATATTCAAAAGGTACGTTGACTGACACAACTGTATTGTTGATGTAAGGGCTAATACAGGGTAGGCTTGAACTATATAGATGAAGGTTACAAGACCTTCAGCTATCTTACTGTGTTTTCCTTCCTCACGGCGCAAAATACCTTGCATAAGCGCAAAAAAGTTCAAGTGGTGTAGATGCCAGGAGCTCTTTGTCTCCTGGGAATCAAAGAGATGGCTGCAGGCACTCTTTTCATTGGTTCTCACATGCATTCATGCTGTAGAATACTTGATCCCTCAAGGCGAAATGCCGACTTTGGTATCGCGTCGTCCCCAAGCTACCAAACAAGTAGTTTTGCGTTGCTACCCCAGATACTAGATAAATAGCGCTTAGGAGACCAAAAGGATATAAAAATCGTCTTCGTTTATCCCGTGAAGACCATGCCTCCGTGCCCAGACGCCCATCCTGCCATGTCTGCAGGATTACCCTTTCCAAAGCTCCAGCAGACCGAACGCCTTGCACAAATAGTTGATAGCAATCGTGATCCATGTTCGCAGTACTCACGATACGCCCAAAACCTGCTTACTTTACAGTTCCTTCTTTACAGGAGGTCCAGGGCTTGGCCTCCCATTCCCTTGTTCTTCGGCCTTTCTTTTCGCGCCCGCATTCGCAGGGTTGATGCCAGTAGATGCAACGCGCTTCCTCTCCTCCATCTTCTTCTCTTTCGCTTGCTCTTCGGCAGCTCTCTTCTTCCACTCATCTCTAATCACTTTCTGCGCAGCCATCAGATCCTGCTTCGTCACTCTGTCCATGATACTCTCAATGACACTATCGACTGTGGTGGTATGATTGGCATTCGTCTTATCATCGCGAAATCGCATATACCTCCAACGTTTTTGCGAATCCATGTAGCATTCTACAATTCTGTCGTTTAACGGTTCTTCTAATGACTTTAGGCGCTCCCATTCGTCCTTCTCGATGTACATTTCGCCATACCAAGTTTCTCTATGCGAGTCTCCCTGGTGAACATGAAGATTGCATACCGGCATTGCATCGTAATCAACGTAAGGCTCTTTATATCCTTCTGCGATATCTTGCTCGTCAGGTTGCTTGGTGGGGAAATCGAGTGTCATGCGAAAATCAATACTATTTTCGGCCTCTGGCTTCCACTTCAGGATATTCTGATCAGTGCCGAATTTATAATCAGACATCCGACATGTAAAGATTAACCCGTCGTTGCCATGCGGGAGGTGGGGCAGGATCTTGCCAAACATCAGGTCTATGGCGTAACTGAATTGCATTTGTTTCATCTCCATTATAAAATGCATGTATTGTTTTTCCTGATCAGTTATTAGGCGCTTATAAACATAAATAGGATTGATTGGCATACCTCTGGATACCGAACGAGGAGGTCCTTGTAAGGATCGTATATTCGTTCTTTGAAATATGCAAGCCTTTTGTCCAGCGTGCGATTCATCAAGCTGTTTCCGTCTAACAGCATACAATCGAACACCAAGTATTTGGGCTGTACCCCTCCATTAGGAAGCTTGTCGAGGACCAGTTCACCATCAATCAGTGTGTCTGTATGAAACCCTTCGACGTTTCGCGGAACGGGGAAATGCAAGCCATTCTTGGGTATGAACCAGTAATCATTCTTGCGGTCAATGAGGTATTGCGCTTCTTCTTCGTGCTCGTCTCTTGTAAGGTATAAAAGATATCGCATCCCATCGGACTTCTCGCAAACGTAATAGCTATTATAGGGAGTTAGCATACGCATTCTTCAATCACCGGGGCACAGCCCAACTCACTCTTGCCGGGTCAACTCCTCAAGATGCTTCCTTGCAAAGCTCACAGGTTGTGCGCCTGGAAAGCTGTGGTTCGGTCGGCCAAGCAGCGACGCGACTTCAGACTGCATTTGGCGCAGCAGTTGCCCGTCTATCCTGACTCCGGGCGCCTCTATTGAGCGGACGGGGCCATTGATGGTTGCCATGCTGTAGAGTTGCGGGTGTATGTGGATGTCGTAAGTGCGAAGGGGCAAGGCTGAAGTCTTCGCGCGCAGTGAACGACAAAGGTAGCGACAGCTCCAACTTCAAGCAAAGTGAACTCGGGCCCGTTGATGAAAAGGCGTCGAAAAAAGTCGAGCAAATACCAGTAGGGGAGTGTGTGTCTTGGGTGGTCGCGAGATGTAATGGGAGAGGAGAGGGCTGTTCTTTGCAAGAGTTCCAACAACAATGGCCGGCGTTGCAACAAAGCGGTCGAGTTGGTGCGAGCGAGTGGATGAATAGAGAAGCTATTGTTTTCCCCTTTCCTTTCAATCATCTATTTGTATCTGCTCCATGATGCACACCGCGCTATGCAGCTTGAACCCTAAGTCATTACGGCCTCTTACTCGCATGTGGTGTAGTATATTGAGAGTTGGCGTGAAGCAAACCAAAGCATGCGACCTATAAAAGTTCTTATAGATCACGTGGTTGGCAGCCTTGCTTATGTACCGTCGCATCGTCTTACCTCACCTCAGGTAAGTAAGCGTACAGTAGGTAGGTAGCTTGCAATTAGAAGTCATCTCAGCAATAATCAGTTGGTAAAACTTCATCTTACACCTACACATTGCTTTGTTCGTAAAGGGTGAGCTATCGCAAGGCTTCTTTCTATCTATCTATCTGTCTGCCTGCAGCTTTGCCGTACAGTACAGGTGCATAGCTCTGAGAACCTTTTTGTAATCTTAGAAGCATACAACTATCTCGCAAGTTGGAGGCACGGAATAAATTGCAAGCCTACCTGTAGGGGCCATCAAGCCATCCCTTCCACGGAGCCTTCCACTAGAATAGCGATTAATCCGAGGCCTCCATCTCTTACGGCGGTACCCGCGCCAAAATTGATTGGCTCTCCGCGCTGCATTCCCGCTCAAAGCAGCAGCGGGCAATGTCCAAAAACACATCTAACTTTGCAATGGAGTTCTTTCTTGCTTTTGTGGTTACGCTTTCCCCACGCGTAGAATCCCCATCGTTGACATTAGTAGTCTAGAACTAGACGTACCCCACGTTTCTCTGGACATGTTTATTGCCCCTTCATTTCTTCCTTCACGGGGGTTTCATGGCTTTCCAGCTTGTGGAAAAGGCGCTCCTGTTAGCCATACTCATAACCTTTAAACTCTCTGCCATATTTAGCGCGATATATATGTTATTGTTATCAGAATGATCGAATGAAGCATCCAACATCCAACCTTCAGCAATTTTATCCTGGTACTAACTGTTGGATTCGTTTCGAAACATACTGACGGGATGGTAATCCGAAAGTGTCGGCTAGGTCGGAACGGTTGGTAGATGTGACGGGTTGGCCGAAACGGCGAAACGGGTGAGTAAGGGCATATTTGCAAATGCAAGAAGATCAGTGAGCACCCGCTGAAGAACAGAAGCATTGCTCCAAGCCTATATGATAGGTAACCTATTCGAAGAGACAAAATGGCCACGTCCTAGTAATTGTGTCGAATCAGATGATGGTACATTGCATGCGGGAAATTCCCGGGAGTCTGGTAAGGACACTGTCACATTTAGAGCTCCTGCAGCTTTGGAGCGTGTTGAATGTGGTAGGAGATGAATACCCTCACAGTGGCCAATAATTTTCCAATCCGTTAACCAGACAAGCATGGTCACCTTGTATGTATGACCAGTCAGTGAGTATAGAAATTGGCCACTTCCCAGAGCAGAGTAGTATGAAAAATAGAAGATACCCGGTCGAAGACGGGGTTCGGCGAAGAACGGCTCAGTTATGCTTCTTTCTCCAGTTGTCCCGCCTACTTATCTCGGCCCAGAGGGTATCGGCGTCAAGCAAGTATTGCCGTTCGGGTACTGAAAACTGATATATCGCTGAAGATCCATAGTAGAACCAAAGTGCTGGAACCACAAAGACAAGATTAAGTACTTCGAGTCTCATTGGGTGTCTAAGAACCCTCTTACTTTGCACAAAGCCTAGATTCGCTTCTGCCACTATGGAGAAGCTCCTCCGGCAAGTCTTGGATGGTGCATTCCGGACCGCAATAAGCACCAACCCTTCTATTACTAGACTAGGTCTTGTACAACGTCTGCGATAATAACATGTTGGTTATAGCCCCCTGTTGCCGGGGGTGTCTCTCGTTCTCCTACTTAGTCTCCTTGCTCATCACTAATAACTTGAACTTGAATAGACTTCTCGTTACTTTTAAGAAGTTGAAACCTTTGCTGCGATTTTGACGTCAACTACACGCATATTTGAAGCTAGAAATGCATACGTTGGAAAACCAACGAGGCTTGATGTGACTTCATATAACACTCAGCATGACCCAGCCAACTACCAACACCCAACCCTCCAGAATGGACATCAATAGAATGCTCAATCCTTCAGCAGGTAACAGGGACAGCAGTGCTGGTTTCTTTTCTGGGGCCGGGGTAGAGGATAAGAACAATGACGAGGAGAAGGACCAGGGTGGCGATGTGGCTCATCGAATGGACTTGAGTTCGATCCTTAATCCCTCGAACAGTCATTTGAACAGCACTTCTAAGGACGAGGAAGTTAACCCGACTGTCAAAGATAAGCAAATATCGAGAGACTCATCGATGGACTGGAACCTCGACGAATGCAAGCTGCCCCCTCCGAAGATGGAAATGCTTCAGCAGCCAAACGATCACGGTTGTTATGGCTCTGGAGAATGTTCCAAAGAAAGTTCCAACGCATTACTTCTTTCAGTTACACCTCAAGACTTCCATCTCAGGAAGACTACTCCAGACCCTCGAAGACCGAGAAGAAGCCCTAGCCAAAGCGAGCCTCGCGGTATTCAAAAGCGCCATCGAGACTTACCGACGAGGAGCAATCTCCCCCAAGTTCGTCCGAACGGAGGTATGAATTCGGAAGAGGTCCGACTAAACACTCGAACTTCGCCAGACCGGCGCCGCTCTTGTCCCAATAGAGAGTTAGGAGCATCCTCGGCGGACGCGGGTCAACACTTCAAACAGCCTAAACCACACAAACCTCCTCATTCAAATAAAGCGTGTATGTTTCTGCTACCCCCTCTCTTCTCTCTTATGGTCTTCTTCGTTTACCACCGCGTCGCTAATATAAAAAGACACCCCTGAACAGATTGACTGGATCCGTTATTTGAAGGAAGACTGCAAGCACAAATGGAAAGAGCTCCCATCGCTGTTTGCATTGCAATTCCCCGGTGTTTATGGCTATGATTCTAGGACATCCGATCAATGCTTCTCCTCACGGGGTTACAGGGACAACAGGAGACCACTGACCGATAAGGACTGGAACCCTATCCTGAATGAGAACGGAAAGGTTACATGGGTAGAGGCCTTAGTCCGGGAGAGGAGCACGTCCGAAGGAATGGAGTTAGACTACCCATTTACCCTCGTCGAGTTACACCCCGAGCGTGCGGTCCAATACGAGTGGGTCAGCGAGGAACATAAAGCTATGGCCAGAAGAATTTTGATATCACCGCCTCTGGTAGGAAGTAAGTACCCAGGCTTACCATCTATGACCCTCAATAAAGAATGCTGATTGTTGCCGTAGATAAAGAGAGATGGCGTAGGGTTTGGCGATATATCGAGGCTGAAGACTTGCTGTAAAGTTCTTGGGGCCCTGAAAGAATAGGGGTTTTTGATGGCCTGGGGTATTTGGGTCGGCAATCACTTTGTTGGCGTTAGGGATGAGTGTTCTTGTCCAGCTTCTTCAGTGGCTGTGGCTTTTCGATAGAAAATCCACGTGTCAAACCCTGGAAAATAAGCAATCGGGGAAATATTGGGATCATTAGTCTGAACCTATGGAAATATACAGGGGAATGAAGATCTATAGTATTGGGTCAATCATTTCAATTTTCTAATTCACATGGTACTATATAACCTCAGAGCGTGAGCATGTAGCAACTGACCTCGAACTCTGAGATTCTATTCGTTTCCGCCATCAGCAAGCAGGTCACGATTCTCGGGGCGTCTAATCCATGGTCGACTTTCCCACGGGTATTTGGTGGCGTCAGCCTCATCGTCACTATAGGTAGCGTCGTTTTCGTCGAATTCTTCTAGGTCAGACGCATTGTGAGTTCTGTAGAGGTAGGCGTTTTGATTGAACTCGTCATCAGACGCGACTTCATCATCCGGATAGTCCGCGGTGTAGTGGTTTTCGGCTACAAGTAATTAGTTACTTGGTTCAGGATCAGTCATTCGAACTTGCCATTTTCGTCTTCATCCTCGTCCTCTTCTTCCTCACTACTATCAGAGTCCTCAAGATAGAATCGATCTATGTCTGGTTGCGAGTCGAGAACAAGGAGACCAACGTTCTTCTCGATATGGGATGTTTCTAAAGCCTCCGCTGGCATGCGAACATATGTGTCAATGATATACTCGGAACCATCTTCCATTTCTTCATCACTGCAATGATCCTCAGTGTCCGTTCTCAAAGGTACGTCCAATACCTCATTCGGATGCCGTTCGTGATATCGCAATGCTGGCTTTCTGGGCTTAAATCTTGACTGCGGTTTCTTCATCTTGACATCCTTTGTCGTAAGCTGAGCCCGGGGTATTGTTGCCTCGGCTTCAGCAAGATTTTTACCTATTTCTTGTAAAGTATAAGCTTGCATCTCGGCAGCCAATTGTTCCGAATTAACATCCCAAGGCATCGTCAGGCCAGAAGGTAAACGCACATTCCGGTTGAGAGGAGTTGTTGCCAGTACTTGGGCCGAGTTTTGCTTACTAGCGAGGCCCCCAGGGACGGCTTGGCTTCTCGCAGCAAGACCTGGTCTTTTTTGGGGCCGAGGTAGTTGAGGTTGTGCGGCAATTGGGCCCATAGTTCCTTGTAATTCTGGCTGCGCTGATTGTAGCCTTTTCCCACTGCCCTTGCGCTCAATAAAGATAGCGGGTTGAACGCCTCGCTTCCGAGTCTGTCCCTCCGCTGTAGAGCGCAAAGGACCTGTGGGTGTTCGGGACATATGGAAACGTCGAACCTGAGCAGCTGGCAGGGGCATGCTGAGATCATTGTAATCGGCTGGGCGTTTTCGGGATAAGGAGTTATCACTCGAAGACAATACTGACTGGTCTGATCTAACAGCAGGTGTTCCGGGCTCTGCGCTTTCCGCATAACACGAAGACTCGGGCGGCGAGACTTGCACCATGGTCTGCTGGGCCGGAAACAGTGGACCGGGTGTCCTCTGAATCCCATTCGATCCTGGTGCTCCATTTGGATCTGTATGGGGAGGGGCGGTGTTGGTCTCGCTGTTGGGTGCGGGTACAGCTTGTCGAGAGAATACAAAGTCTGTAGCTCTACGCTGTCTCTTGCCATGGAGCTCATGGACACCTGTGGGTGGAGAAAGAAAGAAGGTCAGCAACGAAGCCCAGTTCATTTAGATAGATAGGTTGATCGAAACGCACGGAGAAAGTCAACTGGTTCATCTGTGGCCTTTCTCTTGATGTGGACCGTCACCGGAGGGAGAGACATGGTGGTGGGGTGGCCTAGAAGAGCGATGAGGTTGGAGTAGCGACTCTGCACGGGAGCCCGCGTGATATGATAATCGAGAGGTACCAAGGGGGTTTAACTGGAGTTGAAACAACTTTGAATTGAAGTTGATTAGAGTTGATGCAACTGCAGCACAGCCTTTAGAGCTGGATAGCCTTGCGAATTTAAGGTTGTTACCTACAGGTTGCCCCACCGACGCAGCCTTAGGCACCAATTTGCATATAAGAGTAGGAGCCACACTACATACGGCTCACCTAGGCGAGCTTTCTAAAAATGACTTTCTATTCTATATAATATATTATAATTGCAATTATTATTACTTTAGCTTTAAATATATAATATAGATTTATTAATAGTAGCTAATCTATAAACTATAATTATATCTTTAAATTTATAAGTTTAATATTATAAAAGGCAAACTCTAGAAGTAAAGCACTAGCTATGCCTATGCTTACTAACTATGCTTACTAAGCCTTGACAGGGGAGCGCTAACTTTTCTTCGGATTTAGATGAAGATGCTTCTCTCTTTTTTATTAAACTTATTAAATACTATATTAAGCTTTTATATATATATAACTTACTTATAATATTAAATTTAATTAATTATAGATTTACAGCTACCTATTAGCTTTATACTAGACTCTAGGTTAATACTATTAAGAAATAAAAGCCCTTAGTATAATATATTAAACGCCTAACTACTAGCTATCTTCTAAGAAATATATATATGCTAATAATAGCTAGAAATTAAATTATTAGAAACGCGTGCTATTATAAATAACTAGGAGATAAGAGAAGCTTAGTAGAGCCTATTAGAGGACATGCTATCCTAGAGTAACCTTATAAGAGCTTTAATTAAGTTGCTCTTAGTAATAACTTATATAAGAACTAATTATAAACTATTAGGCTCTAGGGATTAGAAGCTGCTAATATAAAATAGCTAAGCAAAGGCCTTTTAAGATTACCTTCTAAGACTTAGAAGCTTATATTATATTTATTCTAGAGTAAAACTAATGCTTTTAGCTAAGTATTACTAGAATATTATTTATAACACCTTTTTAGCATAAGAGAGAGCTTATAAGAAGCGAGCTCTAGAGGTAAAGTGTAAGAGGCGAGCCCTAGAAGTAAAGCACGAGCTATGCCCGTGCTTAGCTTACTAAGCCTTAACTGGGGAGCGCTTACTTTTCTTCGGATCTAGATGAAGATTCTTCTCTCTCTTTTATTAAACTTATTAAATACTATATTAAGCCTTTATATATATATGACTTATCTATAATATTAAGTTTAATTAATTATAGATTTATAGCTACCTATTAGCTTTATATTAGACCTTAGGTTAATACTATTAAGAAATAAAAGCCCTTAGTGTAATATATTAAACGCCTAACTACTAGCTGCCTTCTAAGAAATATATATGTGCTAATAATAGCTAGAAACTGAATTATTAGAAACGCGTGCTACTATAAATAACTAAAGAATAAGAGAAGCTTAGTAGGGCCTATTAGAGGACGCGCTAGTCTAGAGCAATCTTATAAGAGCTTTAATTAAGTCGCTCTTAGCAATAACTTATACGAGGACTAACTATAAACTATTAAGCCTTAGAGATTAGAAGCTGCTAATATAGAATAGCTAGGCAGATGCCTTTTAAGATTACCTTCTAAGGCTTAGAAGCTTATATTATATTTATTTTAAAGTAAAACCAATGCTTTTAGCTAAGTATTATTAGAATACTATCTATAACACCTTCTTAGCATAAGAGAGAGCTTAAATGTATTACTTTTAGAAAAAGGGGAACTCTATAAAAAGTAAGAACCTTAAAGCTTTCTTTATATAGCTTAATAAGATCTTCTTAAATAGTAATAAATAAGTAAAAGCCCTAGAGCATCTTATAAATATAAGGCACTCTCTAAGTTAGCTGTAGTATAAATACTAGCTCAAGTTTAATAAACTTCTACTAAGTGCTAATAGAGAGAGCTAGGAAAATAATATAAAGATTAGCTACTTTTAAAACACTTTCTTAAACTCTATCTATATATATATAGCCTCTATAGCTAAAGTAATAGACTACTATAAGTTTACTATAAAGGTAGAGCAAATTATAACTAATCTAGAAGAAATAGATTAGTTTAAAGCATTAAATAAGAGGTAGAAAGAGAAGAATAAGAAATCTAGAATAAAAATAATAGTGATTATATATTCTTATAGTTACTTTATAACCTTAGTAAAGAATAGTAAAGGGAATATAATAATAGCTCTAATACGTACTAGTAATAGCCGTAGGAAAAAGCCTAGAGAATGCTATAATACAAGCGGAAAGTAGAGAGCTAAATAGATAGACTCTATAGAAAGAGAGAAATGCTAGAAGAAAAGACTCTATTACTAGTATAAAGTATTAGGATATTATATCTGCAAGTATATATACGCTCTATTAGTTTAAATAGTAAAGATTAATATAGTTAAAGCTAAACTACTATTAGAAGATAATAATAAAACATTAGAGTCTACCTCTTTTAAGTTAGGAAAAGAATAGCTCTTAGTTAAAGTTAGAAACTAAAAGTAGAGAAAGTATTAGTAAAGAGATAAAGAAAGGTTAAGAGAGTTATAAATAGAAACCTTATATATATAGATATAATCCTTTAGAAAACTTTTAGAACTTTTACTCTTATTAATAAAAGGTGCTAATACTATACTATAATAAATAAAGACCTTATAAGAGATCTTAGACCTATATATATTAGTAATAAAAAGCATAAAGTAAAAGGAGCCTCTTCTACTATATAGAATTTAGAGGTTAAAAGAGTTATTACACTTTATATAAATATTGCTAGATTTAATTAAATAGTTTATATA